AGAAGCTACTATAAATAAAAATACAGTCTAGTTAAATAGGGCTTTAATACTATTAGAAAGCTATTAGTAAATATATTAAATAGTATTTTTATTTTTATTTTTATTTATATTACTAGCTCTATTTCTACTTTTATTCTTATTATTATCTTCTTCCTTCTTCTTCTACTTATTATCTTTATTATTATTATTATTATTATTATTATTACTTAAGCTGCTATTTTAATTATAAGTTTCTAGGTTTCTATTTATATAATATTACTATATATAGCTATAACTACTACTGCTACTATTACTATCTTAAACAATGTAACGGCTTTTTTACTTCTACTTTTGGTAGATTTTGCTCCTAGATTTGGTAGTATATTACGTAAAATTCTCGTGCCGCTTTAATTACAAACTTAGCATAACATATAACGCACTTAACGCTCGTATAGCACACTTCCCCCACTACAATACCCACAGCACTTTACACCTGCACCTGGCATAACATTCAGCTCAGTACAGCACAGCACAGCTCAGCTCAGTACTGCACTGCACTGCACTGCACCGCACCTTACTGGAGCCTCCTTATCTAAGCTGCATCCTTAGGCTATATTCACCTGTCTGACTCACCACATCTAAACCACTGGCTGCCTCTGCCCCAGATAACTAACTGCACTAGAGGCGCACACACACACCGCCCACCCACAATACAGTTCGCATGGAGTATACCGCCAACCTGAGCGGCATGGGAATAAGGTATTATTCAGTGCATCTATTTGCATACAACATGCTGTGGGATATGAGCTATAGCAACCGGACTCACCCATACCTGATTCTACTGCTTACTACCTCTATTTCTTCCCTCCCAAACACCCCTCCCTTCAGTATCTTTGGCTCCTCTACTACAGCTGGCTCCTGAATCCTTATCTGGCTATTATGTAAGATGTGCACTTTGGCTACCCCATTAATAAAGCTAGTACTTTCCATAAAGAAATTAAAGCTAACAGGGCCCTACCCAGCCAGCTTCTCTGCGGCCCACCAACTAATCCAAAAATGGCTCTGTATGATCTAATGTATTGCCACTTAAAAAGTGGACTCTCATTACATCCTAAAATCGTCAAGTATATATAGACATCCCTTTCTGGTCGATTAATATTTTACAGCTACCCGTTCATCCAAGACACTCTTTACTCTTTCTCTGCCCCCTCACTGAATCCAACCATGGCACAACAAAAGTCTTGTTTACCTGATTCAGATGATTCTGATGCCTCAACCTTTGACTATGAGGACATATTTGATGTCGATAAGTCCCAAGACGACCCGGACACTGATATAACAGATTTTGAAGATTCTGATAATGAATATGATGTTGAAGATCAACTCCGGCTCTTTGATGGAAATACTCATCCAGTAGAGTATTACCGGCAATTATTGCAGAATTTAAATGAGAAGGACTTAGAATGCCAGGATTACAGTCAAGGCACAAACGTACTTCTCGATGGTATTGAGGCATATTGGTCCGAGTAAGAATACAAGACTACTTCGCTTTAGTTACCGCTTTACTAAACTCTTTCTACAGGTTTTGCAGCAGTGTACTCGAGGTTACCGACTACCAAGAACACTACAAGTCTATATCCCTTCGTCTCCTTCGCACATTTTTCGATTGGCTACTCGGGCAGAAGACTAGCCCAAACGGCAGGAAGAAACGAGGAATAAGGAAACTAAGTTCACTGGGCACATATTGGAAAGTTTTTCGACTCGCCTTCGAGAGAGCCGTAGGCGAGAAAATATGTCCAAAGTTGACTCGGGGTATGCACAAGGTAGCCATTATACCCACTACTACTAAGAAGAACTATCTAACATCCAAAGGTCTTAAGAGCCTTAGGCAAGGACCACAACTTAAGCAGCCAGAGGCGAATGAACCGTTGTATGACGATCGACAACCTCAAAGAACAGATTAAGACCGTTTTGAGCACAACAAAGAAATCATTCAAGCTTGGAGAGATAAGGATCTATCTCGTACTATTCCTCCTCCTTATGGCTCCTGCTGGTTCACGTCCGACTTCTATCTTACGACTTCGATATGGAGATATTCGGCTTGTGCGAGCAAGGGATCCGGAAGGCGGACCGCATAATACACTAATCCAATTTTCTCTGGAATTTACAAAAACATACCTTGGAGAGAAGGAAACGTGAGTTTGCGGTCGTTTTGTTGGATACATTGCTAGAGATTCTAACACATTACCAGGAAGACATTCACGATCCCTGAAATCATATTTGACCCTTCTCTGATGTTAAGTCCTCATGCATTTCTCTTGGGAATCCTCTTCCGCCATCAAGCATTCCAGTCACCTAGCCTCACCTCATCGCAACAACTTGATAAACTCGATATCCACCCAGGAGAGTTCGAGTTACCGCTACCTCTGAGGGATGACCTGAAGGACGTTTGTATATTTAGACGACCAGTTGAAACGTTGACAGGATACTCGATTTCACCAGATCAACCTATATCCTATCAGATGATGGCGAATTGGATTCGAAGGATAGGGGTGCTCTTGGGTATTGAATATCCCACGATATCATATAACCTACGTTATAACGCAGCAAACAGTCTTGATCAGAGCGGTATAAACCCTCTTTCACTTTATAAAAAGCTATACTAATATTCTTAATGCAGGTGATATTAGCTCGGCGCTTCGGAACCTTACGCTAGATCATGCCGACTCAACTCCGTTCCAAAGGAATTATCTCACCCGCAATGTCTCAGCCGATATTTGGGGTATTATCCGTGGACAAACAACACCTCAACATGCGCTTGTCAAGCAGGCCTGTAGCCTCGGTCATTCCATGAGCAAACGGCGTCCTACAGACTTGACACCTGAGCAGGCCGCATCTATCAACACCAACCCGGAAATTAAAAGTCTGAAACGAGATCTCAGAAAATTCCCCCTAAAGTCAGAGGAGCGCAAGAAAGGTCAACGGAGACTGAATAATGCGAAACAAAGGCTGCGGAGGTCACTTTGTCATGATACTAGACACCGTTGGACCGATGAGCAAGCAAATGCTGACATCGAACACCAACTCAATGGGGGCAAGTTTCCAAGCTCTACCGACCTCCTTCCAGAATCATCTTGTCGTCCTCAACTACCAGCGCAGAAACGATTGCTACAGGCACTGGAATCTCCTATGGCTACCACACTGAAGGGCCAATTAAAACAGAGGAACGATGTCATTGATGCAATTATTGCGTTCTGTCCTGTGGAGGAAGGTTGTACGCAACGTCAAATACGTACTTCAGCAGAGGTTTCAACTTGGAGTATGCCGGCTTCACAACTGCACTCTTTTATACTTGCTATCATCAAGTCAGTAATTGTCACAGAGAAAGATGAAAGACCGACAAGGTGCTATCTGTGCATTGGTATAGCAATGGATCTGTCGTTTGATGATCCTCGTATCGATGACCTCACGCGGGATTTTCACTCTTCCACTGACCTCAGCAAGCACTTGAAGAGAAAACACTGGTCTAAATTGCGGGATGACGAGAAAAGCAATTGTAATATTTGCAAGATCACACTGGACAACAAAATGCATGCAAAAAGCCATGCTCGGGCCAAGCACGGCTCGGTGTCTCCTAAAGAATGAATTGACAGTCTTGACTATCTCTTATCTAAGTATTACTTGTCTCAGTATTGGTGATGTTGAATGCATCCGATGAAGTCCTTTCAGAACCGACCAGAGCCCACCAATCTGGCCCAGCCGTGTCATGCTCTCAAGCCCAATTGCAGTGCTCCATCGACGAGACTCTCAAGCACCTGCGGCCCATTGCGAGGCCGAGCTCGTTGTTTATGTCGCTCCTTTCGATGGTTTTCCACAGGTTACAGCAGGTCACAGTAAAGTGGCTGGCTCAGATGCCCTAACGCTACGAGCGCGTCATTGACTTCGGCAGCGTCATCTCCCACTGTATTGGATTCAAGCAGACGGCGCTGGTCGACGGTATCTTCAACGTTAATGGCAACCCAATTAAGCTGCGCGGCGCCAACCGCCGCGAATACCACCCCAACTCAATTACGGTCTTAATACATCAGTATAGGAGCTCTGGAGATATGGGTTCAATTGTGCTAATGCGGGCAAGGCTTGTCCTCTGCGCTCAGAATTTAACTATGCCCGCATAGGCATGAACTGATAAGTTTTCAGTACATAGGCCATTTGTGGATAAGTGTATAGGCTGTCCAGTGGAGTAGGACATAAGTGGCCTTTAATACATAGAGGATGTCAGTAGTAGCCAGTACAAGAACTATTTATGAAATACATACAGTCCCATGTGGAAATAATGAATCTTAAGTAGGAGCCAGTCTCTTTTAGAAACATAGCTTACTTCTTATCTCCCGATGGACTCACCATTAAAAAAGCGTGACAGGACGCATGATAACTTTTCAAGGGTAATTCAACGTCTTATGGAAAGATGCAACAAAGTGAGCAATCGGTATGGGGCCGACGTATACATCCTGGCACGCCGAAGCCATCGACACTATGAATATAATTCTACAGATGATTCTTTATTTCCAATTCCCGTTGCAGAGCTTGTAAGACTGATACACAAAGCACCCGTATTTATGCTAACTATAACGCAGGAGAAAATATATCCTTTACCTATTAGAAAAACTCCAGCAAATATTCAAAGGGGAAGGAGTTTGTCATGTTAAGTTTAGGAATTCATTTACAAGACATTAAATAGAAAAATTATCATCAATCCGCACTGGAATTTTAAGACCTTAAATCACCGAAACCATTTACAATTAAATAAAATTTAACTACGAAGTACAGTACTATTTATAACACCTGTAAATATATTATTAATAGCGAAATGCCCGCCAGGTGATGGGCTAGGTGATGGGCCAGCGTGAGGGCGGCGGACAGGATTAAAGCCACTCCGAGCAAGAATAAACTTATGGTGAGGTATGAGTCACCTGTAGAGCCATTCTACCAGTAGACATGCCTCTTAATGCAGTAGCAGGATGCGATAGTGTTTAAATGTTGCTCTCACCGCCTGTTGCTCTTACCGCCTGCCTCATATGGATTCTGCTCTCACCGCTTACCTAAATAAGACACCGTTTATTTAACGTTTCTATAAGAACGGAAGTCCCAACAAACAGAAATGGACTACAGAGCACAAGTGGATTATAATGCACAAACTTCATACCGCCATCCGCTATTGAGACGAAGGAAGAATATACTAATTGTGTCATCTCGCCAATCAGGACACAGCCATTCGGCAGCGTGTCTTGCAGGATCGCTGATGTATGCTGTTGCCTTGCATTTCAGGTATTAACATCGAGCGATCTGGGTCCAATAAACCCATCCGCGGAAGGTCCTGTGCCAGGCAGACCACGCTCACAAATAAACCGGACAAGACAACACCAATTAGCTGTTACAGCCTACTTGCTATCGCTGTCATGGAATTTCCTTCTACCAGCCTGATTCTCCCCAGGCCTATCCCTATTGGAATTAAATCGAGCTCTGCCGAGGCAGACACTATTACCAATAAGGCAGTCAGTTTAATATTCGCACTAACTCCACGTGCCTGCTCCGGCCGACACCTTCATCTCTCTTGACAACTACATAGCCCAAATATATGTACCAGAGGCCTCCCTGCCCCGTTAATACCGAGCCCGCATTGTAGGGGGCTAAATCCGCGGCCTACCTTCATCGAAACACGATTGCACAGTAGAAGGCCTAGATCATCTTCACCGGGGGTGTAACGGTTGTGCTAGACCGCTGTACCAGGGGGCAAAAGATTGGTCAATAATCGCATTGGTTGCAATTACTGGGCACACTAGCTGCTCTTTTAAGCCTCTCTCGCTGTTCGGTGAACCAAGCCGTAACAGGGGGCATCGAGCCAGATCCCACTTCGGGAGATGTCCGTCAGAGGTGAGTCAGAGGTGCAATGAAGCACAGTGAACGCAGTTGCAAATGATATTCGGCAAAGCCAGGATAGCTATGGACTTTGTAGGTCCTCAAGGGAAAAGGGGAGGGGTTTTCTGATAACCAAATAAGATCTTCAACTACTTAGAAACATATGCTAGCGCAATCAGTTTGGAAAGAAATCGAGACATAATATTAAGCCTCAAAATTCAGAGAAGACTTGAAGATATTAGGAAAGCTCAAATTTTGGGCACTGCCGTATCCCATGTCGGTAATCCGCGTCACAGATATCGAGGTCGATATACCATCGCCTAAGGTTCCCTCGCAAGATGGACAGGCTACTTTCTCTATAATGTCTAACCTTATTGGCCTTTCTCCTGCCCGTCACTATGCTGCGCAAGAATCTAGAACAGCTACAACTGAACCCTTTATGCTCAGCTAACATCCCGAGAGACTGCTACTCAGGGAAATCAAATCGTCTAAGCCAGTATACTTGCGCAGGTAAGTCTATATGTAGCAGCATTCTATATGGAGCAGAATTATGAGGTGTTGAAAGAGGATGATTCCTTGGGCTTGGAAAAGGTGCTAGTTTGGAGTTGCGGAAAGGGCAGTGCTTAGTCTATTACCTAGAACGGAGGTTGTCTAAACAAATACCGTTCTCACCGCCTGCCTATTACAGATACTGTCCTCACCGCCTGCCTAATATAGACACTGTCCTCACCGCCTGCCTAATATAGAGACTACTCTCACCGCCTGCCTAAACAGGATACCGTTATATTTAACGTTCATTACGTTTGAATAGAAAATACCAGCAGCCAGAAGTGAACCACAAAACGGTTAAACAAACTGAATAGTGGCGTACAGGTTCAGAGTTGGTGTAGACCAAATATGGCTGACATGACACTGGGCGATCCTCAGAAGAATGCCTCAGGCATCAATAATTTCCAGTTTAGTTCCCTAAAAGACAAAACTTGCTTCATCTCTTACAAGCCAAATTAATGGAAACTCTAGGCACATAGGCTACTCTTCATCTCTAAATTACAGTGTTCCTTGGCTGGGAACCAATTATATAGTCCTCTACATTCTCTATTTACTGAAAGCTACTCTTAACTACCCATTGGGAGCTGACAGTTTCTAATAAATAGGCATTATTTTGGCCCACATCTGGCCTATCCTAGGTAGCTCCAAGGTACTACGAGGTACATACTGGTCCGTGCCCAGCCGTCCAGACTCAATGAATGAGGTAGCCAGTTCTAACCCGCACTGTACTTCATAATACAAACCCCACGGGACCCGCAGAAAGATTGAAAACGAAGATGCATTAGCAGAAATTGGATGCTGCATGGGCTTTTACGAGATTATGACAAAGCTTGGGAAACGGATATGTACAATAGCAACTAGTGCCCTATTGGTTGTAAGCCACCGGGCGTAATAAATTGTGTGTGTGTGTACTTCAGTACAGTCATGTTCACTATCGCCTTCCTCTCTAGGTCTCTCTTTCCTTTCTTTTAGACGAGACGCACTGACCATCTGTACTTCCAGGTACCTATGAATACATGACTCTATTGGATGATCAGAAGTGGCTGATTTTACTGAGCAATTTCGCCCATGGAGTAATCAAAAATCTGAAAGTGGCTTTGAGAATAAGTCCTCAAAGGTACTGCAAGGTACATAGCAGCGCCACAGCTTACATAATAGACTAAGACAGTGCCCTCCACACTGCAAGGTATGTCTGTACTCCGTAACTACATGGCATTGGCAACTAGATTTCAGGGGCGCTGTTTGTGCCCGTATCTCGTGACTGTCCACGTGAGAGAGCGGAGTTCATCGCCACGAAGTGGCTGGTAGATTTGGAGCCATGATGGTTGATGGAACTGTGCCTTGAGAAAAGAAAGGCTCTCAGAGGACGACGCGCGGCAAGGCGACCCACAACGACACAAGGCGGCGAAAAGACGGCCCGAAAGAAAAGGCCTCAGAGCGTAAAAACGTGACTTGAAGCGTGACTTGCATCGGCTTGACCAATCAATTCCTTCCACCTGCGGGCGATCTGCCCTACGTTCTACATCGGATCCCCTCGTCGACCTTCCAGACTGTTGCTCGCTCGCTTTCGCTAGCCTTTGCTGCGCGGCGAACGAAATCCTTCTCACGAATCCTGGGCATAAGCGCCATGTCGCCCACCGATCACAATCGGGACGACTACACCAGTCCCGGGAGGCGGCAGGTGCATCCCCCAATCATGTGTGACAGCATGCTCAGCCAGCAGAGGGTGCTGCATACAAGCGCCGAAGCGTCGCAGCCCCCAACTTGTGTAACCGGCGAGAGCGTTGTTGCGGCCTAACGCCATTTTACCCTTTCCAGCTTGCTTTCGCCCTTCCGTGAGACCTGACGAGGCTGCACTCTTCGACCGCCGATGACAAGACCTATATACTGTCGTCACGTCTCCCTCTCTTCGTCAGACCCAGCACAAGGTTCCTCGTCGCCAGGCACCTAGTCGAACCGCACATTCCCATCGCTTCGGCCGCCGACCCGACTGCCTCGTGAGGCTCCCTCCGCACCATGGCATCCCGCAAAGCTCTTGACAGCCCCGACGTCTATACGGTCGCCTGGATCGCTGCCCTACCCATCGAGCGGGCCGCTGCAGAGGCCATGCTCGACGAGGAACACGCTGCTCCGACTGGTTTCGTCAGACACCAAACCGATGCGAACAAGTACACCTGGGGTCGGGTAGGAGAACATAACATTGTTATTGCCTCTCTTGCCGCCGGCATGTACGGGACTACCTCGGCTGCCACCACCGCGTCCAGCCTGCTTGCATCTCTACCATCCATTCGCGTTGGTCTTTTGGTCGGCATCGGCGGCGGCATCGCTCGACCGGACGAGAACCACGATATCCGCCTCGGCGACGTTGTCGTGAGCCAGCCTGATGGAACCACGGGCGGCGTCTGTCAGTACGACCTGGTTAAGGCGAAATCCAGTGACAAGCGTGAGCGCAAAGGCTTCCTGGGAGCGCCTCCGACCGTCCTTCTTAATGCCCTCGCGAGTATTCAAGCCGAGCACGAACGGAGAGACTCCAGGGTTCCCGGCATTATACGAGAGATGCTGGAGAAGAACCCGAAGATGGGCAAGAGGTCTAAGAAGAATACCGGGTATGTCCACCAGGGCTTCGAAAATGACCACCTATTCAAGGCTACATGCAACCATGTCCCTGGGCCGGACTGTCGCGGCTGTGACGCAGCCGACGAAGTCCAGCGCGAGCCGCGAGACACAGCTGATCCCGAGATCTATTACGGCGTTATTGCATCTGGCAACACGCTTGTTAAGGACGCCGCTGCGCGGGATCGGATCATTGCCGACGTCGGCGAGGATTGTATCTGCCTTGAGATGGAAGCGGCCGGCCTGATGAACCACTTCCCCTGTCTTGTGATCCGTGGCATCTCCGACTATGCTGATTCCCACAAGAACGATCGATGGCAACGCTATGCGTCAGCCACGGCCGCTGCGTATGCCAAGGAGTTCCTTGCATACGTGCCAGCCTCAGAAGTTCAGGAGACCAAGAGGGCACTGGAAGTGCTTCAGTCGTGTTAGTTGTCTATATCATCCAGCAACTGTGCAAATATACCAGATTGCATCAAGCTAACTTTAAATACGTCCTGACTGTATAGTTGAACGTAAAATCGACAGCATGCAGCAGGCCACAGTCGAAACGAAAGCTGCAGCTGATTCTATCAAGTCTGACTTTCGTACCGAGAAGATCAAGCGCTGGCTTTGCCCCCCCGACCCGTCTACAAACGCCAACCACGCGAGGAAGCTTCGCCACGAGGGGACAGGCACGTGGCTTTTGGAACATCCTATCTTCCGGGCGTGGGAGTCAGAGTTCTGTCGACATTTATGGCTGTATGGGCTCGCAGGATGCGGGAAGACGGTTCTCAGCGCGACGGTGCTGGACCATCTCGCCGTGGGAAACGACCGGCTTATCCTCAGCTTCTTCTTTGACTTTAGCGACACGACAAAGCAGACTGTGGATGGCATGCTGCGGTCGCTTGCTTTCCAGCTGTACCAAAGTGGGGCTGTTTCTACAGCTTCTCTTAACGCTTTATTCCAAGGTCACCACGACGGCCGCGACCAGCCTGCTACAAAAGTGCTATCGGACGTTGTATGTAAGATGCTTGCAATCCAGAAAAGAGTGTCTGTTGTTCTGGATGCCTTGGATGAATCGACGACAAGAGGTGAACTTCTGCTGTGGATGAAGGACGTTGCATCCAGGCCAGAGCTAGGCCATGTCCAGCTTCTTTACACCGGTCGGCCTGAATCCGAATTCCTGCGCGGCATTTCCCCCTTGATAGGCGAGGAAAACTGCTTATTACTCAACAAGCAGGCTGTCAACGCAGATATCCGATCGTACGTCACAGCACAGCTTTCAAAACGACATGATTTTCAGGACAAACACTTGTCGCAGAATCTCCTCGAGCAGATCCGAAACAAGGTTGGAGACGGGGCCGATGGGATGTAAGCCGTTGCTGCTTTCGATCGATATCCTCATGGTTTGCTGATGCTCTGCTTAGGTTCAGGTGGGCGTTCTGTCAGTTGGACAGCCTCGCCCGGTGTCGCCATGAGGCGGCTGTTGAGACGGCTCTGGCAGCTTTGCCGCGGGACCTTGATGAGACGTACCGGCGTATGATTGAAAGCATACCGAAGGAGCTCAAAAACGATGCGATACGCCTCCTGCAATTCCTATTGCACTCCGAACGACCTCTCCAGCTGGCCGAGGCTATAGAAGTGATAGCGACGCAGATCGAAAACGATTCACCAGGGTTTGACATTAAGCGCCGACTGTTTTGCGACACCGACGTTCTGGATTACTGTCCCAGCTTAGCGACAGTTGTCTACGCTACCAGCAAAGAGCTGCACCTTGCCCATTTTTCGGTCAAAGAGTACCTTCTCAAGAAAGATCAGTTCAAGATTCCGAGTGCCAGCATTTCCATCACCAGGACGTGCTTAACATATCTCACTGACATCAAGGGCAGTCACGAGAAAATCAAGCGAGATTTCCTCATGGCACGATTCGCCGCGGAAGTTTGGACAAGCCATGCCGCCTCGGCTGAGAGCTCGGAAGATGTGGTTCGAGCAACATTCAGGTTCCTGGAAAACGAGATAACTTTCAAACGTTGGGGTCGGTTGTATCAGGCTGATCGGAGCGGGGTTATCAACCCCGGACCTCCACGAGGGTCTAGGCTCTATTATGCATGCCTTTGTGGGCTCGCTGTGGTGGCACAGGAATTTATTAGCAAGGGGGCGGACGTCAACGTACAGGGCGGCGAGTACGGCAACGCTCTGCAGGCCGCCTCACATGGAGGCCATGAAGAGATTGTGAAGCTGCTCTTGGAGAAGGGGGCGGACATCAATGCACAGGGCGGCCGCTATGGCAACGCTCTGCAGGCCGCCTCACATGGAGGCCATGAAGAGATTGTGAAGCTGCTCTTGGAGAAGGGGGCGGACATCAACGCACAGGGCGGCGAGTATGGCAACGCTCTGCAGGCCGCCTCACATCGAGGCCATAAAGAGATTGTGAAGCTGCTCTTGGAGAAGGGGGCGGACATCAACGCACAGGGCGGCTGGTACGGCAATGCTCTGCTGGCCGCCTCACATGGAGGCCATGAAGAGATTCTGAAGCTGCTCTTGGAGAAGACGGCGGACATCAACGCACAGGGCGGCCACTATGGCAACGCTCTGCTGGCCGCCTCATATCGAGGCCATGAAGAGATTGTGAAGCTGCTCTTGGAGAAGGGGGCGGACATCAATGCACAGGGCGGCCGCTATGGCAACGCTCTGCAGGCCGCCTCACATGGAGGCCATGAAGAGATTGTGAAGCTGCTCTTGGAGAAGGGGGCGGACATCAACGCACAGGGCGGCCACTATGGCAACACTCTGCAGGCCGCCTTACATCGAGGCCATGAAGAGATTGTGAAGCTGCTCTTGGAGAAGGGGGCGGACATCAACGCACAGGGCGGCCACTATGGCAACGCTCTGCAGGCCGCTTCACATCGAGGCCATGAAGAGATTGTGAAGCTGCTCTTAGAGAAGGGGGCGGATATCAACGCACAGGGCGGCTGGTACGGCAACGCTCTACAGGCCGCCTCAGATGGAGGCCATAGAGAGATTGTGAAGTTGCTCTTAAAGAAGAGGGCGGACATCAACGCACAGGGCGGCCACTATGGCAACGCTCTGCAGGCCGCCTCACATCGAGGCCATAAAGAGATTGTGAAGCTGCTCTTGGAGAAGGCGGCGGACATCAACGCACAGGGCGGCCACTATGGCAACGCTCTGCAGGCCGCCTCACATCGAGGCCATAAAGAGATTGTGAAGCTGCTCTTGGAGAAGGCGGCGGACATCAACGCACAGGGCGGCCACTATGGCAACGCTCTGCAGGCCGCCTCACATCGAGGCCATAAAGAGATTGTGAAGCTGCTCTTCGAGAAGGCGGCGGACATCAACGCACAGGGCGGCGAGTATGGCAACGCTCTGCAGGCCGCCTCATATGGAGGCCATGAAGAGATTGTGAAGCTGCTCTTGGAGAAGGGGGCGGACATCAACACACAGGGCGGCGAGTATGGCAACGCTCTGCAGGCCGCCTCACATGGAGGCCATAAAGAGATTGTGAAGCTGCTCTTGGAGAAGGGGGCGGACATCAACGCACAGGGCGGCTGGTACGGCAACGCTCTGCTGGCCGCCTCAGATGGAGGCCATGAAGAGATTGTGAAGCTGCTCTTGGAGAAGGGGGCGGACATCAACGCACAGGGCGGCTGGTACGGCAACACTCTGCAGGCCGCCTCAGATGGAGGCCATGAAGAGATTGTGAAGCTGCTCTTGGAGAAGGGGGCGGACATCAATGCACAGGGCGGCTGGTACGGCAATGCTCTGCTGGCCGCCTCACATCGAGGCCATGAAGAGATTGTGAAGCTGCTCTTGGAGAAGGGGGCGGATATCAACGCACAGGGCGGCTGGTACGGCAACGCTTTCTTCGCTGCTTCGGAAGAGGGCCATCAACAGATTGCAGAACTGTTCCTGGAAAAGGGAATCGATGTTATTTCGACCGATGACAACGGCCACACACTTCTCTCGCGGGCCGCCCAACACGGGCACAAAGCAGCCGTCAAGTTGCTTCTCGACACAGGCCGGGTCGAAACCGACTCGAGAGATAACGATGGCCGGACACCACTATTATGGGCCGCAGAGAACGGTCACTATACGGTGGTCAATATGCTCCTCGACACAGGCAAGGCTGATGTCGCTACGGAAGACTCTCGTGGGCTTATTGCCCTACAATTTGCGGCTTTTCGCTGTCACACAGCCGTTGAAGAATTGCTGATAGCAAAGGGCTCCCAGGTTCCATCGGACTTTTATGGCTTGGAGGCACTTTTTTCTTAGACCAGGCATTTTAGACTAATCGTACGCCATTTCGATTCATGCTTTGAGGAACAAGACGGAAGGTTCTTTGGGAAGTGAACTGTGGAGAGGTCAATAATAATTCGAATAGTATAGAGATGTATCCTACTTAGCTTTGAATTCATGATGTGCACCCTCGTTGCAGGTTCGGACATCTGCATTGTTCAGTAACGATATTTAGCGCGCCTCTGTGGCTGACTTTAGACACCGCAGCTCTCATCATAGCTTGGATGTCCCATTCCAGCGGTAGGAGCCAGGTATTGCCTCACAGAAATCCATCCGTGCTGTAGGACAGCGAAGAAGCAATGATGCCTTCGCCCTCATTGATATTTGTCGCCTTCATTTCAGGTTGCATTAAGGCCACAAGCCGAAAGTGTGTGACTCATTCATTGTTGCCTTCATCTTCAGGCTTTGTTTCGGGTATCGGTAAAATATTATTCCGTAGGTCACACAAGTGGCTTGAAAGGTTCACTGTGTTTTAAACTTATTATTTATACTATGTGGGTCCAGCCACACTCTTTGAGAGTGTGAGTGAAAGAGGAAGGCAATAATGAACATTACTGTACTACTAAGAATTACACTGTTTAAGTTTCCAATATGACGAAATTTATATAGCGGTTGCAGAAAGATACCAATAGGTCTAGTACTGGATCTACTGGGTAAATATTACGTCTAGTAATAGTCAAGCACGATGATGCGTAGCGAGTCAAGGTAATTGAGGTAACCAAGTTGTATTAATAGCTGAGTAGCCGCTCATACTAGATGTGCACTTCTCAGTGGCCTATATACCAAGTGGATCACCCAGGCTCGCGAGGCCTGGAGGGTGATCCGTTGTGATCCCGTAGTGGATCGTGCCCGGATCACCGTAGTCCCACAGTGATCCGGAGTGATCCTCCCTAATTGGTCCTGTACGTCCCGGTTCTGCCAGCCCTGACCGCCCGGTCCTGCCTGGGTCCTGGCATGGGTCGTGACATTAGGCTAGCGGCAGTTCCGTTTCTTATGGGGCTGTTAACACGGAGTTATAGACCTACGGCAGTAGCTATTAAATACCTCTATAAAAGATGGACCTAGATAGCAGAGTTTTCACTGATAGATCCCCATCTCCAAGAATGCAACAGTGCTAAATACCTGAAGCTTGTGCAGTCGGTCTCGGGCTGGCAATTTGAGGCTCCAGATGTCCCCAGTGGACGTGGCCTCATGGAGACACAGATAGCTTGCAGCCAAACACCAAATAAATTATGTCTGTAGCTCGTGCGTATTCGATTCCACGATGCACCCTGCAAAATTGAGGTCTTACAAACACAAGTGGACTACAAACACAAGTGGACTACAAACACAAGTGGACTACAAACACAAGTGGACTACAAACACAAGTGGACTACAAACACAAGTGGACTACAAACACAAGTGGACTGCAAAAATAAGTGGACTGTACTTTCAATTGTAAGTTACGACAGTTATTACAGTATGTACCAGGGCTGGAATGTATAAAGACTTGCTACTCCCTCTGATGTTGTCAGAGAGCACACAACAGTGTATCCTTTAAGCATTCACTTGCTTAGCCAACCGCAACATAACAATGCGTATTTTAATCCCCACCATCCTTCTAACGCTCTGTGCGTCTACTATGGGCTGGTCTATTAACCTTTATTCTGATGACAACTGCGAAGATGCTGAGGAATTTAGCTATGTAAGGAGCAAAATGTTGCAGGCATGTTGATTTGTAGCCTAATTTGATATTAGTATGTTTTCAAAGGCGAGGGAGAAATGTCTGACTGCATGCATGTAGCGGCAGATAAGAACTTTCCTGACGGAGTTACTTGCCGGTATTATAACAAGGACGAGGTCGAAAAATGTAAAGGCCAACTCTCCGAAATAAAGTCATGGAATATCACTGAGGGCCAAGCATCTTTTTGGGAATCTTGGATTGACGATGATAAACAAGCTCCTGATCATTGCGCGAACCAGTTGAAGGGTTTTCCAAGAGGTGGCAGCAAATTCAAGCCTCAGGGTTGCAGAAATGCCTATTATACTGTTGCATGGAGCAGGGGCTATTTTCCTTTTGAAGGCTTTCAGGCCTGGGACTAAGGCCAGTATCCTATTAAATGGCTGCTACCCTGAGACATTAGTCTTTTGTACCCTACAAGAACAAATTCTGGTACTGAGAAATTTGGTAAGATATTCAATAGATAAAGCAAAATTTAATTATGTATATAGGTATTAGTTGGTAGCTACTATATCGACCTAGTTCCCACTAGTCTTATGAACGGTATACAACATTCTCTTAACTCTGCAGTATAATACCATTTGTCAACTGCATAATCACCCGACCAAATCTCTGCTCTCTTATTATGCTCCCCCACTAATGTCTAATCTTATTTATAATGATCTTAGAGGTAATGTGGGGAGTTAAACAGAGAGTCAAAGTAAAGACAGAGGAGAAGGAGGAAGATAAGAGAGGAAGAGGAAGGAAATAGAGGGACATATACCGACCCCACATTAAAGTTTGGGCAGCTACTTCCATAGGGTTATCCTTATGCTGCAACAGGATGGGCTCATCAGACCAACTATCCTGCTGGCATAGTTGAAGAAAACCTGCCTCTATATGTTTCAAGGAACTTACTCTATTAACTGTAGGATTGTTGATCCCCAGCCTGGAAAACTGGATGCTAAGGCCCGGTCCCAGTCCCGCTATACCTCCTCAAGAAGTTTCTCAATGGCCGCAATCGCAGATTCATGGACAACTCCATGCACCTCCACCAGTCCCCTACTCTTGAAAGCAGTGCCGCTAGGAAGACCTAGTGGAGATCTGTAACCGCTGCCAGACAGATGTGAGAGTAAAGCCACTCTCTCAGATTCCGAATGTATTTCAAATACCTGGCGGGTTGCTTCCATTCTGAAATAGTACTGTGAACGGAGGCTTGGAGACCAGGGTTCCTTGAAAGACACGCAATCGGCTTCGCTAACCATCTTGAGTAGGTGTTCTGCACTATCATCTTGGTTGCCTAGCTGGAGAGTGTGTCCCCGAGTTCTGTTAGATGCTAAGTTGTCGCCCTCGGATAGCTGCCAGGCAACAATAGAGATTGCTTCAAGATCCTCTATTGCCACAATACTCCGCTTTGTCGCTATGACTACCTGGTCGAGTAAGCGCTTATAGCGCAATGATTCTAATTTGGAGAGTTCAAGTTGAACACCAAGGACCTTTGTAATTCCATTACATGCTGATACAGTAGTGTTATAAAAGACATGCAGTATCGCTAATAAAATCCGTTGACTATCTTGTTGATATACATCTCGGAAACGCCGGCAGCATTGGATTGCTGAAAACAGCGAAGTGAAGTCTGGAAGTTGGCATAGAATCTCCACCATCAGCTCGATTGGGATCTCCATTAGACAGAAAGAGTTAATATATTGTTTGGCCATGGCTCAAGGGGTAGAAAATAGTAAATAAGAAATAAGAAAGGTGAGTGTGTTAAAGGTAGTTAATAGATAGGTTAACAAATTGAATAAATTATATAGACGGTATTGCAGTCTAGTACAACCAAGTGCAAAACTGCCTTCCTCTATTACATTCATCTCTCGTAATTTCAAGTACAGGCCATCATCCTAGCAGAACACTAAAGTACATACAGAGAACCAGAATTTGACTAATTGCTCCCATAAGTTTGCGGAGTATCAACTTCTGACAAATACTTGAAGGTATCTAAAATTTAACAAGTTTATAATCGACCAATAGCCTTTGCAGTGCAATGATTTGTGTCTGGTGAAGAGGAAGGCGGTTTGTCTGGAACTATCTATTAAGGCTTAATAGCTGCAAGGTAACTGCGACTAAGCTGTATGCATTCAGTAGATTTGGCAACAGAATTACCGACAAGGGACATAAAAGGCAGCCTGTGGTCACAAACAAGATAGAAGGGCTGAGATCAATATAAGTTATACCGTCCTTACTAATATCTAGCGGCTAGATGGCTATAATGCCCTGTCTGCTCTCTTCACACTTAATTGTGTAGATTAATTTCCCTCAAGTTTTCAAATTCAAAAGGCCGCTTATATAACAACTGACTAACACCAATCATATCTAATGTGAATCCGTCTGACAATGCGTCGACCAGTTTCGTAAATGAACGGGGAATATAATTGCTTACCCATTGTTCGTCCAGAGGTCTGGCAATTTCAAAAAGTTGAAGAATTTGAGGCAGGTCTTCAAAGGCTGATTGAATTGATCCAGAAGTTATATCCTCCACACGTCGATCGAGTAATCCCCAAGGTATAATATCCCGAGTAAAGAGATGCTTGGGGATGAGCTCAATCTTGCCCTGAAGAATAAGCGACTTACAGACAGTTCCAAATGTGCAATGACTAGATAGTGTCGCAAGGACTCTACTAGACATCTGGATGTCTTGTGAGGCAGGTACAGAATATGGCAGAGGCAAAGCGCTTTCGAAACCTAATTGATGAAGAAAGGTAGCCGCCTCAGGGCTTGTGTTAATGAAAGCAAAAGATATATGCCTCTGGTATATCTTCGCACCATGTTGTAAAAGATAGGGAATCATCGTTCTCCAACTATCATTGGGTGATAGTAAAGCGTATGAAATTGGGCAGGGATCCGATCCATCCCATGCTTTGATATCAAGTCCCTTCTTTAAAAAGAGAGACACAAGTTTTTCTGAGCCTGCTGTAGCAGCCTCATGGAGAGCGGTTCTTCCGGACCCAAACTCGAGTGACGCCCCCAATTCAATAAGTAATTGAACTGTCTGGAGTTGATGTCCCCTAATGGCCAGTTCAAGTGGTGTTATGTTGAATGATGAGAATGAGGGTGTATTAACGGATACGCCATGCGCATTGACGGATACACCGTGTGCAAGAAGCTCTTCGATAATGAGATCCTGGCCGTAAGCGGCAGCGATATGGATTGGAAGCATCCTCATGATATGGAACTCTTGCATCAGTGGAATCCAAGAGAGTCTGAGTTGGCTCTTGGATAGATCTGCTCCTGCTGCTATTGCATTCTTCATGGCCGTTAAAGCCGCCCTGTTGTTGCGGTAGTTGGAGCAAATTGAGAAGACTGCTTTCGGTTCGAGAGAGTTGATATCGTCTTTGAGAATGAAAGAATTCTCAAGTTGATAAAGACGCTTGCATATACGAACAAGAACACATCTGTCTTCGATACTGCAGTAATTCGTAATCTTTCGGATAATCTCAGCAGGGAGTGTTGCAAAGGATGGAGCCAGGCAGTTATTACAAAGCGCCTATATATTATTAGTAAATCCATACCAGAACATTATAAATACATACTTTATCCGTTCTTGCTAACTCCCATCTTGTTTGATCAGATAGGGGCTGAGCGCAATAATAGCATTGCGCCTCAGATGGGCAATTTGATTCTACCCACGCTCTTTTGATAGAGGTCGAGTTCGGAGGTGTCGTCATAGTGGCGAAGGGACGAAGTGCAGAGAGGGATAAAGTAAATTAAAAAACTCAAAAGCTAAGCGAGAAGTATAGAGTGAAGTGAGAAGTGATGAGAAGTGCAGAATAAAGTGAGAAGGGTAGAGTAAAGTAGTCAGACCACCCTCCGAGGGACACGCCCCTTTATACCTCTCCCTCACCTCCATCCCGCGATCGGCCTTACTGTTCCGGTATCAAGTCACAATACCTCGTCGGAAGGCACGGCAAAGCTGTACTCCTTGTTGAGTCATGTGCCGCAACTGCCTGTATGCGGCCTTAGTAGGCCTGCCGAGGCCGCCCTCTCTGTGTCCAATGACCGTTATCTCATCATTGGCCATGAGGCTACTGGTGACCTCATAATATGTTTTATTGGTTTCGTTAAGTATTATCCCTAGATGTAGCATGATGACGCAGCTGAAGAGGACTAGAGCATCACCGCGTTTAGACTACACCTGCAACGGGTGCTTTAGCAGGCTAGAGTCCTCCTCTAATTCAATAATAACCTCCTCCAAACTTAGGGCAGCTGGCAGTGTATTACTGTATCTCGACTAACTTTTCAGCAGACCCTTTTAAAAACCAAAGCCCTCCTCTGGCTTAATAATAACCTCAATCTAGGCTTAGAATAGCTGATAGTACTTCACTGTTAGATGCTAAGTTTTCGCTCTCGGATAGCTGCCAGGCAACAATAGAGATTGCTTCAAATTCTCTATTGCCACAATACTTCGCTTTGTCGCTATGACTACCTCGCCGAGTAAGCGATTAAGTCAGCTACCCTAGTAGTTGACTGACCCAGTAGTTGATCAGCGTTCTCCACTAAAATCGGCTAAAATGCTAGTATTTAAAATTACTATATCTAATTATAAACCAGTCAGGGGTGGGAAGTGATGGAGTTCCCCACCTTGAAGGTTTGTAAACTATGAGTGACTTAAAGCCACACCAATGAGCCCCTTTTCGTCAGGCCGCTATCACGACATGCAACATTTTAAATGCAGCGCAATGGGTTTTGAGTACCTGTGGATCTTAACCCTACGGCGTGGATGCAGAAGACGGGAGCCCCACAAGCTGTTCCCATGAATATAAATACCGTAAAGTTGCACCCCTTCGTGGTTCAAATCCTGAACTCAACCACCACCTTCAAACCTCCACCACAAAAGCTGCTTACACGCCAATATTGCCCCTATTTATTCATCTTTGACTCTCTCGTTATGGCTCAGTCTAACGCTGTACCCGGACTCAGCCTGATGCAGGAGTATAAGAAATCTCTAGATTTTCAAACTCTGCTTCTTTATTATTTGGAGAACAACGAAGTCCTCCTTGATTATATGATTTGGTATTTTCTTGGAGGATATTCCCAGAATCCAAGCTGGCATGTATTCTACCCTGACTACCCGACTATTACAACACGCCAGCCTTTGAATAAGGAGAAGCCAGAAAACCTTCTGTTTATTATATCTGTTCCTGAAAAACGTCAGATCTTGGGCTATCTTAACCGCAAAGACTGCCGATTCATATTCTATGGCTTCATCCCGCCTGGGAACGTGCAGAATGAGGCGAAGAAGATTATGAACCACTGGCTGGCAGTGCAAAAGTTCCCCCTTGCAGAGGAATATGAGTTCAACCACATTGTATAGTAACATCCATCTACCATCTACTGCCCAAGTTAATCTGAAAATAGGAATGCCCCAGCGAAGATGATGGAATCCACTGTTTGCAAGTTGCCCGGGCTCTTTTGGATCAAAAGGCATCAACAGGTCTATTGCCTACTTGCGACTTTCGCCGCCAGCTCATAGCCCACCAGCAATATTTGCTTGACACGGACCGCAGTCGAATTCAGACCAAGTTGAGAAAATACTTCACAACAAAGTCTACAAGCACGGATTTCAGACAGTGGCATACACATAAGAGTAAGCAAGGTCCTTTATTCAACGATATAGTACTGACTCTATAGACTCTTTCTTTGCTAGTGCCGAGGCAAAATGGAAAAAGTCAAAAACCTACTCCGACACCCAGGGAAAATGCATTTGCAAGTCTAGTGATAGATGTGGTCCAACCTGTCTAAACCGATGTTCGATGACTGAGTGTAACGAAAGCACATGCAGTATTGGGACTGACTGCACCAATCGCATGATTACGAATCTTCAGCCCGAGAAGGTTTACGAGGCCCTGGAGATACTTGAGATACCATATCAAGGATATGGACTCGCGAGTAAGGTTGATCTGCCCGGCGAAAGTATTGTAATAGAGTACACAGGCGAGGTAATAGTAGAGTCCGAGAAGCAACGTCGTTGGGCCGAGTATAAAGACAAACAGGTAAGTTCTCCTCTCAATGCTAGTCGATAATCTAACCTCAGGCCAGCTTTACTACGTTATGAGCTTGACAGAGGGCTTCTATATTGATGCTACTGCAAAAGGAAACTGGGCTCGCTTCGTCAATCATAGTTGCAATCCTAACTGTGTTGTTAAGCGGATGATTGTGGATAGGAAGCCGAGAATAGCTTTTGAAACGATAAAAGCAATCTCTGCCGGAGATCAAATCACCATTGCTTACGATTTTGATCCCACTTATAATCCTCAGGGATGCTTGTGTGGAGAGCCCAACTGCTTTGGTATTATTGGGTATAGAGGTCAAAAAAAGAAAGGGGGATGATTATGCAGGGTCAAGGTCCAAACGCACCAACTGAACAGATATGCAAGCCGGCATTCAAGCTAGATATTGCATTTATACAGAGATGGAGGTATACAAAACCATGAGTAGTAAGGGGGATAGGCATTTAATACTAGAATAGTTAGAGGACTAAATCTTACTCTATATGCAAGAATGTAAAAAGAAACAATTGGAAGGAACTGGGTGGTGTGCCAAGCTCTATCCAATAGACCAAAAGATCAATCAGTATCCACATAAAGTGCCAAGACTGCACCACACATCTGTATATAAGGGCCCAAGAGGCTTACAAGCCCCTTAGTGCAGGGTGTCCTGTGCACATTCTTACGCAAGCCATGGGTTCAGTTACAAGCATTCTATTATTTCAGCATAAAATATGTATATTTGCACCAGTAGATTGTACCAGAGTCAAGCTATCTTAAGTGTGTAGACATCTAGAATGATATTATTCTTGTAGACAACGCTTTAAGTCCTCTTTTGCCTTCTTGAGCACCTCGTTTCGCACAGATGTCACGCAAACGACAACGCAATCAACGCACCCAGATGGGCCATATTTCTGGTGCTTGCAAAGCTGAGGCACCATTCGCACCATAGTACCAAGAGCTTGGTGGAGTTATTCTTGTTAACTCCAACGGACATGATAACATTGATTCTCCACTCAAGACTTAATTGTAACCCAGTTCTTGGGCTTGCAGCATTAACTTGCAGTCGGTTAGGGGTTGGAGGAATAAATTTCGACAGAGTCTAGATATTTCATACAGGCACGGAGGTATATAGAACGACAAGCGTGAAGTCCCGCACGGGGTCAGATGTGAAATTCTCATGTCCGTCAGCATTACTACAAGCGCCGTAGCCGCTCTAGTTGAACAAGCTGACATATGGACGCCCTTATATATCGCAGTCTCTTCATGCGCAACCCTGTGCGTCTCCATTACACCGCTGCTTCCTAAGTCTATCAGTGTAGTGTTGAAAATAGTATCTCCAAGGTGTGGTATGGGTGCGCATCCTTGTCGTGTAGTGTGGGCCCAAATCCACCTAGAGGGAGCGTATATACATTACAAAATTCATCTAATAGCCAAAATTGGCCTACGCTTGCAAACTAATGTATCCTGAACTTTTTAGAAGTTGACGAGCCGCATCTCGAGTCGTTAGTCACCATGAAGCAGGGGAATAGGGTCTGAGCTTTCCTGTACCCTTAGCCTTGCAGCAGGGGGTAGCCTGTCAGATACAAGTAAATTTAGTATGTTGCTAGTTGGGGCTACTCCGTAAATCCACATATGGCTCGCGACAATGGAGCTAGATCGACACAGCCTTGCCAGATACGGCCAGCGTAGTACTGTAGTAACTGAACATGAGTCGAAATGCGGCTTCCGGGAAGTGCTTTGTCACAGCTTTGCAGTGGTCATACGTATAATGCAAATATGTAACGACAAGAGTGATTGCATTGATCCTGCCAAGGCTCATGAGGCCCCGAACCTAGCTAGCCTTATGCCTTGGGAATGGATAGAGGCATCTGTCGCACCTAACCGGGAAACAGTTTCGCACCCTTTGTCACTTTGATTGGGCTGACGTACAAACGGCATTTGTGCGTGCACATTGGTCGAGTCATTCGCGTTGATCGATGGATGTATGATACAGTACAGTGCATCGATTATTCCACTGAAGACCTTTGCATTAATAATATAATACTTCGCTAGGCTTTCTACATAGAACTTTTCGCGGCTATACGCGCACTCTTCCTCACTCCGTCCTCTATAATGCTCCCCATGGAGGAGGACTTTGTCCCCGTATTCTGTAGTGATGGCATGTTGCCTCGGGGGTGACGAGGCTTTCCTTCCCTAGGAGCTCTCCTCGTTTGAGGTTCTGGCCTGTGCCGGGGAGAACGCCGCGTGGCCACGTTCTGTGTGTTTGATTTCGATGCATCCTCGCTGCGCTTTCTCTTTGAGTCATTTTTGGTCGGGGGGACTTTGTTCGTCACTTGCTATTGTTACCATATGTTACGATAGGTATCAATTACGCACTAACCTTGCACCCAGGATGCTACATCTGCTCTTCGAAAATTATTTGCATATTCCACGTGCCTATCTTCTGTGGTTTGTGCCACCTTGTCGAAGTACAGTAGTTTTTGCTCGACTATTGTCTGGTATGCATTCTTGTGCTCACCACTCAAAAAGTCCAACTGGGCCTTCAAAAAATCGACGTTATTGAGTTTACAATCGTTGTCGATACATCGAACTTCGTCATCTTGCAGAAAACAAATAGATTTACGGAGAACTTCCTTGCCTGCTTGCCCGAGATGCTTCAGAGCGCGTAATTTACTCTCGATTGAGCATAAAAGGTCATGGACATCGTCGATCGTGCTAGGGGTTGGAGAAGGGGCTCCTTGGTCAAGGCGGGCGAGGTTTTCGCAGTTCAGCGACAGATTGCTGGTAGCATCCATAGTGTTGTGAGAGGATGAAATCGAATGAAGGGGGAAGGAGGGAGACAGGATCTCATACTTCGGGAGCCGAGGGCATGTGGGGCCTGCGGCCAGCCAATAAACGACAGCCCACACACATGTCATGGCCTGGAAGTACACTATTGTACATTTGATAGAAATTAGCATGTTTTGCGCCATGGGAGCCCCCAGTTACGTGCCCAGCGCAACACGAAACATTCACTACCCACTGAGGTTCTATTATGGCCAGCTTATTGGCTATTGAATTTTGACTCCTCTGCTCGGCGCTTGAGATACGAATTACCACGCCCACATAAATCGTACGAAGCCCTGTCTGCATCGGCATTCTCTCTCCATCCACATTCTCACGTCGTCAACATGGCATCTGATGCGGAGGAGAAGACTTTTCTTACCTTGCAAGGGCTTGGGAGCTTCTTTCACGACCCGCGCAATAAAAAATTCAAGATTATCCCTGCCAGAGGTCTCGATGAATCTTCCGAAGATGAGGAGGAGAGAGCCACAACTTGCCCGATACTACCACCACCACTCCCGGATTTACGTCTCACAACGGATGATGAGCCCAAAAATCCACTGTTAGGTTTTCTCTTTGGCCGCTCAAAGATGTGTGATGTTCTACTGGATCAACGCGCCGTAAGGCCTATCAGTCGCAAACAATTTGCCATCCAGGTACAACCAGTCTCCCGAGACTTGATTCTGGTCAATTACAGCTCAAATGGTACCGCAGTCAGTTTTGACAACGGAGACTCGTTCATGATACTCAAGGCCGAGAAGGTGATAGCGCCAGGGGGTCGCTTCGTTATCGTGCTGGACGACTACGAACGGATCCATTTTCATTGTCCGAACCATGCAAATCTCACCAAACACTGGATCCAATATTGCCATCGCCTATCATCGCGATTTCCGAATCTCGATTCCTTGTCTCTAGACGCTGCGCCAGCCTCGAGCTGTGTTTCATCCACGAGCCCCGACTACAGGGCCCTCAAAGGCATTGGGTGTGGGCGGAGTGGATTAGTCTATTGTGTGGAATACAATCAGGAGCTGTACGCCATGAAGCCATACAAGAATGCCTATAATCCCAAATTCTGGTCGTTAACTCATGTAGGGTCCCACTGGCTTTGCTGGAATTTTGTTAATCTATTTTCTCAGGAGCACATTGTCAAAATGCATCACATCATTGAGTGGGACGACCGCCCAGCACTGATTATGAACTACTACAAGCTGGGGAGTCTTGAAAGTTAAAAAATCTCTCTCACTACCAAAGAAGCAAGCATGGCTACGCAACAAATGCTGAAGGCGTTGGTTTTTATCCACGACAAAGGCATTGGACATGGCGACCTGAAACCTGCCAATGTCATGGTGCAATCTCGAGGCCCAATCCACGTCAGAGTCAACGATTTCAATAACGCCTTTCAATATTCCTGACCGGATAATTTGTTTGTATATAGCTTTATGCTGCCCCTGAGATCTTTGAAGATGAATGGGGCATGAGAATAGATGTTTTCCCAATGGGCCTCATAGCAATGAAGCTCTTCTATTACCTACCACAGTACCCGAATCAGGAGTCTACTCCACTTCAACGTGTTCAACAATGGCTATCGACGCTCAAGTTGCACCTTGATCAGCCAAAAGTCTCTAGACTGAAAACGATCAAGTTTCTCTCCAGTGTGCTACAGCCAGACGCAAACGAAAGGCCAACCGCAATAGAGTGCCTTCAACATCCAGTTTGGGGGTTAAGTCAATACGAATATGAGCTAGAGGCAGATAAACTGATCTCCTGGAGACCTTGTCCTGATGAGTCAGATATTGTGGAGGATAACGACCCAACACTTGTGGACACCACGCTGTTTAGTAAGTAGAACATCTGACACGTAACTCAACTCGTCAGCCATGAACTCACAACGAAGGTACAGTACCTCGCGATCCTGGCAAGGCTCTGACTCCAGAAGTCACAATTATGAGACCGCAGCGTGCACATAAGACAGGAAGTGGGGTTTCCGGTGCAGGAGGTGCCAGGCATAGGACCGAAACTGGCAATTCTTATCAGGTAGCTCAGGCAAGGATCACAAAACCACGGGATAGGGTGCGAAGACACAGGAGTCTCTGGGACAAATTAACCCATGTAGTCGGCTATTTGGGATTAGATATGGAGAGCTCCTATGTGGATTGATAAATCCGCTAACGATCACAAGGCCCAATTCAAATCGCATGGCAGTTGTCTCAGAGCATGCTGTGGGGACGGTGGGACTCAGAAGAATGTCCGATAGTGTACAAGAAGGATACTGGGAGCCCAGGTGCAGATATCATTTAATAATTACACCGTTTCGCAATTCTTACAGTACCTATTGAGCCTGTTTAAATTGTGTTTAAGCTGACTGAGTCGTTTATTGGCCACTCTTACGCCTGTATTGAGGTTGTTTATATCTTTAGAAACTTTAGATCAACGATGCTCAGTCGTGAGCAGTATCAAGAACTAACTGAGCCTGGCAATTCTGTATAACTAGGAGATGAAGTAGAAGTTTTTGGCACCTCTTTAGAGTCTGTGGATTGCCAGTGGCCAAAAACAGAACTGTTCTAGCTCTTCAGCACTTATGAGGTCTTGGCACAGCCCATGGCGTAGTCATATGCAGATGTAAATGCCTGGAAGCCCAATCTCCTAGCTGAGACGTGATACTTAAGACGGGGTTGGGCTTGAAGTCATGCACGGGCTCGATTACAGGGATAGTCCAGAACAATTTGGAGAAGGGGGGAGACCCCACTGCTATCTTAACAAACCCTTCCAGGGTGTTCCCATGCATATAAATACCTCTTCTGCTTCCGCTATTGCACATTATACTCTTCGATAGCGTGGAAATCGTTTATCAAACGCATCGGAAACTCAGAAGTCGAGGAAAGATTCAATATCTGCGTTCCTCAATGTCAACGACCAAGAAAGTCAAATCTAAGTATGACGCTTTGGGCGATGCACCCGGGATCCCAAAGATCTTGGAGACACTCGGCTACGATAAAGATATTGACAAGGCAAAGTTGGTCGAGAGCATATGGCCGTTTCTAGATACCATACTCGACCTCACAAGATGGTCTAACCTGAGTGACATAGCAGGTCGGAATAAAAAAGCAGAGGAGTTTTTAGATTCCGAGGGTGCCTCCTTCTGGCCGACTACACATTCATCTAGAAACCTTAAGTACCCAAAGGACCGCGAGACGTAAGTTGAACGATGCGTATTCTGGTTAATGTCAAGACTAACCTTAGGGCTAGGATCAAACAGTTCATTGTTGTACTATTCTATCGAATGCTCAACGGGGAGTCATTATGTTATCCAATGACTCGCCAAAACTCAATAGCACAATGCTCCATGCGCTCCACCCAGCTAGTTGAAGAAAACAATCAGGGACACAGCAGTCATGCAACTGAGGAGCAGGATCTTCGCAACCGCTTCTCGTTGGGAAATTCTCACGATGTGGCCACTGGGTCAGTATATACCCCGTATCATTATCCAGTTCGACCACTAATGGCTTGGTAGAGACGGTGCCTCACGTGCATCCCAAGCGTCCTTGGCGTTTTCAGGTCAGGGTGGCAATGACTCTGTTCCGGACTCGGGGCAGACATCAATAAATGGCGGAGACACGCGAGAATCGCATTCTTCTGTCAGTTTGATGTGATCTTATCCCTATCGATTGGAAGCTAATTCATACAGTACCAGGCCCGAAGGTCTCGGAAACGCCCTCCCTCAGATCAAGACGCAGAAAGCCATTTGACAAAAAGAACGCAGTTGCGCAGTCAACAACGCGATGAGTCGCATCACCTCGAGCTAGTGAACTTAGATGCTTCAGCGCCGACCTCCCGCCAACCGATTCATTATCCTTCCCCCGTCCCCCTGTCGTATTCCACAGGAACCACAGGGCTCATGCCAGTCACAGATGCGCAAAGAGATGTATTACTTCTCCGTGAGACGCCTCCGGCCGCGCAGTACCAAAATCTCACCTGTGGTGTTGGAGACCAACTCACTCTGTCAACAGCCACCAACAGCTTCCCATCTACACAGAACAGAGGTGAATACCATTTTCTTACTTCTAATAAAGGCCAATAGTTAACTAAGGACTAGATGAGCCTGAGTGTGTCTTTCACTTTAGTATTAACGAGTCACCAAATGAGAATTGGCTTTGGGAATCCAATGGACAATTCTGGACTACGCCACTTCAGGAAATTGTTTCGCTTCTCCACTCTCCCAGTCAGAGGCTGAGATTTACGCTCAAGAAGCACTCAAACAAAAATTCAGCTGCAAAAGAACATCACGCTGAAGTTGGCATCAATAAAGGGGAGGAGTTTAGGAAGATACAAATGTTTTTTCGGTTGCAGGTAAATAACTATATTTGGATGGACCAGAATTCTTCTTGGATTCTAGAGTTTGAGATTATTCTTACTCCTTTATAGTATCTCTCTCGCGACTGTTGGTTCACCCATGATACTTCCGTCGAGGAAGGGTATACCGGTAGAATGGAAATTTTCTTTTTTTTCTTCTTTTTTTTCCCTCCCAGCTCCTGTGCCCGCAGCCGCTCCTCAGCGTCTTAAATAGCCCATCCGCACGTCTAATCCTGCAGGTCCCCAACAATCTGGTACGTAGGATTCGCAGAGCGCCCGTCGCCGCCCTCATGTCCAGCCCGTATGCCCTAGCGGCCTTGGTTCCACGGTGGAGCTCAACCTAACGGTAATAAATATTGCCTACGGCACGGGTAAGCAGATCGAAGCCTTGTAGACCGGAATACGACGCTCTATTATGAAGCGCCGAGCTAGGATATGAAATGCACCACTCGCCATGGATGGAATGAGATGAAATCATACAAAAAAAGACATTTTAGACAATGACGCTGCATGCAAGATTTAGGCTGCTGGTGTTGGCTGACTATTCCATCTTGGGGTCTCTACAAAAAGTGCAAATGACTAAAATCGATTATAGCCATAGGATATATTTACTCTCCCTCTTATTAGTCACAGCGTGATCCCTATTATAGTAACAGAGATCCATCACCATAAGTCCAAAAAGTGATTCCTGCTGATAGTAACAGACAAGCTATCTCCACTCTGGGTCCAAAAATTGATCCCTGCTATTAGTAACAGACAGCTATCTCCACTATAAATCCAAAAGTGATCCCTGTTGTTAGTAACAGACAGCCATCTCCACTACAAGTCAAAGGTAATCTGTGTTGTTATCAACAGACAGCTATGTCCACTTTGAGCAAAAATTGATCCCCGCCCTGCTGTGAGTAATAGACAAGCTATCTCCACTATGAAAATCCCTGTTGTGACTAACAGCCAGCTATCTCCACTATGAAAATCCCTGTTGTGACTAACAGCCAGCCATCTCCACTATAAATCCAAAAGTGATCCCTGTTATTAGTAACAGACAGCTATCTCCACTGCAAGTCAAAGGTAATCTGTGTTGTTAGTAACAGACAGCTATGTCCACTATAAGTCCAAAAATTGGTCCCTGCAGTTGGTGTCACGACCCAGGCTAAAGCATATGTCAGACACGTGACCGCGTAATTGAGGTTGATTCCCTACTCGGGCCGCACTTCACTGAGGCTAGGGCTGGTGAGCGGGGTAGATTTGACTTCTGTTGGATTGAGACCTCGTGTGGCGGCATAACCTGCCTGATCCGGAACGCCGGATCTGGTAATAAGCCGGATACGGCATAGTAACAACGCCGGATCCGGATCCTTTGACACCCGGATCTAGATTCCTTTGAGTATAAAACAAGGCCCCTATAACCCTCAATCAATGTAAGAACGACCTTCGGAAGATATATCATTTGATCAATTACTTCTGCTATATGCATATAGCAAATTGCGTATCCAACAACTTCCAGTGTTGTGTTGTGTCACGTGACTATAACGCATGCGGACTAGCTGTCTTCCACTCCCTGGGTTGGGATTGCCCTTGAACATCACGCTGGTTAGAATCAATTGCGAGGCAAATCAGCAAGGGTTGCCCGCTTCCACCATGTCAGACAGCCAAAATAGGTACACTCGGCTTTTTCTCTTCCAGTGCGAGTTCTTCGTCTCATTCCCCATAACGCAGGCCACTCCTACTTCACTAACATCCTCCCATAGTGCTCTTTTTACAGACCGTCAACCAACGCGCAAACTGTGCGATATGTCATACTGTTACGGCCGCTGGTATGGGAAGAAGGACAAATATAGGTTGCCCATTGACGAAGTACGAACGAGTATGCCCGTCTACGCTGTGACAGAGCTAACCTCGTCCACGCAAAGGAGGAGACCGATCGGCTAGATATATTCCACAAGTTCTTCCGAGTAGCGCGTCATGGAAGGCTTTTCTCAGCTTCTTTGGATATGACAGAACCGTTGCAGGTCCTCGATCTCGGCACAGGCACGGGAATATGGGCCACACAGCTGGCTGAGTGCGTCCGCTCTAGAAATGGTCGCCCTGGCCTTAATCTAACGAACTGCCATAGTGAATATCCTCATATAAGTGTACAGGGCCTCGACCTCCATATGATACAGTCCCGGATGTAAGTGCAGCGAATAGATATCATTCTTCGCTGACTCATACCGTGGAGGATTCCATCCAATATGAAACCTCCAAAGCTATTTGACCTTGAGGATTCTTGGGACACAATTGGCCTTGGCTGGGACTTCATACATGCCCGAACACTCTTTGGCAGTATTGAATCTTGGCCGGATATGTACCAAAAGATGATCACGTTAGTTCAACCCTCTACGGAGCCCGTCCGCTAGCCTCAACTAACCCACGGTCAGGCACCTCAAGCCTGGGGGCTACATCGAGCATATCGAAATTGATTGGGACCCTCAATGTGACGACAGCTCTCTTCCACCAAACAGTTCTCTAAGTCAATGGGCTAAAAAACTTCTCGATGCAATGGATCGGTATGGCCGCCCAATGAAAGTGGATTCTAAAGAAACACAACGCCAGCTTGGAGTAGCTGGCTTCACAAACATTAGTGAAACAGTCATCAAAGCGTATTGCAATGACTGGCCTGAAGATTCTCATGACAAAGAAGTGGGTAATTGGTTCAATTTTGGATTCTCTATTGGTCTCGCGGCTCTGTCATACGCAGCTATGGTCGAGACGCTAAGGATGTCCAAGGAAGAAGTGGAGAGTCTTTGCAATGAAGTCAAGAGTGAGATATGTACGCGAAGTTATCACGCATATTGTACAATGTAAGTCTTCATATACGCAGCTTTCGGGGTCATCGCTGACGGCCGATGGAGATATATTTGGACAGCAAGAAAACCGGAAACAGCTTCTAACAACTCTTCAGCTTGTTCAAGCTGACCCGTTCATTACTGTAACTCTATCACCACATTATAGCCGAGCTTCCTGATACCCCAACATCCATTTTTGACCTTTGACAAACTGGACATTTGACTGAAACTGGACATTTGACTAAAACTGGACGATTGGCTAAAACTGGACATTCGACTAAAAACGGATCTCGTCTCATTTCTTTCAAAGAAGAGTAAATGGTGCCCTCTGGAGGCAGCTTCAGTAGTTTCTCTTCACACTCGGCCGATAGAGCAGATACATCTCGTTTATCTGACTTGAACTCTGTAAGTCTGCATTTCTGTACAGTCATGTTCACTATCGCCTTCCTCTCCGGATCTCTCTTCCCCTTCTGTCAGGCACGACGCATGGACCAGCGGTACTTACGGGTACCTAGGAATACATAATTCTATTGGAGGGGTCAGAAGTGGCTGACTCTACTGGGTAATTTTGCCTGTGGAGTAATCAATGATCCGAAAATGGCTTTGAGAATAAGTCTTCTAAGGTAATACAAAGTACATAGCAGCGCCACAGCTTACATAATAGATCAAGACAGTGCCGTCCACACTGCAAGGTACATGGCACCTAGATTTCAGGGACGCTGGGAGAATTAGTACCTGTATCTCGTGACTGTCCACGTGATATAGCGGAGTTCATCGCCGCTGCCTTGCATCCTAGCTTGCATTGCGTCGCATCAAAATCTCAAAATCATGCACTACATAAGAGACGTAAACTGTAGGCGGTCTGCCCAGAAGAGCCTTGAGGAACGAAGTCACGGACGAGGAGCACCAGCGCATCTCGGGGTAGCTTCGTTGCCGCCTGGTCCAGGACTCTGATGACCCCCAAGATGTTGTAGATGACTAGCAAAACTGTTAGCTCGATGGCCCAGCGTGACAGAGGGCAAGATGAGCGAATACCGACTCTGCTGCCTTCCCATTCTGCCTCCGCTTCGAGAATCGTCAGCGATCTCCATCTGTTAAGAACAGGCCCTGTACTTCAAGCAGCCAGACTTTGTGGCCTCTGGCCAACTGGACGTCATACATGTGGACGAGGACGACGAGCCAGCAGGCGGCAATTATTGGTGCGGCGAGTGTGAGGCAGAAGCAAGGTTGGGCCATCACACCAAATTTCATTGGACATAGGGTCATTCAGCTCTGTGTTGCTCACGACCGAAACGGAGACCGTAATTACTTCGTGTACCTCCGCGCAGCAAACGGGATGCAGCCTTAACGTGATGGCCACCGGGGCTCGCCAGCGTGTTGCACGTCAACCCCCCAGAGCTCGTAACCGCACTGTACGACACAGCTCCTGCCCCCGGTCTAGAGGTATCAGGGATGGGCCTAGTTCTATCCATGCTACCCGCCCTTCTTGTCTGCGTCGCCGCTGTCATGTACCTGTGGCTCCCCCACGGGCCTTACTAACAGGAGATGTGGTTCTTATAACCTACCAGCGGGCCGAACGTCATGCAAGGGTAAGTGCTCGGTTGCCATTTGTCATGCCAGCATGATAAGCCGACAACTCTAACCCAGGGCTCGCTTGTCCCACACCGCGCAGTAAACAGCTTCGCAGCAAGTACAAGCATAGACCCTGCTTGTTTGTTAGGGCCACCGGGCGGAGCCCGGCACTTCGGCCCGTCCCTCAGCCGAAGGCGAAGTCTGCCTCCTCCTGCAGGCGACACCTGCCATTGAGTGCTTTGCCGCCGCTCATGCAACCCACAACTGAATTGTCCGGCGACATACCACCCGTAAAAATGCCGAAGCCACGTCGCTTAACGCGATCCATTCACTATCATGGACCAAACAAACTGTCTTCTGCTGATTCTCAGGTAAGCCGTGGCTTGCGCTCGGTCGCCAATACCCCCCCCTTCTTTATTTCCCTCCCCGTCAGCGCCAATATTCGAAGGCCGTTGTTTGCTTTTCCCCTGTATCTCACCTGAAAACTAAGCCTCGCGTCACACGCCAATGCAAGAAGCGCCTCACAATCACGTTTCCCTTTTCTTTGGTTGGTAGCAGACTGTTGCTGCATTGACGGCTGGTATCAAAGGACCCGGCGATCCTTCCCCGATCGGCTTCTTGCAGCATTAGGTGCCGCTGATTGGCGACGCCTTGTCAATATGGACCGGGTGGCTTATGATGCCCAAGCCTCGCCTGACGTGTCAATGCGTCTTCGGGCACGAAGCATAGGAGCTCCATTTCTCGACCAAGCTTGGAGTCGCAAAAGTCCTGTCCTGTACCAGTCTCAAGTCCACACATTCGGCACCTGAACGGTAGCAACCTGAGCTTCTAACGTGCAGTTTCGAACATGTTCCTTGCTGCTTGCTTCTGCGGCCTTCTCGGCCTCCCGGCTGTCCGCGCGGACGGCTGGGATGACTTCTCGAATAATCTCGCAACCGATCTGGCACCGTTTCTATCCCTCTTCGGCGAGCAGATCACGAAGCAATACCTCAGCGAAAGCATTACTCCGCTTGATTATTTCATATTCGCAATGGCACCCATGGGCATCCTGACGGCAGTCGTCTCTGCGATTCGCGTGTGCGGGAGCCCGTCGCTGCGCGCCTTCGTCGGCAGAGCGCAAGAAGGGGGAGGGAATGCGGAGGCCGAGTTGTGTTCCTCAACGAGCCGCGATGTGTGCGAACTCTACAACAACGGTGGCATTGCGCGTGTCTTCGGTCGCCCAAAGATCCTAGAAGTCGTTTACGACCAAGATCTGTCACCAGGTGATTTCGAGAAAGAAGGGAAGGCGGGAATATACACGTTTCAAGAGTATCTCGAAGAAAAAGGCAAGGACAAGTGGTATCGACGCAAGGACAAGTGGTATCGGTGCCATTGGAAAGACAATGAGGACGTGGAGCGGGACCCAAGCCAGGAACCCCCTCACCCGGCATTTGCTCCGAATCTCTCTCTCAACATTGGGATCCAGAAACAAGACCCAGCCGTTTTCTGGACAGTCGCTATTGGCGGCTTCATTCTGCAGGCTGGTGTTTTGGTTTTTGCCGTCATTGTGACGTACTATCTACAATGGGAGAAGAACGGCAGTCGTCCAGAATCGTATGCCTGCCCACTGGTTATCATTGGAACTCTTCTTGTTTGCGGCGGGATCTTTCATTGCGCATTTCTTGTGGGCCAGAGTACCGACGAAGAAATTTGGCGTAAGAAAGAGAGCCACGGATCGTCATCGTCCATATATTGGGTGCAGCCTGGAGGACAAGTTCTTGGGGATCAAACATTTGACCCATTCTCCTACGGTGATTGCGATGCACCTCTGCAAGAATACATCACCTCATGGAAGAAGCAATCAAAAAATTCGGAACTCGCCGTTTGGGCAGCTGTTGGTACCACTATCTCTGGCTTTGTGCTGCAGTTCATCGGCCTACGGGCCATACATTCAGCAATCTCCGTGGCCCAGCTTGGTGCGATAATGGTGATGAGTGCGGCACGGGCAGCACTCCGTATGCAGCGGTTGAAGCCGGATGCTAACTCCTTTGCCAAGAACCCGGACGAGGTTGTCGGGCACGAGCTTGACTGGCTTACCCTGCGCATTGGCCGAAAAGATATCCAACAAGACCTAGGTCTTTCACCTGGTCCATCCCCTGTTTCATCATCTGCTTCATCACATCATGATTCTCCACGTTACCTTTGGAGATTCTGTGGTGTCCCCGATCCGACGAACAGAATCAGACCAGAGGCTCCATCCTCTTCCGATGGCCTAAATGCTGCAGTCAAATTATTAGCCTATCGGACTCGTCTCGCACAACTTACAGAGTCACTTGCCACTCAATCGAAGTCCGCGATCCCTGCGAGGAATTTCGAGATCGAAATGGTCGAGGTCCGACTTGAGGCTCAGCAACTCGCTGTGGCCATGGAGTCTGCTGTCAACACGATATTCTCGACAAGCACCAAGATCAAAGACGAGTGGGAGAGTGCTGAGTCCATGCAATGGGGTATTATCTGCGACATCTCTGAGGAACGACCAATACATTTTGGACAAGACAAAGCGCCTGCAGAGCCTCGAAAACAGCACATCCTGTACTTGCAACTTAGTCGTGATACAAATCGTTCAATCCCTTGGAGGCTCCAAAACAGACGGGAGCTGGAAGGGCTTTTGGGGCTGTGGATTTGGTCACTGAAGTCTGATCCTGCAGTTGAGAAACCAGACGCACAAAGTGGCCTCACAAGTTCTCGCGCAGCTGAAGTTCCCGCACAACGTATTGTTGCAACCAACCAAAATATCGCAGACCTGAGGGTATGGCTTGGGGGCAAGACTTCCGGTCAGAAGAAAGACGCACTTTGTCTTGGATTCACGGATCTCAGCAAACCAGGCAGCGTCTGGAAACTTAACGGATCTAACTATGAGCCTCTCCGAAATCGCCTACCTAAGAACTTTCAATCTGATTCACTAATTCGGTTCTTTGGTTGGCACGCAGCAGAGTTGCCTCATGCCCCCGACCCATTCGAGGTTTGGTCAGCTCCTACAAGCAGCTCTCTTCTATCCCTTTGCGTCCAGGAAGTGTTCGGGTCATTTATCAAGAGCATTCTTGACGTTGTAGATGACTTTGGCAGCATAGACATTCAACAAGAAACGCAGCATTTTCGCCTGGAAAACAACTTGGTGTCTGAGCTGGCAAACTTGTTCACCGAAAGCCAGTTAGGCCCGAGAGAGGATGCCTTGTTGTGTGTCTTGCCTCCGATTATATCTCGACTGACGCTGTCCTCCGCAGGAAGTGCCTTAGCAGCAGCTAGGAAAAGTGCGAATCAGCATCGAAGGCGTGATGAGTGGATGCAGGCAGAGACAGTGCTGAGATGGGCATGGAGAATTTGCACCGAACCTCAGCCTTCTCGGGCAAGTGCAGACCGGCCGATCCTCGCGCATAAACATACCGAACGAGCAGCAATTGCATTAGGCGAGATATACCGGTGGGCGTTACAAGGTAACGATACAACAAAAAAGTTCGGCCTCGACGGTATTAAATGGCTCTCAGGCCAGAAATCCGGCCGCAGTCAACCACTCACCGTAGCTGTTGACAAGATCATAGATCGTTACAATGGCATTGCAGGGAAGGTTGACACACACGGAAAAGACGTCAGTGGTGGCGGACTTCTCTCGGCGATTGGAGACGGCTTAACTGCAACCTTACTCTACCTCACTCGGTCGACTTCAATGGCAAACGAAAAAAACGAAGAAAAAGGAAAAGCCCTTTGCTCGGCGGCGAAGCACGGTTGGTCCGAGGTGGTGCTTGCGTTGCTCGAATTAGGTACAGAACCGGACTTCAAAGACACAAATAAAGATTCAAGAACAGCACTGTCCCACGCCGCGCAAAGCGGGAGCATCGACACTGTGAAGGAATTAATGGATTGGGGGGCCTTCCCAAACTCGGCAGACGCCAAACACCGGACACCTCTGTCATATGCATCAGAAATCGGACGCAGCTCTGTAGTTGAGATATTACTAAGAGATCGACGTGTCGACCCGGACGCCAAGGACGACGACGGACAGACGCCGCTGTGGCAGGCGGCCAAGAAGGGGCACGAGGCGGTCGTCAAGCTGCTGCTCGACACCGGCAAGGTCGACCCGGACGCCAAGGACGGCGACGGACAGACGCCGCTGTCGCAGGCGGCCGTGAACGGGCACGAGGCGGTCGTGAAGCTGCTGCTCGACACCGGCAAAGTCGACCCGGACGCCAAGGACCGCGTCGGACGGACGCCGCTGTTGCAGGCGGCCGAGAAGGGGCACGAGGCGGTCGTGAAGCTGCTGCTCGACACCGGCAAGGTCGACCCGGACGCCAAGGACGGCGTCGGACGGACGCCGCTGTTGCAGGCGGCCGAGAAGGGGCACGAGGCGGTCGTGAAGCTGCTGCTCGACACCGGCAAGGTCGACCCGGACGCCAAGGACGGCGTCGGACGGACGCCGCTGTTGCAGGCGGCCGAGAAGGGGCACGAGGCGGTCGTGAAGCTGCTGCTCGACACCGGCAAGGTCGACCCGGACGCCATGGACTTCGACCCGGACGCCAAGGGCCGCGACGGACAGACGCCGCTCGGATGGACGCCGCTGTGGCGGGCGGCCGTGAACGGGCACGAGGCGGTCGTGAAGCTGCTGCTCGACACCAGCAAGGTCGACCCGGACGCCAAGGACCGCGTCGGACAGACGCCGCTGTCGCGGGCGGTCGTGAAGCTGCTGCTCGACACCGGCAAAGTCGACCCGGACGCCAAGGACCGCGTCGGACGGACGCCGCTGTTGCAGGCGGCCGAGAACGGGCACGAGGCGGTCGTGAAGCTGCTGCTCGACACCGGCAAGGTCGACCCGGACGCCAAGGGCGGCGTTTTCGGACAAACGCCGCTGTGGCAGGCGGCCGAGAACGGGCACGAGGCGGTCGTGAAGCTGCTGCTCGACACCGGCAAGGTCGACCCGGACGCCAAGGGCGGCGTCGGACGGACGCCGCTGTCGCGGGCGGCCGTGAACGGGCACGAGGCGGTCGTGAAGCTGCTGCTCGACACCGGCAAAGTCGACCCGGACGCCAAGGACCGCGTCGGACGGACGCCGCTGTTGCAGGCGGCCGAGAAGGGGCACGAGGCGGTCGTGAAGCTGCTGCTCGACACCGGCAAGGTCGACCCGGACGCCAAGGACGGCGACGGACAGACGCCGCTGTCGCGGGCGGCCGAGAAGGGGCACGAGGCGGTTGTCAAGCTGCTGCAAAGGCGTCCTTAACCACCTCCCCGCCCACCACCTGCCACCCGCCACCCGCCACCCGCCATTCGCCATTTTTTATATACTCCTTATGGGTGGCAAATGGAGGGCCATAGAAGGTGACAAATTTTCTTATTATGTTGTAGAAGCAAAGGAATACTAAGCGGCAGCTGGGTCTTAAGTTTTACATCATGAATTTGCTGAGTCATTTAGGATAAATAAGCATCATAGCCTTAATCCACGAAATATCTCACTGAAGAAAATGGAGAACATCTGGTTTGCTTACAGTAGTTCTATATCCCGACTGAACTCTTTATCCCACTCCCCCTCAAGAACGGACTCAGACCTACATCCCCCAAATTATTAGTCGAGTCTGCCCTGATTTGCGTCAGCTGCAGTGCTCGTTTGCCATCACTTGCATCCATTCGCCCTTCTAAAAAGTACCGATCCTCGAAACAACCAGCGCAGTAGACGTGCTTGCATAACGTATGCATCGGGTTCTCGGCTTCCATCCAAATGGTACAGTCGCTGAGACCTCGGGAACGGGCCAGAGAAAGCGGCCGTGGCAACAGCATGACGTCTCCCGCAGGGGGCCGCCGTTTGCAGCCGCGTTTGCGTGTACCGATTACAAGGTGCAGGCGAGGACGCTAGATTAGACCGGGTGGTTCTGGAGCTGCGGGGGACGAGAACGACCAATGTCAGCGGCCAGGCGGTTCCGAGTACATGTGTCCCATACAGCCTATCCCTGAGAGTGGCATAAGCCTCCACTTAAGTACCAAACAGGGGGGTCCAGCCAACCAGAGGGCAACAAATCAAAGGTACATTGATTCCTACCTATTTTAGCTGGTGCCAGAAGTCCCAACAATTGCCTAGTCTACAAAGCTACAATACACTCTTGACAACGGTATCGTGACTGAGGCGCCCGACGGCTGTTACCGCTGACAGAAGACAACGGCGCCCTCACTTTGCGCCCGCGAGTCTCGCCAATTCGGCACCCCTGACAGGCAAGGCATTCCGATTTTCCTTTGCGGGCGAGATTGTGCTGCGAGACAGGCGTAAATTCGTCTCCAGTTCGAAACCTCTTTCTAGACTGCGTCTCTGACGCATAGGTCTCAATAAGGCTATAGACAACCTACTGCCGCCATTCTTCCTGACTGTCCTTTGGCTTCCATTGCGGCTGCCCTCTTTGCTGCAAAAGGAAGCTGTTAACTAGGGCTATTTCTAGCAGAAAGTCCCAAGCTAGAGCCTTCCAACCACCCCTACAAGCATGGCGGTCAGGGCTCCAATAGGCCCGCATTTGGTCGCCGCGGTCTACTGCGTTCATTTCGTTATTGTAGGTAGCAGCGATGGATGGGATAGAAATCTCTTTGACTTGGTCATCGCCAAAAAAACGCTGTATCAGCCGTGCTTGGATTTGGTCTGTTGTCGGCCTCTTCCGTATGCAGTCACTTCTTTCATCACCTGTAAACACAGTTAACAGGAATAGCACGAGAGCATTATCTTTCCATGCGATCTGATTGACTTAGCCGAAGACAAATTAGTAGGCAAAAACAACATAACTATGTCTTCCTGACTGACCTGGTCATCAGCCGTAGGGACAGCCTTTAGGACGTTAAATCCGAGGTTGCCGGCAGCCGTGTTATCCGTAGCCTTTAGCTTGATGAGAGATATGTGTAAGCCACAGTTACGGCGGGCTGTGCCTGTGCGTAGCGTACGGTTCGTGTCAAGCAGCGGCCAAGTTTGGCGATGTCTTCGTCTTTAATTTCCTCCTCGTTTCTTAACTTACTGAGAATAATGTCCTGGATGAGGATACGCGAAGTGGCTGGTAGATTTGGAGCCATCCTGGTTGATGTAACTGTAGAGAGCAACATGGTCGAGCGAAACAAAGCGTGTGACTCGCTCATTGTTGCCTTGATCTCCAGGCTTTGTTCTGGGTATCAGTAAAAACTTTATTTCGTAGGTCGCACAAGTAGCTTTAGAGGTTCACTGTATTCAGAACTTATTATTTATACTATGTGGGTCTAGTGACACTCTTTGAGAGTGTAAGTGAAAGAGGAAGGCAATAATGAACATGACTGTATCAGTCTGGTGCTCAGTTCTACTCCGTAAAGTCTTTTGCGGTGCTGCATCGAATGCTAACCTGCTGCAAGCATTGATCCCGTCTCGTGACCCGCTAATTCCTGTTCAAGCCGCGGGTCCATAGGGATATATTCGTCTCTACCAGACGAAAAGTCCTTGGTGCGTTTAGATGGCGAAGCATCAGGGCTGCTGCTGAAAGGGTTTCGCCTTTTTCCCAGTTCGGCCTTTGCTTTCTGTGGAGAGGGCTCCTTCCTCATCGCAGTAGTACTGTCAAACGTAGCCTTCGATGTGAAGCCGAACTCATCCGAAAGCACGACTAGGGTATCTTGTCCAAGCTGAAGCTCCTCCTCTAGCAGCGCAGGTTTTAGCACACCGACAATGCTGCCCCTCCCATATATCCACTTCTTGGATGTGAAGCCACCCTCGGGCGAGCTCTTCATCCAGTCAATGCGGCTTTTTCATGGTTGCTGATCGTGAGGCATGTACGCCAGTATGTGAATGTTAATTGGCCACAACCTTGCTCCTTTCCAACTAGATAAGATATTCTGAGTGGTTAAAGCCTTCTGCTTAGCCTCAAAATAGCAACTAAGAAGTCTCTCTTCTTTGTTGGGCTAATATCAGTAAGGGGATTGGGTAGTGTCAATGTGGCTCGATATACAGCTTTAAGCGGCCCAAAGACTGATATATTAAGAGGCTGAAGAATGTGGCTTGTATGAGGAGGTCGCAGGTGAGAGTATTTATCCCACTTACCTCCTATATGAGATCAGCGACCTGGCTGTCCTCGACTTCGCAGGAGCTAGCTAAGACTCGCAGGGATCCTATCTTAGCCCCCCAGGGTTCTTTTTATACAAAGATATGGCGGTTGTTTCCAAAAGTTTTAGATCAGAAATTTTAAACTCAGCTATAATTGTGGTAACCTTGCACAACTATCACTCGTCTAAGTGTTTTCCGTCATTGCCAGCATATTCTCCTTTCTTTTCTTTTCTTTTTACTTGAGCTCAGGCCAATTTTATTTAGAAATAGACAAGCCGCAATACACCTCCATCCAACTCTTAGGATACCCGGAGCGCCTTCAACCTCGGCGTATCACTAAATACACCTTACGGCTACCATCGTGGAGACAACGGTCACAACTACAATAACGAACAAACCGAAGTTTACATACTCACATATGTCACCTGACGGCTGGTCAATAGTTAATATTACGAATGATTGCCTTAGAGTACCTGGGAGCAAGACAACCATAGCCCTCCCAGGCATGACCTTCTCCATTAAATAAGCCGATTCTCCTGCATTCCCATTATCCCGCGGAAAACATCGAGTTATGTTGAAAAGCCATTTATGCGTTTAAGGGTGGCTCCCGGCAGCCATGCCTCGTCTGCAAAGTATAAAGACCTTCCCTCCCCGGCTTCCTAACCATTACCTGTGCAGCTTACTCCTTCCACAATGACTTCGCCCATTCTTGCTGATGCCCGTCCACCACAGAGAACGAAGCAAAGTCGGCGTGACGAACGACCTATCTCCAGTGGCATACCCTTCGAGCATTCCCCAATCGATCAAGTCGCGCTCGACGACGCAGATAATAAAGGTCAGTCCCACTGACTCTTCAGAGTTCGACCTAATAGAGGTGAGATAGATGAACCTCCAACGAACCCGAATAGCCCCACACGCTATGAAGCTCTTAAATTGGCACGCTACTCGAAAAAGCGACAGGGAATACGAAAGAAGAGGAAGGGGAAGGGGGGGGAAGGGAAGAAGAGGAGTGACCCCTCTCTGGTTCCTGATTCAAAGTTCATACAAATTTTCGAAGAGTTAAGACTTCGAGAGGAGAATCATGATAGGAAGGAAGCATATGACGCATTATAATATCTGGGTGTCAAGAGATCGGCAATCAAACCTCTGAAGAAGTCTAACGGCATCTTTCAAATACGTTATTAAACCTTCCCATTCCTTAATCCAAATGCAAATTGTGGGTTAGAAGTTGAGGTTGACGAACCCATGAAATCGGTCCTTGATTTTATATCCACTCATCTACCGCAAACGCATTTCGGATATGATATGTCATAGCCCATACGGGTCATCGGGAAACAACGATGTGTGGACTCGGAGCCAGTGGACACGAATCTCGATGTTGCCTACATAGATTCCTTTTGGGCTTCATGAGAAGGAAGGATGGTGAATGCGGCTCAAATGGAGCATCCCGTCATACATTGAGCTGGTTGTCATTTCCCGCCACACTCAAGGACTTAGCGCAAAGAAATAGAGATGTGAAGGAGTAGTGAGTACCACTTAATGTCGTCCTTCAGTAGGGTGTATTAGATTTGATGTCGAGGACTATGGAGGTAAGAGCACCAGCCATTGCACAATTGCATTGCAAGCTCGTTTTGTCCAACTTCTCAGCCTTCCCGCATCCCGACATGCCCGGTTATCCCCTTTACTCACGGTGAATTGGAAATTGGATCCCGTTGTGGTGGCGGCGACTCGCCCCAAAGCTTCAATGTGTACGGCAAAGAAGCAAGGTCCTGACACATGAAGACGGTGCAAATTCCCTGCCCTGGTTAGATACAAGAAGAGCCACGGTGCCACGGACATACCATCAGACGATAGAGTAGGTAAGAAAACAGCGAGGTAAAAGTACAACGGCGGCGGATGCTAATGCTGGTATTATCCTCCCATAGCGTTGGAGTTTTCGGTCTTCAAACAATGATCGAAAGGCCAGGGACAAAAAATGCCAGCAACCAAGAGACATGAGAGCTGGATACCTAGCAGCACCAGTAATTAAAATCACTAGGCTGCATACCGAAAGGCATAGAGCAAGATAACATGGAATATGACCAGAAGATTGAGGCTTGCAAACAGGTCTCGCAAGAAGCAGCATCTAAAACTCTTAGAGCCGTGGTGGCAATCACGATTGGGGCCGTACCTCGCTCAAAATTGTGTTTCCTGGATAGATACAGAGGCACAAAGGGTGCAGAGCCTCCTTAAATCTGAATATCCATGTCAAAATAGGGCACAAGATCATCCCAACGAGTGAGAGGATAGACACCCCGGCCAGAAGATACCACACCCGGTTCAGCAACTTCTCGCCCGGAACGAAACGATAAGACTTAAGACGAAGAATCCTTAGCCATACGGTAAAAGCGCTGGCGAACCCGAGCCAGAGAGTAGTCAATATCAGGCTCGTGTCGTGGATAGATTGGTCGGAATTTCTCATGGTGTTGAAGATGTGCGTGAGTTCGTTAAACCAAATGATAGGGGATAGGTGGTGGCGCAAGCTTCCACTTATACCACCAGACCCATGGTCACCCGTCTTGTGCGAATAACAGGGACTGATAGACAAGGGACCCCTATCCCATAACGAGGTGGTGCGTCCTCTTGCCACTAGCCTCAAACGAAGTAAGGCCTCTCATGCGCCCCTATTTCGGGACGATGGCGCGGGTAGTCAACCGTATTTAAAGGGCGAGCAATCCTATGTCCCCTCCCATAAAGCTTTCCTTTAGCCAGCTCAACTAAACCACCGTCATTTGAACATCAGCCGACGATGGAGGGCCTTTTTTGGGTTTGTTGTCAGGTACATCCATCCCCCAAACTCACGAAAGAATACCGCTTACGTTAATAGTGCCGGCACAGAACCAGGAGTGGGATTCAAATTTGTTTGAACCTGGAATGTCTCGACTACCGCTGTCCTTGTTGCAAGTCGGTTACTCAAGACGGACGACCTGTTCATTTTGGCACCCTATCAGCTGGGTGCTCTAGCCAGATCGCAATGGAACAGATCGCAAGGGAGCAGCTTGTCAGACACATACTATGGAACTCGAATCAAGATAGCATTGTCTTTGCCTCGGAATGGCGCATGAAGATTAGAGCAAGGAGTTGAATACAGGTCGCATATGTTTGTGTCTCATTGTGACTGGAACAATGGCGATAGGATTTTCCGGCATCGACGCCTCACAGCATCTTGTCATTTTTTCGTCCCCGGGTAGGCTGGGTCGACGTGCCATACCCATGATAGCAAGCTTAACACGTGGGCGGTCGCTGAATCTGACTTGCAGTAAGGAGCCCTCTACGTGCTCGTCAATTGCGCACATGACATTCTTCAGCATCACGATAACATCCCCTCTACAAACACACGATGCTTATCAATTAATAGTTCACGACTACATATCCGCCGAATATTCTTCTATCTATTTGGCACTACATCCATAGTAGGATCTGTCATCATTCTAATCATCCTATAAGAACATGATCGACTCCGCGAATCAGCCAGCGCAATTGTCGAGTCGCCATGCATTGGTGGCGATAAGATCGCTGGTGATATGTCATAGAGATTTTAATAGCGTGTGTGTTTAGCCGGATAAAGCCACTAACTCTAAAACATCTGATGGATTGGGATACTTCCTCCGACTAGTGGTGATTCTTTGATCAAGTCATTAGCGCACGACGCTTGTTGCGGGCGCTGAAAATGCCATCGCAGCGTTATGCTAGATCACAGCACATGCACCAACTTGAATAACCTACCCTATACCGCTTACGCGACTCTTGGTCAAACCCAAAATAACAACTCTCCCCTGTAAAAATTTTTCCTTGGCAACCGCTGTTAGTGCAGTGTTAGCGGGGAGGGGTTTTTACAGGCCACTGCGACTGACAGCGGCCTCTAGTCCCATCAGGGCACTAACAGGCAAGCAGATGAGGGGTTAGGAGAGTTGGCCTCAATTGCGCTGCAGCGCCCGCACACTCTGGCGGCCCTCGCGGAAGCCACGACGATCCGGCAGCTCCTGCAGCAGCCTCTGACGACCCGGCAGCTCTTGCAGCAGCCTCGACAACCCGGCCGCCTCCCCAGCGGCTTCGAACGACCCGGCAGCCTCACGGCAGCCTTTGACAATATCGAGTTAGCAAGATGAGAGGGGCACTAGTTGCTATTGCACATATCTGTTTCCCAAGCTTTGTCATGATCTCATAAAAGCCCATAGGACAGTACAATCAATTTATTAACGCCCGGCGGCTGAGCCGAAAGGGCACTGACGACTAAAATACATATACGTTACCCAAATTGTGTCCTTGTCTCCTTAAGCTCTCTCTCTGTCTCTGTGGATTTCCAATGTGAAAAGAGTTTCCGCACGGACCATCTCTATAGCATGTTGTGGCCGACACCGTGCGTAGCGACAAGCAGTGTGTACACTTGGGGTGAGGGGCATAATAGAAACCTGAATTGGCTCTGGCGACTTGCCATGTAGCAATGCACAACCGTGCCGTGCCCAAATCTGGCCTCTGGCCCTTCAGGCCACGGCGGGCTTACATTACAAGCGATGTTGGCGCCATATTATAGCAAAATGGCACGTCAACTGTAATGAAGTAGCCGACGGCTGTTGTAAAACTTGGCATTATATCCAAGGATCGAGACAGTAAAAACTAAGCTTTGGCATTTATGACAGTCTCTAAAGAACAATCTAACCTAGAACCAAGACAAGCCCTTCTCCAAGGCTCTCAATAGTCTTTCTGGGAAGCGGGTCCTTGTTGTCGAAGTTGTATTGCTTCCTCTCCGCACTGCTCCAGGTGGAAATGTCCAATCCATCACCTCCAATCTTCCTCCTATGTGTCCCTCGGAATGCGTAGCCAGGTGCCACACAAGTTCGTTTGTACTCTGCAAAGGACCTCGCCCAACCCCACGGGTCCTTTCCGTTTCCCTTTGGCATCGTGGGGTCGATGTTCTCAGAGGCATTCTCAGTGTCGGGAATGGCGATGTTTAGTCGGTGCGCGATCGCCCGAAGGTAGAGATCAAAGTTGCCAGCCCAGAATTTGAACAGCTTGGACTTTAAATGGCGGTTCCCCTGGATTAGGGATGTATCCCGGAACATGGCGGCCATGGCAATGTACATTGCGATCATCCAGCCAGCGTTGTTGCTGTGCGAGTTGCCACTGAGCATCCCATCGCTCTCTAGAGCCGCCAGCGCTGCGAGCACCATTCTGGCAATCTGAGACGCGGTCTCGCTTATCATCTGGCCTTCGTCAGCTATAAACATGAGGCTACCGTCGCCCGCCCTCACGAAAATAGCCATGGCCTCGACGACTGACCAAGCCTCTTGCCACTTCTTGTTCTTGAATGCCTCGTCAAAGTCCAGTAGCAGGTTCTGCACCACTTCGAGCGCCCCATAGGCCGCGTGGTCGTTAAACGTATACATGGCAAAAAAGTCGGGCGTGCGCAAGTTCATCATATTTGCTGCGCAATGGTTACGCGCAAGTCCCGCCTTGGAAATTGTGTATGAATGGGATGGGAGCTCGGAGAATTGCTTATTGCATGGGCACGTCCTGCCCTTGTCGCACCATACCTTGTTTTCAGCATCCGCATTATCGTCATCCTCTTCTTCGTCCACGTCTCGGACAGGGTTACAAATGCACACAAATGCATATACCTCCTCGAGGTTCCTAGTCGCTTTCATGTATTCGATGTCCAAATTCTTGGAGCCTGAGACCTTGGCCCAGCGCGTACTCCTATTTTTGAGGGCAGCCTCAAACTGCTTGTTGTTGTCGTTGCGTGGTTCATCGCCAGACTTAGCCTTCTTCGCGTTGTTTGGCCTGCCAACATGGGGGTAGGCGGGTTCGAGGGCTTTGCGTTTCGGAGGCATTCTGTAGATCTAATCAAGCGATGCTGAGGTGAAATTTTCAAGTTGACAGGACAGGAAACGCGTCTGTAGCATAACTATAGCTTTAAACGCGGGTCGACTCCATGTGGCGTGGGGAACTTTTGAAATAACAGCCATTTGTACAATCACATGCAAAACCACTTTCCTTTTTAACTAAATGTTGGATCCGGTACGGGTAAGTCAATTAGGGCAATAATGATCAAGACGATAGTGGAGCCTAAAGATGATGATATTGATGTCTGTTCTTGTAGGATCTAACCTGCTTCCAGGGCCCTGTTTCCGGTGAGGGGTTTTTTGGTCAATCTCACACCCCCCTCATGACTAAGACAAGATATTGATGTATCAGGGATTCGGTCTTATCCGGGCCCCTAGTCCGGCACCGAGGGTCAGTCCAACACTAAACATGAAAAGAAGAATCGGGCTGTCACGATGTGTATTTGGGTAGCTGGGCGTGTATATGGCGTGTGACTGCTATAGCTATATCCTTGTAGCTGGTTTCAGTATAAGGATGTACAGGGACTCAGAGCGGGGATCATATGCAACTCAGAATATACACACACCCAATCAGACGCCTCACACAATCAGGGCTCGTGACACGGGCGCATGGACCACGTGACACAGTATCAATATAACTGACATGGACTATAGACACACGGAATGACTTAGTAGGAGCAGAAATAAGCCAAAACTGGTCCAAAAAGGTAAGCAGGTCCGGCCCACGTGCGCTTTAGAAATGTACTGTAATCTGTATACAGTGCACGTCCACTATACCTATGTACGTCATTTTATTACGTTCGGTCCACAGTGTCAGGCCGAAACTGAGTACAAAATTGACTCATGTTGGATGAACCGGCTGCGCCATTTTGGGCAAAAGTTTAGGGTACCCCACTTATTATTATAGCTAGGATTTATCCAGTATATAATCCAACAACTGACATTATCAATCACCCGATTACCTCACATGTACCAGATTTTAGCTTTTGCCTGCAATACCAGGGGGTATCTCGTGCCATGTACAGCAGGCGCCGCTTCAGCCGCCGTAGATAGGACTCTGAACACTTGGAGAATAGTCTTCAAGTTAGCTTGTCAATACAGTACCGTTTCGTGTGTATTGCTTGACTAGCTACATGTAGCTAAGGGCAGCGAAGGCTTGTGTCCAAAAGGGGTTCACCGATGTCGCTTGTTGCTTTACATTACAGGCGTAAATCGGGACGCCGCTTGAACGCGGGTACTTTCGTGTGTTCTGCCTCAAGAGCGAATGATGTGACAATCCAGACTCTCGGGTCTTGGACAATTGTTATTAGAGGAGGTGACTGGCTTTGTTCATTACCTAGCAGCACCGTCTCCACATTGTTCTGTCACCAGCGGGGCCCCGGTTCCCGAGCTTGCACATCAATGAAAAGTGGTGCAAAGAGCTCATGGCAAAATCTTTCGAGCCAACAATCACAGCGAACCGCCCCTGTTGGCCCAGTAAACCCGCTAACCCCACTACTTCGACGAGCCAAGCGCCGACGCCTGGGGACACTCGGCAAGACTTTTGCGGCTACGCACAATTGGCCCATGATGCCCAAAATTCTACTTAGGGCGAAATCATTACGGAGGACTCCGTTATTTATGTCAACACCGTGAGTATCCTATGCCCGTCGCTACAAAAGATATTAGATATCATATTGACAAGAGTGCAAAAGAGAGCGCTGGCCACTACCCTGGACTCTGTAAGGGAACGTCGTCAGATTGGTACTGACCAGGCCTCTCGAAAGATGAAGTCCATCAGTTTCAAAGACGTCTTTCGGAATGGGCACGCACCCACCAAGCACATGATAGTCCGATTTCCTGAGGAGGACGGTCCGTGGTACATACTTCGATGCGAAAAACATAACCTTAACTTCAAAAAGCATCCCATCAAGGGCGCTGCGACACATCTAGGCAGCAAAAAGCACAGTCGAATGTCGCGCGCGCCCGCAGTGGCGATCGGACATCTCGGTATTGAGGTGTTCGACTACGACGAGACTCTGGCTGAGAGAAACAATTTGGTCGCTTTAGAGGCGTTTGAGAAGGGATACAAGCATGCAGTTGCGAATCCAGAGGACGGCCAGCGGGAAAGTGATTGCATCCCAGACTCATTGCATACCACCCCGGCGCGGCAGACCCCAGGAATCCGGAGCCGAACTTGCAAAGACCTACGGTCTGGCGGCAGCACCAACAAGCTACGGACTTGGAAGCCATCACCGAACCAATTCCTGGCGAAACATACCTCGCGTACTGGGAAAAGGCGAAGGACTGGTATCCTGCGCTTCTTCTCCCTCTTGGAAAATGCGACAACGTCGGCGTACCAGATACAATTGAGAGCCTGGAACTCACAGACGATGGGCCAGCGTGCTATATGTATCATCAAGGCACAGAAACCTTGATGTGGCAAAAAGATTACGAATATAATGGACCTCTAGTCAACAAGCGTGAGTTCCCCGTTATGTACTTTAACGACTCGAATTTTCCAGACAGGGGCGCTATCGGATGGGTGAGTGCTGAAGACCTTCAGCCGTTCGCTGTTGAAGCCTTCAGCTCCTCCCTTACACCACGGTACAAGTTGGTGCGAGCCTTTCTTCGAGAGCGTGAGGAACTAGCGTCTGTGAAGGCTAGCAACGATTTTGATGGTCCATCAAACGGTATGTCCTTGGCGAAATTCACCACTGTCCTTGGGTGTCTGCTGACAGACCGATGTCACGATGTCAGGATATAAAGACAACACGAGCCAGAACTCGCAGATAGGACAAGCACAAGCCATGATGATGAACAGCCAGACTATGAACCAGACGAACCCACAAGTCATCGCTCAAATGGCGGCCCAGCAACGAGCTACCGCACAGCAGCAACAGCAACAGCAAATGGCCGCGATGCAGAATGGCGTTGCTAATGGCAACATGAGTGGTCAAGCCATGTCACCTCATCAGCAGCAGATGATGCAGATGATGCAACGACAGATGCTGCTACAACAGCAACAGCAACAGCAGCAACAACAACAAGGCGGCATGATGAACCAGCAGCAACAACTCGCGCAACAGTATGCTCAGCAGCTTCATAACATGCAAGGGAGTCAAATGCCCCAGATGACGCCCCAGATGCAAGCTCAACTACAACAGCAAATGGCAGCGCGAATGAATCAAATGGGCGGCCAGATGGGCAACCCTATGCAACGCCAAGTCAGCGGCCAGATGTTGAATGGTAATAACATGAACCTTCAGGCTCTGGCCGCAATGCAGCAGCAGCAGCAGCAGCAGCAGCAGCAGCAGCAGCAGCAGCAGCAGCAGCAGCAACAGCAACAACAACAGCCCCAGCAGCAACAGCAACCTCAGCAGCAACCGCAGCAGGGTGTCAACCCTGTGCAAGTCCAGATCCATAACCAGGCACGTGTCTTGTATCACAAGATGTTACAAGCCCTTGCCGCTAAGCACGGAGGGCTTGAACGGATTCCGCAAGAAATTATGGAAAAGGTTAAACAAACTTCGCTCATACAGGCCACACCTCTTCCAGCAGAACTTGGCTTAGCAGCAGCAGATGTTTTAACAGCAAATGCAACAACAACAGATGCAGGTGCAAATGCAGCAGCAAATGCAACAGCAACAAGGGATGAATGGATGATGAGCCACCAGGGGATGTGAGCTCGGAGTGGATGGAATGATAGACAACTGGCAGGGATGGGGGCTTGGAGTTTAGGAGACGACAGCTTTTCGTGATTTTACGTTTGTTTCAAGTTTGGGCATGGTTGCTTTATACCCGCGGAATTCTTTCGAGTCAGGACAGGGATATCTTACGGATGCGTTTTCTTGGGGGTGGGTTTTGGTCATTAATGTCGAAGTGAAGCGTCAACGGTCATGCATGGTGTTGAGGACTCAGACTGGGAATCAAGTGTATCATATGAACAAGCCGTATCAGGAATCGCCATGGTCCAATTGCAAAAAAAAAAAAAAAAAAAAAAGAGGCGCGGAATGCAACCCGAGACAGTGCCATCCCGGCTCTGAAGTTTCCCAGAATGCGATCGACGACCCTTAACATAGCTCGATTGAGCCAGTGTACTGGCGCAGGTCAGGATAGGTATGGCAGGCATGGCAGGCATAGCCAGACTAAATGCATACCTCTTTCGGATCACGGCAGTACCATCACAGAATGTGTATGTGGACAAGCGACAGAGACGGTTGAGTACTTTCTCTTTCGATGCAGAAAATAGACGGCACACCGAGCCGAAATGTTGCAGTGCACAGAGACACAAAGAGGAAATATCTCGTTCTTCCTGGGAGGAAAGTCACCGTCAGACGACGCAAAATGGACGCCAAATATGGAAGCAGTCCGCGCGACTATACGATTTGCGATAGCCACAGGGCGACTCGACAACACGCAACGTTGAAACCAGATTGCAAAAACCCCACTTACTTTCTTCCTAACCTACCCTACATCCATCAAACACCTCGTGCCATGGACAGCAAGCGCCGCTTCAGCCGCCGTAGATAGGACTCTGAACACTTGGAGAAATAGCCTTCAAGTTCGCTTGCCAATAATACAAACCCCACGAGACCCGCGGAAAGACTGAAAAGGAAGAAGCAAAAGCAGAAATTGGACGCTGTATGGGCTTTTACGAGATCATGACAAAGTTTGGGAAACGGAAATGTACAATAGCAACTAGTGCCCTATTGGTTGTAAGCCACCGGGCGTAATAAATTGTGTGTGTGTGTGTGTATGTAATGTATTGTATCGGTGGTGCTGGTTGGTTTCTGCCGCCTTCCATAAAGAGCATCTTACTGTAGTATACTGGAAGATGTCGTAGATAGATAAAGTGGGACTCCTAGCGCCAACCTCCACGTTTCAGTCATTGAATTGTCATGACTCTGCTGATGACTCGCAACATGGCCATTAGCCATGGACTAGGAAGATGGTGGATTAGAGTAGCTCTAGCTTACGTATACTCACCACCAGCTATGCTGGTTGCTGTATGCCCGGGCAAAGCCTCCGATTAGTGAGGGCATAGGCATCCGCCAGGTCTAAATATAGGAATGGGGGTGCTCAATCCGCATTTACTGCCAGGATCTCTTCTGTTCAAAATAGCTAAACTATTTCCTTACAAATGCAATTTTGGAACGAATCGTATTTGCAAAATTCATGTACCTAATATGAAGCGAGAATCCGCTTAGATGTGGCTTGTACTAAGCTCCAGACTTATCGAGATTGGATGGCCGCAGTGCGAGCCCTTCTGCCCACATCTTCCAAGCCAGAGCTATTAGGCCGACCAAGAGTGCGAGAGCCTCCACACCAATCAATAGAGTAACCCAGATGGGATAACTATCCGCAATCCAGAAAACGAGACCAGCGAGAACCTCGATAATACTGATATCGACTAAAATAGTTGGAATCCATAGAATTGCTGATTCTCTCTCAGTCGAGTGTTGATGGCCCTCGAACCTGAACAGGAGCATCTTAGCGAGTGTTATAGCGATTAAACTCATTACCACAGAGCTAGCAAGTAATGCTGCTGCTATTTGGATTATAGCAGTCTTCTGATGGTCCTGAACCCCGCTGAATATCATAATTATTGAGGAAACAATAGCAGGTGAAGCTGCGATAGCATCAAATGTTCTATAGAAACGCAGGACGCGGTCAAATATAGTGATTCCTCGCCTGCCTACAGTATTATCAGCTTTATGATAGAATATTAGTAAGTACTTTTACAGTTATACATTAATTCAGAGTGAAACTTACACTGATTAAATGACTCCATACTCTAATGTTTAAGGTGAAAGGATGATCAGAGGTCTAGGGCTTTAAAAGTTCTATCACTTTGCATTAAGCTGGGCTAGATGTTGATCGGGTTATTAGCCTAACAACAAGAAAGCAAATAGAATACAGGGACGGAATCATCTACTTAAACTAACAATAATATTTATGTCAAGTGTCTTATTATTAAGCTTTAATCCATATAAAATCTGAAAGAACTAAACTTACTGATTTGCTGAGTAAAAGTACAGCCATAAACAGACAATAGCACTTGTGCAGTAAGTAAGGCAGATCATACAGTGGCGGCCGCAGATAGTGTAGCAATTGGACTTGCGGGCTTTGTGTCCAATACATACAATGAAGCAGACCGACAGTGGTCAAGAGTGATAATCGGCACAATCGGCCATAATCAGCCTTAATCGTCCACAAATCAGCCAGCATACCTTTAGCGCGCAAGATGCCCAAAGCTGCACGTACAAGCCACATCCAAGCCACATAAATGTAGTCCGTGTCCAGAGAGTTTGTGAGCAAAAATCGGACTTCATTTTCGTTCACTATTATATGTATGTATAAACGGGACTGTCCATGTACATACATATAGATCCCACTTCCATATAACCAACTACCCAAGCCCTTACTAATCTACTACTCCAGAGTTGGACTAAATAGAAGTGGGCTGAAATATGAAAGTGCATTAAAGGATAGAAGTGGACTAAAGGATAGAAGTGCACCGAAGGACAGAAGTGGGCTAAAGGACAGAAGCGGACTGAAGGACAGAACTGGACTAACTTCAGTAGTTTGTATCTTATTTAGGGAAATTTATCACATAGTATCTTTCTAATTCTTCTTCCTACGTCTACAACTCCAAGAAATTATGGTACAACGAGCTTCCACTCTTTCGACTCCACCCAGATTATCCTCCACACATGGACGTGGGACCAGGACCTGCCGGGTGCTATTACCAGAGAGACTGCGGGTAACTATAACCAGATAATGAGCTTGCTTAACAATTCAGACGGATCTAACAATACATGCATTCAACCTATGATCCGATATCAATCATGCACTTACAAGCGAACCGATCACGGGACTGGGTGGCCTGCATGTAAGGATTGCAGTGACTCTTATGGCATGGGTTCCAGGGCTGAGTGACAACAATATTGAAACTATGACTTTTGAGATAGCGTGGAAATAGAAATCATCGCATACCCGAGAAACCTACCCGGCCCATCCACTCTCGATGAAGGCGTGGATGCATGAGCTGGACAGTGATAAATAATTATTCCTTGGTTAGCAATGCCGACCAAATTATTCGACTCCGCATTTCTTCAAGAATTAGTATATAATGCCTCTTGAGTCGAGCAATTATGAGCTCCCTCTCTCCCCTTGCTACCCTATACACCACGTTTACAAGCGTCAGTGAACTTCAAACTCATGAACGTTTACTGAGCAAACCATTCCTAGCGGTGTTTAACTTACCAAAGTTTCATTCGCCATACGTCGAGCTACACAACGCATCCCACAGCACGAAAGGAAAACAATCAGCGGACGAGCCAGAATCTCATCAGGGAGAGGCTCAAGTGGTCATTTTGCCGTATGTTACATCGTGCTCAATCCTAGATGCTTCGCTCTAATCTCGGTTTTCTAACTCTTTCGCGGCAATAGTGGAATCAACTCATTAACCAGCAATTACACGATTACAAGGTATATGTCAAAGTGAGTAGGAAGATGTCATGCATCTGAGTGTTATTGAGAGTCAATTTTTTGGCCTTAACCACTGCCCAAGTCAAGAGGACGAAGGTCCCAGTTATATACACAACAACAGTGCCCAAGTGAGTCGGGAAGCCTCCAGGGCTGGGGCGGAATATCGTTTGACAGTATACTCATGGGCTACTAAGGATAACTCAGATCAAAGGGCTAATAGCACGATATCAGTAAACCTTATCCCCAGCCTATTACCGCTTACAACCATTTACATTCTCCTGCCGACCTGTATTATGAAAGTATGAAGGTAAGGCTTGATTCGTAGACTTTCTTCTATTGAATCTTATATTCAGCTATTGGGTCATGTAGAGCTATGCGTTATTCGCCAGATACCTCGTGTCCGAACAGTTAGACTGAACCATTAGTCCAATCCGAGAGACGCAGACTAGACCAATAGTCCACGGACTATTGGTCTGGACTGTAGTTTGGACTAATAGTCCAGTTTTTGGTCTGGACTATTAGGAGCGCTGACTTAGACGACCTACCCTATACCACTCAGGCGTGAGCCTTGACCAAGTTCGACTGGTGTGTCTCCAGGTGGAAGGGGGCACCGTCTGAGGATGACGCTGACCCTGGGCCATTGAAGTGGCCCTCATCAAACAGGTCGTTGTACTCGCCCTAAACCTCATCATCCACGACCTTACCGTCCCCGAAGGGGTCATTGGGGTTGGGAATGACAGCAGTAGCCTCAAAGAAAGAAGGAACCGCAGGGTAGCTTCAGCTTGAGGTGCAAGTGGTTCCATCTGAACCCTCGCCCTTCTCCAGGGGGCTCGGCTCCGGCGCCACGTTCAAACCATGAGACGAAATATTGGTTCTGTCACCGGTTGCTGGCTGAGTATCGGTTGGCTCGCTTTGTGGGGGTCTGGAAGGACCAGTGTCTCCCAACTCAATATCTCGAGTATTGTTTAGCTCGCTTCCGGTTGGGTTGGGAAACTCAGTATCCCCCATCTCAATATCCGAGCGCTTCGACCGGATAGAACTCTTTGCATTGTCAAGTCTCGAAGGCATCCCTAGACTGATGAATCTCTGAGTAACGAGAGGAGGGCTTGCACCTACCCTCCAATGATTAATCCAGGGACTGGCTATATAACAGAAGTTTCTTCTTCCCGCCTCAGATCGCTGCAAATGGGTGACAATAAGTATTATCTCAGTGTCGCGGCCTGCCCCTCCGGGTTTGGCGGCACCCACCAACCCCCTGTCTAGTGCCTCGCCGCTTTGTCCCCCACTATAAAGCACCCCTCGCCCACCTTTACATTTCATTCTCTTTTCCCACCCCTCTCTATTCCGCCTCACATATCCTTCCACCGATGCGACTCACCCGAGCGCACCCTCGTGGTTACGCTTCCCCCTTTCTTCCCTACCTCCCTCAGTCGGGCGTTGCATTACCCGACCCAAACACTCTCACGCCCAACCGTCCACTCCATGGTATCCCATCATGAGCCGAGACGGAAATTGACTGCTAACGAGCCATCGTTAGCAAGCAAACCGTCACTCTGGTGAAGCTCATGAGACTTAGGTCAGGCGCATCCCTCTGACCCAGCTTCGCATCTCGACCGCCCTCGCGCGCGCCAACATCGACATGGCCCCGCCACCGCCAACGCATCCTTCTCCCCTCACGACGACTTGGCTGGGCGTGTGTCTCGGAGGCCTCCTCGCCCCATCGATGCCGGCTCGCGACTTCCTGCAGCACGACGAGCTGGATCCGGCCCCGCCCCCTTTCCTCGAAACACGACTTCATACATGTGATCCCATTCCGCCTGATGTTGGATTGGTCAGGGCGGGAAGGAAGTACTCAGCCGTCCAAGCACACGCGCCATTTGGGATAAGATCTGCTCACAGCTCCGCCCGACATTAGTGACGGGTGATTCTGCCCGAAGCAAGAAAATGCCTCGCCTTGATGGCGCTGCCTCCCCCCCGACGATGCCTTTTCTAGGCATCCCCGGGATCGAGGGTACGCGTCGGAGACAGGTACCAAGGGTTGGGGCAATTTACGGTCGACCGAATACGAGCTCCTGTCGCACCACTGCTGAGTTTATCATGCTGGTTTGCGCTCTCCTTGGTCAAAGTCGGGGACAGCGGATCTTGGAGCCTTGGTCGGAAGGTTAGGGAGCTCAGATTTCAGCACAACGCAGGCGATGAAGGTGCAGTGACAAGGGTCTCGAGTAACGGAGTTGGAGGGAGCTCCCGAGCTTGAATGATCAGAGAAAGTCGCTGGTACAGAGTTTACTGGATCGCCCTAGTCTTAGGGGATCGTCACTGACGCTGATGGGAGCAAATCACCGCTAGACGGAGGATGTATGAGCTGACGAATCCTTCCGGGTACGATGAGCAGGGACTAAGTCTGCGTCGCAAGCGTCTAACAACGGGCGTAACTTACCGTCACGCGGCCTATGCAACGGTGGTATCTCGGCGAAGCTTCCCTTGTCGGTCTTGTTGCCAATCGGTGGCTACCTCGTCATGTTTCATGATTGGTCGTGTGGACCTTTCGTCATATGTGACGGAGGCTTGCTTAGAACCGAAAGCCTTGAGAGGTCGGAAGCAGGGTGGCGCAGTTCCCGGATGGAGGCATGGAGGCAAAGGCCCAGGGGCGAAGGGACGGAGAGGACGTTTGCCTTTCAGATCGGGCGTTTCCACTGTCGCACTCTCCTCTTCCAAGGATCTTCACATGATGGATGGATAATGTCCACAGTCATATGGCGATATCCATGGCGTGTGACGAAGAGCCAAGCCGGCAACACGGCTACCCGAGGATGCGCCTCGAGGGGATGCGAAGGATGAGATGGGTGCCTGACACTACGTGGATGTCTTATGCAGCTTTCAGCAACGCCGAGGATGTCGCAGTAGGACCGATGGAGCAAGGCCCCACGCACACCTTACAATTGCATGGCATGGTCAGGCCCAACAATCCATCAACGGACAGACAGCATACACTGGCTTGATGGGACTGACAGGCTGGCTTTGCGGCGCAGATTTGCCTATATAACATCACACATGCCCACACTTCTAGAGAATGAAAGTCAAGCAATTTTCTCCCATCACTTAATTAAGACATCCCCCGATGTTGTTGCAATATGTCCACTGCTCAAGTGACACCTTATATCAGCCTTGACAGTACAATGTTTTGGCGTCCTCAGAAGGCACAGATACAACAAAGCAGGCACACGCAGCCGCATCGACCACTGCCGCCGCGACCACTGTCACTCCCTCTTCCACCATCGCTCCCTCCACCATCGCTATCACTCCCTTCACCACTCCCTCCGTCGCATCCATCACTCCCTCCACCACATCCATCACTCCCTCCTCCACCACTTTCACTCCCTCCACAACAAACACCTCTCCCGCTACCAACATCGCTCTCTCTACCACTTTCACTCTCTCCCCCACCACCATCATCACCTCCACTACCATTATCATACTCCCTTTCACCACCAATACAAACTGAATCTACGCTTCAACTTCCACAAGATATCTCATCCCCATGTGAATCTTACAGAGCTCATGTATCAGCCACCGGTAGTGGAACTCCAGAAGGTCCAATTATAACTCCTTCTGATACTACATCCTCCATGTTCGACGTGGATGAAGATGAGGGTCTGACCGTCGATACCTCGGAGTCGGTTTCATCTCTCCCATCGATTCAAGCAGAGACATCCGGCCTTGTGCATTTAACTCCGGATCAAGCTCATTATCAAGGTGATGATTTGCCTGAAAGTGGTACCCTTCTATACCATGATATGACTCCTGAACCCTCCTACGAGTGCTCTCAAAGACACTCATCTCAAGACACGTCTGAAGGGCGGGGCCTTGCGACAATCGACGCAACGGAGTCAAGCTTTGCTACGGGCGATGCCTTTCATGTCGCAACACCGATCCCTCTATCACAGAGCACTCCAGATCTCCCAGCGCCAGCACGTATGTGGCAGCCCTCCCTGCGCCACTTGGTATGGACGCTGATCTTTATCTAGGTGACGAAATACCTGTTAGCGCTGCTCCGTCGGAACACAACAGAATTCCTACGACACATGACGCGTCACCCCCACAACTGTCATTCGAAACGCCTCAAGGGCAGGACCATGAAGCGAGCAGCCACGGATCCGAAGACGCCAAGACCCATATATTGTCTAAGGGCGCACCTCAATCGTCATCCCGTGTGTCCCCTTTTCGGTCTCCGGGTCCAACAACACGCTACTACACCCGTCGTCAGGCTGCGCAAAGATTGGCACAAAATGATGATGATGACGATAGCGACACGGACAGCGAGCCCCAAGGAAGTGAATCCCATCTTGGTCGAGCGAATTTGCACCGTGACAAGGACTATTGTCTCTCTGACACAGAAGTCGAAGAGATTGGTCCAGAAGGTGACGACTCTGACAGCAAAGATCAAAGCTCACGCAAGCGCCGTAAGGTCTCGAGGTCCTCCGCCGGTTTGCTGCGCGATGCAACCGCTAGTGTTGAGCGCCCTCGTCGGGGAAGACCGTCTTTGAGATCGAGGTCTACCCAGTCAACCTACAGGGGGAAGTATGCCCAGGCAAGCGGTATCCTCAGCCCAGCGTCATCCCAGGCGACGCCCGATGAGACCGAAGTCAGGGCGGTTCTCGCCAGCTTTGAGGAATGGCCGCTCGAGAATGCTTCGCTCAAGCGCATAACCGAGAACGGCAAAACAACTTTCCAGGTACAGTTCGACTGGACTCCTTGTACAAATCATGGGCATGCTAGCAGCACCGCTCGGGATCGAGTTGATTTACCGTTGACACGGGCGAGGAGCAGGGCCAAGCGTGGTTCAGCTCCAAGAGCCAAATACACCCCACAGGAAGATGATCTTCTCATCGAGTTAAAGGAGGGTAGGGAGATGCTAGTGTGGCCCGAGATTCACCAGCGGTTCAGTGAGGCCTATCCAGGGCGGTCCGTCGAGAGTCTACAAGTGCATTACTCTACGAAACTCAAGAGTCGTGAGAGACTCTAGGATGTTGGCGGTGGATGTCAAGTCTGCCTGATGGCTTGGTCGCCATATGTCTTGATGGGGTTCAACAGGGGAAGAATGGCCTGCAAGCTGAAGGAGAAACGGGGCCAAGTTTACGCGGTTGTTTCCAGGATGGTGTATTATGAGCCTTGAGGTGTGCTACTGTACGACGTTGGCAGGGAATTAGGAACAAGCTAGGTGGTTAACCTAGACAGCCAGACTAGGATGTCGTTAGAATACAGTGCTTCAAACATGTGATGTCTTTCTTTTCCCTTATGCTAGCTGAGTGCTTGATATGCCATCGTCAAAGCTCTCAGTGAACTTCACCTCTAAAACACCACAAGCGCACAAAGCAGTCTAGGATCTGCAGTATGTTGAGAAGTGATTAGCCCATCTTGGTCAGCCTACAGGTTTCATCTACTAGCCTCTCCTTCATGTTCGTCATCCGGGTGACCCGACGTTCCCAGCCCAACTTCGACGCTCTCCCTGCCTGCCCTATCCGTATCATCCTGCAGATCCGTTCAGTCTCCGTCGCAAGGATGTCTTTCAAGTCTTCTAGAATATATGGAAAGCTGTGTCCGAACTCCGATGGAACCTTAACGCAACCCTTGACGATGAGATTATCAGAGTTGCTGACAGTGGCGTACATCAAATCCCATCCCTTGCTGGACATTCAGTACTTGATGCCTTTGATTGACTGTAAGGAGGCGTCAAAGGAAATATTATACTCCTCCTCTCGAACAGGTCTCTCTTTCCATCCGATCTCTAATGACCCCTCAATATAGTAGCCTGTCTTCCATGGCGTAGGAAGAGAGTCCGTAAAGGGCCCCTCTTTCAAATGCTTCGCTGCCAGACACATTAGGTTCACCACTACATGCGAAAGGGGTTCTCGTACCTGTCGGTCCCTCCTCATTCCCTCTTCGCCTCTTTCTGGTCTTCAGCCTTGCGTAGAGTCTCAGATGTAAGTAACGCGGAAAACTGTAAGGGCCTAGTTCAAGACCAGTTGCTGGATTGACTACAGAAGGTTCTGCTTTAAAGGAGAAGAAAAGAAGAAAGGCCGCGGAGAAGTCATTATAGACTATTTTGATAAAAAAGAAATCTAACTATATTTTAGTCGGCCCCCAGACCCCTGTTGTGTCGCGCCATGATAGTAAAAAAACTATAGAGTATTTGAACCGAGGAGAGAATGAGTACACTATTTCGCTGATTGAAGCAGCTTGACGACAGCCTTGCGCCCCTTCACGGCAGCATACAACAACGGCGTCCACCCTTGGTTATCCTTCGCGTTGACGTCGACCATGCCGGTAGCGAGCAGCAGCTCGACGACGGTCTCGTGCCCATGCGAGGCAGCATACGACAGCGGCGTCCGGCCAGCCTTGTCCTCCGCGTCGACGTTGGCCTTGCCGGTAGCGAGCAGCAGCTCGACGACGGTCTCGTACCCATGCGCGGCAGCATACGACAGCGGCGTCCGGCCAACCTTGTCCTCCGCGTCACACTTCCTGAGCTGTCAGCAATTGATGCGAAGTCTTGGCTAAGTAAAAACTGGTCAACGAAAAAGAAGTCTGAACAGAGAGGAAAAAACAATGAGTTTTTGGACTACCTTTCTTGGCTTTGGCATGCCTGTGTCAAACATGTCATCGCCGAGATCTCCGCTACACAGAAGCATCCAAGCGGAGACCTTCCTCGAGTATGGTGGATTGGATCCGGACTGGCGAGCTCGATGCCCTTCCATGCTGCAGGGGTGCATGCGAGAGGGTCAACAGAGAATGCCTATAGCAGGATGATATCTTCTTACACGCCATCAATCAAGGTACTTGCCTATGCACGGAACCAGGTAAAGCGGGCCAAGGAAGCACCAGTAGCACAAGAAACAATGGTTATTGCAGCAATGCCGACATCGCCAAAAGGGCCCGATGATAAGAAAGCACCGAAAGACCTCCCTGGAGTCAGAGAAGAGACCGAGGAGCTTCTCAACTCGGCTCGCTCTCAAATACGTACGACAGTTCTTACGCACCCCAGCGCGGATCAAGTCTTAGGGGCCCTGAAGACCTGCCGCATTGCACATTTTGCATGCCACGGAACATCAGATATCTTAGACCCTTCCAACGGTGGTCTGATTCTACAGAAGAGTGCCGGGCCTGACGAGGCTTTCGAACAAGACCGACTCGCAGTCCACCGGGTTTCGGAGCTACGGCTTAGAAGTGCGCAGATTGCGTAGGTAATTAGCATAAGTTCACAGTCCATGGACAGAGCTCGTAATGGCACCAGATGAAAAGGTCTGAGGTATAAAATAGTGGCCCACCCTGCTTGACCAAGTCTAGATCAACCTTCAAAGAGTATTCATCTCAACGTCACATCTCAAGTCGACCAATCCTTCAGCCAACTCGAGCGAGAGAATGGAGTTTTCCTCTGCTGACGGTAAGTTGCATTGTCTGACTCTCAATTCAAACTAACTTGCGTAAAGGCGTCCCCACAGCTATGAGAGTACGGCCGAGCGATGATGTGCCGGATGGGGATACCGGGTCTGGAAATGATGAGACCGTGGATATTGATATGGGCGAAGTCTTGAGGCCAGACCCGGCTGTTGAGGACTGTGTCGATGAGATACTGGAGGATACTGGTGTAGGCTCTTCGGATGGGTCAATGGAGAACACGGATGACCGCTCCATGGATAGCACAGATTCGAGAGAGCGTCCGCATGAGGATGTACCAGATGAGGACGCCGAGTCTGGAAATGATGCAGCCGAGGATATTGATATGGGCGAAGTCTTAAGGCCAGACCAGGCTGTTGACGGCGCTGTCGACGAGATACCGGAGGATACTGGTGCTGACTCTTCGGATGGGGCAATGGAGAACAAAGATGACGGCTCTATGGATGGCACAGAGGAGTCGTCTACGAGTGCTTAGTGATCTAAATCGACCTTCCAGGAGCACCATCCAACGAATACCACAGTCTTTTGGTCAATTACCCGACAGTAGTCTAGTTACTCTATACTTCTCTGACAGCATGAGCAAGTCGTGTGATTGATGATGGAGCCATGGTGTCATGGATCGAACACTGGCCTTTGCGAAAACAACGAGATGCAGTAATAATCCCGGGATCCAGCTGAGCGAACCCCGGACCCACTCCATACGGCATAAGATGGTTTACCTTAGCTTGCCTTTCTCGGATCCTTGTCTGGCTCCAGGTGGAGGTCTGCGAGGACGCAGGGACGAGCAGGTCCCATGAGATTGTGACAAGGCCGCGCGGTACACGGGAGTTCGGATGTCTCGTGACGCGCTAGGGAAGACTGGGCAGGTGTACCAGTACGGAGGAGTATATATCTGACGACGTGCGCAATGGGGCATTGGCTTCCGTACCTTCGAGCCTCCTTTCCTCACCGACGGCACCATGGAGCAACTGTCCCAAACTCAGGTCATTGCATTGGCCCTGCTCTTTGCTCTGGTCATGATCTCCCTCATTTTGACATCCATATCCATTGTGATCTTCACTTTGACGCGCTCTCGTGTGTTGCCCCGGGTTCATGAGCCGTCCCAATCCTTTACCCAAAAACACAGGCGATGGTTCATTAGCCTGGTCATCGCCCAAGCTTTGGTAGCAACCGGAACAGCGCTTCTATTTGCCATTCTGACCTCGGTCAAGGGGGGTTTCTGGTTAGTGTACTTCTCGGGTTCGGTTGTTCTGTCAAGCATGCTGAGAGAGGTAAGTTAATGTCCAGTGTTTGGTGTCAAGGTACTGATACATAATGAGGCGCAGTCTTTGTGGTTGAGCAGCACTTGGAATCCCCGCCAGCGATCATTCGCGCCACGCCCCTTGTTGGGCTTGCTTACTTTTACCTCCATTTCTTTCTTTGCTGGCGTCATCCTGAGCGGCTATTTCTTCAACCCGGGAATGAAGTTGGCAGCGGCTTCCGCTATCACCTACCGCGCCTGGATCATCTGGGAATGGGCACGGGTGGTATCAGACACCATAAACGACCAGACTTTCGAGCTGCATCTCATGGTCCGAGTTTTTGCATTTGGTGGTACTATTCTAGGATTGCAACCGTTGTCGAGGGTCAATGGGCTTTTGGTAAGTTCGATAGTGGGGATCGGAGGTCGAGGCTGACTATAAGGTCATCTCCTGGGTTTTTGGGCTTCACGATCTGTTTGTCTGCACGGCACAACTCTACAGTCAAGTCCGACCGGCATCTAGGAGCATGCTGCGGCTATACGAATCATCAACTAGCACGGAACTATGAGGTCGGGAAGGATTGGTCTCATTCACTACCCGAACACTAGTGATAGGTAAGAAGTACACATAAATTTACAAGATGCCAAGGAGGGTGAGACCAGCGGCACTGATCTTAGACTTCCTCACCGCTGTCTCCACCGCCAACATATATGGTTAGTGCTTTGCCCCGTCTTGGAGCTCTATAGACGAGATTTAGTTACTCGAATTATAATCACGGGGAAGACTCACGTGAAAAGGCGCGAAAGCTTGCCTGACTTCGAGCACCGCAGACTTCTCCTCCTATTGTACCAAGTCCGCTTGAAGCTCTCCTTCGAGACACCAGGGAAACGATCGCGAATGTCGTCCCACCAATAGTCTCTATTGTCCTCGAGCATCTTAGTGATCGTCTCGGTGAGATGTTGCTCTTCAGTGAGCGACGGCATAGTCCCTGATGTGTCATAGGGCCTGGCTGCGTTTCTCGCTTCAGGACTCTCCGGGTCGGTCTGTCCCGATTCAGCTTGCGATTCGGCGTCCGATTCGGCGTCCGATTCGGCGTCAATTTCAGTATCCACGGTTGCCGATTCAGAAATGGAGCTATTGGGAACTGTCGACTGGGAATCCGCCACTGAGTAGCCCGGCCTATAACATGTCAGTCCATCCAAGCAAATGGGCAGTGACATACCTTAGCTTGAGGTTGCATATCAACCTATCTCTTTTCCCGACAGGCAAATCTCTGACAGCCTCAGAGGGGAGAGGAGGATCCAAGCAGAGATGTCCATGCTCCGTGAATATCCTTGATATTACCTGTACCCCCTTCGCCCCGATAAACACCACTATATGGCCAACTGGGCTCTCGGGGAGGTCAAAGCTGACGGAGTAAACCTTGTTCATGCCGGGGTACTGGAGAAGGACCTCTTCGGCGATTCCAAGGGAAGTGATGACCTCCTCCTTCCGTAGTTCCGCTCTCACATGACCGGTGTCCTCTGGAAGCTCTGCCGTAGCCTTGTAGCGTCTGCCCCCTAAGCAAGATAGCTGTGCAAAACGTTGCCAAGGGGAAAACTGGACGTAACTAGATGAAGATTAGTAGTGATCTTGGGGTAAGTGGTAATCTTACATTTCTGTGTCATTCCTCGAGATAAGCTGAATATCCTCTCTCTCAATATCGAAGGAGCTTAATACAGCTCTTTGGAAGTTCTTGAGGAAGGGTTGGTCGTCTTTCCGAGTAGAGTGCACTGTGCCTTGACGTGTAACATATGCTATACTGCCGATAGATCGAGACGAGGCGCCACTGGTGTTCCGGAGAAAGCTATACATGAAAGTCTTGTATTCCATCTTGCAGCTTGTGCCCTAGAGGAGGTGCAGACGAAGACACCGTGGGCGATGTATTTGTAATCCCCTGAGATGGAAGATGAAATTACCCAACAGCCTTGTGACGCCACAAAGCTGGAAGCATCGCCGTAAAAGTGCAAATGGTTATCCACATCGATGCTACTATCTCTGGGGTCTGCAGCCTGACTCACTTGTTCCAGTGGGGTGTGCAGGAGCTATCTAGATCCAGACTTATTCCGGGTTATTGTCAGGGGAGGAGACTCAAGCTGCAGGAGCGTCCCGATTACGCGTACAGGGGTCATTCCTGGGGTGATGGGGCAGCCAGCATCAATGCAAGAGCTGGCAGTGGCACTAGTGTGGCGGCATTTGTACTCCCACCATGTCCATGTTTACGATAGACAATTGGGACTAACGCATGTGCAAGGTCCCTCGTCTCCAACCCCTTTTATCACTAGTCATACCGCGTCTTGCTCCTGAGCTTCAGGGGACCACTGTGGCGGCGGTGCCATCTCACGGGCGTAATGCTAGCCCAGTTTCTCAGCCAAGGACACTGTTTGCCGAGTCTCCAACCACAACCCACCCTGTTCCGACGGGTGCCTCGTGTTTCGGTTCAACGTACCTACAGTCTCCCCCCACTGCTTGGCTTCATCTGATTAGGCCTCGACCCTTAATTGCCCAGCAGACAGTCCAACTAGCTCCTGTAATGGTTGATAGAGTGAAAGAAAATTGAATGGACAATTTATCAAGAACACTATTTATTCCCTCAGTTTACTCACTGCAAAGCACACCGCCCAATGCTGCCTATGGTTTCAATACCAAAAAGGTCAAACCCCCCACCCGCAACCCAACATTGACCTAATCGACGGCAATCCCCATATTTACATCCCTGGGATCTAATGGCTCGTTTGCCGTCTTTTCTTCATCTGGGGCTCTGGTGAAGGGTCATCAATGTTGCCTTGTTCCGCACAGCATCTTGAGCGCTTCCCAGTTGGCTCTTGCAAGCATTTTATGAAAAGACGACGGGTCCTAGTCCTTATGTCAGTACTGAACGGTACCCTGTGCTGAAACTCACAATTTGAAGCAAACACCCTCCGCTTGCGTCAATTGGGAGCTGATCTCGTCTCTATTAGAGGAGAATTCTGTGAATAAGAGAAGCCGACGACTTGGAGTGTAAACGAGATTGGAATATGGCACAGATCCCATCTTGGCGTTCAACTTGATGCAAAAGCCGTGCTCCTTGAATGTGATATCCAATGTCATTCTCCGACACATTTCTCGGTCTTTAACCCATTCAGTCGCATTGTTGCCATCGATCTCGAACTCACACACTTCGATATGCCCTTGTGCGCAGAGTTTACTTCAAAAGATGTATTGTCAGCTTCCAAATCATGGTCATGCTGGAAAGTTGATTACCGGTTAAGAGCGAAAATTTCCTCTTCGAGATTCTCATCGGCTCCCAGTGAAGCGGTAAGGATTATGTCGAATACCCTCGCATCAAACTCATCCTCGTTCCTCCAATTTTTGGGTCGTCTAATCCAATTAGTACAGATATGATGCAAACTGAAGACAAAGGCGGACAAACTCCTGCGTCGCAAGGCTGAAGAACAATTCTGCAGGGCAAACTACGTTTGCCCTTGGGCAACGTTTCGCTGTTTCAATTAGCCGAGGACGAAATACAGCCACGATTACCAACAGACCGTATCCATGAGCAAGAATTGCGCTTGCAAATCCATAGCCGTGTATGAGAACCGAAGAAGACTCATCTGACACGCTGGAGAAACCCTCTGTAGCAAACAGTTCATATATGTTCCGTTCCTCTTCGCGGTCGATTGCGTGATAACGAACTTCTTCACTACCGTCGCCGCTGTCATCTACGTCACCGGTTGAAGACGGTGCTGTATATTGGGACCCATCTGTGCAACTGTTAGTTGAAGTAGATGCAAAGGAGTCTGGCGTTATTACCATTGTCTGTGTCATATGTCTCATTGGAAGACAAATCATAATCTTGGTATTCACCCGTCAGAGTCCCAGGAAATGGCCTTTCGAGTTCGCTTTCCTCATTTGCGGCTCCGGCTGCCTTCTGGTGGTTCGCGGACGGCTGTTCCATGTCGCTGAACGGGAGTACTGTATGAGACCTGTGTAACAGACTTCATGCAGGAAGCTGCAGGAGGGAAGATGGCGGACAAGGTGTATTCGTATGCCACAGCTCGCTTAATCGACAAGAGCGCCACTTTGGCGCTAGTTTGGACCACCTGACGGAAATTCAAGCAATGACCAAGTTAAACCCCGGAGCTGTCGGGAAATTGAGGTATTTGTCAGAGAAAATCTCAGCCGATCGAACATCCCCACTGAGGGGAGTGGTTACGCATGAGATCGGCTGATTACAGCTACAGGTCCACTTGTCTGTGATCTCAGGGGTATTGCCTAATCCGGGCCCCATATCGTGTTGAACCAAATCTTACATGGCCCCCAGCGCTAGACTAGTAGGCTCAGCTTGATTCAGGGGGCTTCCCCGTCGTGATCCGACAGGGCTGCATAGTAAAATTAAAGCTGGAAGGGTCTCAGTGTCGCTAGTTGATCATGCTAGTGCAATATGCAATCATCGCGGGCTGAATTGGCGTCGACCTGAGACTCTCTGAATGCTCAATATCCCGGTCATAATGCCCTTCTTTCCTCTTCCCTCGCCGCGATATTTTCAAGCGGTTTCCGGTGTCCTTCGGTCTGGGTGGCCTTGTTTGCTACATATGCATCCCAGTGCAATTCCACAAATACACAAGATCGCCATGCTATTTCAATCTCTGCATCTTACTTCCATACCCTTCACGCAATCTTTCTCCAAACCTCCAATGGACTGCAACATTAACAAATATTACAACCGTATTATTGCCCTAGCTGATTATCTTGAGCGTTGGCATCAGGAAAGATGCGACCCCCCATGCAAACATGCCCGTTTTGAGAGCTCCCCTTCCTCGGATTCCATCAAAGTCCTACCTCGATGAAATTATGCCAGCGACATATCATGCGAATGCGGCAGTTTATCAGTTTGGAGCATACTATATACCATTACCTCTCCCCACCAGATCTAGTGAAAGAACACAGTGAAATTGTGATATTTCTCTCAGACACCCAGAATGGTATGGACCACACAAGGAGTTAGAGGTTCTTTCTTCACTGTGTCAAAAGTTATGGCGCATCACTTATTCTCCTCCCCGGTCTCTGAATAAGTTTCGCCCATGGGTGCTTGCTAGGCTGTTGCCTCTCACGGCACGCCGCTAGCACGGCATCAGTATTTCTGGACTTGTCGTTTGGTATAATTTTGTTACGACTAACCACAGATAACATCTCCCCTAGGACAAGTCAACTGGGACGATCAGGAATAAATGTTCCACAGCTTACCAGTATTGTTTGCTTACAATATTAGGCGGGCATCTCCGCTCTGTCTCAATATATTTGAGGCACCATGACTCAACAAGGTGGTAGTGATGTTGGCATGATAGCTCTTTCTGTATTCTAGTTAGCCTGCGAGCGCAATGCCCATCGGAACACTGACGTAGATATAGTTACACATGGCAGAGTCCAGGAAGGAAGAATAAGATTGCGAACATTTGACCGCCCGCGACAGCTGGGGATTGTCTCCTTTATGTTGGCGACGGCGATTCAGCAATCCGCATGGTGGCTTCGGCAACAACTAGCGGACATGGTGTCACTTAGTGGTAACGTGACTAAATTCGTCACCCTTCAGGGGTCTCAATACGAACTGATGCTAGTGGCAATGGAGGTTTCCTTCCTCTTCGCCACGGAGGACACTCCTTCGGCCGCTCTGACCAGACCCTTCCACTCCTTCGGCGCGTACTCGTAGGGCAATAATTACATCGGCTACACTAATACCAGTTTGCTCGTACCACAAGTGAAAACGTGCTGCAGCTGCGTTTGCTCGCATGACAGCAAGTCACGGGACGGCAGACAAGAAGTGGACCCCATGCTATCTCATGGAGAGCAATCTCCACCCTCTGAGTTTGTGCAATCGGGGTCAACATCCGCAATGATGTGATTATCTCTGTGATAAGTTGATTAACGCACATGCGGTAGATTCAAGTCAGCCCCTGGCTCGGATTCCCGCTGCTCAAAGCCTGTTGAAGCCACATCAACAGGGTTAGGGGCACGTCTCAGGGTACTCACGGACGATCAACACAGAGTCTTTGAAGCTCTCTCACCGGCATCACCTGCGGCTTGAGATGGAGACATGATACCCCTCGGACCGGCCTGTACCCACGGACCCATGGATCAGCTGAAAAGTGGCGAACTGACGTGCTGTTTACCGTGTCTAATGTGGGCGTCTCGCAGGGAGGGGTTGCAGAGTGAGCAGAGTGACGGTCTCATCCTTCGGCCGCCATCCTTGAGAGTTCCGCCATTCCGTAATGGGAGATGATACCTTTCACCAATAAAAAGGGTGACGAAGCGAAGCCCAGCATTGAGAAGGACCCCTCCGCCAATCGTGGCCGGCCTTGATCCCGGGATGAGTGACCGACTTTCCGTTAGGTGCAGGCTTCGCCACCGGGTACGTCGGCTATTTGACCGGCTTATGATCAAGGTTGAAGCGGTTAGCCAGCTGATGCTACCAAAAGCAAGCAATAGAACAGTGAAAGAAAGGCCACCCAATGCCCACATGCCGTTGGGAATCGTGATCGCCGATCTTGCCTATTTAGGCTTTCAACTTTTTTAGCGCAAATTGGTTCCCACTTATCGGAACACATGCATATACGAGACGGCGGATGGTTCCCCACTCCCTCCTTTATCACGCATGTCTCGATGCATGGGCCTCAATTCAATCTTACCACAAGGACAGCAGGCCCTCCCCCCTTTCATCAAATACCATTCCACAACCTAGGGAGCCTAATATGCATTTATACCAAATCCAGTGAGGGGCCACGAACCCCGAGTCCACCACAAGCTTGGCAAGTTGAGATATTTCATCTCGAATTGGTTGAGGATGCTTGGTATAGCCCTGGCTTACCCTGTCGGCACGGCATTCCCAAACAAAGAGTGATTTAATTGACTCCATACAGGGGCCCTCGAGTGGGACACCCAGCGACAAGCGCTGGGCCTGGACTCTCGGTCATCCCGCTATCACTGGCAATCAATTTTGAACGCACCTTACTCGGCAGTGCATTGGTATCACTCATTGTCGTAAATTACTCATTACAGATTGTCTTCCCCGCTTAGCCAAGTTTCTTAGCCTTCTTCCATCGATCGCAATGCGTCATCGTTGTCCTCCAGCGTCTGGGCAGTCTCGGTTGGTTTGGTTTGTTTCTCTGCCTGATCTTAGGATGTATCAAACTGAAAGAGCGGGCGCCTTACTATTACTCTTCATGGAAACGCTGTACCTGTCACCAGGCTTCTTCAACTTGGTTTGGAGTTTCAGGGAGTTCCACCATTTGTCTCCAAGTGTAATGCCGACAAGGACCTTCAGCAGACCGATCTGGCAGCTGAACTTAACTGCATCCTTCTTGGGCTTGTGAATAATCGTGAAAAATGTCTTACAGTACGGAACAGGCAGTCGGACTTTTGCGGTTTTCTTTTCTATAGTCAAGCCTTAGCATCGCACAAGCGTAGGCAAGCAGCTTACCGTGTATGCCCCAGGTGAATCTGATCCATTTGGGAGGTTTCACCCTGCACCAAATCCTGAACGAGCCCGGTGCGTCCTTGCCAATACTGTAGACAAGAAGAGTTTTGAAAAATACCACGGAGCAGCCAAGTTTGACGGTGGTCTTATTGGACTGTTGGGAGATGGCGTAGAAGATCGAAAAAAATCGGAACGGGAGTTTGAGCTTGAGGGATCCCTTGCCTTCTCTCTCAGTGGTTCCACAATACCCCCAACGCCATGCATATCGTAGCACGCGATAGATAAGGATAAGATACGATGTCCAATCGAGGAGGAAACCGGCTAACTGGACCCAAGAAAAAGGTACGCAGTCCTGGCCTAGATCCCTCTGGTGTAGGGAATCCATACGGCATTTGTTTCAAGCAGACAAAGTGCACATCATGGCATTCAAATACCTCACAAGGGACACATCAGACGTACCTCACGTCATCAATTATGCATGCATCTCCTTTTCCAGTAATGCAGCATTCTCAGGGGGTATCAGCCATGGAACCTGTCAAGGTGAGGGGTCCAGCTGTCGTGGCTCCACACCCATAGGATAATTGGAAGGGAGAGGGAAAAGTTGAAAGACCAATGTAGCTAGTGCGATTTCTCTTTCCTCCACCTCACCGACTCCTTCACCCAGCCGCCAATGAAGTCAAAGCATGAGATACCACATCACCGCGCTGCTGGGAACACCATCTTTTCCGTGTGGTGTGGCTGAACCAAAAGAAATATGGGTGTCACCCCATCGCGGAAGTCCCTTCCGGTCCAATTGTGTGTCCAGCAACCGTTGCTGCCTTGGGCACAAATGCTGATCGCGCCCGAGTGGCATGTCTCGGCGTTTGTCGTATTTGCGCTTGGGATGGTCGAGTCCAAAGATCTCACATTGGTTCTATGGCTTTGACTTCAAGTGTGACTACTAAAAAAGGCAGCCCGTTCTCCTTGTCCTGTGCGTACAAAGCCTTGTCCATGTAACAGAGTATCTGATCTGGCTTCCACTCCACTTCCTCAACACGATCCCCTGGGTATTGGTTTTGTTTTTGCTTATCAGGGACCATTTTCATTTTCACATCGTGGTCCCGCAGTAGCACAGCGAGAGCCAGGGACTCTCCCGCTGCCATTGAGCAATCAAAGTCAAGTTCAAAGGCCTGAGATTGGATCGGTCGATTGAAGTCCACAACTCTCATGCCAACGCTTTCCGTTATTGTCCCGATCATGATAGCCTGGCAAGAAATTAGCAACACCAATGGCGAACAATGCAGGTCGGCCCACCTGGTTCTTCACGAAACGGCACAATTCCGCACATGACTTTGGTTGCCCATACTGCTTGAGTTGCTTATGTTCCGCAATTGGGTCCATACTCTCGATCTCCTTACTCGCTCTTTTCCGTATATCTTCTAGACCTCCACAGAGGGGCATGAATGTATAGAATGGCGGCGATCTCTTCGGAGTGGCGTCTTTGCTTTCCACCAGATCGGAAAACCTCATAAGACACCGCTCGACCTCATCACCACTTCCCAGTTAGATACGAGTACGTAAGTTGTACAAAACACGTACCGGAACTTCTCCCCAAAAAGGACATATATCACATTGGGGGCACGGAGACAAGTCGAATCCAGCCGTGTCTCAGGTTTGATGAACGTGATAGACTCCGCTCGTAACACTTCCTCCAAAATCGAGAAGTGTTGATCAGTAAAGTTAGAAAGAGTTTTCAGGCATGGTTCTAGGAGAAGTTAGTAGTGTATCTCGACCAAAGTTTCATGGATCACAGACTGCGGAATTCCAACAAAATATAGGCATAGAGAGAGACCTCCTCATGGCGATAGAGAATATCTTGGAGCCGAAGGCATTTCGAGGCTGCGATCCGTATTTTAGCGAGCACCGCGTCGCTTTCGTCCTTGAAGTGGAGGCGCATAATTCTGTTGACAGTTGAAACCCCAAGCATTTTGCTACTTAAGGTCAAGTCGCATGCGCCAGCCAAGATCATCATCTGCGTCTGGCTATCGGCATCGATCCTCTGCGCAATCATCTCCAGTATCTTTCTGCATGTCATCTGCCCACGAGTCTCAGGTGATAGCTCACTAAGGGTAAGTTTATGAAACAGCTCAAGAATCCCGTCTTCGGATTTTGGGTAGTGTGGACCCCAGACGACCTTGTCGGTCCGCCGCCATCCCCCCAGGAGTTTCCTCACTTCCCTCTGTGCGACTTTTGGCGATTTCGGATCGCGCGGCTTCCGTTCGCGCGGCTTACCCTCCTCAAATGAGAACCGACACATAGCTGAGCGATTCTTCGATCGATTACTAGCTGTACGTGCAGAGAAAAGCCGGTCTCGTCATCGATTACTGGGGGTACAGCGCTTGGAGGGAGCGCAATGCTAACTTCATGGAGAAAATCGGTACATTGTCAGGTGACCCAAGGCCATGGCTGACTAACTGCTCCTGCTTGGACTCGGCTGTGTTGGCCATACAGAGTAAGGAGAACGTACCCAGTGCTAAAATGCTAGTGTGGGCAAAGATAGGCACATTATTCGCTACCGCCCCCGGCGCCAAGAGCGGGTCGGGTCAGCTCCAGCTCACTCTAACCGTTTTAGTGTTTCAACTTTTTCCCTGGATGTCCAATCCCCTTTGGTTGGTGGAAGTCTTCCATAATTGGACTAGTGCCGCCTTGCCGCTGAATCACCTCGAGGGACCTCGGGAGGCCAGCCAACCTGCTGCCCAAATGTTTTCGCCTTGCATGGTCCGCGAACCATTCCGCATCACGCATCCATCTGGCATTTCTTTCAGCCCCCTCCCGCTCCCGATCACCAACATAGCTTTCCAAGACAACCTCGATTTGGGCTCTAGCTCCTTGCATGCATCTTGTGAGAGCAGCTCAACGCTCTCGCTGCAGTGTCATCTGGGGACTCCGAACACGACGAATCATGCCAAGTCCCAGGATCACGACGATGATCACCCCCTTGACTTGACTACTGATGAGGATACTCTAGACTCCAAGAACGACGATTGTTCGATCGGTAGCCATGCAACCACGGATGCCAGGTCCGATAGATCCTCCACCTCAGAGGAGCACCCTCCATTCTCAACTGACGACGAGGATTTGACTAGCAGCCATCCAAACCCGGGATGGCACACTGGGTCCCCGCAGCCTCTCGGGGATGATAGTTCAATATTAACCAGCGACGAATTTGCTTCTACGACTGTTGTGATCTTGGGAAGGGAGTTCTTGTACTGCCGAAACGCGGAACGCTTTGTCTCATGGTGAAGATGTTTTCGATGAAGATAAAGGTCAAGCTAATCTTGTCAGGGACCCAATCGACGCCCACTACCATACCTGCCTCCAACTGAAGTGAGTATTCCTTTCAGCATCAGCGTTCATTCACCAACATCGCAGCCGGAAAATGGTTCAACTCAGCACAAGATCATCCGCAAAGATTTTGTTTCATGCTCCACTGGACCTGGCCACTGTCGAGCTAGAGTCTGAGATACAAGTACTGGACGTGGGCGCAGGCGACGGCTCGTGGGCAAGGTACGGTTCCGAAGCGATTTTAGCAACTATACTAACGAGGTGTAGAGACTTCCGGAACTCAAACGCGATTGTCTACGCTGTCGACCTACATGGTGCTTTTGCCATTTACCGAGATGAAGATCCCAATTACCCAGAAAAGCCCAATTGCCCAGAAAATCTCAATCCAGAGATTGACGACCTCGATCGAGAATGGACATATCAGAACGAGATGTTCCATTTCATACGGCTTGGACAGGTTACATGGCTAGGGAATATTGAGACGGTAGTTAAGCAGTGTTACAGATAACAAGAAAGGGGGGTGGACCGAATTCACCTCTCTCGAGGTGGAACCGAAGGACGAACATACGGCCTGGAAGGAATGGATGGACTTGCGTCAAGGCATCTATGATAAGACTGGCCGCGCCTTTGATCACTCTGGCAAGCTGGTAGACCACATGACAGCAGCAGGATTCGTGAATGTCCATCAGGAGAGAACCCTCTTCAGGAATTGTCCCACTGCAATTGACGTCGAAGGACTGGTCATACTCCCCCTATATCTGGCCCTCGGTTGGGTCCCAATCCGCATCGCTGAACTGGTACAGAGAATGCAAAGGGAGTTATCTAGCAATGGACTGGAAATTTACTGGTGCGTCCTATGAACCAAATTGGGAATCATCACTAACCTTTGCGTAGCTGGGTGACTTTGGGGAAGAGACCATAGTGAGAGATACGAATGGGGATAACTAGACTGTACAATATATTGAGTTTCTGTGTCCTGTTTAACAATCTGCTCGGGTGGTTAGAGTGCACACCAACTTCTCCCTCCTTGTAATAGTTCTCTCACTCGCGTCATGCAAAGTCGGTGCAGGTCATCGAATACAGGCTCTAAGTAACGGCTGCAGGTAGGCAGTCGGTGAGACGGTTCCACCTGTTGGCAGTAGGAGTAGGTTGCCTTCCCTAGACCATGCTGGCCGGCGAAGTGGCCGCATGAGCCTATTGCTCCCCCCCTGATTGCGATACTCGGCATCAGCCCCAGGGTCTTCTTTTGTCCTAGTCGATCATCTTCAAGACTCTTTCAGGGTGAAATGCCAGGAGATGAGTTGGCGATGCAGCTGCAGCCTCACCGGGACCAAGCCATGATTGCAACAAGACATGCCATCCACACTCACCGGCGTTAAGATTGGTCTGCGTATAAAACAGACCGTCAGACGAGTTTCTTCATTTTTCTTCATCATCCTTCTCCATTTTCATTGATAAACAAGAAACCAAGAAGGTAAGACTCACAGGTCAAAGTCCTTTCTACATTTAACTTATTCATACTAGCTATGCCTTCCCAAGAACCCATCAAGCCAACCGGCGACAAGGAGGGTGGCAAGGAGGGTGACAAAACCGAACCCCAAATCAACGAACATCACACCCAGTATAGCCTAGACGATTTTGCGAACAAGACAGACTCCAAGGAGGCGACAGAGGATGACAAGAAGGAACAGTCGAAGTAGCTCTGAAGTTCAATGCAACAACTCTTGGTGCCGCTCACAGTTTGAACCTCAAGTCTTCCAGCCTCCGATCCTTTGACATTGGTGTCGCCATTCCAATCTCCTCCCGTGCTACATGCTCTTCCGCAAGAGATCTCGTGCACCGTAAGCTTATCCGCTCAAACTGAATACAGCCGTGACGAGAAATCTTTCACTTGTATCGATTGTTAGCGCATGTTAGTGCAGTTGACCTGTTGGTGCAGTTGACCCTTTGGTGCAGTTGACTGACTGGTGCAGTTGACCGTTTGGTGCATTTGACCCTTGCTGCAGATTATGCAGCTAACTCCTTGGTGCAGCTGACCTGTTGGTGCAGTTGACCTGTTGGTGCAGTTGACCCTTTGGTGCAGTTGACCTGTTGGTGCAGCTGACCCTTTGGTGCAGTTAACCCTTCTTGCATTTGACCCTTGTTGCAGATTATGCAGCTAACTCCTTGGTGCAGTTGACCTGTTGGTGCAGTTGACCGACTGTGCATGCATGACAATAACAGAAGTATGTATTTATTGCATATATGTATATAGAAAGTCTATGTATCTAGCATGCTTGGGCTAGTATTTTGGGATGAGACTACTTACATAATCCATGACCCCATCAGGCATCAAGAATATCAGGCAATCGTGAGACATTTTAAGAACAGATTTGCTGCACCAACATCAGCATCATCAGCGCCTCCTCATCCAACTTACACACGGATCCCATAACTGGACCCAAATTTGTCGCTCCAGCCCAGACTACATCAAGAATCTAGATGCACGACGTAAGCTATGTTCGTTGGGTAAATAGAGATGGCAACGCTAATACTTGATTCAGGGAGAGGAAACACAGAACTTGGATTATCAGTTCTTCGAATATAAAGTTTTTGATGCATGTGACCAGGATCGACTGATGTCTTGGAAGGATGGCGGGGAATGGATTATCTTAAATGGATCACTCAAGCAAACGAAGGTCGGCACAACGGATGAAGTCCTTACCAAAGGCACAAGCGTTGCTGTCATGAAGACAGATTTCAAATTAGTATACCGGGGTCCGCCACAACCCTAGGATCCTCCGTTCGGAGCCACGGGGTCCGGATTCGGATATAAATACAATAGCTCACTGAGCCTTCCACTACTCAGCGCAACGTTGACCCTAAAGTCACCAGTAACGAGAGGCTCGACGTCAACAGCATTTTGTATCCCTGCCTGCTTCCCAAATGTACTCTCCAGTATCCAGTCAGATATCGGGCTGCCTAACTCCTCTGTCAATGTGTGAGGATTCAATTTGGCTTCCGTTAACAATCTGCCATAGTCTGAAGCGACAACAAATTCCAACATCATATCGTGCCCAATTTTGGGGGGAAGATGTAGACTGACAGCACGAGTGATGGGAATGAATTCACCATGCCTCAAGGCGCTAAGGTTTTGCCGATCTTCCTGTTGTCCTAGTTGGCCCTCTTTGATATTTTTCGACATCTTACTTCCTAGGAAGTCTAGCCGGTCCCTACTAGCCCCACTCAGCACAGGACGACGGCCCTCTGAGCCTAACAGATCCCGGATTGAAGGAGGCTGGTAAAAGTTGTGAATCGTTGACAGTTGCATAGACCCAGACTCCGGTAATGGCAAATTCGACGTCAGCTTGCGCTTTTTAGTGCCATTGTTACCCAGGTCTGAGTTGGGCATGGCAAATTGAAGACCAACATTATGCAACTGAGGATAATCTGCGTCGACCTGCTCCAGCTGGGTGATGTTACGGTTGAGAATGGGCAATGATGGGTCTCCGTCAACGGCATGCTCTATGACAATCTCAGCAGAACATTGTGCCCATAACTTCTTCAATAGTGGCCTGATCCATTCTTCACTCGAAACCGTAGAAATGCTCTTGGTTGCGAAATGGAGAGCTCCCTCTAAATTCCGTGAGTGATGAACAGCCAATGGAAAGGGTGGGAAGGCACACCAACTGTTACCAATTCTTTCTCTGGCCCAGTGAGAACCTGGCAGAGTTTTTGCCAGTCATCAAAGAAATCGAATTTCTTGAGATGGTATTCTCCATCTTTGCATTTTTCCTTGAATTTTACATCCTCCTTCGTTGCTTTCGGAACTTCCGTATAGTTCCATGCCCTCAATGCGTACACCGTAAAAAAATGCGATATGAAAACCCTGTCCTCAAAGGAGACATCCTGGAAGACGGTGTCACGATGCGTCGCAACATATCGAGCGCTGGGTAGGATCTTCTTGCGACGAGAGCATATCTCAGGTGGAACTAGCTTTTTGGGCGTTTGTGTCTCCATCGGTTCAGCTACCAAGGCTGACTGGGCTAGATGGTGCAATTAACCTGTTGGCGCAGTGGACCTGTTGGCGAGTTGGTGTGGCGGCTAACGTGCAGTTGGCAAATCGCGCAGACCTGTCAGCACAGATGGCCGTTTGGTGCAGTTGACCGTTTGGTGCAGTTGACCGTTTGGTGCAGTTGACCTGTTGGTGCAGTTGACCTGTTGGTGCAGTTGACCGTTTGGTGTAGTTGACCGTTTGGTGCAGTTGATGGATCCGCTGGTACAGTTTGACGCGTAAAAATACCTCAGCGTCGTCTGCTAGCTAGTATTCCGGAAGATCATAATCCCGAGGCCCGCTACTAGGAGCTCATTGGTCCGTATTGAACACTTGATAAATGCACTGTAGAGCCATGAGAAGGTGTTAAATCTGACCGGGATCATATTAAGACAAATCCTCATGTTCTGCTGTGGGAATGAACATGGCCGCATAAATGGCCAGCTGAAAAAGTCGTGGCATTAGCTAGACCGACTACCTGTGTCTTGCACTGATTCGATGTACTCACCATCTTTGTTCGCTCTAGGTATAAGAACGAACTCGTGCTCCTACGCAACTGATATCCTATTCCAGTCAATTCTGCACCTGCATTGCGATATCCATCAGAATGCTTTCCTTAAAGCCTTCGTAAGCATAAAATCTATATATTCTTACTAGAAACTAATCTTTTCCAGTCCGATAGCCCCGATAACTACCACATTTCATCCGACAGAGGACTATCCGTGTCCAGCTCCTCCACCCAACTCGCCGGTGACGTGATTCCTGACTACCCTTTCTCCACCAGAGTAGTCAGGGGGCAACGATGGTGATGTAATTTGACCTCATTTTGGTTAATTTAGTCGGGGGCAAAATATTTGACTCTATGACACACACGACGACTTGAGTCGTAGCAATATACACTGCACGCTGTTCTTTCAGGTTCTGTATGCATATTTGTCAACAAAAGTATATATAAAGCGAAGTATTTGATTACTCAAATCGCCTGGCCTTTGAGTCGCACACCCGATTGTCTGGATGAGAGTCAATCCTCAGGCAAATAGAATCAGGCTCTAGCCACTAGAACGCCTTACATGGTGTGAACTTGCGTAGCCCCTGAACTAAGTCGTGAGGGGCAACATCTTCGGCGCCGAGCCTTCTGGAGTCACTCAGCTCGGTCCCTTAGTAAGACAATAAAGCCGAGGGGATGCATACGCCATGTTTCATTCTCCCCCCCTCCGGCAGAAATCTTAGCAGGGTTAAAACCATGCCACGCGGACTGATGCAGTGGGTATTCAGGTGTGGCGCGGACAGAGGTACGGGCTCGGATCTAATACTAGAGATCAATGCGCTAGGAGATAACTAGGGAGTGTCAACTGACCTCCCCGATCAAATGAAAAAGGTGCAAGTCAACTAGCCTCCCCACCTGCACGTCTACTGAGAGTTCTGTGTCACCACGAGGCCACAGTAGTTAATAAATGAGCAAAAGTCCACTCGCCTCAGGTCTCTGCTCATTGATATCCTCCTAACTTAAATGGACATACCAAACCAGCTCAGATTCAATAACGGGGATTCTCGAGTCCTCAGTTATCCTCCGCACTAGATGCCAATCCACTATTCAGTGGTATTGGTGGCACAAAATCACCCAAAATTTCGATCTTTCGCATTCAAGGTTTGGGCATTCACTTATCTTCTTTGGAGCTTCCCTTGTATCATAGACGTCGCAATTTCCAGCCAGACCGTCGAGCAGACTTTGGAGCTAAACAAGAGTCCCTCCAACGATGTTTCGGCCGGTAGGAGAGATATCTCAGAACCAAGACGAAATAACACTAGAGACAAGTCAGAGACAACTCCCAAACACAGTCCTGGACGACGGGCCAGACCAGCTCAAACAAGACAACAATAAAGAGAGGCAACTGCTTGAGATCTTCTCCGAGTTGAAGGTATGACTGGATTCAGCAAACATGAGGATCAAATCGACGTACACAACTAATTTTTCCTTTATAGCTCCCATACGGCATATTAAATCTCATATGGGCCGATCCATATGATTTTCTGTCTTACCGGGGTCTTTGGTACAACAAGATTCCCACCTTGGAGAAGGCCGACAATGACATTTTGATGCTCATTATATGGTTATCGAAGAGTCATGCGACCAATTCTTTTTTAAGAAAATGGGTGAATAGTGAGGAAGGGAGATTGATATTCGACTGTGCAATGTGTAGCATTCAATCTATCCAAGAGAGAGAGCAGCTTGTACTGCTCGTGCTGAGTATGCTGTGCTTTTCGAGAATGCTCCCCTCCTCAGGCATTGAAGTGCCTGCCTATGATTCCGATCTCTTGCAGTTCGATGCAGTTTTGCACAAGAGGGAGCTGAGCCTGCGTGTATTGGAACGAATGGTTCCTATGATCGAACGGGTACTTTCATGTAATGATTATGGAGGCACTCTGCGAGATTTGATTTGGGCTTCTGTTCATCTGGAAGATCTCGCTTCAGCAAAGGGCCCGCAGTTTTCTTATGATTACTGGTATTCTAGGATGTGCGAGAAGGATCCGGGTCATCTAACGGCCCTGGAGAATGTGCAGAGCAGAATGAATAGAGACTAGACAAGAGGCAGCATGTTGTGTGGTATTTCACCCTGTGGCATCGCTTAAATGAATTAGGCCTTTCCTAAACGTTATTCCTCAAGACAACCACCGTCTACTGCCTAGTGACGCTGTTGAGATACCCTCAGGTGCAGTAACATAGTCCTGTTATTGTCCATATGTATTCCACGTGACGCGGGTAGTCCTTTATGCATCCATTTGTTGCCATCCCGGTCTCTTCGCAACGGGCTGAAGGCGTTGGTAGCGTTGAGCTTCAATTGATACTCACCCGGCGGATTTTCAAGGCTGAAAGGTGACACGTCTTTGCCTAAACCGCACATAACCCACCATCAGCAACCAAAAAAACGTGCAGATTGCCAAGAGCTGCGGTACCGCTACAACTAGTGACTTCCAGGTAGAGCTGACCAGCTTGATCGGTCCGTCTCCGCTCGGTTCAAGGGTGTGGGCTTGGTCGGTGAGGTCGCGTAGGTTAGGCAGGCGCACAACATGACAGGTCAGGTGCGGGGTAGCGTAGAAGGTGTGATGACGCCGCCCCGTTTTCAACAACTTTAGAATACTGGGCAGGTAGAGCCGTGAATGTATGTATGCAGTGCGGCTAGAATCTTCGAGGAGGGAGTGAAGGAAATTCGCGCAATGCCAACTTGTTCGCTCACATGGGGGCTACATGTCAATGTCCCCATAGTCACATTGCTGGGAAATGGATATAAATACAGCATATGATCCTCTCCCTATCTTGGCTTGACTCACCACCATCTTTCGTGAACAGATAAACTCTCCCAGGTTAACAATCACCAAGTTCAAGTACTCAAACATTTGTCATGTCGAGTAGGCAAGGCGGCTAGATTCCTTCCTCATTGATTACCCAGTCGAACCGCTCTCCACCAAACTTCCATCAACATGTCAACATCGTCAGGACGCAAAGGGTCTTGCACAAGATGCGGTCATCAGATGAATGAGCATGCTAAATCCAGTGAATCTAAGTGTAAGAAGTGCAAGAAGGTATTCGACATATGCCAGGTTCCCTACCATGGTCTTGGGAGCGAAAATTCTGGAGGGTGGAGGATTTGTTACGTGCCATGTGCCTGTGGGAACCGATATTATTCTGACAAGGCCAGGGCGGCGAGGCCGCTTGAGCCCCATGAATACATTCCAGGGCACCCTGGATACCGTCCCATAGAGCAAGAAGCTACCGAACACGCCGACATGACGGGCAACGAAGACCTTTCAACGTATACAGCGAGCACGGATACTACACGGGACTATACTGCGCAGTCTCAGTCGTACGGGATGTTCAAAGAGCACGATTCAAACCCAAGTGTACTAGCCACGTCGCCACCTGACACGGAACCATCGAATCTTGGGCACCGACGAACAGTTTCAAACTCGACTGACCCTCTGCATTGGGATGAAGAGAGATTCAGAGAGGAGACATCTATGGCCAGTCTTGCCCAGCAGTTAGACCAAGCTCAACTCGACGACAACGAAGTTCAACCAGATGACAACCTCATTAACGGCACAGAGTCTACTTTTATTGCGGAATTTACTCTAAAGAAGGATCAAATCCAATTCAAGAACGTCAACGGTCAAAAAAGCAGGGCTCCTCAAAACGAATGGACAATGGCTAAGGTGTATTATGAAACTGAACTGGTAGATTGCCTTACATACCTTGCTCCATCAGGAAACCGTTACTACATGTGGCTTCCTTCGGGGTATGCACAAGGCGAAAGTTCAACAGGGCCACATTCAACAAGCCGGAGACGGAAACATAGATCATAGTTTCTATATGGTCAAATTACTCTGTCTTGAACTCTGTTTCGTACTGATGCTTTCTGATTGTACTAGCCACCTGTAGTCAGCTCAGAATTACCCGAAAGTTTTTCCTAATCGATGCCTAAACTTGGAAGATGGGATTTATGATAGCGGACTTGGTCAATGGGTATCGCGTTCACGGCAATGGGTGGACGACAAGTTGTAGTGCCTTTGTTACCTGCATGTACATAGTGGCATTCAGTGCCAGCGTACTTCTGTTGATAATCGTAGCAGGCGATTCGTATGGTTCTTTTTCTTGCTTATGGTTGCACTTTGTGTCCTCCCTGTCCATGACCGGCTTCGTCGGGGATTCTAAGATCTTTTCATCGCATGTTAATGATTCTGATTGCTTCTATTAACTTGTCAACACTACAGGCTCTTCTAGATGTATCAAGCAATGCCCGAAGAGACAATCATTTGTATCCCAATTACGTTCCATACTCACTCAAGGCCTCTCCAGTCCTCCAGCCATGGGTGTGTTTTGATGCCTGGGACGGCTGATATTTCATCATCTCGATCCCCTATGACGTCCTCCATGCAGAAGCTCACCATTCGAAGTGTAGCTTCCCGTGATGGTTCTAGGTTTACATCCCAACTGCATTTCGTAACATGATCCAAAGAGGTTGTGTCCAGGTGGTCAGCTACATCCGGAACGAGCCTGCCAGTGTCCTTCCGGAACCCGCGCTGAATATCATGACCCACCACGTTTTCTCCCTTCTTCATCCACCAGACCCAATGTAAGTAGGATCTGCTCGCGTGGTGTTCCAACGAGGGCCAGAGTTCAAGCTCGATCTCCTGCTTGGGGACAACTCCAAAAGGTCGCCACGATAGTAGAACAGATGTTGTGTCTTGTAGGCGAAAGTTATAGCGAAGTCTGAGAAGGTCAGCCCTTGGAACCAAGTCTTTCAGATCAGAATAAATAGACGACGATTCCTCGTCTAGGAAAGACTGAGGTGACCCAGTCCATGCAGAAACAGTGGTATCTGGCGGTGCCATCGACCCATAACCCCAGCGTTCCTCAAGCGTCTCCAGGTAACGCACAATAAAGCCAGGGATAGCAGGGTTTCCAAGAAGGAAAATGCCTTGCCACCATAGAGCAACGCGCGGACGACGGAATGCAAACGTTTTCGCGAGCATGTCCAAGTTTCCCGCGTCAATAATTGGTCGCACCACACTGAGGATAGAACTCAACCATGGACTGACAACATTACATTGAACTGCTGGCTGCCAGAATACGCTCCAAATAATGGACCCAACAGACATCGGGTGCATACTCAACGTCATGTAATACCGTAGATCCGCGACATATTGACGTATGGGTTCTAGCTCTGCTTGGTCTATACTGCGTCTTCTCAGTGTAGATGTGGAAAAGTGCGGCTGCAGGCCAACAGAACGATAGAATGGGAGCGCAAGTGCCGCCAGAAATGCTGCTGTAACCGGAGATAATGAATCAAACCTTCCGCCCTTGCGCTTGCTGGGCTCAAATCCATACAAGCTGCAGAGCTCTATGAGAAGTTCTGTGGCCTTGTCCGAGCTGGGCGGTCGATCCTTTGGGGCAAATGTTACGACCTCGTCGGTGAAAATGGCAAATTGTGCATCTCCAGAACAGAATGCGGCCCATGGTGCGAAGCCTCCTCCTTCGACTGACCAGCCAGGTTTCGATGCAAGGATAGCAGAGAGCCACCTGACTAAATCGCGGGACGCAGGCGCTCTCATATCGAGATTGATCTCATCTTGTCGAGTGTGTGAAACCTTGGTTGTTCTCGGTTGTAGTGCTTGCATAGTGTACGTAGCAGTCTTGCCCTGGAGTTCCCAAAGCCGGACAGAGAGAATGTACGACCAGCATAGTGTCAAGAGTAAGAGACCTCGAGGAGTAGCTGAGTTTACTTGGGGTGATGCATAACACTCAATCGGCGCAGAAAATGAAAGAGTGAAATGTTTTTGCGTGCCAGATACTTGTTCGAGATCCCAACCTTTGTTATGTGTCTTGTCATCTTGGCCATGCTCGGTGCTCGGTATGTGCCATACTGGCCGTCCAGTCAGTAGATCGGCTTCCGGAAGAGGTGGTAGCGCAGGCACATCGTTCAACATGATGGATGGATCATCGAGACCTGCTGGCAACGAATTCCGAGGAAGGGACTCGGCTAATGCGACTAATTGCGCCCACGTTTCTCGACCTTCTTGGAAAACACGATCGATATCCTCCGGTTTAGGAATGAGAATATCACCATCAACGCCGAGAAGTTTCTCAGGGGTTTGAAGTGAGGTCGTAAATGTAATAGTCGTGTCGTTGTCGCGTGAGGAAACTTCGGTGTTTGGCTGTTTCAAGTCGCTCGTATACGATTCGGGGGGATCCATGGTCGTTGCGAGCATGGACTGAGTACTTGGAATGGAGAACGCGATGAGCTGTGGCGAAGAACAGTCCCTGACATTTACCGGGCGAGTATAATTGAAGGGAGGATGGCTCTGAGAGAGATGATGCAAGATAAATTAGTTTGTCACGGTGGTCGCTTGCGCGATGTGTAGCGCGTTCGCAGCATTTCACGTTGCCAAGACCCAGTGACTGGCATTGTCGGGAAAGCTTTATTCCATAAGTTCCCGTTCTTTGTCATGACTTCATTAGATGACTAATACACATTCGCGGCTTATCTGATAAGGTAAGTTAACTAACTAGTTAACTAACGTAATCTACCACCTTCCCGGTCAGACCCCCTACTCGGTCAAAAATTCCCCGCCGACGCGACCCGCACCTCACGGCAACACAAACTGAGCACAATGACGACAATTTATTGCAAGGGACCGTTAAATCAATTCAGGACTAATCATTACACGTACGGGCAGTGTGTTCAAAGGACCTGCATTTACTTAACCTTGGTGGCGCACGCTGTCTTGGGGCACTTACAGTGGGGCTGCGAAAGTTACGACACACCCCAAGTCAATCCGGTGTCACAGTACCTACACCAACAGAAGGCTTCACTTTCATTTAATTCTAACAAAATCAGATAAATATCAATTAAATATTTATATATATCAATCTGTAGCCTATTGAATAGGGCTTCCAACGGCACCTTCAATATTTTGTATACCAGCCATTTGCGCGAACCACAGCCTGCATCCTGCGCTTCATCGAAAAAATCAGGTTTTGCAGCACCTCCGGCTCAATCTCTTCCCACAGCTCAATCGCGGCTTCAATTAGCCGCTGCTTGGATTCCTCATTTTTAGGCATCGTTGAGAGCTCAGGATATCGCTCGCAGATCCTTGTTTTAAGGATAGCCCATAGGTTTTCAATGGGGTTGAGATCCGGGCTGTAGGGCGGCCAATCTATTACCTCGGCCCTTCTGTTCTCGCACCATTCTAGCAGCCACCCCATCATCAATCGGGACCGAAAAAGAGGGGAATTATCGTGCTGAAAGCGGCTATTTCTAGTGACAATTCGAGGAAGGTATTGCTGCAGGCATTCAAGCAGAACTCGCGCCGTAACGCCGCCACGGTCAGAATCCGGATCGCCGTAAAGAGGGACTATTGGAATGCGCCTGTGATAGCTGAAGCCACTGAAAAACATCTGCGAATGCCTTGTTGGAGTGTACGTGGCCGGCCGGGCCTGGGTTGGTCTTGACCACTCTTTTGATCTTTACCATACCGTAAATTGCGTGCCGACTTAGCCCCTCATCGCGCGCGATTGCGGCGGCGGACAAGCCCGAATTGTACCTCCAAACAATCCTCGTTCTCGTATGAGGCGAATGATGTATTTGCGACACCATTCTGACTTAATTTGGCTGCGCAATAAGTCGTTAAAGTTGAGGGTTGATTATTGTGTAGGTAGAGGGAAAGCGGGGTACATGAAAATGTGTCGTAACTTTTGGCCCCCCACTGTAGCTCCTGCTCCTCTTCTATCCGTCGTTTGACCCGCTCCTTTTCTTCTCGCCGTCGCTTGGTCTACTCCTCTTCCTTTTCTCGCCGTAGCCTGAGACACTCTTCGTCCTCTTGTCGCCGTCGCTCGGCCCGCTCCTCTTCTTCTTGCCGTCGCTTGGCCCGCTCCTCTTCCTTCACTCGCCGTCGCTTGACTCGCTCCTCTTCCTCTTCTCGACGTCGCTTAACCCGCTCTTCTCCTTCTTCTCGCCGTCGCCTTATCCTAGCCGTACCTTCTGCAACCGACAGAGTCCCGCCTTCGCTAATGTATTCACGGCGTTGTTCTTTTTTCTGCTTTTGCCGTAGGTTTCCTGACCGTAGTTGTCGGTTTTCGTCGGCAAGGAGGGCGGCGCTATGCATGGCCATTTGACAGCCTTTAATAAGCTGGTTGATAGCTTGTGAGACTGGCGAGTCTGGGATTTGTGGCCGGCGTTCAAGAAGCCTTTCGGCGTGAGTGTTAAGCTGGTTAACGTTACACGGGGTCTTGTAAGATTCCAGCCTCTTGTGGGGGCTTGGAGTGTTCTTATCACCGTGATCGTTACCCACTTTGTCAACCTGAACTTGTAACCGCGATAATACCCTGTCTGCGAGGGTGCTGAAGAGAGAGAGATTATTCGATTATAGCCCAACATGGGATCTACGACCGCATTCGAGACCTTTGGGGCCATATTACTATGACAGTGGTGTGCTCGTAAGTTCCGGCTATACAAGCTGCGTATCCTACACTATGACGCAGAGCCACGCAGTATATCATACTGTACGACTTACGCCATGACAAAGTGATAGTTGTGGACTTGAGCGAGCAGAGGGCCTTCCCCGTGAACCTATTAGACTTATCAGCCTGAGTAGCTAAAACCGGAAGAAATGTATGGCCAAGAAGCCGAACAAGAATACTCTGCCAAGAGGTGGAGTTGCGGTCTTTAAAGATGCGCGTGTCAAGGTGTGTCTACATCGACCGTGGCGCTGCTTAATAAAGGTTAGAACAGCAATGATCTTCACTTTTGCTCATGAGGGTAGTAAGACTGGATCAAACGACATGGAGAGCAAAGAGGTGACTGATTTTGTACTCCCCTGGATCAGACCCATGACAAGCCGCGTGCCTAGACGCAGAGTCTCAAGTACATTTAATTAATCGTGGGCCATTGGCAGGGGCAATCTTGGTATCGGATATCACCCTGATGGCGAGACGGTGGAGACTACATACCCGGTAGGCGATGGTGATGATGGTTTAGATTGAATGAAGAAAAGAAGAAAGGAAGAAAGGGCAAACGTGGTGGAAGACAGGGCTTCAATAGGTACTGGGGCATATGAACTACGCAAACGAAAGTGCCAGCATTATTAGGAGACCAGTGCCTCGGGGTTTATAAGTTTTAGTTTTCTGGCAGTTCATATGCACCTGCAAGGAAGGGTGCTATCAAGGGGGATAGCTTCAGCGTTAATGCTCATCACATGAACTGGTGGCATGGGGTTGTCATCTTCAGTCATTCGGACATCGCCGTTGGGATCGGGAAGCTCCTCACCATCCCAATTGACCACTTCATCTACATCAACATATCAACATGGCTTACGCCAATGTTTTCTGGCACAAACATAATTGGCCTTGTATAATATGGTTTGAGAGGAACAAAAAAAAAAAAAAAGTAGGAGAGGAAAGAACAAGGTGGGAGAGGAAAAAAAGGGCAAAAAAGGGCAAAAAAGGGCAAAAAAAGGGCCAAAAAAGGTGTTGTGAGCAACTGGGGGCTCCAGGGCTTTATATACTTTTTGGTAGACCCACTTGACTCGCTGCGACAACACGCAAGTATTCCATGACATTCCATGCCATTCTATGGAGCTCGTGCCGACTTTTTTTCCGCGCAGATTTGATCACGTGAACTCACTTTTTTCATGTTGCAGTTATCACCAAACAGTGCAGGATGAGGACTGGTATGTCTTCGTGGGCCGCCCACACGGATGATTTCCGACTCTCCCTCCTGCCCAGCTCCAACCCCAGCTCTGAGCCCTCCAGCCCGGACAGAAAGTAGCGCTTCAAGAGCGCCTCGAACCAATCCCTCTTGTCCAGCTCCAACCTGGACAGCGCCCTCGCTTCCCAGGCGCCCACGGCGAACCACTGGCTGTCCCAGCCCTACGCGACCACAGACCCAAACCAACCTCCTCCCATCAAGGCTCCTCCCGCCACGTCAAACAAGATGCATCAAACATCTTCGCGCTTGTTGCGCATGACGGACGATGACCGGCCTTTCACAAGGGCATGTACCATGGTTCTACAATACTTACATCTGCCTCGCCGTTTTTTGTGCGCCGATGGCTCTGCGGCCTTCTGCGCGGGCATGAGACGCCACCGTCTTAAACGCAGCTCCCGTACCCGTTCTCTTCTGAGCGATGGCTGACTTTGTTTGCACAACAGGACTTCGAGAATCTCTTTTCCACTCTCGTCGTCAGTCTGTTGCCGCTCTCTGCCCACCGCGTCCGATTGACTAAGGTCGAGTATACCTTCCTCTCCGAGGATGCTATCAACAACCTTGGATCTCTCAAGTTCTCCCAGTCAAACCGCATGCCCGATCCCAAGGACCCTTCTCGCATTATCACCACCACCACAACGACTACCTTCTCTATGGCTAAGGATATAGCCCGCTCTATCTACCAGCGCTTCGTTGAGGCCCGCTTTATTGAGGCTGCTGACGGCAAGTACCAGCAGGTGTACAACATGAAGGGATCCGTCTGGAAATTGACGCCTAAAGGAGTCGCTGTGCTGGACAGGTTCTGCTTGAGAAACGGCATTCAGCAGAAGCAGGTGACAGAACTGGCCAACCTCGGTGCGACCCAGCTAGTGCTCTTCGAGCGAGATGCCCAAACGGATAAGTTGCTTCAGGACCAGGGTACTATCGAGGTCATTTTCCGCCGGTTCGTTGGTTCTGAGGGCCGAAACATCAAGTCGACGGTCAACGCTGCTGATTCGGACTCGCTAGACGATTACAGGGAAGGCCTGACCGGTGTTAAGATGGCTGCTGAGCGTAAGGTGAACGGAAAGTCGTATCTCGACACCTTCACTGGCAAGGCTGCTACTGACTGGCTAATGAACTGCTCCACTATTGTCGATCGCCGCGAGACTGTTCAGATTGTTGCTCTTTTCGTCGAGTACGATCTGGTTGAGGTTGTCGCCCAAGATCGAGCCTACATGTCCCAGAACCCTGGCTACAACGTGTTCCAGCCCACCAAGTATGCTATCTACCAAATCTCGCAGCGCGGCAAGGATCTTCTCAACGGTACTGGCTCGAGGGGACGTGCCTTGGAAAGCGAAGGCGATGCCCCTTCGCAGCGAAACGGCATTCCCCGTGACTCCAACACTCCGCGACTCGACAAGATTCTCACTGACCCTGCACTCCGCCTGCTCTTCCGCGAGAACCTTCGCGATACCCACTGCGAGGAGAACCTGTCGTTCTACCAGGATGTGGATGAGTTCGTCCACAGCTGCAAGGCCGTGACCCGTGCAGCCCAGAAGAACCCCAGCAGCACCTCGATGGACGGCGTCGAGGAGATCATGGCCCAAGCGTATGGGATCTACAACGCTTTCCTGGCCCCCGGGTCTCCTTGCGAGCTCAACATTGACCACCAGCTCCGCAACAACCTTGCCACCCGAATGACTAAGGCCGTTAGACAGGACGTTGCCATGATCGACACCCTCCAAGAAGTGACGTCCCTCTTTGAGGACGCCCAAAACGCGGTTTTCAAGCTGATGGCTAGTGTAAGTTTTGACTAAACCACTTTCTCGCCACGCCGACGGGCGCTGACAATGTATCTGCAGGATTCCGTGCCCAAGTTCCTTCGCAGCCCCAGGTACGAGCAGCAACTGCGAAATTACGAGTCCGACGTTGTCGCCCAAGGCCCTCAGCGCAGCCACAGCCGTCCAACCGAAAGTGAACTATTAACGCCGAATGCCGACGTTCGCTGCAGGTGAGACGGTCGGCTCCGTGCAGCACGACTCATCCAACCACACCTTGTGCCTCATTTCACGAGTCACTTGCATGCAGCCCACTGATTGATTTGACTACCATATGTGCATGAACTTTCTCTTGTTTATTTCCAACCTTAGAATGAGTTATGGTGATCACGTGAGGAGAGCAGACAAAGAATGTCTCGTGTGAAATCACGTTGGGATGATAATCCCAACCGAGTAGATGATAGCTGAAATAATAGACAAGTGCTTCTGTAAAGTGGATTCGATGCAGTCGACCAAAAGACCCAAATGCTGAGCAGCCGTTTTGTCTTGGCAGTCCACCACACGCTGATGATGGGCTTTCAATTCTCCACGAACGTGAAATAGAATATTTCGATCGATCTGTTCAGCATTAGCGGTTGTAATATGTAGGCTCCACTAAAACCATATGGAGGGCGTTTCATCTGCCAGAGAGACAACTCGAATATCGCGACAGACTTCTCTCGGGACATCTCGCAATGACGGGGACTTGACATCGATAAAAGATGTAATTTCATCTGTTTTCCTATCTGAAAGAATTTTGTCAGCAGGATCTTAAGATAGGGATACAAAACTCACCAATCCTATCCCGAACGAGGAAGACATACATACTGGTCGAGATCTTTGACTCCTGGACCAGCTGTCTCAACGATCTTGTATTTCCAAGATTTCTCGTCCCACCTGTCGCATCCATTAGCAATGGTATTTTTACTGGAATGATTATCATATCTGTATAGTCTTTGTAGACTTCCGATTCAAACTCATGGGTATAGGATAGGTACACTTCTAGCAGAGTAAACGTCATGCATTAGACTTAGTAGAGAAAATAACATAGACTTAATACGGATGCACACCGGAATTGACAGGGATTGATAGATGGGCGCGGCTTACTTTGGACTCAAGGACATTTTGCTCTCGCCGCATTATCTTGGAAACATCGAAGTTCATGGTGGCAGTGCTTAGTTTGTTCCTATTAACCGCGGTATGACGTTTGATCAGTCTTGATATCGACTGGCCTTTGTCTGGATTGGTCAACTGAACCTGTTTCCTATTCCTGATTCTTATTTATATCATGTTGGGCCTAGCTTTCTAGTATTGATGAGCAGGACAACTGGTTGACCATTCTTGTCTGCCTTACAGTAGCAATAGTGTAGTAGGCTGCACAATGATGAACACGACCCATGATGTGATTGAGCGTGGAAGGTACTTTGCGTTGAGTGCCGTGACTCGCTTTATATATTAAACCAGGTATGGGCCACTTCTGTTCAGTCATGCCGAGGTTAGTTAATGGTCACACTTTGTCAGAACGGCCCAGTGTCGTCAAATGTCCGATTTAGTCAAAGCCCCAGTTTTAGTCAAACGTCCAGTTTTTAGTCAAATGTCCAGTTTTAGCCAGAGCCCCAGTTTTAGTTAATCATCCAGTTTTAGTCAAATGTCCAGTTTTAGTCAAATTCTCTCTTTCTGTACACTTCTGTCCTCAGCTTGACTTTGGGAATGCAATCGATGCCAAGATCCTTGTGAATTAACTAAAGATAGACGAGATCTAAGCCAAAATCGCCAGCATTATGCTATAGTCTCGCCGGCCACAACAGCAACAATTCTCCCCCTCTGCATCTTTTAAGACCTTTTTACCCCAGTCGACCCCCGATTTGCAGCCCAGACTCTGCATAACTATGATGAGCGTCTGCAAATTGTGATGTAATGCCAATGCCGCAAACTGCCTCTTGCTAAGAGTATTAAGAGTAAGGTTAAGCGATGAATCGAGTTGGCGTCCGAAGTGAGACTTCAAGGTCTCCTGTAGTTTGTTTGAAGCACGGCATTTTCCAGATGCAGTTTGCATATACCACTAGCCCAGAGTCTCATTCATCAATGACAGGATCTTGGGGCCGGGATTGCTTACGCGCTGGCTAGCATCATCGCGATGTTGTAACCAATGGAAGCCCGGACACGATTCGTTTGCCATTGAGCGGCTGAACCGCGTTAGGTATTTGGCCAGGGAAAGTTCCATATCTTCAATCGATTTGGAAATAAAATCCCGCTCTCCCATCCATTGCGCTGTCCAAACAGGACGATAATACACCCTCGTAGCGTCCAGCATGTCCCCTAGGACCACGGCGCCACAGGGGGCGTGATCATCACCACTGTGAGATGAAACATTATTGTGGCAAGATAGTGAGTGATGGGCGGGGACAAGAGACACTAGAAACCCACAACCCACCCAAAAGGCGGCTTGGTGATGACTGCAGTGGTGATGTGTCTGTTGAGGCAGATAGGGGTCAAGATCAAAGATAGGATAGATGGGTCAATTGAGAAGGTCTGATGGCTACCACACACGGTACCATCTGATCAAACGGTTCAGTAAAAGAGACTGCAAAAAGAAAATGGGCTAAAAAGACTGTAAATTAAGCTGAAGACTGGTCATGACTGAGGATATTGCTCGACAATGGTCCTCCGCGATCATGATGTTGGTGTATGCTTGCTTGTCGGATGCTTGTGTGAAAAGAACTACTTGTCTCTAGCTACTAACACCAAAAGCTTCCTCTTTTATGGTCCCAATGGGTCAGGCCACTGGTCCCAATGTAGCACGGCCTTTCCTGTTGAAGGAAGCGGCAGCAGTCTCGGCCCTAGTCGCGGCAAGGATCTGATCAAATGACCAACATCCCCAAAGACAGTAAATCCCCGACTCAATAGCCTCGAAATCCTCAGCTTCCCATTGCTCAGTTCTCGTCCTCTTTTTGTTCTTCGTCTTCTCATTCCCCAGTCACTCCAGTCACTCCAGTATCTCCAGTATCCCCAACCTCTCCAGCCTCTCCAGCCTCTCCAGCCTCTCCAGCCTCTCCAGCCTCTCCAGCCTCTCCAGCCTCCCCAATATCCTCGGGCTCATCATAACTTCTGACGGCGAGGGCGGCTTTGTTACTCTGTGGTAGCTCCTCCTCGAGCTTCTTCTTCCGCTCTATGGCGTCCCGAGGCTTGAGTCTTTTCTGATTCTGCTTCTCTTTTGGTTTCTTGTAGACCATATCACCAGTCGGGGCCCGTCTTTTCTGAGCTGCTTTGTTCTGGTTGTTCGGATCCGGTTCATCTCGATGAGATGTGACAAGCGAGTTCTTGAGGGCCTCCCTTACGTATGTCTCCTGCGTAAATGTTGCTGAAAGGGGAACTGAGGTGCCCAAGGTGTCCAGGCGATTCACTTTCTTGCCCAGGCACTTTCCGACAGTCGCATCCTTGCGGCTGTTGAGTGTATATTGGTTATCTGTTTGACCTTGTGCAACAGCGTTCCAAAAGCCATCAGGACTGATAATGGGCATGAGCCGTGGTGTGGGGTAGAATCGGCCACTAATGTCCTCTTCCGCATACACGAGATTTCTTCCAACAAGGTCAAAGTGCCAATGCTCACCGGGATTTGTCGAGTTGCGCCAATTAATTTCCTCCTTAAGGGCAATGGGTAAATGCTCCTCGGCCTTGCTGCTGAAGGGATTAGTATCGCTCTTTACGAGCTGATAGACATCTCCATTAAAGAACATTCTACCAGGGAATCTCTTGAATGTAACGATGTATCGTAGGCCTAAGAACCTTGCCGCAGTTGGAGTAATTGGAGTATTGGACTTGGAGGAAATAGATTGTAAACGGAGAGCATCGCCAATCTCGATTCGTTCTGCTCCGAAGAAACATCCGTAGTAGGTAACAGTCTGGGCGTCGATGGATATTTGGCTCCAGAACGAATAGGAGTAATCAATCTTAGCAGCAGCCATCTTGGAGGCATCGAGGATTAGTGACTCCCGCTCATTCCCATTAAGTTGTTCTGCTTGAAATATTATATCCCAGGGAACATCATCGAAGATCTCTCCTTTCAGGTAGGCAGCATCCACTGGCGGTACGGACAAAGCATAGAATGGTCGTATATCGATGTCCAGCCTAAAAACAGTCTTTTTTTTAACTGAGCTATGTCCTATGGGCACAATCTCATGTTTGTCATTGACAGAGGCAGACACTATGCCAAGACGCCAGATAGTAGCATTCTGATACCACACCAATTCTCCCAGGCGGAATAGAAGAGATGATCTAAGAAACCAGGATGCGACTCGTGGTTGAGGTTTAGATGACAATTGAAGTGGTAGTGACTGCACTTGTGTGCTGAGTTGCGTTTTTCTATCCGCCATAGTGACCGTGAGTGCCGGACTGACTTGCGTGTAAGGATTCCTGGGTGTAAATAAAGAATTGACAATTGCAAGTTAAAAATGGAGGATCGATTATACTTTTGCTAAGTGGTAGAGATCGAAGCAGCAGTGGTTAAAAAAAGAGAGAAAAGAATACTTGCTCTTCCGGGTAGGTCTGGTCAATATATACTTTGTAAAGAAAGGGCATTGGCTTTGCAGCCGGACTAATACATGTCCGTCCCCTACTCAATTCCCACAACCCCTGCTATACATGGAGTAGCCCCTATTTAGGAAGTGGCCGGTTCTACTATATGCAATACGAAGCCTTCGCTATGATCATATTGAGCTGTTGCACAAGATCCTACTCACTTTGAGCCCAAGCCCTAGCACTCTATAACTTGTGTCTCAACTAGCCCACCTCAGCCCAAATGCGTCGTTGCTCAATACAAGCTCAACGTAAGGCAATATGAGCTCAGCTCTCGGAACAAAAGTGCAATTTGACGAGCTTGAGCGTCGTCTCTGGGTATTATGGCACATCCGTGTAGAGTAAGTCAATTGCAACATGAAAGGCTAAGATTTACACAATGTACTGTACGATAACCCAGGAGTCGATCTCCGAGGCTTTGATTCACCAATCCGATGCATTAGTTCCTAGACAGTCGCGTCCAGTGCATAGGTTACACACACACACACACACACACACACACAATTTATTACGCCCGGTGGCTTACAACCAATAGGGCACTAGTTGCTATTGTACATATCCGTTTCCCAAGCTTTGTCATAATCTCGTAAAAGCCCATACAGCGTCCAATTTTTGCTAATGCATCTTCGTTTTCAATCTTTCTGCGGGTCCCGTGGGGTTTGTATTATTAGCAAGCGAACTTGAAGGCTATTCTCCAAGTGTTCAGAGTCCTATCTACGGCGGCTGAAGCGGTGCCTGCTGTCCATGGCACGAGGTGTAAGTGCGAAACCGCCTTTCTCCTCACCAGACACAAATCATTGCACTGTGGAGGCTATTGGTCGATTATGGACTTCTCGTCATATTTTAGGTACTTTCAAGTACTTGTTAGAAGTTGACACTCCGCAAACTTGCGGGAGCGATTAGTCCAATCCTGGTTCTCCATATGTACCCTAGTGTCCCGCTAGGATAATGGTCCGTGCTCCTTTTCGGATCCTTATCTGAACCTAACAGTACAGTACCCTCATCGATACTAAGGTGCACTGTTCTCGTTATCCTCTAGCAATTACGTAACCGATCAATCCCTTGCGCTTCAACCGCGATGGAGGAGAACGTGCATTCGATGGTGACCCATACGGGATGATCAGAATATGAGCTTCGTGTGGCGGAAAGAGCGTGTTTATTGTTTCGCATGTACCTATTTTGGTCCGGCTGCACCAAGTACCCAGTGACCGAGAACTGGTACACTCCACCCCGTTGGGCATCACGTCAACGATATCGTAGAAGTGGTCCGCTAACGGCAGTGAAGACGGCCATTCGAATGGTATATGGAAATCCAACTCTACCCCTGTCGTTTAAATCAACGCTACCCCATGTAAAGTGGAGCAAAAAATCAACTCTGCAATCGATATTACTAAAGGGAAAATGGCCATAACCAACTTCGTTCAAGGCTTCTTTGCGACCGGTTTGCCTCCCCTGTTTCCAAGAATGCGAAACAGGGCATGTTACCAACGCGTCTGCGCCATCCTAGTAGATGCCATTGACTCCCTGAAGAGCACCAGATGAACCAAGCTTTCCATCAACATTCCTTACACCATGAACTCTGAGATCCTGTCTGTTAAGCATTCAGCACCTAACAGCGGACCCACGCAGCTTTGTAATGCACATCTAAGACGTTGAGAGCATCTCTCGTATGTAGTTAAAAGAATGATAAGATGAAATGAAAATGATTTCTTAGTCTAACCTTATATCTAAACCCTAGGTTGGCCCCTACAATCCCGTGCTTTTGTTGACATTGTACTTGAAATTTCATCGTTCTATGTGGCATACGCCCCATTTTTTGAGTTGATCTTGATATCTGATATACACGCCTCTTAAATGATACTAGGCCAGCCCCTATTACTATTATTTTCCCCAGCAATGGTTAGGTGAAAGCGAATATGCCTGTCTCGCAAACGCATACGTTCTTCGTCTCGCTTGCTCTGTCTCTGGCGATAGATCTCGTAGTTCTTCCTATGTCGTAACGGAGTTTGTTCTAAATCCCAATTAGACCATATACCTGCGATCTTTTCACGCTTCGGCATTTTCTGCATGCATTGTTAGTTGTGATACTATCCAATACTGACCTCCTTACCCTGATTCTTGCCAGCCGTTCTGGTATAATTTGGGTTATAACTAAAGTGTATCTTTTAATGTTTTCGTCAAAATCTACAGGGCAAAGCCGTAAGGAATCAAATGTATGCTTCATGTGAAGAAGTTCCTGCCAAGCACAGAGTTCCTCATAATCTAGATAATATTCTAGTAAATTCCCTCCGATGGCTCTGAATGAGTCAAGAGGCTCTTCTAATGCGGCCTGAAAATTCCTATCAACCTCATCCAAGGTCATACGACCAAGAACTTTACGCAATATTTTTATTTCCCAGTCGTTTATAAGGTACTCTTCCCAGTGAGACAGCAGATCCTCTAGATGGTGGCCGACTACAGGCTGCTTGACAGGTGTGTGATCTGAAAGTTCAATGATAGGCTTTAACATGATTGATTGTGAAATGGTTGGCTTACTGCGGTATAATCAGGGGCGACATACAACTGTATTATACCATAATCTGGTCTAATCTTTCAGTGCAACCCTGTGCTGGTGTTACGTAAGGTACTATTTCAACGGACAAAACTGACTTCTGTAGACCTCGAGTTCAGTGCCTATCCTAGCCCCTAAGCTGTGTCTGCCATAAACCACCGCCCCATCTCACTGACGGCCAGTTCAGACGTTTTAGCAAACGCGACAAGCACACCAGGAATGACATGGGGAGGAAACGGCCGCAGGATCCACAAATACAATTACTTCTCCTTGAGGAAAAATCCCATTAGTTAGAAGATGGGCCGAAGCAAGTGCAGAAAATTCCGTCATGCGGGCACTAGCTTAGGTACTTGTTGCATCTGATGAAAAGAGGGCATTGGATTTGTGCGGATAGAAGCTCTTGATTTCTATTTAATTGAAGGCTTGCTAGCCGTCTCTTATATCCAGAGATGTGAATGCCTTCAGATCGGATCCGCAGCAATTTTCCTACTCCTCTCATTGAGATTGTGAGGAAACCCATCCTAGACACTTACCATTTTCTGACTCCGTATTAGGAGCAAGCTTATCCGTTGGCTATCAGGAGGACGCCAGCGAGCTTCCAGCAGTCCCGGACAATCACACCCCTATTGCCCAAGTCCAGTCCAATGAATAGCCAGCGGGACTCAGAGGAAGACGAAGATGATCAAGCAAGATGAGACAATGGAGAAAAAAGAAAATTCCTAGATAGCGTACACAATTGAGTGAGGGATGGCTACCAAAAAAATTCTTTCTACATTCACCCAATCTTATTCGACTTTAGATTGTGGTCCTTTGCGCTGCTAGTATGAGCATCGTGTTGGTTAGCGTTGCAGATCCGATCCGATCAATTCCCAGTAGTTATCGCCAAATGATGCGTATCAGCCTACAAACGTCCATATAAGGCCCTCGTTTCCTGATCAAGAGTATTCAAGCCAATAGATTACTTCACGGTTGACTAGAGGCTGCACGGTGGACAGCGACATTTCCCAACTTAAAAGCCCACATTCCTTCCTGTATCTGCCTGGGAGGAGCAATCAACGTTTGCTATATAAGCTCACGTAATCATTGGGGCAAGCCTGAAATAGAGGTCGCTCCTCCTAACTGCTCAAGTCTTCCTGTTCCTACAACTCCCCTCTGTGAAGGGTTCTAATAGTGTAAATTACAGCTATATAGTCCTCATGCGTTTTACATACGAGCTGAGGAAAGAAGAAAGAAGAAAGAGAAAGGGGCAGAAATCCTTCGACAAAATAGACTAAGTCGTCGACAGAGCAACAGTGCTCAGACCAGCAAGAGGACAAGGCACTGCCTTGTCCAGCAGGGCTTAGCCCGTTACACCCTCTCTTGACTTCGCAACGACCATCTACCTGAGATAGCACGATGCATCGACATCCAAATTCAAGCCCCCAAAAACTACGATCGCGTCGCTTGCGATCTTTGGTACCATTTTCGGCTCGTTTCGTGGAACGATACACCGCTGCACAGGCCACAAGGCAGCGGCTGGAGTCACCAGCCAAACCTCAGGAGTTTATCGAGAGAGCTCAAGCAGTAAGGGCAGAGTTTGATGCCAATAAACAACGTCGAGATCGCCTTACTCCGGAAGAAAGACTCAAGGAGGATGGAGAGAGTCTCTTTCAGTCATTAAAATCGAGCCCCGACAGCGTGCTGATCTTGCAGCTCACCCAGAAGCCAGTATTTCGCAGGGCGCGATGCCGCGCAAATGAGTGCCTGTATGGCTCTTTCAATGGTCGGGATGGAACCGAGATTCAAGACAAGTATCGCATATCGCTTGAGTGGGGTGAGCAAGCTCAGCTCGAGTATTATCATGTCCGTTGCATGGAATGCATGGTACCGCTTCCGGCCCTCGCCCGCTCACAGTTCAAACTAGATGGAAGGGCGTCGTGGAGCTTGATGATTGGCAAATGGATGGAGCATCGAGGCAGGATCAACATTGAAAAGATTGCAGCATATATCGACAGAGAGGCTGCCTATTCTCGATGGTTCAGAGACACCATCAACGAGATCTCTAATATAGAGTTACGACATCAGCTTTCATGCAAAACTGCAGGCGTCTCTTGCCAATGCCCCCCTTTCCCTTGCGGTCCTAAGGTACCAGTTTTGAAGGAATATATCACCTCCGAGGATGAAGTGTGTGGGCTGTGGGATGTCATCTGCAGCCCCGACGGTGAGGCATCCCATCTCTTCTTTGATGAAGATCCTCCCTGGGCCCGCGTGCCACCAGAAGAGCTGGAGATGGAGCCTGATGAGAGTTCAGAAGCTGTAGGATCCAAAACAACCACTTCAGCATGCCAGCAAAGTGTACTAGCTGAAGCCGTCCCTTTCGTCGCCCGCTGCAGACACAACCTGATCTATCCCTCTACTTAGAGTATAGAGGAGACATCACCACGCAGATAGCTGAAACAAGAGGCGGGAATGGCCCGTAAGCCTATTTACTTCACTACTACGGAGGGCCCTTTCAAAAGTCTTTTCCAAGCGCCAAATGCGCCACATCTCTCAATCCTTGTTAGTTACTTAAGATACAAGGTGTAGAATCCAGCCACAATGAGTTAGCTGCTACATCCACTATAGTTTTAGGGGTGCTAGGGGAATTTGAATGTAATACAGTGAGGATAGGCTGCTGTAAAATTAGCAGCCTTTAGCGGATAAGGCACCATAGAAAGTACTTGATGTACTTAACCAAGCCACAGTCGTCGGATTTCCTTTTTCAAACTAGCGCTTGGAAAAGACTTTTGAAAGGGCCCTCCGTAGTCAGTAAAACGTTTTGAATCTATTCTATTTGCTCTCTATGCTAGTGTCTACAATGGCTCTGCCAGCTGAAAATGGATATAACAAGAGATAACGGCGCTCAAGATTTTAGTTCATGAACCATGGCATGATTCTGAAAGTGCATCTTGTGGTTGAATGATAGCTTACAAACCCTGCAGCAGATCTCACTGCCGTCCCGCATATTAGATAGATGCCTGCGTCGGAAGTGCTTAGATAAATCGCCGGCCGTGTAAAACTCGCGGATGAGGTCCTCCACGCCTACATCATCTGGCGCCAAGGAGAGAACCTTTCCGACGCAGACAAACACCGTCTTGGCCGCTCCCTCTCTGTCTTAACGAAAATGGACCTTATAGCGATATGCAGAGGGCTTTCGGCTTGAGGATCGCTGGTCGTTGCATGTCGGCTTGGCACGGTCGATGCAGTGTTCGTGCGCTCTCCCAGCTTGAATGACTTCTTTGTCGTGCTGATGGTCGTCTCAATTTACCCCTTGAGGTCATCGATCGTCATGCATCGGTTGGCGCGCCTCTCATCGCTTAATCCGTGCTTCTTCGCCAGATCCTTGAGAACCTGCCGAGGGGGTTAGCACAGGGAGGCGAGCTCTGTATTCAAACCAAGTTACCTTGTGCATGCTCCGATCCATTTTCGAGTCGACCTTATCCCCCGTGGCTCTCTCGAAGACGAGTCGGAATACTTTCCAGTAGGTGCCCAAAGAACTTTTCTTCTTGGTTCCTCGAATCTTCCTGCCGTCTTTGCCGACTTTTTGGTTGAGGCGCCAGTCGAAGAAGTTGTACAACAGCGGGATGGAGAGGCATCTGTAACATTCCACCGGCTCGCGAGAGAGGACCTTGCAGTACCTGCCGAGAAAACTAATCAGTAAGAACAACCCAAGTTGTGACAAATTACGTACTCGTGCCATAGCTCCTCCGTCGCATCCAAGAGTAGCGTGCTGCCAGGGCTATAGTCTTGGCTGTCGTAAGCGCTGTCGCGGTCTTCAATGTCAGCATCGGCGTCGGGGTCCACATCGTCTATGGACAGGTCTTCTATGTCGGTCGGATCGATCTCGCAGTCGGAAAGCTCGCCATTATCGACGTCAAATAGGTCGTCATCGCTCTGCGGTGTGAAGAATGCATCTGAGTCGTACCGATCGTCAGGCTCGTGGGGACGGAAGGTCATGCTGGTGGCTTGAGTGCCAGACCGCGCGAGTGATGCCGTGGAACGTCGGGCGAGGGTGGAGTGAGAGAGGGAGTGAGAGGAAGATGGGAGGGATAATGAAGGGCGACAAGCACGGGGATGCAGGTCCCTTAAATAGGCCGCTGAGTGCCATTGTGCGTCGCAGGGCCATTTTTGGCCCATCCATAACTGTTGACAGAAAACGGGAATGAAGAACAAGAAAGTTGAGGACCGAGGGGTCGGCAAACTGGCGTATTTGGTGGGGCCGAGCTGTGACGCACCAGGTACCTGACGCCCTGTTGTGGGTCCTCTGGGATGGCGGTCCTTAAAGCGGCGACGGTTTCCTGGCAAATCTGCCACCCGAGACTGGAGGCAGAAATCAATGTGTGCACTCACTTCCTGGGTGCAAGTCCAAATCCTTGGAAAGATGCGGCGGGAAACGGTATTGGCGAAGTGTGTTTAGTGGAGACTCTGTTACCTACCAGGGTCTGTCGCGATATTTGCCCAAAAAACAAGCGAGGTATGCCACGGGGATGTGGTGCTGGAGGTAGGTACTTCGTAGCGTGAGAGGGAGCGGGAGGGGAGGGGCACGCGATCGCGAGCAGGCTGAAGCCCCACTGACAACGGGAAACGCGTATCGAGCGCGTCTCAAGAGGCCTTCGAATGAATCGCTGTCGACAAGCGCGCTTCGACAATAACGAGAGCCATCCGCTAAACCAAGGGGGGGGGGGGGAAGAGGGAAGAGAGTACGAGGGAGGGAGACGCGGCACATCTAGCCACCAGCCCCTGGTCCATGACCTGTCCAACGTCTCGGCTGTGACTCGGAACTTCTCCCCGGGAACCGGATCCACAGCGCCCTTCGTCAGCGCTTGAACAAACCCACCCACACAACGGCTTTTAGAAGGTTAGGTGTGGATAACATTGTATTAGCTACAAACACCAATACTTGTCAGGAATGCTCGCCGGATGTTGCTTCGAGCACACCTGAGGGCCCTCCTTTTTAGGTGTTTGTACTGGGTAATGGAATAGTGATGCCTCGTCATAAAGTGGGAATTGATGTCACCCAGAGTTAATCAATGTTTCAGGTAGTTCTGGGTTAGGTCTCTCGTATCTGTTGGTTCTAGCAGTCTTTGAAGTGATCTGGTGCGCAATTGGCAACGCGGCTAGCGTACCGTTATGTCGGGATTGGTGTGGTAGCCGCTGTCCAGTAGCATAGACAGCTTATATGGGCCTCGGCCAAGTTTTTGCAAAAGGTTCCGCATCTTAGATTACTCCGTGATAATCGGCAGAGTGCATCGGGTCTAATATCCCGATCTGTGGCTAGCTGTATGCGAATTCCTTCCTGATCCGCCAATGCTCCGGATCACGTCCCCCCCAAATCATCAAGCCAATACTGACTCGTCGGGCCTACCTCACTTGCAAAGCTGGGAGCGTCGGAAGTGGACAGAGTGCAATTCTGGTATTGAAGAACCTTCACAATTGCAGGTTGACGAGTGCGCTATGGCCAAAGATGAGGCAAGAAGGCACCGATGTGATAAGAGCGGGGGCACAGTTTCCTTTCGTCCGACTCAGCGATTACGTGCGATGATGTTGCCACTACGTTCTGTTGGTTCCCCCCTGCTCGTTGGCTCCCCCTGCTCGTTGGCTCCCCCTGCTCGTTGGTTGGCGAAGGCATCGTTGGTGATTGGTGGATCTGTGTGGTTGTACTACGTCCTCCCTAGAAACATAGGACAGGCAGCCAGTAACACCATCCCCTGTTGATCGACTAAAGAGGGCGAAATTGACTTTCGTGTCCACCGAGCGGAGTCATCATGGAAATTCGAAAAGTGTTAATCAATAGCTTGGCTGAGTACATAAGCAGAGAGCCCCAGCAACCAGCCTCAAAAACCCCCATTCCAGGCTAAAATCTTCTTCTGCTTTCACTTTACCTCACTCAGTTTTATGATGTGTTACTTCGACCAGGTTGTCTGGGCTTGCGGCAATTGGAAGTGGGGCAAGTTTCGCCAGCAATGCAACAAAGAGCACCGCATTGGAGAGACCTGCGGATTGAAGCTCGTGTATGGGCGGCAGGACGAAGCAAAAAAATGCAAAGTATGCGATCAAGTGACGAAGAAGGAAAACCGGATTGAAAGGACGACCGAAAGAATGGCTTGGCTTCGTGAATGGAAGTATTTCGCCAGCGTTGAAAGATGTGAAGAAGAGGTGGCTTCCCTCAAAGATGAAATTTTGAGACTGCGCGAGCAACACAGCACGGACATGTGTGGAGGAGCTGCCTTCCGCCTCGAATCCGGAAGTCCATTCGAGCCCCACGCCCGCATTGGCGGTCCACCCTCTTGCCCGTCTATTCCCGTCAGCCTTACTGAATGGCACAATGATCTCAGCAGAGCGTGTCCATCAATGATGCTCTTCGAAATCTATGCAGCCAGGCGTCAGACGCGGCCGAAAGACAACAACAATCATTCACGTCTCTCAACAACCTCAGCTGGAGTCAAAAAGCACCGAAAAATCCAGGCTTAAACTTCCTTGTCAGTCAATGGTTGGCTCAACGTACCGCGCAGCCGCTGGTAATGGCTATTTTCCCAAGTCCAAGGAGAGGAGGAGAGCGGGGAATTGTAATGGACCCAGGAACAAGGCTGGAGATGCTGATTCGATGTCTTGTTGAACGAATACGACCCTGTTATACTTTCGATTAGTGACGAGAAATGTACCTTGCATCGCTCACCATACATATGACCTTTTTATTACTTGCTAGGTTGTGCTTCAACGACTACCAAGTTATTGGCTGATTGGATTGACGTGGCTGGATTGAGGTGGTCGGACCACGACTTGGCTGAGATAACATCAACAATAGCATTTATCGACTTGACTCGACGTCTTAGGCAGGCATCGATTTTATCTTCACTATATAGCACCAATGGATTTCTATTTGTCTTTAGAATTGATTATGCAGTATTGTTCAATGCAGCGACTCGGAGACTAAAATGAATCATGACAACCAGGCTTAAGAGGAATGTAGACAATGGAAACTTAAATGTTGAGATGTATTAATCCAAGGCCTGAGATCACGACCACACTATGAATTGGCCGTCCTCATTGCGGGACTTGCGCTTCTTTGTAGCCTCTCGGGAAACGCTATGAATGTCCTCGAGATGGATCCACAGCTGTTCTGGGGATTGAAGCATAACTGGACATTTTGGGTGCGGGCAAGGTAAGTTGCTGGGGTTAGGTTCAGCCTGAATGTATTTCGTGAGTCGGAATAAAACAAGGCTAATGGCTGGTCTATCCAAGACTTCTACCAACTTATCAAGCCCGCACGAACGCTTCGGTGGGGGACGGCGGCCTTCATCACCTGTCGAAGTTGTCTTGCGACAACATCTGACGGCCGAGGAGGAAGCACAGATTCACTAGCAATTCCAACAGGCGTGCCTCCGGGACCGTCAGGTCTTATGGAGCGGCATGGACCGCAGTCAGGCACAGAAATGGGCAGACGATCATCGCATGCAGAAGCTGACAACGGCAACTCTTCAATGCACCGATCTGTCGCCATCCACAGAAGGTATTGGACATCATGCTTCTAAGGATCGTTCGTCCTCAGCTGTGTCTAAACATATAATAGGTCAGCCGTCACGAAGTAACTGCTGTTTCGTGCATTTGTGTCTGTCTAGTGGGCTCCACCTTTCCGATTCTTGTCGAAAGGCAAATTGTGGCGTTAGCCAAAATTGAACGTCTAGTAGGTTGCAAATTAAATAAAGTAGTTGAAGTGAAGCAAGTCCTATCCTCTCATCCAGCGGTACAGTACACATGATTACCTCCATTATTATTATCCTCAGCGCCGTCCTTGGTGTCTCCGCTCAACTCGGCGGCTATGCCCATAGGGCTGTCCACCAACGACGGTTCGCCGTCACCAAAGACCCCATCATCACAGCCACTACTACTTTCACCAAATACGTGACCGAGGCTGCCATTGCTGACGCTAGCTCTTCCAGCGTCGCCGTCACTTACCACGACTTCTGCACCGACAGTAAACCCAAGCGTGCCTCCGCTGAGCAGATCGCCTACAAGGGTAATACGGGAACCAGTGACGACTACGGCTGCAACATTATAATGCTCAGCAATATTAACGCAGCCTCTCAGTACAAGTACACCGCCAGATTCAACAACGCCGTCGACCGGGACCAGGCTTGCGTTTGCTTCAACAAGATCGGCCCCAATGGTGGTATCAATGGCTCTTGGAAGGGCAATCATGCCATCTCCTTCACCCTCGCCGCCAGTGGTACGGAAGTTATTGCATTCGATGACAACTCTCAGGGTGGGTGTGCTTGTAGTGTTGGCACTGAGGTCGTCACTACCGCCATTGGCCAGTTCGCGGGCACTTGGCTCGAGTTCGACTTTGGCAACGTATCCAATGACAACTGGTCTGGTGCTGATGCCTCCTGCCTGGTCGCTGCCAAGAACGGCCTCGAAACTCCCGCCCTGAAGGTCTGCGGCTCCGGTATTTGCTCCACCATAAACAGCGACGGCAGTGGTGAGAACGCTTACGTCAAGGGAATGGAGGCTGAGGATGGTGTGGGCCTGAACCTTCCCCCCGGTAAGGTCCGCCTTACTCTCACAGTTGGCGAGTAAAGTTGAATATGAGGGGGGAGAACTGGCTAAGTTCTACGCATCATAAGGTGAAGCCACTTAAAGATAGGTGATTCTAGACCGAAATCCCTGAGTGTATTAACATATAGGCTAAAGTTAGTTTGATGGAGGATGTTGATTATATTATTTCTATATATGTAAATTTAAAGAGTAACTTATAAGATTATGCAATATTTAATTTATTACCCTCTATCTCTTATTACTCAACTTTTTCTCTATTTTATCCATCAAGCATATGCAAACACTTGGAAACCGCGATGTAATTCGGCAACTGAATATCCAAGTTAATAGAGTCAATTTTCAAGTCTCCATCAAGAAATCCACGATAAAGCCCCTGAAGTTCTATAATCCGGACCTGCCTCCAGTCAGTAGAACTCGAATATAAAGTTTGGATTAATATACCTGTGATGAATATGACAGGTAGCCGCTTGTTTGAGGTATGAACATTACCCATTCTTTTATGGTTTTGTTTTCTGCGTTCCGGTAGTCGATGAGAAATTGGTAGAGACTGCCTTTGTTGAGTTGGCATCCGGTGGGCTCCATGTTTGATTTGCAATTTGAAGAGTTGTTAATGGGATTGCTGGTAAAGAAGGCTACAGTGTAGATAACCTCACTTATATACAAACAGGCGGGTTTCCCTTTAGTACACTGGCCGGGTAATTCGCTCCATACAAGTGACTGATAATGTATACTGAAACTATGCGAGCCAATCTCATAGAAGCATTCTTCAAGGCAACCCACTAGCTAGCTGCAGCGGGACGGCGCAGTGTATCAATCCCTCACTAGCATCCTGCAAGGAAGCAAGTTTCCCTTGAGCATTGTGGTCACATCAGCCCACTAAATCGCGACACCGTGTCCCTGTTTAGGGTAAGGCTCCAGCTAGATTTGCAGCGAACAGCCTCACTAAGAGAAATAGCTGCGTGTTGTTTGCCAAAGGCGGCATAGATCACCAGATTTCTCTGAGGAAAATGGCTCAGTTAAGGGTCTAGCCAATTACAACAATGCTATTAAAACCTAGCCAAGATAGCGGAGAGTACTGCAGTGACATCCGGATAATACCCAAGAATTTCGCATGTAGTTTTACATAAGGCTAGTCACACGATTCGTGGGGAATAGTTCCGGCGATATACCCTTTAGGTAGCCAAGTGAGGTAATAGTTCCTTATGCAACATTCCTCCTTAACAGTCGTCATGCCAAGCCTACGACCAACAGCATTTTGATTCATAGCCGTTCCACACTGCATGAGGTACCGTTATTCTTACCCCAAATCCACTTCTAGCACCTCACTCCCTCCGTTATGTCGGCTGGATAAACCTACCCTCTTTTGCCGCCGCTAAAGCTCGTGAAATTACTATAACCATTTTGAGCAGCATTTTGAGCTGGAGACAAGAGGGATACCACCAACGAATTTGCTACCCAAATACTGTATCTGTTTTGGCTCCACTATATTTTAAAGCTTGGTAGCTGCAGTAGAGATAGAAATAGGACGTCGCCATTCCATTGCTTCATTCATCCCTGCCTTTGCCCATCGTCCACCCCACCCATTCTCTCTTATCAAAGCCGTTTCCTCAAGACATTTTAGAACGCTTTACTTGAGACAGATCGTCGGGCCCAGACCGCTTGGTATTGCTCGAGTCCTATCTAGTCAATTAGCAAAGCCCATCTATCAAACATATCGGGCTCAAATTACAGAAGTCGAGAGTGAAGGCGGTTTCGGATCTAAAGAGTCAGCGCTTCAGTGAACTAGCCCGCTATGCAACTGAAGCCAAACGTACCTTGAGTCTTCTCAACCTGAACTAAGCTCTGATATCTATCCTTCAAGAGTTTTCTAGTTGAGTTTTGTTCGTTGAATATATTGATTATTTTGGGCTGCTCGTTGTTGAAGACATTGTGTAGGTCAATTCCAAGCTCTCTATCCGCAATTTCAAGCATGCGGAGGGTTTTGCTAAAGATCTGAGCCTGCAATGTCGGAGATTGTGCGCATTTGGTCACGATACTTATGGTGATCTCGGATAGTGAATATTCTCGACGGGTCACTATGTCCAAGTTGAACTCCAAGGAGTATACCTTATTGAGGGTGTTGGTAAGAGAATCAAGCAGGTCTGGGTCAGTATTGAACTGACCTAGGAGTCGGTCCCAGGAAGTAGGGAAATCTTTGAACACTCAATGTGCCCAAATGGGAGATTGAGAAAGTCTTTCAAGATGTCAAGAGCTGAATTGATGGCATATGGTGCCAAAGTAGCCTGAAACATCTTGTGGATTTTAGAGTTGTCCAGAATCCACATGCAAGTCAGTTGATGAAGTGAAAGGTAGAATCGATTTTCATTTGCGTTGGCATTTAACAGAGGCTGAAATTTCGATTTGTTAGTCCCAAGAGATTCAATGAATGAATTGAGGCGTTGAAAGCAACGCATCGGGTCGCTTCTTGTAGGAGCCAACTCAAACACATCCAATACAGATTCAACTGGACTAGTAGGCATTGTTGGGTTGGCAGAAGTACCTGTCTGGCTGGGCCGCAGTACATTCCAGTATTTAGCGTAGTTGTTCCTTGAACTGGCTGCCCTTCTTCTGTAATCTGAGAATTGCAGACTGCTCTTCCAAGAAGATTGTTTCGAGCTTCGTTAAAAGACCATTCTCCAACTCAAGAATCTTACAACTCTAGAGAAACAACAAACGCTTCAGTGGTAGAGATCGGCAAAAAAGGTCCATTGTTAAATCATTTGCCGTCAGAGGATAACTTCGGACCTTGACTATGTCCACGAGGCCATCTGTCGCATTGAAAACTACAGCAAAAGTGGAATGAACACTCCGCTAATGCGTAGTGTAACAACGGCATATATTATATGTGACACCATCCCAGGAGGAGGAGAACTGGGTCAAAAAATCGGTAATCTGCGCTTCCAGGTATCGATCGATGGGCAAATCTCCGAACCATTGGCATGGGGTAGGCATGATCGGAAGTAACTTTTTAAAAGCGGAGTCCATAACCTCGGTGTCAGGGGTGTGGTGAAAGCACTTGTAGATGGTCGAATTGTTAAGAGACCATTGGTAAAGTAGCTGATGAATTCCGATATATAGATCATCTTGGCAAAGGCAAGCCTCCTCTGTGATCCAGGCCTTCGGTCCCATTGTCTTTGTTGTCCTAGGGAAATCTAGCAGCATATATGTTGTTTGATTACAAGGGTCCGTTGGAGATTGCCTTTCGGTAGATTCGGCGACAGCATGGGAGGAGTTGGATGCGTGAGCATTGGGGACGGAATGGGGAGTGAACCCCAGTTCAATCTGGCTGGGGTAATGAAGTGGGCGGCGCTCTGTCTGGTCTTCGATATGGGACGATAGAGTTGGCGTATGTATCATAGAGGACGAGGTACACACACACACAGGGAATGTGTCGCAGTGCCTGGAGGAACTACGAAGTAAGTTCCGGAAGGTTCCTTTGCCTGGAGGAACTACGAAGTGCCTGGAGGAACTACGAAGTAAGTTCCGGAAGGTTCCTTTGCCTGGCCTTGACAGACACACAGAAAGCACGGACCATTTTGCCAAGACCTCTTCGATTTTGCGGTGTCATTTATTTATTTTTACTGTTACTTTTTACTGTGAGCGACGGCTTACTCTGGATACACGGTTGCTTTTTAGCCAGGGTAGTGTATTTGTGGTTTCTTCGAGGAAGAGATATATAGACTTTTACTATTATAAGTCCATCGCACCTGTGCGAGAAAAGGAGACGTTGGTGACATTGTTTCCTTACAGCTTATAAATGTAACTGCCAAGGTGCATGCTATGACTTGGCCTCAGAATCGCACCAGAGAGAAGGGTCGTCTTCCTCGTCGACTTCGGTTACCGAGGTAGACTCTGTTATAGCATCCCAATCCTGAAACCACCTCTCGTGTCTGTGGTCACGCTCGAAACGCTGCCTTGTCTCGTCCCCCAGCCTCTCCAGCTTGTAAACGGCGTCCCTCATTTGCCTATCTAATACGTTCTTCGGCTCGATAAAATCGCCCCGTGCTGGCCTCCGGAAGAGATACAGCCCCTCCCACCTCTCCGCCCTCGAGAGCTGCACGTATAGGCTCATAAAACTAGGTCTTGTCGTTATGCTGCCGCCGTGAACGCCTTTGAGGTTAAGAAGGACCTCTGAGAACTGCTTACCCTGGCTTTTCTGGTCCGTCATAGCGAAGGCGGGGGTGCATAGGGGTCCTGTTCTATGGGTGACCAATTGAAAGCCTGCCTTGCTTCTCAAGCTGGGATTCCTCCGTCGCATAGAGTCGGGGATAACTACTGTTTTGCTCTTGATGAGGATAGTACCTTTCGGGAGCCCGGGTACTTCGAGGTCTGCAATATCGTCTGACTGAAGGAGAATGGCTGTCGGGGGGGCCAGGTGGAGCGTCACGTCGCTGGCGAGGGCAATGGTGCCGCAGGCGAGGTCGGGAAAGATGTCGACCGCCCTGAAGGGCGCCCCGTTGACCAGCTTCAACCCAGTAAGCTGGTTCCGGGTCACCACTACTGGCATCCCTTGCGTATAGAAGAACAGCCCAGGGGTTGGAAGTTGTGAGTCGTCTCCGTAGCGGAGCACGTCACATAGCTCTTCCACACGCAACCGCTTTCCTGCTTCAGTGTCGTGCTTGGCCACGAAGATGGAGATATGCTTGCCCTGGGCGCGAGCCCACTGCATGACGGCTGCCATGTTCAGGTCCCATCTATCTTGGTTCAGAGGTGTGATCGCCCTCAGCCCATTGGCGAAAGAGGGCTGGGATGCTTGGTTATACAGGCGACGACATAGCCGTTGGAAGTCCAGCTCGGTCTGCTCCCCATTGCGCAGGCGCCGGAGGAAGCCACGCAACCTTGCACAGCCAGCAGTTCGGACCTGTTCGCGAAGCATGACGACGGTTGTAAACTGGAGGAACAGTTTATGTGCTGCTACATGCTTTGCCAAGCTCTCCGGACTCTGTCTGTTGTGTTCTCTAGGCTCTGGTAAGAGGAGGCTGGTCTGTCTGACCGGGTCAAACTGGAAGAAATCGCCAAAGAAGATGACGATTGGGATCCCACCAAAAGGGCGATGCACATCATCTCTATACAGCCTCAGGCGGCTGTCTACAGATGCAAGCGTGAGGCCGCCCACCTGGCTGATCTCGTCGACGATCAACATAATCTTATTCTTCCAATGTAGTTTCTCTTCTTCCGATATATTCTTCGTAGTCTCTGTCCTGTCATTGAATCCAATGTTAGAGGCGGAATGGAGGGTCACTCCACCAATGAGTGCAGCCGCGTTTCCGCTTGCGCCTGTCAGGAGCAGCGTGTGAAGGCCGCCTTTCAGCCGGAACATGTCTTTGATAGCGTGTATAACGCGAGACTTTCCCGTGCCCCCTTCACCACCGACGTATTGGAGGTGCTGCTTGCCCTCCTCTTCCTGGAGCCGAGTGCCGCGCTCGTCGAGGAAGACTGCCGGTAGCAGCACCGCCATCGACTGTAGCTTGTTCAAGGTCCACTGCCTCGCCAGACTTAGAGCGACGTCGACATGTGACATAGCAGGGCCGACTTCGAGACGCATCTGGCCCCCCGGGCCAACTCCGTTAGCTGGTATTTCTTCCATCTGAGCGGGCCGCCTTGGGACATTCGGCCTTCCATGGGGCCCATCAGCGTACGCGGAGGACGCATTACTCTCCCTTCCCTGAATATTTGCCCTGACGCTGGTGTCTTCTTTCTTCTGGAGCTTCAATATCGCATCGATTTCCTCCCGGCTGAGGAGGCCCGTGCCCCGGAAAGGTGAATCTTGAATGTCTTGTAGCATCGTGTAGAACTGTCGGCCCCGCTGGGCGGCGGTGTTGTCATCCTCTCCCAGATCGATTGCCCTCGCCTCTTCGTGCAAGCATCTCAGCGCCGAACTCACAGGCATGTCCTTGATTTCGCTCCTCCGGACTGCCGATAGGACACCCAGAAAGGCGTCATAATACTCTTGTGAGTCGATGTTCTCGTTATCCGCCCTGCCGCCATCCTCCTCCCCCATTTGATCGCCAAAGGCGTCCGCATCCACGATCTCTTCAAAGTCCTGGTCCAGACCCTGAAGCTTACGGTCGGCCCGAGCGTCTTCTGCGGAAACGCGTAATAAAGCGATGTTACGGACGTAAGAGCGAACTCGGTCGCTTAGCATTTCCTGGAACCTTCGCCAAAGTCCAGGTATATCATCTGCTGGCTCGCCTTGAAACCTTTCCCAAGGAACAAACAGGACAAGATGCAAGACTGCGTTCCTATCAATACCCCGTAAGTACTTTACTTCACGTTATAGGGCCTTAATACCTACTTCTTTACGAAGTTTTCATCTTGTTCGTCGAACTCGTCCGTAAGACGGCCATCGAAGACAGGCACCGCCGTTTTGCTGGGAGTTCGGAGGCATTGGACCCAGCCTTTACAGACGGTTGCCGTTGGTGGAAAAGGAATAGGTGTCGTACCTCTCCACCGGGAGCGTTCCTTCTTCAAGACCACAAAGGACATATAGTCGTAGAAGCAGAGGTCTTGGAGGATCGGGCCGCGGTGTTTGTAAGCTTCCAAGTAGGGCAACTTAAAGCCGTCTGCTTGGAAATAGATGTTGTCTGGTTGCGGCTCTCGACCAAGTGCTACCAGCGCTTCCCGCAGACTCGGCCACTGTCTAGCGCAGGCCCAGTACAAGGAATTAAGATGCACCCAGGTCCAAGCAGGAACATTTGTAAAGTCAGTCTCGAAGCCGAGCAGATAGCCAAGTACCTCGGGTTGCGAGAGCTCTCTGCTCGTGAAAATTCGGTTTGCGACGCGTAGCAAGAACGATTTGGTTTCATCTTCCATCGTCGACGTCGACGTAGTACCTGGATTGCCTGGTCCCCCTTGCTGTTGGCGGGCCAGGTCCAATAGCTCTGCGGCAAGCGCGAGCCGCTTCCACATAGGAGCGTTAAGCTTCGTAGCGTAGTTGCAGATGTAGTGTATGAGCGCCAGCCCCTTTTTACGCGTGAGAATCATTGATACATCATGATTGTGCCGCAGCCCTATAGCCATGCTCTGGTTATACTGATTGACCATATGATGATCTCTCCTCACTTCGAGCAGGCCGTCCTCTGTAAAGCCGGTCTCCGGCACAAGTCTCCAAGGAGCCCGGAAACGGCACAGCTGCGTTTTACACTTTGCCAGGCCCGCCTTCAAAACTTCCTTAATAGAGTACTTGACGCACGTAGCAGTATGGTGATGGACCTGGCAGCGAGATGCAATAAAGTTGGCCTCGTGCTCAAACCTCCCCGATAACCACTCTGGGTCGCGCATCAGCTCAGGCTCGACCGCAGTAGTTTTCTTGCCGCTCTCTACCGCCTCCTTCGCCAGAGCCTCGTTCAGGGTTGCAGTAAATATATCGTCCACGAAGCTCTTGACCTTGGACCGGTATTCTCCCTCATCGGGATCGGCCATGTCGCGGACGAGATCCGATAGGGCCAGGTTGCCATCTAACCAGAGTAGGCCGTGTAGGTGGAGAGCCCCGCGGTCGTTGGTCTCGACGGTCGCATAGTAATGGCTCACATTCCCGTAAACAGACGGTCGTCCGACGCGAACGTAATGCTCGAAAAAAAGAGAGATCTCGCGGAAGAAGAAGAGCGTTGAGCTGAGAGGGTCGTGGACCGAGAGGGTTGTCACCTGCAACGATGTGCTTAGAGCACGAAGCAACGCTCTAGCGGCCTCGTCATCCCGTCCCCTATGCGCCGCGAGCTTCAGCTTCACCGGGTTGTTGATGTCATTGGGATTTAACGTAAACCAGATGGCTGTGAGGCCGAATTCCACTATCATCGACCAGATCTTCTTCCGCATAGATAGGCGGCTCTCGTTTGATAAAGGATGTCGGCTACCGTAGAGTGAGAGTTCCTTCATAAGTGCGATAACGTCCCTGTCTGTGGTCTTTCCCGTCTCGAACATCTCCTTTTGCGCTTCGCGCAAGCGCTCGGGCGTCAGCTTCTGGTATATTCCCTCGACTCGCCGAAACGCCGACCGCTTCAGGCGGCCCTGGGCAATCCACCGGTTCCGAGACCTTACCATCATGTTGAAGACAAGGAACGAAAAGGCAGGGTGTTGGGCGCAATGCCCGCCGTGCCGCTGCAGAACGACTTTGGCCCAAGACTCCAGGGTCATATCTCGCAGCAGGGGGTTCGCTGGATCTCCCACCTCGTTCCGATCCGCCACTCGTGGTCCGCCGCGGCCATAAGGGAAGCAACAAGGGAAGGTCTTTGGGAAATAATCTGGGGAAAAGCCGTCCGCGAACTCACGACCATGTGACACCCGGATGAACGGACGACCTGAGGAGCCATGAACCTGCATCGACGGGGCCTCGCCTGCACCACCTTCGTACCTATCGTCGAACTCTCGCTCTGCCTGCAGCGCCAGACTGATGAACTCTAGCTTGTCCTGCTCTGCAAAGGCAGCCTGCTCGTCTATCGGGAACATCGCCGAGGAATGTAGCTCAAACACCCGCTCCGACGTTTCCTCGGCCGTCGCTTCCTCCAAGCTAAGGGGTTTTACGCCACGCGCAGGCTCAAATTGTCTAGCGCCACACTTAGATCTTTCTGCTAGCTCCATCGCAATGTCCTCGACCGTCGACACTTGACCAGGAAAGTCCTGCCCTCGATCGGTTGGAGGCACGATCTGTGCTGTCCGTATAAGCTCTTCTGCAGTCTCTTCTTCCCTCACCATGCGTTGGTAAGCTTGTGTTGGTACGTCGCTGCCGTCTTCGAAGGCCCAACTTTCCATCTCCTCTTCGTGGATCACGATGTCGACGTAAAGGGGGTTGTTTGCTCGCAGCCACTGTAACGCTGTGCGGAGGGCACCGGGTCGAACGCTGAGCAGTTTACTCACATCTCGAGGCGTGGGTCGCTCTAAGCCGGTCCAAATCACATGCACCTGCTCCAGTATCGACACAAGTGGGTGCGGCAGGATCGTGGCAGCCAAAGACTCCACGTCATTGGGGAACACCGTGATATGACCCACGACGTGCTTCCGATATGTCGGGCCGGTTACCTGGCCACGTTGGATGTTAAACTTGGTGATGAGCCCGTATGCCGCATTGAGAGAGATCAGCTTCTCCTCGAGAGGGGTAAGGTCTTTCAGCTCCTCTGGATACCGATGCTCGCAGCCGATGAGTATCGTGCCCCCCATGCATGCATCTGGGACCTTGCCTCGGTCGAAAGCCGCTCGACAGGAAAAGCATATCGGCACTACGGTCTCGCCATCTCCCTCCGGGAAGCATCTCTTACACACCAGTAAGTTGGTCATTGCTAAACGAATCTCGTCAGGCAACGCCTTTTTCCAGTCGGCATGGTCTAGGTCCCGTGGCTTCTTCTGTAGATAGCAAACTGAGCATACTGCTATCTCCATGCTGCCTTCATCGTGGAAGGCTTTTAGAAAGGACTGGACTGTGTCGACCTTACGATTTGCAGGCACAGGGTTGCACCAATCACGGCGATTCGAGGCCGCTTGCTTCTCTTGGAAGGATTGCTCTACTGCTTGCATCAGCCTGCGTAGCGCTTCCTTTTGCTGCATAATCATCTCCATGGACATCAGGTCAGGAGGAGCTGCCTGTTGGGCCGGGATGGTGCCAGAAGGTCCATCTTGCCGTGGCCGACGACGTCTTTAGTCATTGTCAGTCTTCGCGCGCTTAAGAGACCTCGGGTGCCCCAAGAAGGATTCATACTCCGGGTTTGATAAATCTATCTCCTGTCTCGCCTCCCTAGCTCGTCGACGGCGATTGCTCGTGTGCGACGCCAGCTCCTCTCGACGTCGAGCCTCCTCCTCTTGACGCCGACGGTGTCTCTCCAGCCACTGTCTTCTCTCTTCAGCTTGTGGGTGGCGTTCTCTTTCCAGTTCCTGCTGTCGTATCCTCTCCTCTTGTTGGCGGCGGCGTTCTTCTTCCCGCTGCCGAATTGTTTCCGCTCGTTTCTCCACTCGTTGGCGGCGGCGCTCTTCCTTCTGCAGCGATCTTGTCGTCTGTTGCTGATATCGTATCGCCTCCCGCTCACGTCGCCTTTGCTCTTCCAACCTCTGCCGCGCTGCTTCCCGTATGGCCCGACTCTCATCACTTTGCGGTCCTGTTCTCGTCTGCTGCTGCTGGGTAGGCAGTTGTGTCTGTGGTGGAGTGGGTAGGAAAAAAGGATCATGTGATTCAGCCATGGTAAGTACTTATCGAGGCTCCTGTTTAAATATATTGCTGTGTAGCGACAAATCACGTTCGTAAATTCTCTGTCGATGACTCTATGGGTTCCCCAAAACTGACTCTTTCTCTGGATAAGAGACATATGCGAGGAGGTCTACAGGAGCAGAGCGATAGACCCACAGCATGGATCCCCTTTCCAAACCCATCTTACGTAGGGTTACAAGCTCCAATCACTGTTATCACATTTACAGCTATCTATTGTTTCTGCCGAGATCCCTCTCAAACTCTATCACTTCTGCCGATGCCTCGGGTTGTTGTCCCCCTCATTAACCCCTCTCTTCAACCCAGGATATCCTAGCTTTCAGATGCAACACACTACTGAGTCTGTCAACTGATACTTTATGGCGATATACCGTACGGGTTACACTTCAGAACCTAGCTTAGTGTAGCAGTATGCTACATCGACGTCAGGGTCAGAGCATTACTAAAAGCAGTATATATCTACATAGCAAGCCACCATTTTTCAAAGAGAAGAACTTAACACTCTCATCTCCTTTGCCCTTATCTCTCTTAAACTCATTTCACTTATAATACTGTGTGTAATTCTATTACGACTAATATGGCGTCTTCCTCGGCCTCTGTCATTTGCCCGATACCTCCATTACCAAATAAGCGTGGGCAGGGAGCGATCGGTGCGGATCTCATCATCACCTACCATTCCGACCTAGCCCAGTGCGAAATCCTCCCAGCTGGCTCACGCTATACGAATGCAGGGAACTTCAAGGCTGGGACCTTCCTGCCCTTTATCCAGCCTGCATTCATTCTCGACCTCTATCCGCGCCTCCTCAGTCCTGAAGATGACGAGACCTCGGGGCTTCCTTTGCTACTCTCCATGTTCAACCCCGGAGCAAGAACAGCGACCTTGGGGGAGGACTGGGAGGGGAAATGGTTCACTATAGTCGCCCGACTTTTTCCAAACAAACTTACCTTCCATGGCGTAAGTTTAGATGGATGGGAGACAGAAGAAACTCAATCTGTGCAGGTTGCGCTGGCACTGCCGCGCGATGGCGGCTTAACTCCGTCCGTCTTCTCACTTCCTACTCGTACAGGTCATTGATGCTTACAATCCCATAGTATTGTCCCTCGACTCCTTGGTGATAGCGACGAAGGTGCCCCCTGGCCAAGCTCTCCAGCACATGTATCCCTTGCCGGTCCTGTCGATTTAGACACCTTCCACATCAAGGAGGATGTATGGCCAGAGCCGCTGAGCAAGACTTCGGTTTTCATAAAGCTGGGTTCTTACTTGATGCCAGAGAGCGACCGCCCTCCTCACAAAGGCGTACACGTATGCCACGTCCTCCTCCTCTTCCCCGTAGAGCGACAACCATGGAGTTCTCTACTCGGGTGGATGCGACAAGCCGCGAACCCCTTTCCTAAAGGGTCGTGGATTGTATGCAGCGGTCGCATCTTAGGGGTCCTTAACCGCGAGCTTATTCAAGGCCCTCAACTCATCGATTCCACCGTCCGGATCTTGGTAATTCTCCCCGACGATTGGGAATTCGTTCGGCAGAGTGCCCTGTCTACACACAATACATCCATGCCCACATCGTCGAATCCTGTCAATGAGCCGCCTACGCCGCCACGACCAGCTGGCCCTGGGGGCGTTACGAGCAGAAACCCATTCTCGTCTCCAATCCGTGGTCAAAAGCAGTCTCCGCAAAGGAAAGCTGCTTCACTGCCATCAAAGCAGTCAGATCGCGAGGCGACCAAACCGCCAGCCTGCCCTGGAGAAAAACATACACCACTGAATCCAACCACAGCTGACGTCGATCCAGTGCTTCCAATTCCAAGTTCGGGTATGTCTCGTCCCTTCCACACCTATCACTTCAGCTAACTGGCAATTCAGATAGCGATCGTACGGACGATGGTTCAGACACAGAGCAGTTGTTGGACGATCAACTCGCTCCTACGACCCCCACTCCAATACGTAAGAGGAAGAAACAAAGTACCCCTGAGCTAATTAGAAGCAAGAGAACTAGACCAGGAAAAAGGAGGGCATAATTATACGACTAGATTCCTGGCCTTGACCAAAAGACAACCTTCCCTTGATTCTTTCCAAATAGTCATCAATAATAACCCACAAGACTAGCTTAAAAAGCCTTATATTTGTCGTGATTTCCTAACATTAAATATGTGAGGACTTCCTCCTTATTAAGCTCGTATTGTATCCCATTATTAGTCTCGAAGACCCCAGAAGAAGACCGTTCTATAACTGTGCTGGTATTGTCGCTTGGCTCCTCCTTAAATCCTTACGTACCCTGGCTGTTTGTCGGCCTAGGTCGATCGAAGCCGGACATTGCTACGGCGGCGCGACTATCCTCGACCTTGCGTAGAGGAACGCAGTAGACCTTATGCACTCAAATTTAACTAGTCTACCAGCCAGAGATCATCAAATCTCATAATAATCACTCTCCCCGAGTTACAGCCAATAATAACAGACAATCCAGCTACCTTTGAACAGTTAGGACGAAATGACGCCGGTAACCAAAGCAGTCTCTTTTTCTGCCACATAATCCAGCACTTATCTTCACTGATCCCAATGCCAGAGAGGCAGTTAGTAAAAGATATAGTGATGTTTTCAGGTGATGAAACAGGACTCTTAATAGAGATAGCGCCAGCGTCAGTCAAGAGGCATGGATTCTTAGGGTCAAATTGCAGTTGAGAGGAGGAAATGCCAGCTACTTCTCGAATGCATATGCCATCATCAACGCGCCAGAGCCGGATGGTCTTATCGTCAGAGGCCGACGCCACGAGGGCCGAGTCGTGCGAGAAGGCTACTGGTGATACCGAGCCCGTATGGCCCTTAAGCTCTTGGATGCATGTGCCATCATCAACGCGCCAGAGCCGGATGGTCTTATCGTCAGAGGCCGACGCCACGAGGGCCGAGTCGTGTGAGAAGGTTGCTGATGTTACCGGGCCCGTATGGCCCTTAAGCTCTTGGATGCATGTGCCATCATCAACGCGCCAGAGCCGGATGGTCTCATCCCAGGAGGCCGACGCCACGAGAGTCGAGTCGTGTGAGAAGGTTGCTGAAGTTACCGGGCCCGTATGGCCCTTGAGCTCTTGGATGCATGTGCCATCATCAACGCGCCAGAGCCGGATGGTCTCATCGTTAGAGGCTGAGGCCACGAGGGCCGAATCGTGTGAGAAGGCTGCTGAAGTTACCGGGCCCATATGGCCCTTGAGCTCTTGGATATATGTGCTATCATCAGTGCGCCAGAGCCGGATGGTCTTATCGTTAGAGGCCGAGGCCACGAGGGCCGAGTCGTGTGAGAAGGCTACTGATCTTACCCAGTGCGTATGGCCCTTGAGCTCTTGGATGTATGTGCCATCATTAACGCGCCAGAGCCGGATAGTCTGATCCCAAGAGGCTGACGCCACGAGGCTCAAGTCGTGTGAGAAGGCTACTGATGTTACCCAGTGCGTATGGCCCTTGAGCTCTTGGATGTATGTGCCATCATTAACGCGCCAGAGCCGGATAGTCTGATCCCAAGAGGCTGAGGCCACAAGGGTCGAGTCATATGAGAAAGCTACAGATGATGCTGTGTCTGTATGGCCCTTGAGCTCTTGGATGCATGTGCCATCATCAATGCGCCAGAGCCGGATAGTCTGATCATCAGAGGCAGAGGCCACGAGAGTCGAGTCGTGCGAGAAGGCTACAGACCATACCCAGGCCGTATGACCCTCGAGCTCTTGGATACATGTGCCATCATCAATGCGCCAGAGTCGGATAGTCTGATCATCAGAGGCAGAGGCCATGAGGGTTGAGTCGGGCGAGAAGGCTACTGATGTTACCCAATTCGTATGGCCCTTGAGCTCTTGGATGCATGTGCCATCATCAATGCGCCAGAGCCGAATCGCCCCATCGTGAGAGGCGGAGGCCACGAGGGTCGAGTCATGCGAGAAGGCTACTGATGTTACTGAGTCTGTATGGCCATTGAGCTCTTGGATGCATGTGCCATCATCAATGCGCCAGAGCCGGATCGTCTTATCATAAGAGGCCGAGGTCACGAGGCTCAAGTCGTGTGAGAAGGCTACTGATCTTACCGAGCCCGTATGGTCCTTGAGCTCTTGGATGCATGTGCCATCATCAATGCGCCAGAGTCGGATAGTTTCATCTTGAGAGGCTGAGGCCACGAGAGTCGAGTCGTGCGAGAAGGCTACAGACCATACCCAGGCCGTATGACCCTCGAGCTCTTGGATACATGTGCCATCATCAATGCGCCAGAGTCGGATAGTCTTATCGTCAGAGGCTGAGACCACGAGAGTCGAGTCGTGCGAGAAGGCTACGGACCTGACCACGCCCGTATGGCCTTCCAGGACCTGTTGACATAGGTCCCAATTGTCTTCTGGTTCTGTTGCAAGAGACATCCACTTTGGAATCTGATGGTCTTGGAAAAAGGTGTTTCGTACAGCACTATTCTTTGGCGCAAAGGCAAGAACTGAGGAGTAGATCTGAAGAGGCACAGAGTTAATTGTTGATATGTTGGTGAGGATCAATCGCTGTGCGTCTTGGAGAAAGTCCACTAGCTTTCCACTTCCTTCTAGCTGAAATATCATTAGTATACCCAGTTCTCTACTTCCTAATACATACTTACCTTACGAACTGCTTGTAAGTCCTTAATAATGGTAAGGCTTTCTGAAACTCTTCCAACTAGGCTTAATACTTCTAGCCAGTGGAGAAAATGTTGCAATAAGAATTTGTAGACTGGTCCATTGTCATCAATACGCATATCGGCTTGTTGTATGTGATAAACCCAGTAAAGGCAAGCGTATTGCACCTCAGGAAGGATATGTGAATTGATGTCTTGAGGGCTGATAGATGCACGGTCTGTTCCTGGCTGTACGAGCATGCATATATCCGTTTCCAGGCATTGGTTCATAACATCAAGGCAGTATACCGCCAATTGATTATGAACCTGTTTCTCATCTACCCAGAACAGATGCTTGGCATGCTTCCTAGGGTCCACCAGGAAGTCGCGGAAGGAGAGATGTAGCATCCTTACAGGAGATTGCTCTGATGGAGGGATGCTCAGGACTGAATGAAGCAGGTCCAGTTGGGCATCGATCGTCTCTTTCTGTATGTTCAGGAGTCGTCCGAGGGCAGATATGGGGAGGGGGTTCCCTAGAACCACAATAGAGCCAACGATGCGTCGAAATCGCTCAATGAGATCGTCCCGCTGCCAGTTCTCCAGGCCATCAATCAGCTTGTTGAGAACAGGTAGATATGTAGCGCTAAGTTGTGATATCTGGCTTTCTCTTTGAAGTTGCAAAATTTCCCTTAATTGCTTGTTGGGATTACCAAATCTGCGATCGGAAAGAAAACGGCAGACTGTGGTAGCGAAAATAAAGAGAGGAACAGCCATTTTCACCAGACGTTGGACGTTTTCTTCCCCAGGCCAGTCAAGTGGTAGATGTCGATCTTAAGACACAGATGAGTTGTACTCAGTCTTGATTTTTGCAAGCTCGTGGTCGAAAAACGCAGAGATATCATGCTCAATAATACCAGATAGTATTTCATGAAGTACAAGGTCTTAATATATGCCCTTCACACCGTAAAAGCCAAGTCGAATTGGCAGCTCTGGCCTGCTTGTAACGAGGATCCTTAGTTTTGGAAACTGCAGATCTCTTGTGCAAGAGAAAAGATTGATAAGAAGTTTGACATCCTCATCCCGGTCGCATTCGTCAAGGGCATCAACAATGACCACCAATGTGCCTGATCTCTGAGCGCCTGGGGCAGTATTTCTCAGTGGCCGCATGATAAGTTCGCTGAATTGATGTCGTGCCGCCTTTCCAGCAATGTGAGGATCAGCATCAATAGCAGCCTTGATATGTGGCGCGATAGCAGGCTCTCTTTCGGCCAACTGGATGGCGATGGTTGCGAAGAACTTAGACAAGCTCCCCCGGTCAGCCTCTCCTCTCTTGAAAAAGAAGCTGCCGCCGAGGCGACCTGACGCAGCAACAGACCGAGCAACAGTGCGAGATATTGTAGACTTTCCAGTCCCAGCCATTCCGTTGAGCCAGAAAATAGGCTTGGCGTCAGGGTCTATGGCCCATTCATGAATGCGGAGGAGGACGTCGACTCGGGTATCTCGTAGGCAAGTCGGGTTATGCTCTTCGGCGCCAGAGTCAAAAGACGCACCTGTAGCTACAGGAAGTCTACTGAGTACTGTCTTTTGGTCGATGCAAAGCAGTTTTTCGTCGACATGGAGAATAATACCCCTACAGCGCATCTCTATTAGTGTATGATTAAAAGCAAAATAAACGGAATCTTACGTCTGTTCCACTTGGAGAGTCCGATCGATTGTCTCAGCGTGTCGCCTAAGCGTCTCAACTAGATCATCCACCTCTTTCCTCTGAAACGGCCATTTCAATGCGCGAAGACCTATTTTGCTCATTGCCTTGCGGGACGTCCGAGGCATGAGCCTGAGCTCAAGTGTTTCAAGCAGCAACCGACTGTCGTCGAGATTATCCTTGAGTCTCTGCGATTTGCCGAGTTTCGCGCTATTGGGATTATTTAACAACTCCTGCACTGCTTCGGTAACTCCCTGTAGGTTGGTAACCTCGTTTTTAACTTGTTCGATATCGCCAGCGGCATTTTTCACGTCCTTGGCGTACTGGACGCAAAGCGATGCGATCTTGATGGAAATATCAACAACTGCGATGACGTTGGCCGCAACACCGAGAACCTCCATCGTGGTCAGGCAATGACTTCACGTGCTTCTGCGCTCATGAGTTATTGTAAAAGATCTTTGATCACCTTGACTGTTGAAAGTAAATGAGGGGTAAGCAAGGCTGTGCGATGGCTGCCTGTGTGATCTCTATTCTAATTGGGTCAGGATCATGTACCACCTCACACGGTATTGTGAGCTGCTTAACATCCACATCACATAAGATCCCAAGGCAAGAGAGTGATGGAGAACGTACATTTGACATTTCAGCGGGACGGCCCGTCCCTGGTGCTACTCAATCCATTTTTACCGCTCTCATCTCTGTCGTCGCCAGTCTCGGCTAGTACTTGGATGGAGACGGCTGTCCAGGAATGAGCGGAGGAACAATTTTCCAGGCAAGCGAGCCAACCAGCTAAGCTAACCACTGGCCGATCCTTGAGTGGAGACTCACGTGTCAATAATGTGGACACCATAAATATCGTCCGTGCGGAAAGCATTGAACACCGAATTGGTGACATTCGGCGCGGTCTTTACTGTTCCTGGAAGCAGCCCTTCTTCACCAGCTTAATTACGCCAGAACAGTTCCTCCAGGCTTCCTATGGCGGGCCGCTTGCCGGACCGGTCCCTCCCTGTTATCCAATGTTAAAGGAGTTTCCGCACGGACCACCATTGTGGCGCACTGTGGCTGAGGACCGTGTGTGGTGACAAACAGTACGTACCTGTGAAGGAGGGGCATAACAAAGCCAGAAACGGCTCTAGGGCACACACCAGGCAGCACGATGGCGTAGACATCATTTGTGCATGATGTCCTCCCACCGGAAGGCGAATATGAATCACGAGAGTCCCTATTCAAAGCAATTAATGCTTGGGCGAAGCCTCGAGGATATGCATTCACGACGGGAAAGTCCTCGAAGACTCCTAATGGCCAGGTAAATGTTGTGTACGCATGCGATCGGAACAGACTAGGTACCGCCGAGCAATTCGATTGAACGAGTACGCCGCACCCCCAGTCGAATAACAGGCTGCAAGTTCTCAGTTCTCGCAAAGCAATCACTATATGGACGCACATGGATCCTCAGCTATCGGCCAGACAAAGAATGCGCGAAGCACAATCACCTACTAAGTGAAGATCCATCCGCTTGCCCGGCGCATCGCCGACTTGAAGAGCGAGATGCAGCAACTGTTTCAAGTCTTGCGACAACTGGAATCACTCTGTAAGATATTAGGACTTATCTCTACAATAATTCAGATGCCCTTACAACTCAGTGAGATATCTATAATCGGATTGCAGTAACAAGGACTTCCCTCAGTCATCTTGACGTGCTAACTTCTCCACTCTGCTAACGTAGATACAGTTGAGATGGTATCCTGAGACGAAACTCAAGTGAGATCTTAGTCAGCGTGCGTGGCCGCTTTTAGGGCCTCTTCGCTCCCCGGCTCAATCTCGGCTCAGCAGTGCATCAGCCCGCCTCAGCGGTGCCTCAGCCGGCTCAGCGGTGCATCAGCCCGCCTCAGCCCGCGCAGCCCTCATCAGCTTTCTGCTCACCCTTCCCCTGGTCCCCTCCTCGCTCTTAACCCCACTTCTGGGCCCTCAACTTCCGGATCACCCCTTGTCAGCCCGTTTGCCTACTCTCACGACTCCAACCGGGAGGCCGCCTTGATCCTCGTTTTGGGACCGTAGTCCCAAATCTGGGCCCCTTGGCATAAGTCCTAGAATGGGCTGTAATTGAATCCTTCCTTCCGGAAACAGTATGCTGGCTTGCAATGCTCCTTACCCCTGACGCATGGGCACATTGCGTTGCCCTGTCTAACTCGCAGCAATCTGTAGCTTTCTCACGCCCATGTGGTGTCCTTCCCCGTTCCATTCGCTCCCAGGCTTCTCTCTGGTATTTAGACTCGAATTCCTCCACAAAGATGCTAAACTTCCTTTCCCCATCTATTCACTCCCAGTCCTCGCTGTGGTATTAAGACTCGAATCCCTTCACGAAAACTCCAACTTCATTTGTTCTTTTATTTACTCATCCCGTCTCATTAACGCCGTCCAATGGGGAAAGCTAAAAGCGCAGCTGACACCCTCCGCCTAGGCTGCAAAAGGAGCTCGGAGAAAGAAAGCAACATCGTGAATGGGGAATTAGTCCTGAGAAAGATCCAGCCTGCAGTGGAACGGAGCTACGCCAAGAAGGTGCAACTATGGCTTGAGTGTGTTATATAGCCTATATATATGGACATTTGGCTGACCTCAGTATGCAGATACCAGAAGCAAAATCCAGAAGCATCACCAGATGACTTGAAATCTCTGAAAGACTTCGTGAGAAAAATGGCCTACAGCATCGATGGTGAGGAAGGGATTGAGGTTCCCGGTTCAGAGACTGTGCGGAAGTACTGGAACACATTCACGGCGGCTTGGCAGCGCGCCAACCCCGAACAATCAATACCGCGTGGAATAGCACAATCTGTGACAGAGGTATGCATCTCATTCTTCGTTTCTTACTAAATTTCTTACAATGTTAACTTCGATGCTAGTACATCAACGGGCCACTGGCAGAAGAGATGGGAATGCCAAAGACGAAGAGACCTAGGAGGTTTGCCACAAAAAACGTCTTGCTGAATTATGCGAGGCAGCTTTGGGCAGCGGATTGGGTCGAGTACAAGCGTCCGGGAACGCTCATCGATGACTGGGGACTCCTATTAGGGAATGCATACTCTTCTTCTCGGATCGGGGAGTACATCGAGTCCACCTGTCGTGCGGGCACCGGGCGAGGCCTCCATTTCAAGGTAATGATGTTATGTTGGATTCGGATGCTACTGTATCGACTAACTGTGTCAAGGACCTCACCTTTGTCGCATTCATCAACGAGACAAGGGCGCCGGAATTCGCCATTCAGCTCACCCGTGATGCAAAAAACATGACGTCTACGCCAGACAAGAGGTAAGATTATGGTTCAATTGCAGAGAATCCACTCTGACTTTTGCTTTCTCAGGCCACAACACGCCTTATATGAAGGCAACGAACCTGGGCTTCTCTGCTTCAACCCGATGCTCCCTTTCCTTGCCCGACTTTTGGCGTATGAAGCGTTCAGGGACTACAAAACCATCGAAGACCTCTTGACAATTGTGCCACCCGAGGATGAGATGTTGGTGTTACAGTGGAAAGACGACCTCCTTGAGACACCATTCTTCAAAAGCCAGTCGACGGACAACATTGAAACTGCGGCTGCGTTTAGCCATCGGCAACGATTACTCGGCCTACGGGCAGGATATGCGACACCGCCAAGACATCATGACATCAGGGCGGAGGGTCTTCACTTGATGAGTGCGTATACAGTTTCCAAAGCCTCTCTCTTGCTAACCCGTTCTCTTCAAAAGATCTGTTCGAGTCCGAAGCTACACGTATGGTATACGCTGGACACACCGACCCGAATACGCTCCCAAAGCATTATTTGCCTCGGAACAGCGCAGATGGCCAGGCAGCCTACCACGGCCAGAAAAGGCGTGGCATAGTCCTCGACCTCTTCCGTGGATTGACCATACCTCGCAATCCAAGTTTATGGCAGTGCCTGCCTGCAAAGAAGCAATTCGAGTTTGAAAACAGCCCTGAATTCATACGCATAAACAAGGAACTCGTTAAGCGACGGGGCACAAGCGACAGCAAATCGTCACAAGAGCGAATAAAACTGTACGCGGAGAAACGGAAAATGCTCGCCAAAGAGCTACGAGACTGGCAAAAACGCCAACCGGTTAAGCACGATGATGCGCCGGGATACCATAGGGCAATATTCGACCGTGTCCGGTTCATGATGCCGGAAAGAGACCGTCTGGCGCAAAATCTCTTCGAGATCGATACGCTGCGAAGCCCCATAGGTCTCTCAGTGCTTCGCGACATGCTGGCTCTTTATCAGAAGAGCTCTAACGTGGAGTACCGGCCAGGATTGGAGCCGGACAAGTGCCCTTGCGGAAAAGGCAATGACAGCTCTTACGACTGGCGACACGTGTACGCATACTTCAAGGCAGCCATGGCAAAAGCCTATGGCTTTGCAGAGCTGTGCTTTCTGTGTAACGAGTGGTTCCATTGCACCGAGGCCTGGGGTGCCCATTGTCAACACCACTTGGATCATCCGGATAGCCTCCCGGTTTGGTGCGATCCTCTCACTTATGGCGGCGTCCTCGCCAGAGCCGGTTACTGCCCGTTCTGCCTCGGGGACAGAAACTTGCCGGCCTCAGTACGAATGCATCAGTTCAAGATACGGTGGACTTGGCTCGACCACATCCAAACGCACATCAGGACACTGGAAGGTGGGGACATGCCTGTACACTGCCCAATTCTGCATCCCACCTGCCCTGGAGTGTTTAAATCGGTCCAGGAACTGCAATTTCATCTTCAAGACGCTTTTGGTGTTGAGCGGAATAGGGATTCCACGAAGATCAAGAGACCAAGATATGAAAGTGAAGACATTCCGCCTCTAAAAAGGAAGAGACAGCAACTATGCCGAGACGATCTTGAAGAAAACGATCTAATGGCTTTCGCGAACACTCAATACACGTTCACTAACATTACCATGGACAGCCTGAAGAGAGAGAAGCAGCTGCCTCAGGTGTCCCCAGACCTTTCTCAGAGTTCCACTCCTTCCTTGGGCTCACATACTACAGCTGTTGATGATGAAGCACTGTCCGGTTATAGTACTCCTCTATCATCTGTCGCGCCTGAGGAAGTGATTGACCCGGCGATATTCAGAGCGGAATCACGGCCGGATGATCTGGCCAACAAAAATCTCATCCGTGGAGTCTCATCGCAAGGCAATCATGAAGCACGTTATGACAGTCCTCTTGCCCTAGACCAGGAAGGTACCGAGTTTGAAACTGAGAATCTAGTCGCCAAGGGGCGCATTGGCAGGAGAGTGTGGTATAGAGTAAAGTGGAAGGGCTACCCAGAAAGCGAAAATAGTTGGGTGAAGAAGAAGGATGTCGGCATGGGAGCTATAGCTGACTATGAGGCAAGGCACCCTCAGGGCCAGGGCGAATACAAATTTGAGCGGTTGGTATCGAAGCGGGAGTTGGATGGAATCACGGTGTATGAGGCAAAGTGGGAAGGGCAAGTACATATTGAAAATATTTGGGTGGGCAGGGGGGATCTTAGTGCCAAGGTCGTCGCGACATTTGAGGCTGAACTCTCGAGATAGATCTAGTTCTAGACTTAGGCCTTATCTTATAGACTTTCTTATCATCTACTGATATTAACCTGTCGTGTTTACATGCGGTATTTCTATATCTCTACTCCACGAAAGGAGCTCCAGCCCTAAGCAGTACAAAACGACACTCCAGTCTTTAAATCTGCTAGCATAGGTAGTACCTGCTCTAACCCTTGATGGCACATCGAAACACTGCTTCTGAGGTATTCTATGTCACCTTCATAGTCTTTAACCCGGCCTTGGAGTTGTTGGAAGCTCTGCTGTAGTTGATACCGTTCCTTTTCCACTTCTCTTCTACATTCTGATTCCGCGTTTGCTTTGTCTCTCCACTCGCACAACTCTTGATGCAGTCTTGCATTTTCTTGTTTGAGCTCAAGTATCCTTGAACTAAAGCTCATTTCTGTGGACTTCAACCGCGAAGGTGATGATCAGTAACTGTCGTCTTAGGTCCAAGGCTCTGGCATACCAGCGTGCATATATCAGGGGTTGAGCCTGAGGGCGCCTTTAAAACAGCCTCAAAAGTTACTCCAACTTCTTCGCAAAGGAGTCTGTAAGCGCTAATGGAATGGTCGCTCAACTTTTTTGCGAAGATAATGCATAGAGATTCCTCCTTTTCTGGGAGGAATTTCCAAGTATATGGGTCTGTTGCCCGAGGGCTAAGGCGGATTTCCGATGGCTTTACGCTAATATCTAACTTCTTGCCTTGATAAAGTTAGCGTAGCCTTTACCCGAAAACTGGTCACTCTTACAGATGTGCTCTGACAGCACCTCTCGACATGCTTGCCTAAGCCGCCCACGTTCGGCATTGCTCTGTCTTGTTGGGGCCATTTTACTTGGCCATTTTCCATTTGCATTTGGGCCAGTTTACAGACATTTTACTCTTGTCATCAGGCCCATTTCTGGGACAGTCCCATAGGGCCTAAATTTGGGCCGTGACAACAGCCCAGAGAACTAGCTATTTATCCGCAGCCGTCAGCCTCTGTCTGAACGTAAAATAAAGCATTAACCAAACGAAAACTCCATCGACAGAATGGCCGATATTTTCCAATGTACAAGAAACCACAGATCGCATGATTCCTGACGCTAGACAGTTCTCGTCTGGTCTGGAAGGCAAGATCGCCACAGTCAGTTCCAATATAAATTTGCTCGACCCCTATGACCCTCCGACATCAAAGTGAAAAGAAAATTAAAGGGAAAGAAATAACGCTGGCGTTTTACTATATATAGCACACTCGAAGCTCAGTGAATACAGGGCTGGCTGTCCAAGGTAGGAAATAGTTGCTAGCCGGGCTCTGCTTCCAAGCTATACCGGCTTCGCGACGTAGAATCAAATATAACCAACTATGTAGATTGCTGCTGAGAACCGGAAAAGCGCTGCTTGTAACCAAAGACGTAATTATGCCTGCCTCCACTCTAAGAGAACTTCATCACCAGTATACGGCCTGAACGACAGCCGATAGCGACCGTTGATCCCACTACAGCCGATTCTGACCCGCGATACTCCGGAGGTAGCCAAAGCATCCCCTTTCCATCTTTTACAATCCATAGACCGTCGGTGCTTATACCCCAGCCAGAGTGGCGATCACTCCGTAAGGTTGCGTCAATCGACTGATCGTCGATGGCAGGCCGTAGAGCCGGGAGATCCAGGTTCAGAAGTCCAATGTCGGTAGAGAGGAGAGAGTTTGTCATCGGATCGAATGAAAGGTGGGTAATCACCCGGTCAATCTCGAGCGTCTGCACGCACGCGCCCGTCGCCGCATCCCACACCTTGACCGTCTTATCCCCTGAGCCCGAGGCAAGCCACTGGCCATCCGCCGAGAAGGCCACCGACCTCACCACATCGCCATGGCCCTCGAGCGTCTGCACGTACGCGCCCGTTGCCGCATCCCACACCTTGACCGTGTTATCATGCGAGCCCGAGGCGAGCCGCTGGCCATCCGCCGAGAAGGCTACCGACATCACCCAATGGTCATGGCCCTCGAGTGTCTGCACGCACGCGCCCGTTGCCGCATCCCACACCTTGACCGTGTTATCCCACGAGCCCGAGGCGAGCCGCTGGCCATCCGCCGAGAAGGCCATCGACATCACACTATTATCATGGCCCTCAAGCGTCTGCAGACATGCATTCCAGTCTAATTCCACGCTCGGCTTTAGCGTAATCCAGTTTGGCTCTTCTTTTCTGAAGAGCTCTCTGATTAGGCTGCAGGTGGGACTAAACATGAGTGCTAATGTATAGATCTGTAATGGAGCAATCTCAATGGCCCGCTTGTGAGAAAGAATAAAGCGGCGCGCATCTCGGAGTAATTCGGTCAATTCCTGTGCTTTCGTGTGTCTCTGTGAACATGTTAGGTCACCTTAAGCATATGGATGGATTTACAGCAACTCACTACTAAAGCCTTCAGCTTCTGCACTGCCAAAACTCCCTCTGACGTACTGCGTAAGAGACTGAGAGACTCTAGCCAATGCAGATACTTGCTTTTAAAGAAGTCATGGATGATACCGCCGTCTTGTAGGCCGTTGCCGCTCATCTTCCCCTCGGGTTCAGAGTTATCGAGATGGTTAACCCAGTAGATACAAGAATATCGAACCGAAGCCAAGGGGTTAGGGTCGGGTGGCGAAATCTGATCGATGGGAAACCCTGGGGCGCTTAGGTTGTAAATATCGCGTCGAAGAGTTTCTGACAGAGCTCCTAGCGACCTCGAGAAGAGGGCATGGTGCTGGTTCGCAATGCCAAAAGGTAGGATTTGCTCGGTTGCATTCTCGAGCAGGAAATCCTTAGCCGATTGATGCACGAAATATACGACACCTTGTCGAAGAGTCAGGAAAGATCCGCAGAGCGCGATGATTTCTTCCAAGTCATTGTCGCTTAAGTCCTCGACCGACTTAGCAAGAACCCTCAATTCCTCCAAGTCAACAGGACGGTAGACGAGGGAGGCAGCAGCCAAGGTCTTCTTGCAGCGGTCGGAGTCTTTTCCTTCCAAGTCATGAATATATTCCATCATTCGCATATAGAGAGGATTCAGCCCTGGTGGAAACTCCTTCACCGTACTCGAAGCGTTCCTTGCTCGGGCCTTAGGAAGGGCAAGCTTCTGACAAACTAAGGCTACCCAGAGGAAAGTGCCGTCGGCATTGGAAGTGAAGTGATTCTCGACAGCGTGCCTTGTTTCCTCGTTGTATCTCTTATCACGTGCCAGTTGTTTCCTTGTATCCAATGCACGTGTCGACGGCTTTAGAGATTGAGTCCTTGTTCAACTCGAGGTGCAGTCTGACTCTCTGCTCCGCATTGTCTAGTCTCTCCTCGATGTCCAGCCAGTTGCGACTGGATACAATCCACTTGATGCGAGTGGGCTTTGTGATAAAGTCAAGAAGTTGCAGTCGATTCGTTGTGCACTCGTCGAGAGCGTCAACGATCAGGATCGCATCGTCCAAGCTCAGATCGTCGAGCATGGCCGCAAGCATCTTGGATAAGGCCTCCCAAGCATTCCCATCCTCAAAAAGCTGCTTACCCGCATGGTCGTGCTTCTCCCGAACATGCGAGCGACGGCTGTTGGACGACTAGAAGGTAGATCAGACCGCGCAGCACGGCCGTTGCATTACTCAGTCGTGCCTCAGTGGCCTGGCAGAAGAAATAGGAGAGGCGCTTGTCGGGTTCCTGTTGCGGCTCGTCGATGATACCGCATAGCAGCATCGTCTTGCCCTTGCCAGGGTCGCCTTTGATCCACAGCAGCTGGCTCTGCGGATCGTTACGCCATCGCTGGAAGTCGTCATGGTCGAGGATCCAGCGGTACGAATCCCTGAGTAGGCCGCCCTTTGTACCTTGGATGCGCGTCTTGTCGTCGCGAGGGTCAGTCTCGCGCAGGTCTGTCAGGCATTGCTTGTCCCTGTCGTCTTGGTGTCTCTTCTCCTGTTGCCGTATTTGGTCCTGGATGGCCGAATGGATGTCTTGGAGATTCATCTCTATAGCGTTTGCGGCATCGGTGAGTTTCCAAAGTTGCATCTTGCTCTCTTCAGTATTGTATTATTCCATGTCTCTTTGCACGGCAGCCTCGGCTTCCTGGATCTCGATAAGCTGGCCAGCCCAGTCATCGATTTTGACCATATCCCTTCCAATAACCGCGGCCCAGTTACGGTGATAAAGGCAAGCGCTCTTCATCTGATACGACAGAAGTTTCTCGTAGAGCTGCAAGACGTGCTTCTCCAGTTGGACTCGCAGTCCCGCGGAAGAATACTCGGCCTTGTTCTCGTCGAGAAGCAGGGGCACCAAATTCCAGTACCACTCCATTCTCGACAGGACGTAGGCGATGCCTTTGCGATTGTCGCGTGCCTCGGTGACGGGGTTCGAAAGGATCTATCAACTCATCCGCCTGCTTCGTGGCACCAGCTTTGAATGGTCGCATCCGTCACAGCCAGGCGTTGGAGATATATGATCATACGTCGCGCAGAAAAGGCAATCCGGTGAGCTCGGGCGACCGTACTCGGAGTGTCCCTCAAACTTCTCCCGCAGGATGGACGGGACCCGACTAGGCTCTAGCTCATGTTTTGATCGTAAGGTGGACACGACTGTGCCGAGCAGCTGTTGGGGAATCTTTGGGATCGCTGTCAGTTGGGTCTGTCCGTCTCCAACAATCTTCCCTAAATCATACTGCATCACCCTCGTTCCGACGACGATGTCGCCCAAACGTATATCGGCCTTGCTCGGCACTCCACCTCCAATTCCCACCATCAAACCCAGGCGGATCGACGGGAAGGTACGGACCAGGTGGGTCAACACATTCGCCGCGTTGTTCGTTCCGTACTGGGCTGTTGGCAAGCACGCAATGACGATGTTGTGGTACTCTATGCTGCCGAGCGTGTAGGTGTTGCTGTCGTTCCTATGCCTTGGCAGGTCTTGGTGAACCTCGTCCAGCATGGCGCGAGCTGCTGCCATCTCTATGTGCAGCGCGCAGATCCAGGCGATAGTGTACTGATCATGCGAAGTGAGCGACCCGTTTCGCGACTCGTGAACCCCATTTTGCCCAGGTCGAGATGTCGATCTGGTTATGATTCACAGGCGCGACTTTGCTCGGGGAGTAAGCGTCGGTAGGGGTAGAGGTAGATAAGGCGGAATGACGTACTGAAAGGCGTCTGATGAAGGGCGATTATCGCAACTGACTGTTTCTCGGCCGATTCGTATTTGGGTATGGAAGGAAGAAGGGTAGAGACGATCGAGGGCGCATCAGGCAGCCAGGGATGGTGTCGCTGCCAGGCCTATGCATGCACTGCCACCACCGGTTGGCGCTGCCACCGCCACCTCAACAACCTCGCAAAAGAAAGCTCATCGGAGCCTCAGATTGTGGGCTCTCATACTCTGCCTTGGTACGCCTCTCCAAACCACCAGCTTGAGCGTCCGGTGGGTCCCCGGTTATTTGACGAGCACAGTGCGGTTGACTTGGTAGTTCAGCACCAAGGCCAGAAAGCCGCGCCGTTACCTACCCGCAAACATTCCGCAGTGAACCGAAGGCGCAGTCTATTAGCTGGCCAAGGCCGACTTTTGCTGTGGCTGACCTCGTGCCTCTAACCATAGAAAGTAAGCCACCCTCAGCTGCAACTGCATCAGAATTACCAAGGCGTTCCATAGCAAGAAAAACTGGAAAGCGTACTCTCATTAATGCCAATTGCGTATAGCCACAGGTGCTTAGTGGGCAAGCCACCAGGCAGGCTACGTCGTGACATTCATGCTCAACGCTCGCGCCGAACAGCTGCTAGGCTGGGAAAAAGATTTTATCATTAAATGTTGGTGGTTGCTTAGTAGATTTTCATCAGTAACAATTTTGCTGCAAAGGACTGCTTAAGCCTGAACATCCCCGCGTCAATCCGATCCGCCAGCTGTGCTCCCTTCAGTTATGTTTGTTAGCCGAGATATACTGCAGCTATTTTTTTATTTGCAACTTGAGGTAAACCCGTAGTGATTCATCCGAAACTGACCCAACGAATTGTACTACCCTACTACCAGCCGTCACCCTTTTCGCTTCGACGAGCTCCCCGGTCGTAAAAACAAGTATTTGTTGGCCGTCATTGCCCATACTGATGTCCTCAATCACGTGTACTCCCCTGGAAGATGCTTGCTGGCCTGCATCAATAAGTTCTGTTGGGAATTGGGTTGTGCTTTCAAAATCGCCTCGTTTTGGAGCCTTGAGTTTAACCCATGCCCGGAGGGCTTGTTCTGCTTGTGAGCAGCCTGCTACATTCTCTTTCGGCGTACGTATGCGGGGGCTGCTCAAGTCATCGCGAAACTGGCCCGTGTTCGTAGTTGCTGCCCTAGGTAGAATTTCCTGGGGAAGAGGGTGTAATGCAGAATAAATGTTCTGATCATGCTTTTCAGAGTTTAGACTATTGTTTTGCATCGTATTATGGAATGATCAATGACTGTTAGAGGGGTCATGTCTGTACGATTGGATCACAGGTTCTGCAAGACGCACAGCAATTGAGGCATACATGCTGTGATTTATACTACCAACAGAACGGTGAGCTTAGCCTGGGGGGCGGAACTGAAGACATCCGGCGGAACCAAAAACATCCAACGAGCGAGTCCGGTCTCTGAGATGGCAGAAAAATAATGACCTCGTGATGATTTTAATGTTTTCGACAGTTCTACATTATCTAACCTAATTCAACTATGAAGAATCTGTTTGGTTCGCCAGCCAGCCTCATGACTAACGGTGTGGGTGCTGAGACAGCTATGCTGTGGGTGCCACAACTTAATTTTGGCGGTGGATGCTAAGTGGCTGCCGCGCCTCACGTGCCTCTTTCCGATGTCAGCTACGTTTGATTGAATAAGTTTGCCCTCTGTAATAAAGTGCTGGGTGGAAATTCTTCGATTTCTATAAAAGCAAAAGTTGGTCTAGGTATTCGTAGGATATGGGGTTTGTTCTATTATTGTTAATTGAGGAGGCGCTCTCTAACCAATAGGTTGCTAAATCACACGGCGTGCATCCCAACGCTTCTTGGCCTTACCCCCTTCATGCTATTGGATAATGTTTTCCGACGGCCTCACGCGGAATCAGAACTAGACTTCAATTGCGAGAACACAGAGGACTTCAACGCACTCGGGAGGTATCAGCCCCTGACTGCCGAAGTAAATCTGCGACTCTATGTTGGCCGTCTGCTACTGCCCATTGGAATGCTGTCTTGCCCCATCGATCTTGTGCCTCAATCTCAGCTCCCCTCTGTAGCAACAGCCGCACCAAGGTTACTCCGCCGTGGTGAGCAGCCCAATGCAAAGCTCGTTGCCCGTGATAGTCTGCAGCGTTGACGTTTGCTCCTCTTTTAATGAGGTAGTCTGGGATCTGAAACCGCCAGGCCTTTGCGGCAAGCAACATTGGTGTCCATCCATGCACTTTGGCGTCCACATCAGCGCCATTCTCAACCAGAATCCTAACAATGTCTGAATACCCATCCCCGGCAGCAATGTGCAAAGCTGTCCGACCGTGTCGTTCCCGTCGGTTGGGATCCGCCCCATTCTCCAGAAGTAATTCTACGAGACCCTCTCGCCCAAGCCGGGCAGCATGAGTGAGAGCTGTGCTGTCTCCAATTTGGTCTTCTGCGTCTATATCGGCGCCGCTGTCCAGAAGAGCGAGCACCCTTTCCCTGTACCCACTGTTCACAGCCGATCGAAGCCCGGAAACAACTGTGCTCCCATGCGATTTCTTCTCGGCCATCTCTTGTAATAAGGCACACTCGTTTTCGTCCTTCATTCTCAATCGCATTTGATCCAAAAAGACGTCTCCGTTCTCAGTTTTGCATACCAACTGATGCTGCAAAGCATCATGCTGCTTCACGATGGCGGCGTGCAGCGGGGTCCATCCATCCTCATCCATAATATTGGCGTTCGCTCCGTTCAGCAATAGAAGGTCAACTATGGCCTCGTGTCCTTGCAAAGCTGCTGCATGCAAAGCAGTGATGCCATATTTATCTTGTATATCAGCGTTGCCTCCGTGTTCAAGGAGTTCCTTTGTCACGCCTTCTAGTCCAGCTTGGGCGCTCCAATGGAGGGGCGTTTGCTTGGTGTTGTTACCAGAATCTGGATTAGCCCCATTTTCCAAAAGCAGGAGTGTGATCCCTGTGTATGGAATTGCCCAATGTAGTGGTGCGTTGTCGTAGTTGTCTTTCGAATTGGCATCGGCTCCGTTCTTCAGTAGTAGGGATGAGGTTTGCTCATGTCCCTCAGCGACGGCCCAATGAAGAGCTGTACTTCCCTCTTCGTCTCTCCTGTCGATATCCAATGTATCTTGCAGAAGCATTTCCGTCGTCTTGTTACTCCCTGCCTCGGCCGCCAAAATGAGAGCTTTGTGGGTTTGAAGGTTGTCTGAGCTGAGTCCGGCGTACTGCTCGAGAAGCAGTTTGACCAAATCATCGTGTCTGCCTATGACAGCCCAGTGAAGGGCTATCCATCCCTCATCGTCTTCGATCAGTGGATTGGCACCACCCGCGATGAGGAGTTCCATGGCTTTTCTATGTCCATTCCTGGCTGCCCAAGTCAATGCTGTTTCGCCCCAATTGTTTGTTACATCTGTATCTGCTCCTTTTGTAAGCAGCAATCTCGTCAGCTCCGCGAGGCCACGCCGCGAACACAAGTGCAAGGCGGTCATTCCTTGGCTATCTTGGCAGTTGGCGTCTGTGTCTGCTCGGCAGACCGCGGCGAACACGCCTTCTAGTCCCCAATGTGCAGCAGCATGAAGTGAGGTAAAGCCTCTCGGAAAGCAATCATGCCAACCATCCCTGCGATGTCGAGGAATGTACAGCATCTGAATGGAGGAAGCTAGCTTTGCTTCATCTCCTAAGAAGCGCAGGATCTCATCAACATCCTCCTGCTCTTGGTTTGTCGCGAAATGATCTCCCCAGTGATGGGAAGCATAGGGAAGAAAGGCATATTGATGTATTCGTTGGTCAAGGTCCTTCTCACTCGTGCAGGGGCCTCTTCCAAAGGTCTCGAAAGATAGGTACGTGAGGCAAGTCCTTGCAAAATCTGACTCGGGTTCTAAAAGTTGACTTTGGTGTTTCTCCAGGTATTCATGTAAAGTGAGATGGACGAGTCGCGCGTCGTTGGTTTGTTCGTCGACCAGAAGGAGTCCCGCCGTAACTGAGAGCAGAATGTGTGTTTCGGTGAGTGCTGTCTTGTCGAAGTCGATATCCCCAGGTTCAATGCTTAAGGCATGAAACAGCTCGTCGAGTTTCAGAGGCCTTTTGGCATAAAAGACGAACGAAAGCGCTTTTCTAGCCAGATGCCTGTCGTCGTCCTGCTGGTCCTCTATCCTCTGCAAGGACTTTTTGTAAAAGGCTTCCATATCTCCTACAAGGGAATCCAGTGATGAGCGGACGTTCTTGAGGCTCGAACACTTACACAAATCTTCCATTTGCAAATGAGCAAGCAGAAACCTGGGATCAGATTAGTGACTGGTCAGTGGATTGGCTGTGGTATCCTGAACTTACATGCCATCCGTCTTCTCCAGCAGCTTGTGGATGACGTCATCCCTGAGAGTTGGATCTTTGGCGATGAAAGAACTCATTCTCTTGCTCGTGCGCATTTTAGAGTTTAAATACCCCTCCACATCAGAGGAGTGGGCAAAAACGTTGATCCGAGTTAGATTCTTGAAGCTCGTCGTAAGATCCAGGTTTGAGCGTGAAGTAATCAACAGGTGAACAGAGGATTCTACCTGCTCTGCCAACGAAATGAATGCTTCCCTATTGTCTTCAGGACACTCGTCCTGACCAATGGTGACACAGGTTAGCAATCTCAAAGAGACAACATTAAAGGGAATGTTTCAGATGCTCCTACCAGCGCGTCAATCAAGATGTAGGTTTTCTGAAATAGTCGGGATATGGCATTCACAAGTAAAATGCGCTCCTCATCGGTAGGTAGTGACCTCTTTTCGAGATATTTGTCTCTGAAGGCCGTTACTTCCGTGGGTATCTGCTGACACGACTCAACCAGCTGTCGAATGATGCTAGACCAGATGCTCGTTTCTGACAGCGTATTCCGATCTTGGTAGTCGCAGTATGCGTAAGCAATTGCGACATTGGAGCCCTCCGTGTTCTCTTCTATGTAACTAACAGCAGTCGACCTATTTCTAGACCATCAGAAATCGAGCTGATGAAAAAGGCAACTTCAGCGCCTGGGTATAGGGTACTCACATCATCACTGTTTTACCGGAACCAGCTTCATTAGACTAGTTAGCAATGATCATCAATCCGCGTCATATGGTCATAAGATAGGGGTCCGTACGGTTTCCATGACACCAAAGTGTGGAGTTATCATCGCTGCGGAACCAATGTTGGAAGGCGACAGAATCTAGGAGCCATTGGCCGGTGCCATGATGGCGTTTCGAGAACTCGTTTTTCTGTTTTTCGCGAAAATCAAGGCTTGATATCCAAGTGATGATGCTGTGACGTTCAAATGCCGTTTCTTGGCCTGAGTCCTGCATTAGATATAGAGTAGGTTCGGTCAATGAATACTTACTCTCAAAGTATCGGTGCATTCGGCGTGACCCATCCATAACAGATCTTAGATTGTGGCCAATGCGATCTGTAAGGGCAAGGTTTTCCTTCATGCCTGCAACCACTGTACGAGTATCGTTGTTTGTCTGCTCCACTCGTAACAAGATCGCGTTCATTACAATACCCCGCTCGCGATCCACCATTTTGTGAAAATTGTCATACGCGTCTTTCAGCTCAGCATCCTCCCCGGAGATGAGAGCTCGGAATGCCTTGACTTGAATGTTGGTCAGTGGTACGTTGATCGCAAAGCATCTAGCCCGCCCTTCTCATCAATTCACTTGTTTGAAGTTGTTGACATAATGTCATCTTCAAGACGAAACAACGGGACTGACAACTCTGGGACAAACAGAAAAAGAAGACGAACGTACCAACCCGCTTCGTATGGATGTATTTCGTACAAATTGCGCAGAGAACGAGAATCGATGTGAAGACTTCAGCAAGTACCACCTTTAGCTCGGGTATCTGTGGGACATTGTTTTCCAATATCTTCAGCTGGGAAAGATAAGAACGCAGGTCTTCAAAAAAGCCGGCGACTTTGTCATAATCCGCAGACACGCCATTCGAAACCTACAAGCTGTCAGAACCGCCAAGGGCGCCTCCCGTAAGACATACGCTGATAAGATACCGCACGGCAGCAAAAATAGCTTCACTCGGAGGATACATCTATGATGTAGGTGAATAATAGGCTAAGGACACAGAGTGCGGAAGGACTTGCCGCTTTAGTCGCTTGCGCTACTATGTCACCGACAAACTGGACGGGCGATAGGCTCTGGCTCACAAGCGTCCTAAACTTGTCCAGTTTAGTGCCATCATGACGGTGGATTTTAAACCTCGCCTCCTTGTCGTCGATGTCTTCCAAAATTTGTGCCACACTATTGGCTCGTGCCAATTGTTGAATCTGTACACCCGTGATGGCCTCATAACGGTCAACAGCAGACTTCCAGATTAAGCCTACATCAGAAGTGGCGTCAACTTTTGGCCCGAGACAAAGTCCAGTGTGTTGCATCATGGCTGTCATCGGTCAACCGATTAATCCTCATTCGTCTTTACGGAAGGCATTGAGTTCAAACCATTTGAGCGTGCCTAAGCCTTGAAGAGGGGTTCTCGAATCGAGGCGTACGCGTGAAGTCGAGACTAGTCTCGACTTCACGCGTACGCCTGTAGTCGAGGTTAGCCTCGTCCCGACGCGTACGCTGGAAGTCGAGTGAAGTCAGGGAAACTGAATTCAGTTGAACATGGCTCAAGATACAGAGCATTCGAGCGGTTTATTCTCCAGCGAGACGAGGAACGAATTTCGCCTGTACCTACACAGCCATCCAAACAGTCGCCGCGTGTCACAGTCCGAACGATGCAACATCCTAGCATGGTTGACGAACCCCGAAGTCCGACCCTCTTCCCAGCAGGAGTTTAGTCGACGTCACTATGTTCAGAAGACTTTTGCATGGGATGCGACTCGACAAACTCTTGTTGCCGTGGCAACAGACATGAAGAAGGATCGCGACGTTATTACCGAGGAAGACATCGTGGACACAGTCGAATTTGTTCACTTGAAGAACGGACACGCTGGATGGGATGCTACCTGGGAAGGAATCAGCAGTTTTTACTATGGCATACTTCGGGCGGATGTTATTTTTCTTCTCAAGCAATGTCCCGTGTGCGCTGAGGATCCCCGCAAGCGCCCCAAGAGTCAAGCGAAATCAGGATCTCACTTGATTGAGGAAGGTCCCTCGAATTTCTTGACCATCGACGACCTACTCCGTGACTCGGTATCCGATATAACAGAGAGGGAGGGCATGTTTGGAGATCAATCTTAACTCTTCATTGATCGCAAGTTCTGTATGAATTTGGACTGAGACGAAAGTCCAAGCAGTTCATTCTCTACATATTCTTCCATGGGTTCCTCCGGGATATTATATCTTCAAAGGAATCTCTACTCATAAATACTCGGCTTGATGGCCGTAAAGCCATTGACAATGCATGAAAAACAGGCTCTATTAAGACCCAAATCGATGGATCGAGTCACCTCGCTGCTGCTCTATCACTTTGCCTACTTATTTGCCATTTTCATTTCTTCGTGAAGCCGTTTCACAGCGGGGTGCTCCTCGAGAGACTCGTCGGTGTTATCCACCACTTCTAATGTTCTGATTCCTCTCAAAGTGCAGAGAGCCGCTATGCCAGGGTCTGCCATAAACTCGTGCACCGACGTATTCTCGAATATATCCTGATCCAGGCAGATCTGCAAAAACTGAAGCCTCCGGCACTCCTTGAGGAGTTGAACGCATCTCAGTGCATGCAGAGATGGTAATATAGGACCGCTGTCATCGTCATGAGGAGATTGTTCCACTTTGCGCCCAATGTCATTCATGCTCTCCCAAGGGAACTGCAGTGAAGTGATATTACTGCGTCCAATACGGCCGATTGCAACAAGAAATTTTACAACGTCGTCCATATCGTCCAAACAAAAGGTTGTGTTGCGATATACAAATGGTAGAGCTTCTTGGCGTATTTGCCTGCTGGCTTTCAAGATAGTTGGTTCTTTCTCCAGTTGGAAGAAGAAACCGCTGGGATCTCCTACACCTGCGGGAAAGATGAGGTGGTCAAAAGCATCGATGTCCTTGATCCCCAACTCTCTCTGAGGCAGGGCGAAGCTGTAGATCTTCTCACGCAGCTCTCTCGGTAACTTGAGAAATGGGGAGTCATCGTGGGGAGTCTCGATGGACGGGAACTATGGATGTTAAGCCACCTCCCACAAAGTCATGTTCCGGGCGGCACACCTTGGCGGCTGATATGGCCCATGATGCTTCGTTTTCTGTGAAAAGAAGCGGCAGGAAAAATCCACCATTGTAGCTGATGTCGATGGAATATATGTAGAAACCTACACGGTCTGCCCGCGTGATGACGACCCTATTCCCATCATACTCAATGACCTAACAATGGTTAGATTAGTTTAGTAGGCCCTAGACGAACGGGAACTCACCAAACTTTCCCCCATTTTCGGAAGAACGAGAGAAGGCTTGGCCATTCGGCGGTGGGTTTGGTTGGTCTTGTTCAGCTCATCGTATTCTCGGAACAATTGCTTTGAGGTGTTATCAGGCACGGGCTTGAGGTCACAGTAGAAGCGTTCTGTAGCTGGGTCGGGTGGGGTCATCGAGTTTGCTGTGAATCCCAGCCTCTCTTCCATCTCTGGTATACTTGGTCTAGACGTGAACTTGGCCATGGTGGATGTTTGATGTTCCAGGGAGATTTCTAACTGGTCATGAAATTTTGAGATTAAAATTCTCGCGCAGTTTAGCAGTTGGGCGGCTCGCTCAACCCCGCTTTGTGCAAACCATGCTGGAGCTGGTGGCGAGATGAGTATCGCCGAGGATCTCCCGCAAAGCCTGGACGCACAAGATTTAGACAGGGGTGGGTGCAGGAAAGAAGAGTGGGTCCGTACGGTACTGCCAGGATGTGGCGGTCGAAAGCACGATGGTTGTGGGGCGCGTTTAGCGTCGCAAACATGACCTCTGCTCGCAACACCCTTGGCAGCCCTTTTGCACGACATCCCACGCAATCACCGCAACGATACTATTCTCCAGAGGCTATCTCGTGGCCCCTTACGAGATTGGGTGGTTTCGTGACCGCTTAGTCAACATTTGGCCTTCGTTAAATCACCATGCCCCCAATACACCGTGCCTGAAATATGTGCACTGTCTAAAGACACGCTAGTCCATAAATGGCCCAAGAAAATCAAAATTTGTATGACCAAAAAACTTTCATTTCAGTTAATACCAAAAAAAAAAAAAAAAGACGGGAGGGATCACGAAAACGATTACTATCGATCTATCTTGAAATCTTTATTATTTCCTCAATTGGAAGAGTGGTAAGGTGGTGGGCTGGCTTTCATCATGACCTCTCTGGCAAACGCCAAGACCTTGGTGGGGCCAAGCGGCCGCGTGACGCGCCGATGAGGCTTCGAAGCATGAAGCGAAAGCTCGAGGACACTGCGAAAGAACCGAACAAAAGCAGCCGATATGCCACGAGAGCGACAACGAGAGCGACAATGATTGAAGGAGAAGTCGATCATGCGACAGACCCAAGTAAGGGAAACAGTAGCAACAACAACGAGGGAAGGGCGATGCTCCAGAAGGCCTTGGAGTTATTGGGCGAATACCGCGCTGAGTTCCAAGGGCTAAGGGAAGCCATCAAGGAGCAGAACGGGATCATCAGCAACCAGCAAGAGGTAATTCGAGATTTGAAGGAAGCAGCTGAGGAACAGCAAAATACGGCCCAAGAGTTGAGTCAACAATTGGAAGACACCAAGAAGCAGATGGGCGATGAGTTGAAGCGAATTCGCGAACAACTTGAAGCTATCACCGCGAGCGCGGCAGCTACCCCGCACATCTCTTTCGCTGACGTCATGCGATCGCCACCCTCGTCCCAACCTAGCAACATCCCATCTGGCAACACATCGCCCTCGAATCTCACCGATGCGTTTTATTGCACGGTCGACACATCGAGGGTGGGAAAGGAAGAAGCAGAGCTAATTACAGCAAGTGCTATCCGGACTATCGTGGAGAGTGAGGTACGTGCTGAGCAGGGCCAGTCCAGCTGGCGCTGCCAGGCGGTAACCAAGGACCGGAAGAGCCGGAACCGGATCAGGATCGTATGCAGAGATGAAGCTGAACACCAAATGGTGAAACGACTGGTGGGAGCCAAATTGGCACGAGGCGCCCGGGTGCTACGGGATGAGCTCTATCCCATTAAAGTGGATAACGTCAAGCGCATAGCAGTGCTGGATGAAGCGGGTAACATCCGTACGGGAGCTGCCGAGGCCTTTGGAAAGGAAAATGACACGCAGATTGCAAAAATAGTTTGGCTAAGCAAAAGAGACATTCCAAAAGCATACGGCTCAATGGTCGTTTACCTTACCAAAGGTTCAGACTCAAGAAGGCTCCTCTCGGAGGGTTTCTTTTATGCTGGAGGAGAATCTGGATACGCCAGAGTGTTCGAACGCCGACCTCGCCCAAATCAGTGCTACAACTGCCAACAAGTCGGTCATAAAGCTTTCCAATGTAATAGCACCCAGGTTTGTGGAAAATGCGCAAAGGAAGGTCACCACCATAGCACATGCAATGAAACTATCTTCAAGTGTGTGCTCTGTGGGGGTCCCCACGAGTCGTTCAGCAGAAATTGCAAGAAGCTCTACCCTTCTCCGCATGAGTAGCACGCTTCGAATGATCCAACTCAACGTACGAAAACGCGGCGAAGTTCATGAAAGTTTGATGAACGACAAAGACATTCAGAACGCAGCAGTGCTAGCCATCCAGGAACCACAAGCGCGGAGGATTAAGGGTCGTCTTTTGACGACTCCAATGGGACACCATAAGTGGATGAAGATGGTACCACCGACATACAGAGAAGGCAGATGGGCGATCCGAAGCATGCTTTGGATCAGGAACGATTTGGATGCAGAGCAGGTGCCGATTGAGTCCCCAGACATAACGGCGGCACTGATACGACTCCCGGAACGCTCAATATTGGTGTTCTCTGTCTATGTTCAAGGAATTGACGTTGAGGCGCTGAGGAAGGCGTGCGACAACCTACGTAAAACTATTGAAGATACGAGGCGAGACGCAGGAAGAGTGGTGGACGTGGTGATTGTGGGCGACTTCAACCGCCACGACCAGCTGTGGGGAGGGGAGGATGTGCTGCTGGAGAGACAGGGCGAGGCAGACCAAATCATCGATCTGATGAATGAGTTTGCTCTCAGCAGTCTACTCCAGAGAGGAACGAAAACTTGGCAAGGCGGAGAATACGAATCAACGATCGACCTGGTCCTGGCTTCCGAAGGCCTGGGGACCTCGGCTGTCAAGTGTGCGATACACGGTACAGAGCATGGATCCGACCATCGCGCTATTGAGACGGAGTTCGACATTTCGGTTCCTTTGCCGAAGGCCCAGGAACGACTTCTACTCAAAAATGCCCCATGGAAGGAAATCAACGTCCGAATCGCTGCTGCATTAGAGACCACCCCGATGGATAGTACTGTACAGCAGAAGACAGACAGGCTTATGTCAGTGGTGCTAGAGGCGGTTTGCGCTCTGACACCCAAAGCTAAGCCGTCGCCCTACACAAAGCGTTGGTGGACCTCAGACCTCACGCAACTCCGGTGCATATACACGTACTGGAGAAATCGCGCCAGAGCATCGAGGCGAGCAGGACGGACGAGCGAGGAGCTCGAGAATGCAGCCAAAGGAGCGGCAAAGCAGTACCATGATGCCATCAGACAGCAGAAAAAGACGCACTGGAACGAGTTCCTAGCCAATAACGACAACATTTGGAAGGCAGCGAAGTATCTCAAATCTGGAGATGACGCAGCGTTTGGCAAGGTGCCCCAGCTTGTAAGGGCTGATGGCACGCGCACGGCCAACAACAGCGAACAGGCCGAAGAAATGCTAGCCACCTTCTTCCCCCCTCTACCGGAGCACATCGAGGAGGAAGGGGACAGACCACAACGTGGAGCTGCCATCACCATGCCGGACATCACTATGGAAGAGGTGGAACGACAGCTCTTTGCAACAAAGCCGTGGAAGGCACCTGGTGAAGACGGACTACCCGCTATGGTCTGGAAACAGGTTTGGCCAGTTGTTAAGCAACGAGTCTTATCATTATTTCGGGCGTCGCTGGAAGAAGGAGTACTGCCTGACCAATGGAGGCGTGCCAACATTATTCCTCTCAAGAAACCAGACAAAGGAGACTATTCGATTGCGAGGGCATGGAGACCTATATCGCTTCTGTCTACGCTGGGCAAAGTATTGGAGTCGGTCATCGCAGAAAGGATCTCACATGCCGTCGAGACGTATGGACTGTTGCCAACAAACCACTTTGGTGCCCGTAAACAGCGGTCCGCTGAGCAAGCGCTGATGCTGCTGCAAGAGCAAATCTATGCTGCCTGGCGAGGCCGACGGATCCTTAGCCTCGTGAGTTTCGATGTCAAAGGAGCATACAATGGAGTGTGCAAAGACAGGCTCATCCAACGATTAAGAGCAAGGGGCATTCCGGAGGAGCTGCTTCGCTGGATTGAGGCCTTTTGCTCGAATCGCACAGCGACCATTCAGGTCAACGGACAGGCATCGGAGGTGCGAAGCTTGCCGCAAGCTGGTCTGCCGCAAGGGTCCCCTCTGTCTCCGATTCTGTTTCTATTTTTCAATGCAGACCTCGTGCAGCAGCGAATTGATTGCTACGGAGGAGCAATAGCCTTCGTGGACGACTTCACAGCGTGGGTCACAGGCCCAACAGCAGAGAGCAATCGCGACGGAATTGAAGCAATCATCGAGAAAGCGCTGGACTGGGAGAGGAGGAGTGGCGCAACCTTTGAGGCGGAGAAGACGGCGGTCATACACTTCACCCGAAAGGCATATAAGTCTAACTCAGAGCCCTTTGCAATTAAGGAGCAGCTCGTCCGACCCAAAACCCAAGTCAAGGTTCTCGGAATGATTATGGATTCCGGCTTGAAGTACAAAGAACACATTGCACGAGCAGCGACCAAGGGCTTACAAGCAGCCATGGAATTACAACGGCTCAGGGGTCTCACCCCAGCGACAGCAAGACAACTATTTACGGCCATGGTTGCCCCAGTAGTAGATTACGCCTCGAACGTCTGGATGCATGCGTGCAGGTATAGAAGGGCCAGTCCCATCAACCGAGTCCAAAGGATTGGGGCACAAGCAATTGTGGGAACGTTTCTCACAGTGGCAACAAGCGTGGCAGAAGCAGAGGCGCATATCGCCAGCGCACAAGACCGCTTTTGGAGGCGGGCGATCAAGATGTGGACTAACCTCCACACCCTGCCAACAACCAACCCACTTCGCAACGCTACATCCCGCATCCGAAAGTTCAGAAGATATCACCGCTCGCCATTTTACGACATGGCAGTGGCACTCAATGAGATACCAGTGGAGGAACTAGAAACGGTCAACCCGTTCACATTGGCACCTTGGGCAGAACGGTTACAAACCATCGTTGCCGACAAGACAGAGACGACACAAGCAGATCTGGGCTGGGCAGTACGCATCGCAGTGAGCTGTTCAGCACGGAACGGAGTAGTAGGAGTCGGTGGGATCATTGAGATCCCTATATCGGTGCGAGGAGGACCGAAGCGTGAGCGATTTTCCTTCACGCTTGGCGTGAGAACAGAACAAAATCCGTTTTCTGGGGAATTGGCGGCGATGGCATATGCAGTCAGGCACTTACCTGACCTCAGGTACCGAAGCGTAGCACTGTTAACGAGCAACAAAGCTGCTGTGCTTACGCTGCGAAATCCTCACCAGCAATCTGGTCAAGAGTATGTTGGATGTATATACGACTCCATTGAAGCATTAAAGGGTAACGGAAATGTGGTAACCGCCATATGGATACCCATCAGTGCTGAACATAAACTCTTGAAGACTGCTAAAGAAGAGGCGCGAGATGCAACCCGAGATGGTGCTATCCCAGCCCTGAAGTTTCCTAGAATGAGATCAACAACCCTTAACCTGGCTCTAAGGAACCAGGGCACTAACCAACGCCTGCCAGACAACGTCGGAAGGTTTTCAAAGAGAGTCGATGCTGCGTTACCAGGTAAGCACACTCGACAACTATACGACGGCTTGTCATGGAGAGAGGCCAACGTACTGGCACAGCTCAGGACAGGTATGGCCAGATTGAATGGATATCTCTTCCGGATTACAGCAGCAGCATCAGCACAATGCGCATGTGGACAAGCGACAGAGACGGTCGAGCATTTCCTCTTCCGATGCAGAAAATGGATAGCACAGCGGACTCAAATGTTGCAGTGCACCGAGACACAAAGAGGAAATCTCTCATTTTTCCTGGGAGGAAAGGCACCAGCAGACGACGCAAAATGGACGCCAAATATGCAAGCAGTCCACGCAACAATACGATTTGCAATAGCCACAGGTCGACTTGACAATACACAACGGTAAAACCAGATGGCAAAATCCCCTACTTACTTTCTTACTAACCTACCCTACACCCCTCCATCAAAAACCTCGTGCCATGGACAGCAGGCACCGCTTCAGCCGCCGTAGATAGGACTCTGAACACTTGGAGAATAGCCTTCAAGTTCGCTTGCTAATAATACAAACCCCACGAGACCCGCGGAAAGATTGAAAAGGAAGATGCATTAGCAAAAATTGGACGCTGCATGGGCTTTTACGAGATTATGACAAAGCTTGGGAAACGGATATGTACAATAGCAACTAGTGCCCTATTGGTTGTAAGCCACCGGGCGTAATAAAATGTGTGTGTGTGTGTGTGTATATGGAGATGTCAATCCAGCTTGCTCAACCTTTCCCTTAGGTCAGTAACTTAAGTCAATGACTCATACGTGTGTGCCGGCCCGGCGAATCAGCGAGCCACATTTCTGAGTACATACAATGGAAGTACTGAGTGACCGAAATAAAGTCCGGCCTTTGCTCACAAACTCTCTGGGCACGGATCACATTTGTGTGGCAACCCTGTAACTTGTACAGTGTGCAGCTTTGGATGTCAGGCGAGCTGGGCCAAACATCACAAGTATCCCTAAGAGTCACATGCCGTCAGCATATTGTGCACGGAAGGCATGCAGATTGACTATGGCTGATTACGGCTGATCGAATAAGGCTGGCTACGGCTAATTATAGCCGATTATGGCCGATTGTGGTAGATTATGCTTTATCGTATGATTCCGGTCCAGCTTCTGATCTGCCCTACTTGCTGTATGATAGGTTCTTTGTGAGTTAAAGCTTAGTAATAAGATCCCCGATCTGATATTATGGTATAAGTAGATAATTCTGTCCATATACTCTGTTCACTTTGCTTGTTATTAGACTAATAACCTGATCAGCACCTAACCCAGCTCAAAGTGCAAAGCAATAGACCTTTCAAGCACCGGACCCCTAAATATCCTTTCACCTTAAACGCCAGAGCATGGAGTCCTTTACTCAGCGTAAGCTTCATTCCGAATCAATTTATAACTAAAAACGCTCACTAATGTTCTATCACAAAGATGATCAAACAGTAGGCAGGCCAGGGATCACTGTGTTTGGCCGCGTCCTGCGTTTCTATCGAACATTTGATATTATCGCAGCTTTACCTGCTATCATTGCCTCAATGGTTATGATATTCGGCGGATTTCAGGACTGTCAGAAGACTAGTATAATCCAGATAGCAGCAGCATTACTTGCTAGCTCTGTGGTGAAAAGCGTAATCGCTATAACACTCGCTAAGATGCTCCTTTTCAGATTCGAGAACCATGAATACTCGATTGAGAGAGAATCAGCAACTCTATGGCTTCCAACTATCTTAGTTGATATCAGTATTATTGAGGTTCTCGCTGGTCTTGTTTTATGGATCGTGGATAGGTATCCTATCTGGGTTGCTCTATTGATTGGACTGGAGGCTCTTGCACTTTTGCTCGGAATAATGGCTCTGGCTTGGAAGATATGGACAGAAGGACTCGCGCTGCAGCCACCGAAACTCAATAAGTCTGGAGTTCAGTAATACTAGGTATTAATATTATTGATCTACGTGTAATCCATAGTGGCGAGCTTGACTGGCAAATAGCGTAGGAGGCGGACTGTGGTTACCACAACGCAGCTGGACATGACTCACAGTGCGCGACGGGGGCACGTGTCATTGATTCTAGAATGTTCCACAGCGTCACTAAACTTACCAGCGCGGTCAGATTCTCTTAGGTGAAGGAGGGGATGTAATTCAAGTACCTAGGAACCCTAGACCTAAAATTTTCAGACTTTACTAATCTAATTTATTACTTTATATATTATTTTTATAAAAGTAGCGTTAAGACGAGAGTCGATGTTTACATCCTTCTGCAATAAGGAAGAGGATCCAATATGATTACCATACAGGCTAAAAACAAACATAAGTCGCTGTTAAGTAATCACTGACATCAATCAGCTAATTTCGTTAGGCAATAATTGCACCAATACACAGTGAATTGATAGATACGTACTATGTAATCAGCCACATGAACTAAAAGTGCCTCTTGATTGGAGGATTTCATAACTAAAAATTGGAACTTGGTTTCGGCCACTACTGTACGAGTTAACTTATAGGCATACGCTATTGCTCGGTACATTTTATACTTAGCCCCCGGCGTGGTCTAAATCCTCCGTTCGGTTCCTTCGTCCACTTTTGTTCTTGGTCCACTCCTCTTGAGCCCACTTCTGCTGCCAGTAGCTTCTACGCGTCCCATAAGTAAAGTTCGATGTTCTCGAAGGGGGAAGTGTTACAGAAGAGCAAAACTTGCGCTTGGAGTCCGAGACTATATATTTGTCTGTTCCTATTTACGAACTGGAAAGAGCTCAAACATGAGCGAAGATATCGACCACTGCAGGCCCAGTGCTGAAGGGAAATATATCCATGAGAATAAAGCACTCAAGATAAGGTGTCGGAAAAGGCTTGCAGCTCATATCAGTGAGACTACCTTCCCATTGTACTTGAGAACTTGAGGGGCCAACAGTTAGTTGGAAGAAGAAGTAACCGGATTAACGGTCGAACCAACCAAAGTCAGATTAGTGACCAAACAGAGTGATTGCTATTCTTGGTGCTATATAACAGAAGTTGCACATCTTTTTTCCAAAAATCTGAGTGATCATGGAATTGCAGCGTACAAAGAACTCTACGACGGGGTTGGACAGAGTTTTCATACGGTCTCTTTTATAGGGACGAGAAATAATCATCATTTAGGCGATCCTCTGGGAATTTCTCCGTCTCTAACACTGAAGGATTTACCAAGCAGCATTTTTAGTGTTGATACAATCCAGAATCCACCGCTAATATGGATGTCAAACGAGGCCACCGAGTGTCAGCATCTACAAGAAGAGCTCAAGGTGACGAAAAAAGAGTGTGAACGGCTTACCCAAGAGCTGGAAGAGAAGTCAGAAAGGGCGACGATGAACGAGAGACTCCTGTTTAAATGCCTGGAGGCATTTGGCCAGGTCGCATCATTGGTAGAGCAAGTGCAGCAAGAATGTGTTGATTCAATGGAGTTTACCGCGTTTACTGATTAAACTTGCCGACTACCCCTTAATTCTCAAATTAGCCCAGCTTCATTCCAGTTTGTAGATGGGACTAATCTTAGCGTGAAGAATAACTTACCCTAGACAATTACTGCCTTCGTACCGCCAACCAAGATATAGGATGGGGATGATTAAGCTAAATACTTGGCACACACATGAGTTATTCGTTTTTGCTCACACAGTACGGGGATAGGGCATTCACGCATGTGGCTTCTAATTATGCCAAAACAGCCTTTTGCTTTCTTTGTTCCTCACCTATATGTAGAAGAGCATCTCGTTGGCTATTACTCTCCAGAGTATGCAAGAAATAAGTATTCTTATTCTCCATTCATGATAAATCCGAGCTAAAGTGTCACCTCGCTCTAACTTCAAGATTAAACGGCCCCTCCCCATGGCCTCGGCTATATCATGTAATCCCCAGTCATGGTCAGCAGTCCTGGAATCCTGTCGAGCGCCAAGGCTGTATAAAAGAGAAATGGTGGCAAAAACCTCCTTCTTAGGTAATAGGAGAACATCAAAGACTAGTGTAGCCCCGTCGTAATCCTCCACGTTCGGGTCAACTCCATAAACGTCCACAAGTAGTCTTATTATTGATAGCAATCCTCATCTGGCGGCAGCGTGAAGAGCATTGACACTGAAAGATGCTTCTGGTTTAGCTCTTACCTCCAAGAGCGTCTTGGCTATTTTGGCATGCCCATAGCAAAGAGCCAAAAAGAGAGCAGTGATAGGCCCCTGATCGGGTGCCACATCAGGCCTAAAATTCCCGTCAACCTTTGTGACGTCCAAAATCATGGACACAACGTCGCCAAGGCCGCATCCAGCAGCCCAGATTAACGGGGAAATAAATATCCTGGTCTCCTTTTGTTGGCAGTAAATGGGAGAGTTTGATTTCTCAATTTTTGGGCCAAGAGAGTTGAGAATGAAGATGTTTTTAGACAGTGTGACCTCTTCTTCAATGTGAATGTACTTTTCGAATTTGTCAAGGAAACCCACATGGTCTCCAATTGGATTGCCTTGGCTTTTGAGGAACGATTCCATGTCTTTGACGACACTTGAAATTGTGCTGGTTACCGCCATGACTTTGGTCGAGCTGAAAAACAATGGAGACGTACAAAACAGCCCGGACTTTGACAAAAGAACAAGATACTTTTATACGTATGAGAGGGGTGGAGCTTCTCTCACCTATGTGAGGGGGTCGTGATTCACCTAGCGAGAGCATTCTCATGCTGCCAAGTAAATATAGGACATCATTAGGTTATAGCATCATTGGAACTTGCATGCCGAGAGTCTAATTACTATGACTAAAGATGTAATACAAACTCAGTGCTAGTAGAGTTATTAGGCTGTGTATCCCTGCACTACTACTTTGTTCTCTCACGTCGAAGAGGAGAATCTCATTGGATTCTACCAAAATGTTTTCAGAGCTTCTATTGTCTCCTTTTTTTGTCTATCTAGATTCTGCCGTGCTTCTCCTTTCGTCCCAACGCTTTGGTGCTCCACCTCCAACACAGAGTTCTCCTGCCTGGCGAGGGTCCCCAAGAAAGAATCCGTTAACCTGATCAGGGCTTCTGCTCTCTCGATTTCTACTAGAAGGTGACATTCAGATCCTCTTTTCACGTCTCTAGCCTTTAACTGGCTCTCACGGTTCTTTTTAGACTTGAGAATCATGTCGTTACTGGAATAAATGTGACCGGTGCTTTTCCCTCCCAGGGCTGCTCTATGGCTCCATATTTGAAACATTGGAACAATACGAAGGAGTTTATTCTTACGCTATCAAATGTGTGCAACCTGAAAATCGGTGTCTGTTTTATTCGAAATATTTGGTGTTGATCCAAAATTGGGCCATGCAATTCCAAAATCGGCCTCCTATGTTTGAAAATGAGAGTGGATGTGCCGTTCGCTGAATACGGGACGGACAGGGGCAGGTTTTAGGTGTTGCCTAAACGAACCTTCTACAGTACTGTACAAAATACGTATTCAATACATATGGATGCTGTTGGACTGACCCTCGGGTGCCGGACTAGGGGCCCGGATAAGACCGAATCCCTGATACATCAATATCTTGTCTTAGTCATGAGGGGGGTGTGAGATTGACCAAAAAAACCCCTCATCGGAAACAGGGCCCTGGAAGGAGGTTAGATCCTACAAGAACAGACATCAAGATCATCATCTTTAGGCTCCACTATCGTCTTGATCATTATTACCCTAATTGACTTACCCGTACCGGATCCAACAGAAGCCACTTTTGGTGCTGGTAACAGCAGTTTGCATTTGCTCCACTATACTCTTGACTCAAAATGGCTAACGAGAAGGCCTCCGAACATAGCAAAGTGCATAGGATGAACGAGAGGGGAAAAGAATCTAAACTCATATTTATCGAATTCTCCTTCCTGATACTCGAACGAAACAGTCATTTCAAACTGGGGAAGGTTTTGAAGGGAATTCCGCCTTTCCTCGAGTTTTTTCAAATGCTCCTTCCCCTCAATTTCCTTTGTATTTCCTTTTCTGTTGCCTCATCCAAAGCTTCAGTCAATTGCCCGTAGACACCTTTCAAGAGTAGCCACTGCTCCCTGGCGGCGTCCTCCTTAGCAATTTTCTATGATCGAAGCCACAAGTTCATAGCTTAGTTTCGAACTTAGAACGTGCTCAACCAAGTCCACAAAAGCCTCTGTCAGAGGTCCTAGTTTGAGTTTAAATGTAAGTGCAACTGCCGGAGCTTTTCGTGGAGTTCCAGGAATTCTTTCAACAGATCAATTCCAAGGGTATGAAATGTAATGTGAAGCTCCTCTAAAGAACCGTATGAAAGCTTGGTAGGTGGTTGAACAGACTTCGCATGAATATCAAGTTCTCGAAGCTTAATGAACAGTGGGTTTGCTGAGTATGGTATGTCGGTAGTGGTGATGCGAATTTCTTTCAAGCCTGTGGGTGACTTTCTATCGTTGTTGAAGTTCAAATCAGTTAGTTCAGTTATAAACTTTGTCTGATGGTCTTGACGCATATCACAAGATGTAGGCAGGGGCAATATCCCTAGCATGATCGTGGTGTCTGTCATCAACGGAAGGAGGCTGATCTCGCCGCTGGGTGCCTTTGATTCGAATGATACGACCGTAATGAATTGAGAAAGGTGAGCTTGCGCAAAGATCTCTTTGAAGCATCCCAAACTCTCTCTTCTTTAGAGAATAACTTGCTGGAATAAAAACGACGTAGCAATCCGACACCGTTGGCGACAGATGACACGAGAAAACTTCAACAATTAAGGCTCAAGGTATCGAATGATTTCGATTATAATTTCCTGAGTTTGTTAGCCACTGTCTTTTGTTGCATGCAACGATATGGAGGCAATCCACCATTATCTCCGCAAAGAATACCATCGGAAATCGGGTTTCGAATGGTACATACAGTACTGTACATAGCAATAGCAAGTGAAAACCCTCTGAAGGCGGCTATAATTAACTGTACGCACAATAACGGTTTCGAATGCTCGTATTCCGCACTTCTAGAAGCACATATCTTCTTGTTTAAGGATAGACATCCCACCTCCACATAATTAACTGCCCAAGCCCTTATTGTGCGGCTACTCTAGAAGTGGACTGAAGGACAGAAGTGAACTGAGGGACAGAAGTGGACTGAGCGACAGAGGTAGACTAATCTCAGTGGTTTATATCTTATTTAAGGAAAGCTATCCCACCGTATATTTTCTAATTCTTTTTTACGTCCACAAAACCAGAAAATCATAGTACAACAAGCTTCTACTCTTTCTACTCTACCCATATTATCCTCTACGCATAAGCGTAGGGGCAGAACCTGCTGAATGCTATTACTAGGGATATTGCGGACAACCATAATCAAATAAAGAGTTTCCTCAACAAATCAGACGGACCTGACAATGAACACGCTCAACCCAGGATCCCGTATCGATCATGCCACTTACAAGCGAACCTATCGTGGGACATGATGGGAGCAAGCATGCGTGTAAACCTCCAATGCATAAGTACGACAGTGATAAATGATTACTATTGGGGCAAAAGTGCCGATTGAAGTATTTGACTCCACTATTTCTTTTCAACAATTCGTATATAATACCTCTTTTTGTTCGAGCAACTATGAGCTCCCTCTCTCCTCTCCCTATCCTATACCCCACGTTCAGTTTTTACCTCTCCGCGATGGATGAGCACTCCGAGTTGACATCTGCATTCGCCACGCATAAAAACGTCAGCGAACTGAAAGCTTACCAACGTTTACTGGGCGAACCATTCCTAGCGGTATTCAACTTACCAATTTTTCGTCAACCATACTTCGACCTAGACGACGTATCCCACAGCGTGGAAAAGAAACAACCAGCGAACGAGTCACACATTCATCAGGGAGGGGCTCAAGTGGTCACTTTACCGTACGTTAGATCGTGCTCGGTCCTAGATACTTCTCTCTAATCTCGGTTTTCTAACTTTTTCGCTGCAATAGTAAAATGAACTCAGCAACATGCAATTACTCGATTACGGGGTATGATCACGGGCTACCAAGGGTAACTTGGATCGAAGGGCTAACAGCATGGTATCAGTAAACCTTCTCCGATTACCACTCACAACCGTTTACAATCTCCTGCCGACTTGTATTGTGAAAGCATGAAGGCGAAGCTTGACTCGTGGACTTTCTTCCGTTGAATTTTATTGCCAGTCCGAGGCTAATCACCCAGAAGAGAGCAGTGTGACAGTAACTGGCAGATGACACATAGGATATATGGAAAGAGAAAGAAACGAAGCACCATGTTGCGGTAATGGAAGAACCACTGCTTTACAGGGTCGTGGACAAGCATTGCTGACCATCACATAGAGACCTAGCCTCCCAGCCTCAAGAACTGATCATTAAACCATCATTAGATAGGAAATGAAGAGCATCTATTACAATGTCCAAATATTTAGATGTGGCACTATTGTTAAAGTATACTTAGGAACATATTGTCTTCATATTTATCTACAAGTGTCCCCCTGCGCCAGCGCACGGCGCCGACACCACCTTCAGCCGCCTACCCTATACCCCTCCCACCTCAGCCGTGATCAAACTCCAAAAACTGCACCATGTTCGATTGCGACTTCATTGAAATTTGATCTAGCTCGCGACTAGCCTAATTCGTTCCAAGCTCACACTGCCGGTTAGCTTAGGTCAAAATGGTACTTTAGGGTCATTCCACCTTGATCCAATTCTATTGATAATACGCCAGTGCTGCCTGCGGTTCCAATGTCAAAAGAATGTCAACTGATCAGCCGCAAACCTGTCCCTTTCCAAGACTGGCAAATTGAACACCGCTTCCCCCCGTCAGTGTATTCAGCCAAAATGGCTCGTCCGAAACAATTGTAGGCGACTCCAGAGTCTTTCCCTTCACTAGATTCGACTGGTATGTCTCCAAGTGGAAGATGGCACCTTCCGAGGATGACGCTAACTTTGGGCTATTAATGTGGTCCTCCCATCCTTCAACGTTTCATTCCAAGGATATAGAACACTCATGCGAACTAGTCGGACTTGTAGACCATATTATCCAGGGGCTCAAAATGCAATCGCGCTAAGTGAACCCAATGCAGGTACTTCAACAAACAGCCAGCAGCCGGCATGGGGGATTGTGTGGGTCTGGGGACTGGGACTGTGGTGCGAGAACCTGCAACATGGCAAGGACTCGGCGTTGAAACACGGGGGAGGCATCTACTGCCCACGCCATACCCAAGACAGTCTCGCCAACTCCTTACAAAGCCTCAGCCACAATAATGCACAACGCTCAGTGCCATCAGCTAGCCCTGGGGTGCATTATTCCAGCGCACCATGCTTGCGGGCGCCGATTCCCCTGTACGGCTACGCCGAAAGCCTGACCGAATCACGTTAACCCAAGTTTATTGACGCTACGCCAATGCTGCCTACGGTTCTAACACCGAAAAGAATACCAACCGCAGACTCAACTGATCAGCCACAACCCCCAAATTGACAACTTTGAAGCTGAAAGAAGCTGTTCAATATTCTAACCTGTCCCCAAGACCTCCCCAAGACTGGCAAGTCGAACAACGTTCCCATTATCATTTAACCCCAACTCCCCCGCTAGCGTTTTCAGCCCGAAAAACCCCTTGGGAAGAATGCAACTTTCAGGCCGGATATGGGCTTGCGCTGGGCAATGGGGGTCATGGTGAGGTTGGAGCGCAGCTCGGATTATGTCAGTCCCGTTGGAATCTCTGGAGGCATTGCGATGGTCAGAACCCATTACCGGAGCCCTTTCCTTGCCCAAATCGATCTGGTACTCTAGGGCGAAGGGATCAGCCTCCGAGGATGACGCTGATTTAGGGCCGTCAACGTGGCTCTCAACAAGCATTATGTCATACTCATTCCAAATCTCATCTTCCGCGGAGGGGTCACTGGGCTTTGGAATAACGGCAGCCCCAAAGAAAGAAGGAACTCCAGAGTAGCTCAAGCTTGAAGTACCGATGGCCCCATCTGAATCCTTGCGGGAAGATAAAGTATTGGATTCCTCCAAACGGGTCAGCTCCGGCGACATGCCTGATTTCGAACCATGAGATGCAACGGTGGTTCTGCTATTGGGTGCAAGTAGAGAGATTTTGGTATGCTCCGCAAGCCCTTCTGAGGAATCTGGTTGAGTATTATGTGGCTCACTTCGTGGGGAGCTGAAAAAAAGCTGAGAGAGCCCCAGCTCAACATCTCTTGGAGTGCTTCGAGGGAGAAAAAATCTCGGTATTAAGTCTTGAAAGCGTCCCTAGACAGATTAACATCTAAATATCGAGAAGAGGGCTTACACCTACGCGCCAACGATAAGTCCAGGGACTGACTGTAGAGCAGGGAGGGTGTATTCTCCCTGCCACAGATCGCCGCAAAGAGGGAACACTAAATAAAACAATAGGGATAAAGAGGACAACGAGGACGAAGATGGCCAAAACGATAGCTTCAGGGAGTCTCATATTTGATGGAAGTCGTCGTCACTTTACTTAGTGCTAGGGCTGAGTAGGGCTGAGAGAACGAGTTGGATGTAGGAGGGAGGAGGACTTAATCTTAAATAAGCATGGATGGGGCATGACCTAAAGTTTTATAGTGGGGAGGTGGCATACGAAGCCACCAAAAGCAATGGGAGCCTGTGATGGTCCAACCTAGGACTTCCCTCAGTGGAGGTACCCAATAGCGCTGATCATTTGCACCAATCCGGTCCCCATTTTACATCAACACCTCCCATCGTCAATACGATGTTTCCTTTTAACGATGCAGAACGCGCATACCGACTAGTCCGACTAGTCCGACTTCTAGATCATAATAATTGGGCGCTGTGCAATGTACTGCCGCCTTGATGTAGTATCGGAACTCAAGAAATGCGAATAATGGGTCTGCTCTGCTTCCGGTCTCTAAGATAGTTACAGATGTCTTAAGCTGACCCCAAAATGTAGCATCCATAGACGTCAGCTGTGTAATAGGGCTTGCTTCTGTTGACAGTCTGTCCTCGGAATCTTCGTCAAGTAACAATTGTCCGAAAAGAACTAAGTTAGCCACCCTACATTTCGCTACACCCACATTTCGCTAGGCCCCCCACTATTAACTTTAAATGCAAATAAAACAACAACTAAAGTTCCTAATTAGTTAATTAGAGATTTTCTAATAGAGGAAATAGTATAGATTATGAAAATCTAAAAATTAGCTAGGTGACTTCCAAGCTCAACTTACGGAAAATACTCTACTTTTGCCTTTAACAAAAACTCTGTCATTTCAACGTACTAATCTTAAATCAATGCAAGTTTAAACTGAATGCAAGGCCATACACAGCTTCAGTTTAGCTAGGTCAAGAAATTTAGGCTCCCTCGGAAAAGTATTTAAACTTGGCTATCCCCCTTGATAGCACCCTTCTCTTGCAACTTTCAAACATTCCTTACAGGTACATATGAACTGCTAGAAAAGTAAACTTATAAACCCCAAGGCAATGGTCTGCTAATGATGCTATCACTTTCATTTGCGTAGTTAACATGCCCCGGTACCCATTGAAGCCCTGCCTTCCACGGTCTTGCCCCTTCCTTTCTTCTTCCTTCAATCTAAACCACCATCACCATCGCCCACCAGGTATGTAGTCTCCGCCGTCTTGGTGCAGTTCTAACATCATCTGGGTGATATCCGATACCGAGATTGCCCTGCTAATAGCTCAAGATTGATTAAATGTGGTTCTTGAGACTCTGTGCGTCTAGGTACGCTCACCATTTACAGCGACATGCTTCTCTCTTCTATCCCTCCATCTTTCGCGCTACTCCTTCCTCTCTACCCTCCTCAGCTTCGCCATTCCTCCTCACTATCCTCCCCCTCCGTTCAGCTCATATTTTCGGTCAGATGTGTTTGTTTCCAGCACAATATAGGAGCTGAAACCAAGTGCCATTGCCCTGAGCGGTCTAGGCCTTTTCTAGACTTATGTTGCTGGAAGTGGATGGTGAACGGTGGGTGTTGGAAGTCATCGAGGTTGTGGGACGACTGATAGGTAAGCGCCCAGGCACTTGCCATTCTTACTGACCTAGCGGCATGGTATACAGAAGCCCCGACAACAGCAGACTCCGGATGCGGGCAAGATTGTTCGCTGGTCTCCACCTGTGCGATTTGACTACTGATCTCAATACTGGTTACCTTGGCGCAAAAAAATAAAACCCCAAGCCTGCGTCCATGTGACTTCTTCAAAAACTATAGCAGATACGCTATGGTAAAATGAGACACAGCCGAACAGCGTAGATCACCATTGTCATTCCCAACTATTACTTGTTGGATTCCAGTATTGTTGCGCCACATCCTCCGAAACCCAGCCCGCCGATGATTGGCCCCGGGCAGAGGCGTCCTGTCAAATTCTCAGTTGCACCATGCAAAAGGTAATGTACACTCCGCTAATACGTAGTGAAATACTGGCTTATACTGGATGCGACACATCCACTTATGCAGCCAACACAGCATCATAGTACATTTGGGTAATTCGGCCAGTTCTAGATCTGCAGAGAAGAGTTGTCAGAGGCTGGGGAAGATGGAGAAACTTGGATGTAACCCCCCAAATCATAGGCATTCAGTTTAGGGTTCTCCGCGGATGCCAGCTCCGGAAAGCCCATATCTCCTGTGGCTTGGAGCCGATAAGGATCCAAGCCGTCTTTGTTCTCACACGGTTTCACTAAAGCGTAGTTAGCTGTAATGATCTCCACGATTATCTGGCTAGATGAATAGGACATGGTCCAATACTCTGTCACTCACCCTCTGGTGTTGGGAACACAAACGACTGCTCCGCTGAAGCGACCCTGCCCTCCGCAGGCTCATCCTCCTCTGCAGGAGGTGTGACTTCAGCAGGCTTATCCTCCTCCACAGGAGGTGTGGCTTCAGCAGGCTTGTCCTCATCAGCGGGAGTGTCTTCGGACGTCCTGTCCTCCTCAGTGGGCGTATCTTCGAAAATCTCTTCGTCGTCGACAGGAGGTGCAGATTCAGCGGCGGCGGAGGCGGCGGCAGCTTTCGCCTCAGCTCGTTCCGCCGCATTCTCAGTCAGAATGTTGAAACGCTGAGCATCTGTCTTGTTGAGCTTGCGTTTCTTTGCCTTCGCCTTCTTGGCAGCCAGCTCTGCCTCCTCCTCGGCGATAACGACGGCCTCGGCGATAACGACGGCCTCGGCTTCCTTCATAGCTTGATCTACATCCGAGACCTTGCTCCTCAAAGCTCCTGCTCCAGGTTTGCTATCGGTGAGGCCCCGGAGGATCTCCACTAGTACCTCCTTCCGAAACGATCCATCCCTTTGAGGCACTTCTGAAGTCTTAAGCAGTAACATCTCCTTCAGAAGTACCTTGCTGAGCGTATTGGGGGTTCCAATCTCAGAGAGCACCTTCTCTGCAATTGGATGGGTAACACTCTCCGCGAAAGCAAGAAAGCGAGACTCAGCATACGCGACTATCCCCGGCGAAGTGCTCAAAGACAACCATGACTCTTCCATGATATCAAAGAAAGTAAGCTTAACTTGTTGCCCAGTCTGATCATTTCTCCTCTTGTCAGGTCAAGAAGAGACAGCAATTGAAGGGATTGGGCAGCGACGTACCCGCGAAGTGCAGTTGCAAACTCGGGTGTATACCTCTTGGCAGTAGTATCTCCCTGTGGCTTCAGACACTGATAGCTGCCAGTATTCAAAGAGTGGATAAGGATATGGCCGGTGTCGTAGGCGATATCGTCCAAATGAAGTTCGCGGAAGGATGAAGAATAACAGCCTATCGCCATATCCCGGGAAGTGAGTTCTGCGTTTTGATGTAGGAGTTCCCGAGGAATATGGAGAGGCCTATTTCCTTGGAAGTATACCGCGCAGACTTCGCTGGCATAAGCTCTAACACATCGTCAGCTACGTGGCTCTCGAAGGGAGCAAAAAATCCTGACGAGTGCTCCGTCCTGCAATCTTTGTCCCTGTCCACACTGCCTGGCTCGTCATTCTGAGGCGGGATGCGGCCTCTGTCTCCCCGTTCCGCAAACTAATCGGCATATTTGCGAGTGCTTGGAAAGAGCTGTCTTTTGCGGGGACCGGTGACACAAGGGGTTAGGAAATATTTCGCGTTTGACGAAAAGACCGGGGACAGAATCATAAAGACCGGCTTCCTCACAAATAAGGGCCGGAGACCACCCATCACTTCATCTCGTGATGGCTGGTAAGCCGCCTGCCATTCGTAAGATCATCGATATCCTGCGCCAGTCGCCGTATTTCAGCATCAATGCTTGCATACATACGACTCATGCTCTCAGAAGCGCTTCGTTAGTAGGTGACAGATGTGTTAAGGTTTTCAATGTCCCTCTCCAACTCACGCCGGCTCGCCTCAATTTCAGCGGGATTGACCATTCTCCCTTGCCGACTTGCATGAACTGCGGTCGCCGAGCTCGAGAGCAGCTGCCGCTCCTCTTGCAGGGAGTTCATGAGGATATGAGGATCTGGAGCCGCATCGCCTCTCGCGCACGCTTGGCGAGCTAGCCTGTTCCTCTTCTTCTCGACGTCGCTTGGCCCGCCCCTCTTCCCTTTCTCGTCGCTTGACTTGTCTGAACTACCCCTGCTCGCTGGAGAGATCCAAGGTGAAAATATCGGCGTGCGACATCGGATCTGGTCTCTGATTCTTGCAGTGCAGCTGCCATCGATCGGCCCAGTGAGGTTGCAAGCAGGTAGATGCATGGTGACCCTGGGCATAAAGTAGGCGACGCTAGAATTCTGCTCTCAATTACAAGTTAGAATGTCTTCAATAGACAAAACGACTACTCACTCCCCTCAACGACCACGAGACCTCTCTTTCACGAGTCACGTCGTCGCCTCCCCAAGTTCCCCGCACGCGGTTCCCCACAAAATCGGCCCGGGTCTGGACTCGTATAATCTGTACTTGTAGTAGGGTGTGGAGTCATGCCCAGTCCGCAAACCTGGATCTCTCCAATCTCCACCTCTCGCCGTCCAGCCGTTCTGCTGCCCCTTGCGGCCAAACTAATCGAAACTTGCGTTGAGTTGCGCTGCTGAGAACCACACACAGAGGCAAAGGCCACGAAAGTCACCATGCCGTCTTCTGCGTCAGGCGTTTCATCGCGCAGGAAGCACGTCACCACCGCCTGTGTGTCATGCCGTGAGAGCAAAGTCAAGGTGGGTGGAATAGGCACTGAATCCCCCTCAGTGACTCCAACATGCTATCCAACGTCATGAGGATGTTCCTCTAAAGTCCTAGCAGTGCGATGGAGTATCTCCCATCTGCTCAAATTGCAAGAACAAGGGCAAAGAATGTCGATACCAGGCCGGCGATGACAAGCGAAAGCAGGCTTTCTATCCATATTCCATACTCCATATGGAACCATTCTTGTATGGATTACGAATTTCTCTTCGTATGGAAGCTTATTCCATACGTATGGAATACAAAAAATGACGTCATCCATGAATTGACCTTTCCCTATTAGGAAACGCGCTTATTGTCTCGCCCTCTGTCGTCCTCCTCAGACTCTCAGTTCGACTGCAATTTCCCTGGGTGATACCACGTTTAATCCAGCTCTTCATGCACTCACCCCTCTCAAAGTGTACGACTTCCTAGCTGACATCGACGCTAGAATATTGTACGTCGTGCACCAGAAAAGACACGCTCTGACTCGGCGGACATAGTAGGTTGCTACTGAATGGATATCGACGGCCGATCTGGAGAAACGGTATTGTTGATGTTCTTCTCGGAGCCGTCGAGCGAGCGGGACCGGTCGATAACGACACGACATGTTTTGTTGCTGACGAAATTCAGTGGCTTTGACGGCGTCGCCCTGGAGTGGACCACACCGGAATTAAAATTCTTCCGGTGTATTTCCATACGTATGGAATACAGCAATCTGGTATGGAATATGGAATATGACGTATGGAAGTTCCATATGGATTAACTTATTCCATACGTGTATGGATAGAAAGCCTGAGCGAAAGTATGTGGTTCCCCCTCATCCGATCATGGCTCCTCACCCGTGAAATGTGAGACTGATCATGACCCCAAGGCTCTCCTTACGGGTTGCTATTGAGCTTCTCTCAGGTCGCATCGAGCAGCTTTGCAATTTCATCCAGGACAACTCCCTCCAGCCTCCTCTCATGCCCGAGGACGAGCAAGTGGCCTTGGTCATCTGAAGCTCACTCACACATACGCTAGCAAGGATGTCTCTAACAAGGCTGTATCAAACACCAGCACTTCACCCAAGCAGTCTCCTCATGACGTCCAAACAGGTGAACCTTCGCCTACAGGCCAGGACAAGAACGGTGAGAGCACAGCAGTACAGCCTCCGGCTCCAGGGTCCCTCACGACATGGGGAAAATTGAGCGACGGCATGCTCCCTTCGATTCAAGTTGCGAAAGCCGCTTCAAATCACACCCATGCTGAAATGCATATGGTCGGGCAGCCAACTCCTCATGACCATCTTTCAGCCTCCATCCCTACGACTAACTGGGCCGCCTGGAACAATGGAGGAGATCCTGGCTTCAACTTCCAGCTAGAATTCCCCCTCGATGCAGGTGCTTTTGGAGACATGATGGGCTTTTCAGCAGCAGGCTCAGATGGGATGAGGGACGCTATTCGACTTCCCACCCAACCGGTGAATCCCGACGACGCTGCAAGTGACAGAGAGCACAGAGGCACTTGTCGATCAGCTCTCTGACCGAATCGGATCCTTGCAGATAGGCCCTGGAGGACAAGTTCGCTATTATGGCCCTACGTCAAACTTCAACCTCGTGGAGATGCCCGCGCCCGATAACCTCACGGTTCACCGCACAGTTCGCAATGACGGTCAAGAGTATCTCGACTTCCTTGGGTTGGGCAAGGCAGTTCCTCCTGAATTAGAGGCGCATCTGACCAACCTCTACTTCACATGGCAAGATCCGGCCTTCCATGTCGTGAACCGAGAGATGTTTGAAGCCGCCAAGGCCACCTGGACAGACAACCAAGAAGATACACCATATTATTCCGAGGCTCTGCTAAACGCAATGTTAGTACCACACCCAAACCTCAGTAGAATATCCGAAGAGAGGTTACTCACATGATGAAGATGCACCTTGGGTGCGGCGTTCGAGTCTCGGCACCATCAGACTTTCGTAACCTTCCCCAAATCCCTCTCTGACTTCTTTGCGGACAGGGCAAAGGCACTGCTTGAGATCGAACTCGACTGCCCCTGCGTTGCAACAGTGCAAGCAATGGTCGTGCTGAGCAGCCACGACATTGGGTGCAAGAGAGACGCTCGAGGATGGCTGTATAGCGGTAGGCTGTTTCTGATGGAAGCAAACCTTCCAAGTCTAATATTTTGTAGGAATGGCTATGCGCCTAGCTTTTGATCTAGCCCTGCATTGCGATTTAACTCAATATGTTGCCAAGAAGGCTCTCACTCAGGCAGAAGCGGACCTACGGCGAGACGTCTTCTGGGGTGCATACACCATCGACCAGTAAGTCATGCTTCACGTCGTCGATCACTGCTCCTCTAATACACGAACCAGCATGTGGAGCTTCTATCTTGGACGCCCGTTCAGGATCAACATGGAGGACGTGACAGTCTCGAAACCCTGTGGAGACACGCGCCCCGAGTCTGCCGGCCAGTGGATTCCGTACGTATCTCCTCAGTCATTCGAGGAAAGCACCCCGTTGCCCGACTATGCAAACGAAATGCATCGACAGCGAGTCTTGTTGGGCGAAATCATGGCCCCTCTGGGATACGCTCTGTAAGCCGACTTGTCTGCGTTTGGCTGTTATGACATTCCTAACCGGATTACAGATATGGGAATACTAGGATTTCTTCCACTTCACTCCAGGAATTAAATATCATTACTGTTGAGGCGCTGCTTAACTGGCAGGCAAACCTTCCGTCAGTGTTACAAATTGATCTGAACGACCACGAAACATCATATTTATCGCACGTCATTTTACTTCAGTAAGTTTTCCGTAAGCTCGTTTCTTCGCTTCAAACCAACAAACCGGTAGCATGCAGTATCACCAAAATATCATCCACGCCCACCGACCCTGGATGTCGAGAACTTACGCTCAACCTACTCCCCCACAGGGCCCAGGCTCATCGCACGCCCGCATGATGTGTATCGAATCCGCTTACGCGATCGCAAAGCTCCTTCAGATCTACGAAGGGCGATATGCACTGCGTCTCATGAACATCCAAGGTGTCGGCATCGCCTGCTCGGCGGCTCTGCTCCTGATCTTTGCGAATGTCACCAACTTCAAGCGATACACAACTACCGATGTCGGACTGCGCTTGAGTGCATGCTTCAGGGCTCTTGACGAATTCGGCGCGACTTGGGAAAGCTCTAAGAGAGCGAAAGACTTCTTAGTCCTGTTGCACCGGCAGTGGGAGCTCCGTGGACGATCGGCCACAGGACCACCAACTATCAAAAAAGCGCACACGGTCATCTCTTGACGAAAGTCGCACCCTAGAGCAAGACCAGCAGGACTTATCGCCTTCGCGACCGCCGCAGCCTAGCTTTCTTGGCCACACTGGGCCGGTAGATATTAATGCGGGCATCGACCTGGACTGGATTTTTACCGGCGACATATACCCATAGCATTGAGGCGATTGGTTATCTACGAAGGCGTAATTGCGTTGCTTCTTTACTGCGGCAGACCCTTGATTGTGGAGCACCGGCTCGTTGTCGTTCGCATCTACCAGAAGCCCCTTCTTCCTCGTCCGCTGATTGGTCTCGCCTCGCTAAGGGGTGGATGACGTTCTGGTCCCTCGCTCTGAAATGCTTATTAAGATGCCGGCATTCTACCGACGCGCCACCACTTTGTCGTCGCGTCGAGCGCTTTGACATCTGGGCAAGGCGAAAACACCATGATGGATCAAATTCGATCAAACGTGATCAAGGACAACCCTATTGGAAATAGCCTGGATGGTTTCCGAGCCTCATTTGATTCGATCTGTGATGACAGAAGCATCGCACGCTCATCAAGGGCTATCAATCAGCTGGCTCAAGATGGTATGGCATTCTGACCGACTCTGCTAAAATCCACTTCTCTGACCAGCAGAATAGACTTGCGGAATCTCACACTCCCCTTTCTTTTCGCTCTCCAGAGCCTTTCAGTCGCTAGCCTGCTGGTTTCGAAGACAAGTGCCGGTACCCTTCGAAACGACCTCCTGAAACTGATCGCAGCCGTCACGTCCGACGACTTCGACTTCGACCGTGTCAAACCTCTCCTCAAGGAAGCGCTTGCTGACAAGCCTCAGGACACATTGATCTGGGATCTTGTGTCTACTGCCACCGTCGAATCCACCCCGCCTCCCCGACCGATACCCTCATCAATCCAAACGCCGTGGAGTCAGAACACGAGTGGCTTCGTAAACTCGTCGGAATTCCGTCAGGATGTGGATCCGGTTCTTAAATTGGAGCTCGAGCGCCTCTATGTCGGACTTCCCAATTTCCACAAAACCTTCTTTGGAGATGTGCCAGATCTCGACACGGTGTCTGAGATAGTCTTCGGCAGATGTACCGAAGGCGACAATCCACTCTTCAAGGAGGGGTGGAGTGGATGGCCAGCAGGCGCCAAAGAGAGCGACGTGCTGACTTGGTTTGGCGGCTTAATCCCGAAGCTGGAGGCATTCGCCGGCGACCGCATTTCGACTCCGGCGGCTCAACGAAAGCTGTTGGCGCAGCCGAGGACACCACTGGGGGGCTCCACAGGCAAGCGCAGCATGGATATCGGCTTCGTCAATAGCGACATCACATACAACCCTGACTCTGAGGATTCGAGATATCGTTGGTCACACATCCTCGTTGCTGGCGAACTAAAAAGCAACCCGAAGGCCGACAAAGCATCAATAGCATGGATTGACCTCGCAACGTATGCGAGAGAGGTACTTGCTGCTAAAGATACCCGTCGCTTCGTCTTGGGCTTTACTCTCTGCGGATCTCTTATGAGGGTATGGGAGTTCGACCGGCTCGGGGGGATCGCCTCCGAACAATTCGACATCAACAACAACTATGGTGGGCTACAGTTTGTGACCACAATCCTCGGATTTCTCTGGATGAACGAAGACGGGCTTGGATTTGACCCTACTATTATTACGTCCGACGCTGAACGGTATATCGAGATCGAACGAGACGGCAAGACACAGCGCCTCATCATCGACGAGGTCATGAAGCGTGCGCCTTGCATTGCCGGTCGGGCGACAACATGTTGGAAGGCTCATCGCAAAGAGGACCCGCAGACGCCGCTCGTTATCAAGGACTCGTGGCAGTACACAGACCGAGACGAAGAGGGTATTCTCGTTGAAGAAGCGACTGAGAAAGGCGTGGTTAACGTTGCCCGATACTACCACCACGAGACCGTTTGCGTCCGCGGTGCTGATGACGACGTTCGAAGCAATGTTCGAAAGGGATTAGACATCACAAAGGCTACGAATTATCGACCAGGACGGCCGATGTTACCGTCAAGTGCGATCGCATCCAGTGTTTCCCGCAAAGGGCGAAGCAGCATCGCTGGCGTGAAACGACCGTCCAGCGAAACTGACGCCGCTCTGCCGCCAAGCAAGCGATCCTGTTCAGTATCTCCAACTAAGGCAAGCGTCGAAGCGCTGCCAAACCGAGTACATCGGCGGGTAATTCTTCGTGACTATGGGAAGCCAATCTACAAAGCAAGCTCTCGCGTGGCTCTGCTTGCCGCGCTAGAAGGGTGCATCGAAGGACATGAGTCATTGCATAATGCCGGCCTTCTTCACAGAGACATCTCTATCAACAACCTTATGATCAATGAAGACAACGAAAACCCCTCCAGGCAAGCTTTCCTGATTGACCTTGACCTCGCTATTAAAGCCCAACGAGAAGGCGCCTCGGGAGCGAAAGGGAAGACAGGCACAAGGGCATTCATGGCCATCGGTGCATTGCTAGGGCAAGATCATTCTTTCATGCACGACCTTGAGTCATTCTTCTGGGTGCTCTTCTGGATATGCATCCACTACAACGGACCAGGCAAAGATATTGGACCAACTGACTTTGAGAGCTGGAACTATGAGAGCGACAGTAAGCTGGTCGGGTCCAAAAAGGGTGTGATTTCTGATGAAGAGGATTTTATCAGTAGTGCGGAAGCCAACTTTACGCCCTACTACCAACCATTGATCCCATGGGTCAACAGACTGAGGAGGAAGGTTTTCCCAAATGATGAGAGGTGGAAAAAACCGGAGCCGGGACTGTATCAATCGATGAAGGACATTCTTCGTGAAGCTCAGAAGAACGTAAAAGTAGCAAGCATGTAACATGGTGCCACTACTCGACCTGGGGAAGCGATGCAAATTGGTACTCGCGATTGGTAGAGAGGCAAGACCTGCGACAGATGATATTGGTGGTAGCAAGCGTTATGTGACTTCCGTATCATCCTATATCCTTTTCCCTTCGGCCTCAGTTTCTTGCCTCTGCTGTAACACGTCTTTAATCTCGTCCAAGACATGTTGGAATTTGGTTGCGAACGATGGCGGCACCTCAACGCATCGTCTCCATGTAGGGACGTTCGACCGCTTACCAGGGCTTGAGCTATATTCAAGATCCCACCCTCTGCCAGACAACCGATGCCGGACTCTCTCGGAAGTGTTCAGGGAGGCTTCAAAGGTGACTTGGAATCTCTCCTCACGGATGAGCCTCTCGCGCCGCTTCGAAGCGGAAAGACATTGGCATGACGAGCATAACCAGCCCAGGAGTATTTAAATGCCTGACCTATACATCCCCTCGAGCAACTCTACCTAGTGCACTAGCAGACTGCACTGAGACCTTCATAGCATTCACATCTCTCGATCGCACGATGATAGCTTTGTGGCTCAAAGACAAGCTGCTGATCTGCACATTCTGGCTTAGGCCCAAATCCCGTTCTCAATCGCAACGTCCTGGCCACCTGCCCAGAATCAGTCGGTGACACTCCTATTCGCCGAGCAGAGATTACCCATTAAAACAAGTCCAAGACTGCCACTGGTATCGCGAGTCATCAAGAGACAGCGTTTCTGTGTTCTTGCAGAGAAAGGTGTCCAAATCCTTCAAGCCCCCATTCAGCGCTAGCTTGTATCGTTCCTTCATCTCAACCAGCTGTTTCTCGTACTTCAGCAAGTCTGCCATCTTCTTCTGGACAAAGGAATTGATATCTTCCTCCGGGATGGCTGCGACAAGTTCATCCCAGTCCTTTGTCTCCTCCCGAAGCTTTGCAAACGGGACACAAGTGGGCCCGTTGAAGCCACGTAGGATGATGAAGTGAAACCACTGGCGCCCATCTTTCTGACACGCACGTAACATTGCCGAGGCCTTCTGGTCCTCGGCGACGCCATCCCCTAGGATCTTTGGCTCCTCTTCCTCCAGTAGCCGAGTATATAATTCCAGGTGTTTATTGTACCTGGTAAGCCTCTCATCAACGGAGGTCCAGGCGTTTGGAGACTCGATCACAAGCCACGTCGGTGTGGAATCGACCAGCTGGGTTGGCGCGGTATAGGACCACTCCCAGTCAATCACTGCGACGACTTTGAGATCCTGTTCGTTGTTGACGATCATATTTGTGGGTTGGAAATCGTCACATGTGAGCTTGAACGGTCCCATGTCATGGCCTGGCAAAACGTGACGAGGGATCAAGGCCTTCATAATGTTGAAATATATATACTTCTCTCTTGCGTCGTGCTCGTCGTCGATTGAATTGGGCTGGTCGCGTAGATGTTGTAAGTCCCGATCAACGACATGGTGAAAATACTCGGTCGTGGATGCGAATATCTCGTCTTGAGGACCTGGAAGACGTTAGATACATCAACAGTCTGGAAAAAAGGAAGTACCGTTACCCACCAAGAACATCAACTCCGCCTTCCAAAAGAAAGTCATGCGACTTCTTAGTCACAGGTCGTGAATGAATCGTAGCGGCAAAGTCACCCTCACCAGCGGTAGATTTCGTGGTTAAGCTGCCGATGTGTGGAAAGTCAAGTTTCCGGAGCTGCAGCGAAAAATCGATCATCTGGCGGAATATAACCTCGATGGCTCTCTCACTGATGTCCTGTCGCATGATTCTGGCATCGGGGTTTTGAAGAATGTCATCGACACTGATGCCTTCAACAAAATCTATCATGATGAAGGGACCGATTCCGAGGGCATTATCGGCCGCCAGTCCCCAAGCTTTGACCTCGGGGATGGGTATCGTGGTTCGCTGACGGATTAGATTCATCGTAGCCACTTCAATCTCGATCTTCTCGTCGGCATTAACAACTTTTCCGACCATAGGGAGACGCACAACCCATTTCTCCCCATTTTCGAACTCTACCTTGCAGCCCAAGTTGTACGCACCACGGCTGTCGTTGCGTTTGTGTGTAGTCAGCTTGCAAGGGAGGCGATCTCGGTGAAACGTAGAAACCCAATCCGTTAGCCGCTTTTCTCGTGCGTCATCGTATTTCCTTATCCATGACAGGAACGATACGTTGTTATCCAGATTGACACGGTCATCCCAGTCCATCGTATCGCGTGGCGTTTGTGCCCGACGGTGAGAGTTCAGGCAAGTTGTATGTTGACTTTACAGTGGAGAGTCAGTGTTACAATAGGTCGCAATCTATGCCCTTATATACTCAAGCAGTGACCCACACGCTAGAAGAGGGGCAAGCGGTGGGAAATACCGTTTTTAAACCAGCGGGGTTTCAAGTGGCGACGTGTTCAGATTTACAACAGTGTCTGTGCGCAGGATCTTATGCAAATATCGGGACGATGGCATCAAATGAATTTGAAAGAATGACTGCCCAAGCCTTGGTATACTGCATTCCCCGGACAAGCTAGGTTTTAAATACGTGGAGGCTGAAATAACTATAGGCACAGACTAAAACAGCCGGTGCTCCTCGACTAAGACTTCCCCTGAAAGACGGGGGCATCTGGTAACTTCTAGTGCGGAGAACCCCACTAGCCCAATAAACCTCGGTCACGAGTCTTCTTGTCGAGGGTCGTGATTCCAAGATCGCGTTGGGGTAATATGTCAGTGATGTTGACAAGATCACGGGTAAATCCCAGACGAACCGTACCCTCCAATAAGGCCAGTACTCTTGCGCAGGACTCGAGTTAGTACGTAGACCGATAGCTGGTAGATTACACACCCTTATTTCTTCTGTCTCCTCTCCTTTGACGCCTTTGCTGCTGCTTCAAGACGTTCTTCGGCTTCTTTCCGCTCCCTGTACTCTCTGTCGGCCACATTACTCTCCCTCTTCTCCTTCGAAGCCTTTGCCGTAGCCTCCATCCGATCGATTTCTTCCTGAGTCGGCATGTTTATAGTGGGTTTAGGTCTTACGGAGGTGATAGAATAGTTTCAGAAAGCAGTCGAGAAATGTGGATGGAGTGGCGAGATGTGTGTGCTGAAGAGTTAAGATTGATGAGAGTTGCGGACCTACGACGGCCTATATAGAAAAAAGGGGGTGGGAAGAGCCTGGAGACGATTTCAAACCAAAGAATTGCGGCTCGTTAATAACTTTGAATGGACCGCCAGGCGAAGAGTCTGGGAATATGCTGTTCTCCTGCACCATGTCAAATGTAGAAGGAGCTGCAAAGGTGGCATGATTCACCAACCAGTCGGACGATTGCATGAGATGGGAAGCCAATAGTGCAAGCGGGCAGGCATCAGTCGATCAGGCGGAGGCCATTTTCTTTTTGGTAAACTGCAGATGAGTCAAAGGATGAGCCAATACGAGCAACTCGAGAATGTGATATGTGGAAAGCTCGGCAGGCCGACACGAACCTAGTTTTAAGTGTCAGCAATGTGTGGAGTCGCCTGGTTTGTGGCCCACTCCAACTTCTGATATTATTGGTTGTGGGTTATCCAAAGTGGAGGAACACAGCCTCAATCTGCACAGCTAGCCATGTATTACCCCGCACTACGAAAACCGCTTGCTGCCTATCTCAGCCTGCCTTATCACGAGCTGCGGTGACTTTGGACAACTGAGCCCTGTCTAGCCTTGAAGTGCAAAACAAGCACAGAAGGGGCAAACCAAAAAGAGACGCCCAAGAGTAATGCTGTGGAGGCTTATTTTGATGTCGAAGTCTTGGCTCGTTGGGCGGTAGACTCGGCCCGCTCCGGCTGTGCCGAGAAAACAAAGGCGGTAGACAATTCATGAAGTTGGAGTCGACGGTGGACGGACCTCGCACTAATTGGGTTAGTGTAGGAATCATCCTGGCGGAGCAAGTTGCACGCCTTTCCCGCCGCAGTTTGTCAAATGCATGTTTTCTGTTGCCTTGTGGCTGTACACGGACCGGGTGCCTTAGCTCTAAGTTGGTGACAGCGGGCTGATAGCTAACCTTGCATCCGCTAAAACCTGGGCGCCATACGACACCCGCGCTGTGAATCCGGCCTCATTCAAGTATTGGGAATTGTTGCATGGAGAGAACGTGGAGATGCGACAGGTAGAGATACTTGAGCTCAAACTCCGTGTCTGTCAACTCCTCGGGTACCTTTAAAAGCTGCTTGTGTTTGAGGTTTGGAAGAAGGGTTGCGTGGTCGAAATCGACGAGCATGACGCGGCGGCGCTCGTCGTTCCAGAGCCGGTTGGCGTCGCGCTCGTCGCCGTGGTCGACGCCCTCGGCCCAGACGGCCTGCGAAGAACGCCGTACTTCCGCCGCCAGGTCTGCCGTGCCACCGCCCGCGGCCACCGTGTCCGCCATCGTCTCCCCACCCCACGACATCAGTACCATGTGGAAGACCCTGGCCCCGCCAGGGAGGATGTAGCCCCGGTCTAGCCGCGCGAGTCCCAGGACCACCTCGCCCTGGAGCCTGTCGAGCCGCGCGTATATACGGCTCTGATGCTCCAAGAGGCGGGGATGGCCAGGCAGTGTTCCCTATGCGAGAACACGTTGGGGCAGTTGCCGTCAAGATTCCAACCTCTCTTGAGGCCCAAAAGGCAGGCCTGCGTGCAGTATTGCTTGGCAGGTGCCGACTCGGACATCTCGGCATCCTCCTCCTCTTCCTCAACCCCCCTTCGGAGCTGCCGCTCGATGGGCCATCTTTCCGTTTGCTGACGTCCGTCCTTGCCCAAGATCGGGATAGATCACCGTCCGACCCGTCGTCTTCTTCGTCCTCCTCATCTCTACGAAGCACCGCCGTGGCCCTGCAGGACGACCTTGGCCGCAACGAGGCCTCTCGGCCCGCCGGGACCGCGTTAGACAGCTTGCGATGACGACGCCGAGGGCGGGTCCGTATCCTCTGCCCCTAGAAGACGCGCCGCATCGTCGTACGGCTCCCTCCATATTCTCAGTGTTGCCTCAGCCTTCCGCGACGCCGCGTCGAGTGAAGCGCCATGGCAATCAGTGCTTCCGCCTTGTCCTGTCCCCGTAGCTTGGCATCGCTGAGACTTTCTGCTGTAGATCCGCGCCATGACCTCCATAAACAGCTTCTCCTTCGCAACGGCCGACTTCAGATACTCCAACGCAACCTTGTGGGCTGCCTTGTAGTCGTAGACAAACGCTACGCTTTCGTCTCCGCCCAGGCATGTACGGACACCCGCTCCGTCAGGTTTCGTCGGCGGAGGCTTGACTCTCTGCTCGGACGCCACTCGTTTGTTCGGTCCGGTCCGCCGCCGTCGCTCCTGCCTTTCATCGCTCGGGTCCTCCTCCCCAACCAGATTACCATCGCTCGGTTGCGTGAAATCCCGGATGTTGTTGCTGAATCGTAGCCCCATACACCGATATTCCTTGCGCAGCTCCTCTTCGTCCCAGACGGGACGCAGAAGTTCCCAGACCGGATCTTCCACAGCAAGCTTCTCAAAGTGATCGACGGCATTCTCGTTGCCTGCCCGTTTGCGGTGGATCGTCGTTCCTAGATCTCTGGTCGTACTCTCTTGATGGAAGAGCCGCCTCTTCCCACAGACCGTCCTGATGGCCTCAAAATGATGTTGTCGCTGGGTGTTGGTAAAGCTGGTCCAGGGACGAAGCCACTTAGGATAGTATTTACCCTCGACCTTCGTAAATCCCGTCGATGACTTGGATTTGTCAGCGAGCCCGAGTTTCTTGTAGAAGTAGAAGTGGCAGTTGTACAGATATTCTTCTAGTGTCGTCCTTTGGCCAGCGCGGGATATCAAGTGTGTAGCGACTGGTCGCAACAGTTGGCGAATCTGTCCCACTTTACAACACGGCCACCAACCACCTAAAATTGATTTCACGTGACCGAGTGCCCGAAACAAGGCAGCCAAGCGACGGGCCACTAATTACGTCACCGATACGGTGCCCGCATCACTGTCTGGTACGAGCGGTCGCCGAGCTCTTCCACGCTGTTAAGCATGAGGGAGAGGTCCACCGGGAGACATATATTATGGTCACGTAAAGGATGCCACACCTTTTCAGAAGGAGGGACGATGTGTTACGGTCTCCGCCACATGCCGAATTCTGAGAGGAGGGCATCCATTATGGAACATAGGCCCAATCAAACAAGAGTCGCATGACCTATTACATTGTGGTGGACTCATATAGCCAACCAGGTATGATTGGCTAATGCATGTGGCGGTGCACCACTGGCCTTGCGACCCAAATTGTGCAGAGCCCATCGGGTCTCCTGCACTACGCTAAGGGATGTTAAAAGGCCGCATCATCCTAACGTTGTTCAAACGCAAGACCTAATCCATCTACTTTCATTTCCCAGATCGTCTCCTAAAGTTTTAAATCAAAATCCTCTACAGAAAACATGGCATGGAAATGCGAGATTTGTAAGGACACCGGAGTGTATGCGGGGGGGAGTTGTCCAAGTTGCGCGACCGGTAATGCAGCCGTTGAGTCGCCCGAGTCTTTACTAACCAGGCCTATAGACAAATGAAATCATCTGCATTATAGAAATAAGCCATAAGCTCTTGCATACGTATTTTTTGGTGACACTGTGTTCAGAGGGTCGGAGGGAAAGCGGGCAAAAATTGACTTTGATTGATTCATCATGCACAACCCCCTACTCTTACCTCAGCAGGCTCTGAATTTCGCTAAACTCCTCTTGGAAATGGCCTGAGCTTGCTGAGGTAACCGTGCTCGGTTAGCAACGCACGTGACGTGTCTTACGTGATGTATCCACTCCATATTCCGCCGGAGATGATCCAGCATCTCATCCCATAACTCAAGGAAAACAACCACGGATCACTCCTCCACCTGTGAGATGTCAGACCGGCGACGTCGATATTGTAAATGCACCGCCATTTTTATAACTGTAGATGGGCTGGATACTCATCTTAAAGAGTATCGTGTTAGTACGAGTATATCCCTGCCTGGCAAGTGCTCACTGTCTTCCAGACCCGATACACGTTCTACCTTCAGGAGATCGAGAAATGCTTAATCCACGAGGAAGTCGACCCTCTAGATGGCGATACAGACACAGAGGAAGATGATGCAGATGAAAACGAGAATCAGGCTCAGCTACCACAATCACACAACTGCCCGCTCCTGACTTGCAAGCGCAATACCGCGCCATTTCCAACCCGCAGCAAACTTCGGCGACACTACCAAAGGCGTAAGTCTTGCATTCCCTTAGACTTGCATTGCCACTAATACAGCTCTCTCGCAGACTATCGCTGTGTAGAATACTGCATCTGCTGTGGAGAGCAGCAGAAAACGGTGTTTTTGGCTTTGGATCATTCCAAGAAGCATCGGCTTGAACTTTGCAAGAGAAAAGTGGATTACATGGAGTCGATGCGTGTCGATCTAGCCGCAGAATCCAACAAAGAGCTAGAGATGCTGCAGACTCTATCATTGAAAGAGAGCACAGGGAGCAATAAGAGGTCGTGTGAAGTGGCTGAATTAGAGTCATGGCCTGACGCGGGTCAGAAATCTAGATTGAGACAGGACGACGATCCGGCCATACCTCAGTCTCAGGGACAAATCGACGGTAATATCTCTCTCTCCGTGAAACGACCAAGCTAATAGCGCGGACACAGCACAAATATTTGTCCAGGAGTTCGAACATATGCTCGACTCCCACTCCTCAATCCGTGACCGCCTCAACTATGGATTTTCAGGTTGACCAAGAGTTTTGCGTTCCGAAGGATTAATATACTGAAAGTTCGCCCTAAACGTGTCGTTCTCCACTTCTCGGACTGTCTCTTCAAACTCCGAGGGGAGTTTCATCAACTTCCACCCCAAAGCCAGATGCTCTTTGACAATTTCGACGACGAGTATATAATTGAATATGATTTCGAACCCAACACGAGAATCAAGAATGACTCTGGAATGCAGTTAGAAAACATAGTTATGGTATAATCATGTAATAGTGACTTACTTCCCACCAGTCTTTTTGGTGAAACTAGTACAGCCCGCTTTCTCATATTCCTGTTCATCAACCTCATTCACACTCCGAACCCCCTCTTCTGCTGGGACATCATGTAGGTGAGAACCACATATATATCTCACGATTGCCCCTTCAGGATATAGGTGGATTAGATGACTCCGTAGACCGACCTCCGGGCCACCTTTCGTCCATAAAAAAACACGGCCGGGGTACATATGTTGTCTGAGGCAGTGCACCATAACGCGCTTCCCAAGGAAATGCTGACCGAGTTGCATGATGATCTAGGAGGGTTAGGGATTTACTGATACCGGTATGGATGACTTACCTGATCTTCGAGAACGTGTTTTTTGAATATGTTCACGCCATCTATTGTGTGCCAAGGCCACTCTTTCCGCTCCATAACAGCCAGATCCTGCGCGATCGTGGCATCTTCGAGTGCAGAGCACCCGTCTGTTGAGAGGCGCTGCCTTGCAACTTCTAAATTAGGTGCAGCCTCCGGGGAGATGGGGGTCCTCTCCTTGACCGTCATGATACTCGTTGCCTATGACGAAGGACGTTGGCTGACATCTGATGACAACGAGGGCAAACGAGGGGCAATTGTGGCGGAAAAGCTATCTTCCGTGCTGATTCTTGGAACGATGGCTCACGTGAGAGGTGTGGCGCACTTACATCCTGTACAGCCACTTAATGGCTGGTTCCTGACCTCGGCCCAGCCACCCTTCACGTGACCCTCTTGTATGACCCCTCCTTTGTTCATGAATATCCTGTACATGGCCATAATTCATGGTCTGTTTTTTACGCGACCCTCCTTTACGTGACCATAATTTTGCGCCCCCCACCGACTCTTTGCCGTGGTCCGTTCCTCATGGCCCCTTTTTACGTGACCATAATTTATGGTCACTTCCTACACTGCCCTCCTTGACGCGACCAAAATTATTGGCCCCAGCCGACCACCATTACGTGGCCATAATGTATGGTCGGTTGCGATACGTCCACCTTCACGTGGCCAAAATTATTGGCCGAGCCTTCCCTCTACAGCACCTCACTACGTGACCATAATTTATGGTCTTTTCCTGCACGCCAACCTTATGTGACCATAATTGGTGGCCCTCTCCGTCACTATGTAGCCTTCCATACCTGACCATAATTCACGGCCCCTGCCTTCACTGTGAAACACCTTCGTGAAGCCATCTTTACATTACCACAATTCATGATAGAATTGCAGCACCCTCCTGCCCTGTAATGTACAACCTAGCAGGTAGGAATAGCAAATTGCGAGATCATTTACACAAGTGACGATGAATTCTCAAAAGGGAAGTAGAGTATGTGCATTAAGTGCTAAGACGTCCTGGAAAGATGTGTACCCCGACTAGCGTTACATGTAGATCAATAATAAGGCGACCGTTTGCGGCTTCGGCGACCGAGTCTTTAACCGGAAAGAGCATGGACCCAGCCAACACAGCAGGTCCAACAGTCAACAGTTCACCCAGCGAAAGCCTGCAGGCGACAGACGTGCAGGCTGTTGGCTGCATGATAATAGATCGAGGTGGACAGGATGGGGAAGATGATCACGTCAAAGATTGGATCACGGCCGATGACAGGGTCACAGTCGATCCCTCCTGTCCTGGGCTTTTACTGAGCAGTGAGCTGGGGGAAGGAACGCCCGCCCTTCTGTCGCGCTCATGTATTGGTCTCTCAAATGGCCGCAGCAACTTGGCAAGGCGACCAATTAAGAAGTGGTAGTTTATAAAATACGACTGGATTATCACGGGCCGGTGCTCGCCTCAGCCGGTTGGAGACACGTAGAACAGTGAATATGCATGTTGAAGAGCCGTGACGATCATCCGTGTTGGTTGTAAACAGTCACTAGCGTGTATGCGTGCCATGAACCTGCATAGTGCGGGCTGCGTAACCGTCAGCGACGCCTCCTTGTGGGAAAAAGGGGGGGGGGGGGGTAATCAGGGTCGACCTCGCAGCCCCTGTTTGAATACCTGCAGCTCGTCGGATGAGTAGGTCCCTGTGATGGTCATTCTTTGTTGGCTGTGCAAAAGTCGTTGGCGTATATGCATGCTACGGACACGCATGATGCGGCCTGTGTCCACATCGGTGTTGGAGGTGTAGATGAACTATCCCAGCCCGTGCTAAGAAAGGGGAGGACTCCGGGATGGTGGGGGTTCGACTGTGGGCTGCGATAGATATTGCTTTGCTCGGGACAATCTTTGGCTCAGAGCCGGTGCTGCGAAAATATAAGAATAGGAGATATCCCCCCGAGAATGAAGATAGACACTCACACATTCAATCCCAGTCTAATCACAGCAACATTGATCTTATCGATAACATATCCCATCATCTTGCCTGATCATCATGCCTTCCCATTTGGTCCAGCCATTCCACCCTTCCCCTTCCCAACAAACGACTCCTCCCAGCAGCCCTCTGCACCAGCCAATTGATGCTAAGGAACCAAACGCGCCCAATGGACGCCTTGCTCAAGACAAGAACGATTTCGAATTGTCTTTCGCGGAGCGACTCTTGACAACACTCGAAAAGCTCGTTGTTGAAAGGTCTACATCCGAGAGCTCGTCCTCTAGTGATGAAGCCGCAGCCAAGCCGAACGAGCCGAAGGTTGAGCGAGCATCGAAGCTGGCATATAAGCGTGTGGAGGAAGCGTACGATAGTCATTCCAGAAAAAGTATTATTGCTAACGGATGCGACAGGTGGGACGAGAAATCTTGGAAATACAAGATCGTTGAGACAGCTGGTCCAGGGGTCAAAGATCTCGACCAGTATGTCTTCCTCGTTCGGGATAGGATTGGTGAGTCTGGTATCCCTATCTTAAGATCCTGCTGACAGAATGCTTTCAGATAGGAAAACAGATGAAATTACATCTTTTATCGATGTCAAGTCCCCGTCATTGCGAAATGTCCTGAGAGAAGTCTGTCGCGATATTCGAGTGGTCTCTCTGGCAGATGAAACGCCCTCCGTATGGTTTTAGTGAAGCCTACATGTTACAACCGCTAATGCTGAACAGATTGATCGAAATATTCTATTTCACGTTCGTGGAGAATTGAAAGCCCATCATCGGCGTGCGGTCGACGGCCAGAACAAAACAGCTGCACAGCATTTGGGTCTTTTGGTTGACTGCATCGAATGCACTTTCCAGCCTACTGATCAACAACTATCTGTTCTTCTGGCAAAGAAGGAAATTACGTACGACCTCATTTGGGCCCTCTCTAAGCCCAATACAGAGGTATACACTACCTGTAAGGGTACCGATGCTCCCATGAGTGCCCTATACAACCATTGCGAAGAGAGACTGGACCTGGATGGATCGAAATTCATGTACCTCGAGATTCGTTATCTGAGCTCGAACGGAAAAACGTTAGGTGAGGTCACAGCCGGCCGCAAGATACCATACTTCCGAGGAACCAAGAAAATCGAGTTTCTCCAGGTGTACCCTTTAGAATACCACCCCGAGAAGGAGAAGATGACAAAGGACCTGATTGATAACGGCCGCAAGTTTGTCTCTTTGATGGGCCTCCATCATCGTCAGTACGAGGGGAAAGCGTTTTTCATCGACGACGAAGGGGAGATCGTCAAACGCCACATCAAGGATCGAATCATGATTGATGCTGTCTGTTTTCAGGAACAGAACCCTGGTCACCCGTTCCCACAAGTCCGAAAGGTAGAACCAAGAGACCCGATTACGGGCCCGATTGGTTCCCTCGGACTTGCAGATCTTGACCCGAGTCAGCTCGAGGAGAACGATTTCCTCATTTGCAGCCCTACTGTGTTTGGGTTTTGCCTTGGTAGCAAAACATTTCGTGAGTAGGATTCGATCCAAGACATACAGTTGACTAAGAATCCATCACAGTGGAGTTTGCTGTTGCCAACATCACCGAAATATCCTGGAGCCCTTCGTCCTTCAAGGATGTCAAGATCCCAGAGAGTCAAAAGAAGCCAATTTGGGCTCTAACCAAAACATATCTTGATCGGGATGAGAGCGATGGCTTTAGGGACCTTGTTCAAGGGAAAGGACGGGGAATCAACTTTTTGCTCTAGTATGATGCACTCCGAATGCCTGCCAGACAAGTAGCTGATCTGGTGCTATAGTGGGCCTCCTGGTGTCGGGAAAACCCTGACAGCAGAAACAATTGCAGAGACCTACCGGATTCCACTATACACAGTAAGGATTTTGCTGCTATGCTTCGAAATCGGCATTTACTAACCAGTCAGGTGCCGGCTGGTCAGATCGGTGTAGATCCGGTCAAGGTGGAGAGGATCCTGACCAGTATCTTCAAGATTGCAAGCCGGTGGAAAGCCATACTGCTTCTGGACGAGGCAGATGTCTTTCTAGCTCAACGTTCGAACGATCCACATCTCAATGCACTCGTATCGGTCTTCCTGCGCGAACTAGAGCAGTACGATGGCATTCTATTCCTGACGACAAACCGAGTGCAGTCATTCGACGAAGCAATGATTAGCAGGATTCATCTTGCTCTACAATATCACCCACTAGGACGAGATGCGCGCGAGGCCGTGTGGAAGTACTTCTTGGGGCAGGCCAACACTAAGCAAGGAAGCCCCGACTGTCCCCAGGATGCAGTTGACGAGCTAGCGGAGAAGGAACTGAACGGCCGAGAGGTGAGTCACCCTTCGCGTGGTAGAGTGGTAGTGCGAGATCTAACCACTATTGCAGATTAGGAATGCCGTGTTCGTAGCTAGGTCAATGGCTCAGTACGAGGAGACGGTCGTGTGCGCGACGCATCTCAATGAGTCCATTTCTGCAAGGGAACAGTTCCAGCGAGACTTTCAGGGAGCGGGGGTGGTTGAGAACCGTAACTCGTACTTTTAGTGCGTGTGGTACGCCCAACAACGGGTATTGGTTCTCGGAAAGGATATATGCAATTGTCCATGTCAGCCCGGAGGAGTTGCGGCATTGTTCAGCCAGATTGTCAAGATTGTCAAGATTGTCACAGCTCGAATGCACACATTCCACTCTTTTAACTTTATTTCTTGATGTCCAATCAGAGGTGGCAGCCGGCTACTAGTAGCTCCTTGATGACTCTGAGGAAAACAGCTACTAGTAGCCGCCGCCCCTTGTTGATCCCGTCGCTAGCAATCCCTTGGTGACTCAGCGAGTCAAGCAGCTACTAGTAGCCCTTCACCCATCCATGTCAGACCAGGATATGGCACAATCCACTCCACCTTTCAGAGGACCCACATGTTCCAAAGCGTTACAAAACCGCGCGCCACAGTGGAGGGCCACTGTGTATCTGCACAAGATATAGGGAGTGTCTCCTGGTCCCTCATAACAGCCTCTCTTCAGTCGCACAGCCATCCAACGCTGGTGCATTCAACATTGGCTTTAATGAATCATCAATCAGACTAGCTTTCGAACTAATTAGAAGATGCTGTATTTTGACCATCCATCCGTATTCTAGAGCCCGTTCTCGAGTTCCTCTCTGCCCATATCCTGTGGAGGTTCCCAGCTATCGTCGTAGTATTTCATTCCCGCACCACACAAGGGGTGCTCCACAGGTCGCTCAGCGAGTCGTTTAAACGCGATGGTTATCGGGTTATCACCCCCAGAAAGCAGTTTGCGGGTAGCGTACTCTACTATTCATCTCCAGATGTCCTATACGATCCTCACTGACTGTGGCATTGATTACTTAGAGGTTTCACACGCTCGCTGCCACTCTTCTTGATCCGCCCCTGTCATTCCACATAGCTCATTAACAGTCGGGAACATAAGATCGCCATCGCTATCCAGATATTTATTTGGATATAGCCTAGGGGAACAAGGGGGCTCGACGGCCGGACCGGCGACGTGATGATCCTAAAGACATGTTAGAGTAATACTACATAGCTCAGCACGACGTACCTGTTTCGGCTTTCTCGACCTCTTCCCCTGCTTCCTTTGTATCTTGTATGATGACCCCCTTGACCACTTTGACGACTTCTTCGTGCTCTTCCCTTCTCGAGGCTTCCACGTTGCACTGCTGACATGGCCAGACTGTCCTTGAGGGAATCCGGGTTGGAGGCTCGAAAGGTATCGTTCATAACTTATAAGACTGTTCGTTACAGTCGATGTCCCAGGCGTTTCACCTTCTGGGAAGAACTCAGGGCCCCATTCTGTCTCGCGACCGTTGTTTGGCTCGCGAGTTTGATGCTGATCTCCAAGTTCCTGGAAATCTGCAATGTGGGCTGTACTTCAAGTCAGAAACTTCTTGTAGGAACCCGATAAGCAGACAACCTGTGTGATGCCCATCGTCGGAGCCGACTGGGCACGGATCAATGGGAACATTCTTCGAATGACTGGTGCAACACTCCCCGAGGGGAATACATTCGGGTGTTGGATCGGCTGTCTCCCCACCCTCACTCCGCACAAGTGACTTATGTTCGTCAGACAGACGGGAGCCGTCGCCAAGTGTAGGGGAGGACATTGTTGCAGGTAAAGATATAGAAGCGAGTCTCTTGGGAGATGGAAGGATAGGATGAGCGGAGGCAATGGGGAGGAGGTGTGGATTTATGCTTTCTTGTGTCAGTTAGCCCCCAAGGAGGCATCCCCCTGAATCTAGCAGCAGCAGCTCGCATGGATGTGGCTTGTCCTGCAAGTCTCATGGAATACGAGTCACATAAGGACAGAGAGGAGGGGCCTAAACGAAGCCGTCTCAGCCCGGCTTGGCACTTTCAAAGGACCATTTACTACATGCGGAAGGGATCTGAACATGACATGGGGGTGGCGTCAAAAGACTCCGTTGGTGGTACTTGATGATACTCCATGGGCAACCAAGCCTGCCTCACAACCATGTTTGCATCCATGGACGCAATGATAATAACAGCATCGCCATCACCGAATGCTAGCTCACAAACCTCTTCTTATCCTGAACCGTCGATACGAGCTGAGAATGAAGTACATGTCCTTTGATTCCTGTGGCCGTCATCCCTCGCTTGGCATGCTCATGCCCATGGTCTGCTGCCGCTTCTACTCAGTCTCTACGCGACGTGCCATAGGGTGTGGAGGCATAACCCTAATTCTCAAGTCTGCCTTGCCTATGTTTGTGGAGGTGCGGCGAGTGAGACCAGCTCTAGACATCAGGTTAAACACTCATGGGGGATGGGAATCAAGCCATCGATTCGCTCTTCCCCCCGGGTCAACGGGACCGGGGTGAAAGATCAGAGGGTGTGGAATCAGTCACATTAGGCAACCTGGTCATTATGTTAGACCAAACATGCCGGGGCATCCTCACAAAACTGCTCAAGGGGCCGATCCTATAGTTCTATTACAGGACGTGGTCGTAACCATTCAGCCAATGCATACCTAGATCCACCAAGAGCTCGTGATGGGTTGCAGTCTTCATTATCCAATCCACCACCCTCCTGCGACACCCCCACACCCCCCTCAAAGTATGCCTCAGTCATGCGCCGACAAACTCATGCTACAGAGCTACTTAGAACCTGCGCAGAGCTCTGATGCTAAAAGGGGTTGGGTGGGTGTCAGCCCTTGGGACGCCGTTGACCTGCGTGAGAATAAATACCTGGCGATCACCAGGAACGATCTCGGGCAACTCTTTTATGTAAACAACACGACCCATTTGCCTTCTTCTCATTACCATGCACTCACTTACTTACTGGCAGTCAGTTATGGTATATGCGGCATTCTTCTTGAGTACCGTTATTAACCTGGTGGGCCTGGTTAATATTGTGTTGTTTTTTCAAAAAGTTTCTGAGTCCCAAGCACTCTGTAATCGACACAAACGCGTGTTCACGATCCTCTCCATAGCCCAGATCATCATCGCAATGGCAACTGGGCTAGTATTTGCAACTTTGGCGTGGAAAAAAGGGATGGATTGGCCGTTATACTTAGCGTGCTCCATCATTCTCTCTAGCATGATTAGAGAGGTAAGTTGTCGTTCCAATTGTGAGCATGACTAATAATCTATATATAGTGCTTATGGTCGAGTGGTTCCTGGAGTGTGGATCAGAAATATTTCATTCCCTGGCCCTTAATATCAATCACGGCTATTACAGGAATGCTGTTTATCATCGGCAATTTGCTGGAGACTCGGTATACGCTTTTCAAGCACATTCCTGCTGCATCGGCTGTTGCTTTCCGGTTCTGGATGGTGCTGGAATGGGTGATTGTTATTTCAGGCTCCTCGACATCCTTGACTCTCTTCAAAATGCGTCTGATGCTTGGTGTTTTGGCATGGATGGTGGCCACTACTGCTTTGACAATGGAGTCGCAGTTAGAGAGAGACTTGGTATGTTGTTACCTACGCGATTAATTCTTCATCTCGTCAAGGCTAATATCTCAGGTGCTCGCAAATACCTATGCAACTTACGACTTCCTGGCTCGTGCGACATCACTGATTGATAGACTGCGTACTCAGAACATATTTGTCCGACTACGTTCAATCTTCGTGTTCAAGTGGCCTTATATGGGATTCAGGGGTAGACGGACATCACAAGCGTCGAGTGAAATCCAACTGGGGGAGTTTGGTTTGGCGCGAACGAGATGAAGGACTAAGAGTGGCTAACTGGAGAGAATCAACTGCCATGGTCATCGTTGGTACACCTCTGATTCCTTAATGTCCTCACTTCACAAAAACTTGGCTCGTCAACGTGCAAGGATGATACCTCTCATCCTCTGCGTTTTGTGTGTGGGGAATTGTTGTCTTATCCATTCCTGCAGAATAGTCAAACTGTTGGTATGTCTTCACATCGATGTGGGAAAGCAAATCATAACAAAGGGCCAACCTGACTCCTAATCAATTGGCATAAAACGTCTCTCTCCCTCCCAGAAAGGGAGAAGGCTACGGAAGCCCCCTTTATGACCTTCCTAACCAATTGATCACATGATCGGGCACGTGGCCGGCCCGTTGCTAAGCTGTGCCCGGGTCGGGCCCTCCCTTGGGCAACGGCTGCCACACATCGAGAGGAACCAACACAAACCCAATTAAAAGCAATGGTAAATTAGCCTGAAGGAAAACACGGGCGTTCAATATACTACTTGTCTGGGTTTTGTACTGACGCCTCGCATTGGCTGGCATCCGAGGAGCGTAGGCAATTTCACAGCCCTGATTTTCTAATTTTAGAAAACCTCGGACCATACTTGGGCATTGTAGAGGGAGCTCTACCCACTCTACCGGGTAGAGTAGAGGAGATGCCCGCTCTACTCTACCCAAGTAGAGTAGAGTGGAAGTGGGTAGAGCTACCCACGCTACCCACTCCTGATTGGTCAACTAGATCTAATCAGGGTGGTCGTCAGTTCGATTCAATCACACCTCTAGTGGACAAAAGATCAACATATGAACCGTGCGAGCGTGCACGTGGCATAGAAAAGACTGTGCCAGCCATGCTTCAACTCAATCGACGGCCCAGATTGAATTGATGGCCGTCCTGCTCCAGAGATTAAAATACATGGGCAACTGGTTTGTAAGGAAACTCGTATCTTGAGAGGGGCTGCTACCGTAGAAACTCGAGAAATTCAGAACCTTGGCAAAGTAGATACAGCCAGATTCATGACTGACCAATGGCTGCTCTGGATATAAGGAGGAGATAAAAACAGCTTACTGCATGCGTAATTGGATTGATTATGGGCGTGGCTGCCCGATAAGGGCTTAAACGTGTATAATGAAGTAAAAACCCACTTTGCCCAGGTTCTGAATTTCTCGAGTTTCTACGGTAGTGATAATTGTAGAGGTCGTGGGGATGCATGATGAGATAGACATGGATTTCGATGAGGATTGGGATGTTTCATATGGAGAGGGTAGAGGGTATTTCGAAGAATTGGGCAAATTATAGCATCTACATTCATTGTCTACCCTATCGTCCCACCCGCTACTCTACCCGGTCCTCTACCCACCACTCTACCCACTCTACCCGGGTAGAGTAGAGGAGACCTTTCCTCTACCTGGGTAGAGTAGAAAAGTGGGTAGAGCTCCCTCTACTCTACAATGCCCAAGTATGCCTCGGACAAGAATCTTCGTTCAGGTACAGTACCACCTAAGCTCGAGCCATATGGGCTCGCGATTGCGTTGATCAATGGATTGATTGGTTGGTTCGGCAGGCCTGATGAGAGAGGGGCGGCTACTTGGTGATTCTAGAAAGTTCTAACGCATGTGACCACTCGTCGCCTTAATCCACCTGTTGCCTTCATGACCGGCCTAGTGACCTGGTGTGCGTGAGTCCACTGGTCCTTAAAGCATAGATTTGTGCTCCAACGCTCCTCCACCCTTTGGACGACCAGCGATTACTTCACAGCTCTACCCTCAGCAATAAACCTCACCGGTATTCCCTGGGCATCTGGTGCTACGAACCGAAGGGTACCTCCCGTCCCAAGACCCTGTGCGGGAGGATCAAGCAGGCATATTGGCTTCCATCCAAGGGTGAAGTACTCCTACTTCAGGCTGAATACGAAGTGCAGGTGTATGCGATGGACCAATTTAAGTGACCTGCATGCCTAGTGCCCATTGCAAGCTTTGGCTACGTGCGGTCGTATATCCGTAGCTGGGGATCGAAGAAGAACATATGCTCGATTGGGGGATGGTCCCCGCCCTGCCAGCATATATGTCCGTGATCCGAGGTCGCCTTCAGCCAGAAGTTGGGTCTCGGGATCGGCGATGTCTGTTCGAACCCGGGATGGGGACTTGACTACGCACGGGACACAAGTAACTTGCAATATCAGGCGAGATCAATTCAATGAAATCATGAGTTCTAACTGTCTTGGCCTACATCGAATCCTTTGCTTCCATTGCCCACTTTGTTGTCCCCATCACTTCGAGCCACGAGTACGGGTAATAGTAGCGACACGGTCCTTCTGTTGTTCTGTTTGGGCGGATGCCTTGTGCCTCTTCCTAGCGGGTTCCGTCTTCGGCGCAGATGCTGGTAAAGGCCGCCTTTTTGCTTTGGGGATAGGGGAAATTGATGCAATCTTCAGTTCACTGAGAATAGCTGGCCCTCCTCGGGGAATTATCACACTCGACTGATCAACCGAGGTAGTTAGGTCCCAGTTGTCAATACCGTCCACTGTGTCGGTATCCAGTATCTTATTTTCGCCAGATTGGATTGTTCTAGTGCTGAAGGCGGTTTTTGTAGGAGGTGAACGTGGCGTCAAAGTGCTCTCTGAATCGGTACTTATATTTGAAAGGGTGGTCCCTTCACTATTTTGGAGGCCTTTATGCCTATGAGGTTGATCAGGAATGAATGGGCTAACATAAATTGAAGAATAGGAGAAATTATGTATACATACCGATATATATATTCGTCAAGATTATCGTTGCGGCTATGCTCCTTCTGATGCATACGGCGAAGATGGGAACGAAAGTTATCAGCTCTCGGCCAAGTCTTGGGTTCAGCCTCTGCAACAGCAGCACATTGCCCTAAGCGACAAATGTATCTAGGTCCAGATACTTCTAGGTCAGAATGAACGCTCCGCTTGTGTCTGTCGAGGTCATTTTTGCTGCTGAAGCCTTCCGTACGATTACAGCCTTTGGCATCGCAGTGGAAGGGCTTGCTATGCCGGACTTCGTGCTTGCTAATTCATGTAAGTCTAAGTCTTTTTATAGATTGTGAACTGAACAACTTACTTAAGCTCTGATTTTGTTTTCAAGCAGGTACTACACGTAGAACAGTAGTGCTTATAGTCTCTGCTGGCAGGAGTAGTGGTGTCGCTTGGAGCCTGCTGTATACACTCTGCTCCCTCTGATCGCCAGAAGACTTTGTTCTCGCCAGTCTTATTGGCCACTATAGCAAAAAGGAAAATACACAGCAGCTCTAAAACAAACTCCTTGTCGGTTTTTCTTTGTCTTGTTGGCACCTTGGAATCAAAATTGCGGGCATGCGGGCCCTGACTGAGTTGGCCAGATAATGGTGGGTTGGGCAGCTTCTCTCTGCATTTGAGACTACAGGACTGTTAGTAAATTTCGTAGTTCATTGATAATGACGTACCAAACAACTCCTGCTCGCAGTCTAGCATCAACACGTTGGCATATAAAGTTCTCGACAAACTGTATCCCATGTTCATTGAAACCCAGCAATGCCGCAGGATCTCTTGTCGTAGATGCGTTATACATAGATAGTGCACATTGGCCTGGATAATCTTTGAAGGGCGTTGTGTGGAAGTGTATTGTCTGCTGAGAATGGACGTGGCGCGAACCGGGCTGCTTTATATATAGCTTGGGGCGGTGTCGCCGGTCAGTAGCGGAGACTTATTCAACGCTGACAGTTCGGGCGATTTATGAATCGTGGAGACTGCGTTTGGTGTGATTGTATTTGTATGCCATCGATCATCGAATATGACCGTATTTCCCTTCAGCAAACATACCGCCTCTACGCAAGTCGCACGCCTTTCCAGTTTTGTCTCCTGGGTATCATTTTCTTCACACCAAAGCATCCTCTTCAATATCATCCGGGTGGATTATTCACCTGTTTCTGGATGCTAGGCCGTTATTGCTTCCTGATGATGGACAGACAGAGCGATCGGTCGTGGGCACTTGTTTCTGTTCGTATCCGACGGAGTCGATTTATCGACCCCGTTTTCATTACGCCTCCGCGCCGTGCAGAATGGCAGCCAATTTTGCTGCACGTGGGTTGCCAGCAATCGCCGAGAGCCGCTAGTCTTGGGGTTGTTCTCCGGTTCACCGTTTGTCTAGTTGCCCCAATTCCCAGTCTCAGTGATTACGGAGTGGACGTAACTTACTTCGCGATCGAGTCTAGCCTCATACTGACGACACCCAGGATGAGCAAGATAGATAGGCTCGAGATTTAGACTCCACACGGGGCACTGATTATACCGATAAAATGCTTGGGGATGCAGAAGCAGAAGAGCCCGTGTGAGGTTTTCCTATTACAATTTACTAGCGATAACTCAACTAGGAGGAAGTTCTGAAGCCCCTGCTAACAGTCCCTCCAGCCCATCGCCTATTCTCCTCATCTCCTCAAGTCGTTTGAGATGCACTTGAATCGCCTTATTTATGTGAGTGGCGTAATTCATCATGCAAGATAGCGCGTTAACACTCTCCGCACACTGATTTTGAGAGCAACGGATCTTGGTTAACTGTTGTTGAGAGAGATCTAGTATCTGCTGGCCTATGTGATCAGTGAGATTGTCCAGGGAGAGAAGCTTGGCAAAGTGAAGCGGCTCTTCCTTTTGCATTGAGATATTCTCTTCGACTTTGGCAGTTCGGCTCATTAGTGTTTCTCTACTGCGAAGTGCAGAGATATGGAGCTTGTTAGCCATAGAGGCCGCCTGGGAAGTTGTCTCCTGTACATCTTTTAGTTGACTTGATTGCTGTGAAGTGTTCTGAAGGTGGGCTTGGTATTTGCCCAGGAACTCCAAAACTGAATCCGGTTGCGATGTTGTGGGAACTGAGAGAGAAAATGCTAATGAGCTACGCCGGATTTCTTCTTGTACCCAAGCGGCTGGGTCACCCCCTTCATCGCGCAAGGCGGAGAAGAGGCGGCGCCAGAGTTGCCCGTTGATAGGTAGAGCTGGTGGAGACCGACCGGACACGAGATGTAGCGCAACAACAAGAACGACGACACCACAGTCATCGAAGTTGGACTGTGAAGGCGTTGGTTGGTTCTCGATGTTCCAGTTCGATAATACTGCTGTGGGGAAAAGCCGATGAATCAAGCCCTCAATAGAAAGGCGAACCGTTTTAGTATTGTCCGGATTTATGAGCGAATCGTATACATCAACACGGTTTTCGGCTCCGTACAGGACAGCGAGGATCCAGTGGTCGTTCCGGGGCATGCCAACGGGGGCCGTGTTGGGCAGGTTGATAGGGGCCAAGACGGTCATATGTGGCTTAGTGGGAATAGGGCTGGTTGACTCGGGCTTAGACAATATAGGGTCAATGACGATGTATGTGTCTGCCACCGCTCTCACAATGAGTAATAATGTGAAGAATACGGCTTTGTCGTTCAGCCAGGTGTCTGGGGCGAGCGTGCATAGAGCATCTGGTGGTATTTCTTGCCGTTCATGGATATCCGAGCAATTGTCCTCATCATCATCACCAATAATAATGACCTCATTCGTCTGTGTGTCTGCTGCACCCTCGTCGACATCGATCGTCTGGCCTGTATCTGAGTGTTTGGCAGTTTCCTGGAGTGTTTGGCAGGGTTCCAGGCCGTCTTTCGCATCACTTTGTGAGAGGGTCGGCGTCTCTAGGCGTTGGGATGGGCTCTCACCGTCGGAGAACGGAGCGTCGGTCGTGACGACGCCTGGAGTAGGGGTGAAACGTTGTTTGACATAGATAGAGGGGGACCCGGGGGGTGAGGATGCGAGAGAAGAGTGGGAGAAGGTTCTCTTTCGAGGGAGTTTGGTCTTGTTAAAGCATATCATATTAGTGGTGAACGGCGTACGCGAACGAACTTGGAGAACCAACCTTGGGAGCTGCGCTGTGCGGTGGTTGGCCTGATGAAGCTTGTTTAGGCAGCTCAGCCGATATGCATGTTTGGGCGTTCTTGGAGTCTGTGTTCTGAAGCCTTGGCTTGGTAGACCTCGCAGTGCGAGGAAGCTTGATGCGAGTCCTGCGCTGCTCATGCTTGGAATGGTCGCCTTGGATGGTGGTGTCGCTTGACCCATTGCATTGAGATACATCTGATTCTTCCATGGCACGTTTAAAATCCATTGGAACCCACGTGGCGCGTCTCCTCGTATATTTGACCGCGGCTTCGTTTAATGCCTTCGGGTTTCGGTTGCGACGTTGAGCTTGTGCTGTCTGTAATCGGGGCCAAGCCACGTCAAATGGGACGCAATCGGAAAATTTGCAAGCCAGGTCAATGATCTGGCGGGAGGGAGACCGGCCAAATTTCTGTTTGACCTCCTCTTTGCTGATGTTCCAAGACGTGGCGATCTTCTGTATGCCGAAATCTACCCTGCGACCATGATCATAAACGCGCTTCTTGGGCTTGGTGTCGTGATCGGACTCGGGTTCTACTTCCGGCTCTGATCTCGCTTTGGGAGAATGCGTGACCAGATCGAGCGGTGGATATTTTCCTCTTTGCGCCGCATCGCTATCCGGGGGGATTGCTCGCTTCGTCGGTCGATAGGTCGGCTGGTGTCTTCGTCTGGATCTAGGGCATCGCTCTGTTCCATAGCAAGGTCCCTCTTTGGCTGCTCGTCGTGCGGCTTCGTTTTTGAGCAACAGCGGGGGTTCTGCTGCTCATCGCGGTTGTGTTCGTGGATTGCGCGGGCGTGTTGGGACGGTTCGTCCTTGGGCTTAACAAGAGTGGAAAGATTCCTGATTGCGTGGCTTCGACGCGTGCAACGGAGGGTTGTTGGCAACTGGGGTTAGAGTGGTTGCTGATTAAGCATCACTGACAAGTTGGGGCACACTGCCGTGCTGTGATCATAGATGGCACAATTACTTCCGCGTAACCGCGAATTAGGATGTATTGCTTTTGCGGTACGAGATGACACAGGCCAAGGCCTTCCCAGCACAAATACGGAGGTACCCTAGCGACCACCTGCGAGTAACGAGTGTTATCGCCTACCATACAGTGCATCTACAACGTGTTAGGTATACATATACACTGTGTATGAACTGGTCACAAGTTGTGCCCGGTTCCTGCACAGTGAGCACCTTGTAAACGCACGGTCGATCACCACTTGACACATCCTGACGCAGTCAACTTCTCCAGCTCCATGCCGTGGGGAGAAGACTAGCAACGCTGGATTTGGTTCTTCATTTTGCAGTGCAGTTTATCATTTTTTGGTATATTGATTCACCAGATCCCCTTCCATCAAATCAAAACCACAAGTGGCCGTTTTGGACACTTGTGGTCAATTACAGATCAATATTGACTTAAGCTGATGATGCACTTCCTCATGAGAGGCGGGATGGAACAGTGGCGGGAATATCAATACAGCCACCGAATATAACCAATTAGCTGTTCTCGTTCCTATTCCCTCTTTTCTCGTCCTTTCTACGGAGTCTGCAGGCTGCCTTGAGGCTAATTTTGGTCATTGAGTATCCTGGTAGAACTACTGGTCCACCTCACCCTTGTCGCCTTTGTTTGTGTTGGCCGAGGGCCAAGGCTCTCTGTCAGTAGCTTTTCAAATGGTTGGCAGCTCCTTATGAGGTCACTGTACAGTTTCGAGCATAAATACCTTCCTGTGACGGTCAAGGTTCTCAACTTAGTAAACCGTAACCTGATTGGTTTATGTTGGCAGTTGTGACGGGGCGTAGCGTGCTGAGCGTAGGGTTGCGTATCACGTCTGATATATTCTTGAGTAATCAAATTGTATTGAAAGCTGGAGAGCTGTCTAGACATGGGAGAGTGCAAACGAGTGAAGCTATATACTATTCTGATTTGCTTGGTCGATCATGGTCGAACGCGCTCTCGTTCGACCAGTTCGACCACACACCACTTCCACCGGGGTCTGTTTGTTCCGTTCCGAGCTCCGCCGTTTCCCGTTCGTACCCGGTTGATCTCCCTGGGTCGTAACACTTCCTCTTTGCACCCAGTGTCTCTCTTTCAAGTTCATGGTAGGAACTTTGAGGCACAAAGGTCTACCTTGCAAATTCCCGAGGCGTCAAAAGTGGGCCATGGTATCAGTTACAAATGCGCACTATCGGCCACTTCTGGCCCAATGTCAAAAGTACTTTTTAGTACCCACAAGTACAGGGATTCCTCTAAGAAATTAATGCCCCACAACGACAGTGCGAGCCAGTGTCCTCAGTACCTTGCTCAAGTCACTGAGGTACACCTGCGCCCCCCTTGTCGATCCCAGCAAAGAGGGAATCCAAGCCTCAAGGGCTACCTAGCCAAGTATCCCCAATCTAAGCGTGCAAACGTCACCACAATCAATTTCGGGTTGGCATTAGGTGGCATTAAAGGCTATAGTCTCTCACTGCTTTCCAATCACTCATTTTCACTTAAATTGGTGAATAGCTTCATTGAACTTTTTTTTTTCGTCAGTACTGGCTGAAATGCTAGTGTAACAATGGCGTTGGGATGCTCACGTGATCAGAGGCCATAGAAGGTCACGGAAGGCCATGGAATGCCAGGAAGAGTTTAGGGCAGGTGCCCTGTGTGGCTCTTCGGTGCCAACAGCAAATCTGCGAGAAACAACCAGGCCGTGCCTTGCGATGTGGTGACGACTATGAATCAGAGCGAGACTGTTAACGACTGGCCAACTGATGGTGCGAGCGATTCTCAGAACTCTGATCTTTCAACTTCCGGGAGCGAGGAGTCTCAGCCTGCGTACCCCGTTTGCTTACCAGGTCACGAGTTGATGGAATCTGCAACATCGGTCATACTAGCAGGTAGATAATTGTGCTTAGGTCCAGCATTCTATATGTGGCTTGAAGGTTCTAGAAGTCGGCGTTGCGATGTGGATACATTTCTCCGGACCCTCCGACCTCGTCTAGCAAAGATACAAAAATTGAAATGAAGAGTTAGTGCACTGTAAGAGTATAGTGAATGCTGTAGTAAGGTATGGGACATTAATATAACTGAATATTTGAATTCGCAAGCTAATGGATAAAAGAGAGATTTTGGTTTCCATAAGGACTTAACTATATGAGTCTAGAACCCTAGGTCGAAACTTCATAAAAATCACCCTTCCTGAGTTACAGCCAATTACAACAGATGATCCAGACACCTTTGAACATCCAGAGCGAAATGACGCTGGTAACCAAAACAACTTTTTTTCCTGCCACGTAATCCAGCATCTATCTTCACTGATTCCAATGCCAGAGAGGCAGTCAGTAAAGGATGTAGTGGCATTTTGGATGAATAAATCAGGGCTCTGAATGGAGATGGCCCCAACATCTGTCAGCAGGAGTGAATCGCGAAAGTGAAGTTGAAGGCGACGGCGAAAAACGTCATGTACTTCCTGTATACATGCGCCATCCTCGATACGCCAGAGTCGCACAGTCCGATCGTGAGAGGCCGAGGCCACAAGGCTTGAGTCGGGCGAGAATGCCACCGAGTTTACCGAGTCCGTATGGCCCTTAAGCTCTTGAATGCATGCGCCATCCTCAATACGCCAAAGTCGCACAGTCTTATCGTGAGAGGCCGAGGCCACGAGGCTTGAGTCGGGCGAGAATGCCACTGAGTTTACGTAGTGGGTATGGCCCTTAAGCTCTTGAATGCATGCGCCATCTTCAATACGCCAAAGCCGCACAGTCTTATCGTGAGAGGCTGAGGCGACGATGCGCGAGTCGGGCGAGAATGCCACTGAGTTTACCCAGTACGTATGGCCCTTAAGCTCTTGAATGCATTCGCCATCCTCAATACGCCAAAGCCGCACAGTCTTATCGTGAGAGGTCGAGGCCACAAGGCTTGAGTCGGGCGAGAATGCTACTGAGTTTGCCGAGTCCGTATGGCCCTTAAGCTTTTGAATGCATGCGCCATCCTCGATACGCCAAAGCCGCACAGTCCGATCGCTAGAGGCTGAGGCCGCAAGGCTCGAGTCAGGCGAGAATGCCACTGACCTTACTGAGTCCGTATGGCCTTTGAGCTCTTGAATATATGCGCTATCTTTGATGCGCCAAAACCGCACAGTCCGATCGCGAGAGGCTGAGGCCACAAGGCTTGAGTCGGGCGAGAATGCTACCGAGCTTACCGAGTGCGTATGGCCGTTAAGCTCTTGAATGCATGCGCCATCCTCGATACGCCAAAGTCGCACAGTACGATCGTCAGAGGCTGAGGCCACGAGGCTTGAGTCGGACGAGAATGCCACTGACTTTCCCGAGGCTGTATGGCCCTTGAGCTCCTGAATGCATTCGCCATCCTCAATACGCCAAAGTCGCACAGTCCGATCGCGAGAAGCCGAGGCCACAAGGCTTGAGTCGGGCGAGAATGCTACTGAGCTTACCGAGTGCGTATGGCCCTTAAGCTCTTGAATGCACTTGCCATCCTCGATACACCAAAGTCGCACAGTCCGATCGCGAGAGGCCGAGGCTACAAGGCTTGAGTCGGGAGAGAATGCTACCGACCTTACCCAGCGTGTATGGCCCCTGAGCTCTTGAATACATTCGCCATCCTCGATGCGCCAAAGTCGCACAGTCCGATCGTGAGAGGCTGAGGCCACGATGCTCGAGTCTGGCGAGAATGCTACTGACCTTACCCAATACGTATGGCCCTTAAGCTCTTGAATGCATGTACCATCCTCAATACGCCAAAGTCGCACAGTCTTATCGCGAGAGGCCGAGGCCACGAGGCTTGAGTCGGGCGAGAATGCCACTGAGCTTACCCAGTGCGTATGGCCCTTAAGCTCTTGAATGCATGCGCCATCCTCGATACGCCAAAGTCGCACAGTCTGATCGTCAGAGGCCGAGGCCACGAGTCTCGAGTCGGGCGAAAATGCCACTGAGCTTACTGAGCTTGTATGGCCTTCTAGGACCTGTTGGCATTGGTCCCAATTGTCTTCAGGCTCTGGTGTAAGGGATATCCACTCAGGAATCTGATTCTCCTGAAAAAACGTTTTTCGCACAGCACTATTCTTCGGCGCAAAGGCAAGAACTGAGGAGTAGATCTGAAGAGGTGTTGAGTCAATTACTGGTTTGTTAGCGAGGATCAATCGCAAACCATCTTGGAGAAAGTCTCCAAGTTTCCTGCCCTCTTCTAGCTGTAAGATTGTTAGTATATTCTTGTATTTTGTAACCTAACCACCGCTTACCACTAAAGATGACTGTAAGACTTTGAGAATGTTGAGACTATCTGAAGTCCTTCCAATCAAACTTATGGCTTCTAGCCAGTGGAGGAAATGTTGCATTAAAAATGTGTATACCTGGTCATCGTCACCAATAAGCATTTCTGCCTGCTGTATATGGTAAACCCAGTAAAGGCACGCATATTGCACTTCTGGTGGGATACATAAATCGATGCGTTTGGTATTGATCGATGCACGGTTTGTTCCTGGCTGCACCAGCTTGCACATGTCTGTCTCTAGGTGCTTGCTCATAATGCGAAGACAGTGTATCGCCAGATGATTGTGAACCAATTTCTCATCTACCCAGAAGAGATGCTCGCCCCGCTTCTCAGGGTCCACCAGGAAGTCGCGGAAGGAGAGATGTAGCATCCTCACAGGATATTGGTCCGATAAAGGGATGCTCAGGACCGAATGAAGCAGGTCCAGTTGGTCATCGATCATCTCTTTCTGTATATCAAGAAGCCGTCCGAGGGCGGATGCTTGGAGGGGGCTCCCTAGAACAACAATAGAGCCTACGATACATCGAAACCGCTCAATCACCTTATCCCGCTGCCAGTTGGCCAAGCCTTCAATCATCCTGTTGAGAACAGGTAGATATGTGGCATTGAGTTGTGATATCTGACTTTCTCTTTGAAGCTGCAAAACCTCCTTCAATTGCTTGTCGGGATTGCCACATTTGCGATCGGCAAGAAAACGGCACACGGTGGCAGCAAAAATAAAGAGCGGAATGGCCATTTCGACGAGAAGTTGGATATTTCCTTCCCCAGGCCAGTCGGAGGGCAGCTGTCGATCTGCAGACACAGACGAGTTGTACTCAATCTTAATTTTCGCAAGCTCATGCTCCAAGAAAGCAGAGATGTCATGCTCAATAATACCAGATTGTATTTCATGAAGGGCAAGATCTTGATATGTGCCTTTCACAGCGGTGAAGCCTAGGCGAATTGGCAGTTCTGGTCTGCTCGTGATGAGAATTCTTAGTTTTGGAAGCTGCAGGTCCTTAGTGCGAGAGAAGAGATGGATCATAAGTTTGACATCCTCATCCCGCTCGCACTCGTCAAGGGCATCAACAACAAGCACCAGCGTAACGAATCTCCGAGCGCCTGGGGGAATATTGCCCAGTGGCTGCATGATAAGTTTGTCAAACTGATCTCGTGCCGCCTTGCCAGCAACATTAGGATCAGCATCAATAGCAGCCTTGATGTGTGGTGCGATAGCAGGCTCTCTTTCCGCCAACTGGGCAGCGACGGTCGTGAAGAACTTGGATACGCTCCCTCGGTCGATCTCTCCTCTCTTGAAGAAGAAGCTCCCGCCGAGGTGACCTGACGCAGCGAAAGACCGAGCAACAGTGCGGGATATGGTAGATTTCCCCGTTCCAGCCATGCCATTGAGCCAGTAAATAGGCTTGGCACAAGGGTCTTTGGCCCATTCATGTATTTGCCGGAGGAGGTCGACTCGGGTGTCTTGCAGGCATGTCGGGTTATGTTCTTCGGCGAGAGAGTCAAAAGATGCCCCTGTAGCTATAGGAAGTCTATTGAGTACCGTCTTTTGGTCGATGCTGAGTAGTTCTTGGTCGATATGGAGAAGGATACCCCTGTAGTGCATCTCTATTAGAGTGTGCTCGGAAGCAATGTGAACGGAATCTTACGTCTGTTCCACTTGGAGAATCCGATCGATTGTCTCGGCGTATCGCCTAAGCCTCCCGACTAAATCGTCCACCTCTTTGCTCTGAAATGGCCATTTCAATGCATGAAGGCCTATTCTGCTCATCGCCTTACGGGACGTCCGAGGTGTAAGCCTTAGCTTCAGCGATTTAAGTTGCGACAGACCGTTGTCGAGGCCATCCTTTAGTCTCTGTGATTTCTCGAGTTTCGCGCCGTTGGGACTATCCAGCAACTCCTGTACTGCTTCGGAAACTCCTTTCAGGTTGTTAACCTCCTTTTTGAGTCGTTCAATATCGGCTGCGGCATTTTTCACATCCTTGGCGTACTGGATGCACAGCGACGCGACCTTGATGGATAGGTCAACGACTGCGATGACGTTGGCAGCAACTCCTAGCACCTCCATCGTCGTCAGGCGATGAACCCATGTGCCTTCTGGGTGAGTATGAAAGGTCCTTATCTCAGCCCAACTGTCAAAATTAGATGAGGGGTAAGCTCGGCTGTGCTGTGGCTGCCTGCATTTTCTGTGTTCCAATTGGATTAGGAAACATGTACACCTCACGGATTGTGAGCTGCCCAACAGCCACAACACAGGAGCGTTAAAGGCTCCAAGTATTATTTAGGGGAAAATATTCTAATCAAACCGGGACGGTCCGTCCCTAGCGCTGTCCGAATTTGCCTGCTGTCATGATCTGCCTCGTTGCCGGTATGAGCAGACATTTCGAAGGTGGGGAGACGGATGTATTTACAGACAATCAACGGAGGAACAATTTTCCAGATAAGCGAGCCAATCATCTAAATTTTCCACATTTTCTCAACCCAACGATACATATCTATGATGTTACCTATGGGGTCGTGCCTGAGTCACCAAAGGCTATTGCGGATGTACACAGTAGCCAAGCTCATAATTAACACTATGTGGGGCATATTTTCAATCTGGGAGGGTGTTGTAAAGAGGAAGTTATTTATGCTCGAAACTGTAATATAGAAACCAAGCCTCTCTCCTTAATTATCCTCCCTGGGCTGCTAGGTTGTCCTACTCTCTCCCTGCCAAACCAATTATCGTGCCCCGCGGCTTTGATGTAAGAGGCTTTGACTTCACCATTGTTATAGAGACTGATGGACAAATAGGATAATAGTGTGGCTGTGGTTGAATGCCCGACAAGAACGCCTCCCTCCATGTGGTAAGTCACTGACTGGTTTGTCGTGTTGCCAAAACTAAGGACGTTCTATTAGCTCTGACCGGGATTTCCAAACCCTCTGCCGTCTAACCGACCCTAATGGGGCTAGAATGGCACAAGATATACTGGATGCAACATTCAAACTTCTTGGTACTAGCCGAGGCCAGGTCCAACAAGTCAAGGAAGCTCAGGAGGAGCGAACTGTTAGATGGATAGAGCTCGGAGCCATGGAAGGTTGCCCCAGTGGCTCTGACCGGGATTCCCAAACCCTCCGACGCCTAACCGACCCCAATAGCGCGAGAATGGCACAAGACATACTGGATAAACAACCCAGACTTCCAAACGTAGCCCAAGATAATGAGGAATCTGGGTTTGAACGTATTTTGAGATGGAAAAATGAATCTTCCCGCACTGTCTGATGGGTGTTAATGGGTGGAGAGACATAGGAGAGAACCAAGCTAGATGATGCATCGAGACTCTCATGACGAGGAACTGTTCCTTTATTTCCACGATGACTCCTCTGCTTTGTTATGGAGGGCATTACGAGGCTAGTTCGAGAAGGTTGACGTAGGCTGGGCTCTGATACGCGACTTGGTTTACGGCACAATGGCCTTAACATTGGCGGAATAAACATGGAAAATTCTCTTTTGGTAAATCTCGATCACCACTTTGATTGTTGTCTGCATACCATACAAAAAGAAGAAACGTGTGCAAAAGTTAGACTTGAGACATCTCGAAGAAAGACGAGGCGGTGATCCACGTCATGCTGCCCTCTCCAACTGCTAGGATCCAGATCCACCGCATGAGGGTCTCTCTTGAATTGCCCTTTGTATTGGGGAAAGTGACTCTCTATCACTGACTCTACTTCTCGACAACGTCTGATCACATACCGGTCTGCAGCTCTGGGATACACTGGAGGCGCCCAACGCTTAAAGAAGCTCGGCCATGTATCTGTATGAGTGAGTAGAGATGTTTGCACCAAAGGCGGCCACAGCTCGTCGCACGCATCACCATAGACCATACCGGTCTCATCCATCATCCGCTGCAGCTTCTTCGCCAACTCACTTAACCCAACCTGCTTATCCTCAAAAAAGATAAAATACCGGTAAGAGAGAACCTCGTTATTCTCGTCATAAGTCTCGCCTCCTATCCAAGATACCCGGTCACAGATTCCTTGACAGGAATCCATCCACCGTTGCAAGTATTGGAATGCCAGGTCCGGTTCACCAGCCAGCTTACGAATCTGCCAGGCTAAGCCCAACACATGGCCTTCCATCTTGTCAACTATCGCTATCAGTATGTAAATCTTTAATAAGACTAGTGATTACATAAAGGTCCTTACATTGGTATTCTGTGAATATGACAGTGTGGTGTTGGTGTCAGCTTGGAATTCAAGCTCAACCCTTCTCCATGGGGCTCTGATTTATATTGCGATCGAGCTAGTATAACGTGGATCTGAGCACTCCGAGTGGATATGCACAACACCCCTCAGAGAGATAGTTATGCAGCCGCATTATTATTAATATTTAGGACAAAGTCACTCTGTACGAAGTTAGAAATGGAAAGCCTAAGCATTTTCGGCCAAGCATGAAGCTTTTCTCAAACCAAGAGCGGACCTCTCAGTCAAGATACACTCACTTGACGGGGTAAAGCATAAGCAGCGGAGGAATCACCGAGGGAGGAAATGGATTCCCAAGTCACTTTCAGCTCTTCAGTATTCTTCCCACTAGGTGCTGCTTATGCTCACAATTGTCTATTGAGGGTACAGGTACAGGAAATTGGAGGAGCTTCCTACCCTATACCATCCTACTTGTCCGCTATGTCAGTTCCAAAAGTTGACTTGAATTATTACAGGCAACAATAGTTTGCACTGGAAACGGCTCTATACATAGCTATTTTAAATTTAACTGAAACTAATTTATAAAAGAGCTGTCATCCCGTTGGTGTATGGTCCCATACGAAAGACACGACCCGCGTCATGGCGAACCGAAGTTTCTCAATGGCAGAATCCGATTCACAAAATCAGCAATTTCTTTTTGACTATCTATGTCGTTCTCTTAGCGAATGGCAGGGGCGTGCAAGCAGACTCGCACGAGAACGGGACGACGCGCAGTATGCGGTCAGAATGGAACAAGCAAAATTAGCCGAGGCCATGACTGGGTGGCGAATGGCTCAACTTCGATTGACCGAGGAGGTGAATCTCCGAGAAACAGGCAATCGCCTTGTAAGCGTACAGAGAACGCTCATCGACAGGCTGGAGAGTGAATTGAAGGACTTGAACGAAATGGACGGTTCGGACGTAGCACTGCCTGCAGATCCACAGAATTTACTTCCTTTGCTGCCAGCCTCCCAAGAACTACTCTCGGGCGAAGAACACCCGGTCTTAGGAGATGGATCTACTAAGCCAACCAAAAGAAAGAGAGGGCTGGGCTTGGAAGGACCATCGAAACAGAATCGATTTGAAGAAACGTACTCTATCGAGGGAGCCAACCAATCAACTGGTTGAGGGTAGTTGAGTAGAAGAATAAACACGATTTGAAATATCCATTGGTAGCTTGTGTACTCAGTCCTTCCTCTACATCACCCTAGTGCTATGAAACCGAAATACAGGAATGCAACAATCAAAGCATGTAATGCAGACACCCCTCGTGTGCGATCGGTTCGCCATATGTACCCTGAGGCTGACTCGATGCATTTCCTCAGCCATAGAAATTGCCGAGATGCGCTGGATTGGATAAGAGAAGAGCCCAAACAGCTAAGCAAACACATAAGTCAATTGTCTAATCTTTGAAAATAAAATTGTGGTCCATAAGTGTCTCTTAGGTGTCTCGTGAGAGATGCCTCACGCTCCTACAGCAGGGAAAAGGGGTAGTCAGGAAATGGACCATTCCCTAAGATATTAAAAAAGGTCCCTACACCTCAGTGCAAGAAAATGATCCACAAGCCCTCTCAAAGCCGTGCCTTACTCATACGAAAGCGAGAGATGTCGACCCTCCTGCCAGGCCCTGGTGTCGTTGATCAAAACCCGGAATTTCAAGCCCCGGAGGATAACCCTATCGGTGGACGTTTCTTGGCCACCACCAGGAAGAATGGATACCCTTTTTTCCTTTGTGGAAGGTGTGGTGACAGATCATATCTGGTCCAAGAACAATGTCACCAAGCGAAATGGCCAGGCGGATACTCAACCGGTGTGACGCGGGTTCCCTGTGGATCAACTCGAGAAGTCCTGGGAAAGGCTACTGCGGTGAGTCTTTAGGTGACTACCATGGATTTTCTTAGGAAGGTCTGACATACCGTGTTAGAATGCCAATCTAGATCAACACCGTACTCGGAACACCACGTCCAGGGAATACCACGGTGGTCCAAAAGTCTGGAGAATGAATGGCTTGGGGGGTGGTGGAGTTTCAGTTGCATTGAAGACTCGCACAACACTCCCTTCAATTAGGAAGCACCTCCCTGAGCTGTTTGAATCAGAGTCTAGAGCGTTGTAGAAATTGAAGATCACTCTAGTAATCTTATCCCTCTCGTCTGTTTGGATGACCAGTGACTTTGGCGCACTTGAAACAATAAAACAGATTGTATGCAATTTTAACCATCCGAGTTTCTATGTCGTCGGCTGACATTGTCTCAATTGATATTCGGCATCGTAAGCATCTAATTGTAAAAACCATCGCTTGAGCATTGTCCATGTTGTTGATAACTCATCCACCGAATGGTGTTGATGACTGCGTTTAATATCAAGAACAGTTAATTTAAGCTGCCTTAGGCCAGAACTGTGCGAAAAAGAAAAGAGAAACTCCGAAATTGGTGAGCTATACTGTACAGTAAGACTTAATGATCTAGATTTACTTTGGGTGATCCTAATATCTTGTAGCTACACCAACCCCCCCCCCCCCCCCGCCGTGATCTTTCCCCCTCAATGTTCAATCATGCCCCAGTCCACAACTCCCGTTTCCTACTCCTAGATGAAAATGCCTCTCCCAATTTACGCCGATCGCCGGTATTGGTCCTGGAATGGAGCTTTATCCACGATAGTATAAATTGCTGCATGCATTGTCGGGACATTTTCGGCCCTATGCGTGAAAGTTAACTTCTGCATAGTCATTCGTCAATGGACTTTGCCACTCACGCTTTTTCTAGCCGCGCCATTCTATTTTTGTTAGAACACTTTCTACTCTGTGGTCAGGGGCAAGTTTTACCTAGCGTCCCACTCAGAGGAATTCTTCTCCCAACGTTCTCGGTCTTTTTTTTGGTCCCTAGCAATTTTTTCTTAGTCAGTGATAAAGATACTTGCGTTGAAAAACAGATCGGCAAGTACTGACTCGTCCATCTTTTTCAAGAAGCTGGAAAGGTTTGGAGTAACCCTATATCTTCGATTAGTCGCCGCAGTGAGTGTGGTGACACACACTCACGCCATGGTGTTAGATCGACCGGCTGCGTTGGACATATCTTGCTGCTGGGCCGGTCGAAACTGGTACTCGTGGTCGTTCCTGAGCATCGGCGACGTTCTCGTCTGCCTTGTACCTGATACCAGGCCGTTGTCGGGGTTTCGGTTGATATGGGACATGTTTAATTCTCGACAGAGGATCAGTGTGATGACAAAATGTGGAGGAAAGCCTCTTGCGAGCCGCTTTGAACTTTTTATGCAATTGGTATGATCCCGATACTTTGGTACGGCTGAGCAGTTTTACCATGTTTTAACCGATGTGCGCAGGATGCAAGGATCAAGGATTGTGCCAACTCGAATGAAAACGCCGTGCGGAATTGAACCCTCCAAGCCATGCACACAGCGTGGGATAGAAAGACCCGAGTGTGTTCCAAGCAGGATCGGGTCTGAGCCAGCATGCCCTCCAAACTTGCAAATTCAAGCAGTTAGTAACCCCACGACCATATTAGCAATTGCGTAATTAGCCACTGCCTCGGTACGGAGGGGCATGGACCGTAACTCCGAAACCACTCCTCCGCGTGGCCGGATCTTGGCATCTCTCTACTTGGTTTAGCGTTGGCGCTGGGGCATGCACTTGTGTACAGCACGTGCCCATCGGACCTGATTTTGTCGCAGAAGGGCGCTCGGCATGGCCGGATCTTGACACCCTGAGTGATTTGTTGGTCCTCAAGATCAAGATCCGTGCCCAGACGAGGGCCGGACGAGACCAGGAACGGCACCATTATATAGACCTGCATATTAGCTACCAAACGAGGTTAGATGATCCGGATATCGGAGCTTTTGAATACGTGTTGGAAGATGACCCTGTATTACGAAACCTCTGATAGATTGACATCATAACCTTAGTCAGAGGGGGTGTCAGAAAACCCCTCTCTAACCGGCCCGGTCCATCCAGGCCCAAGAAATCATCGACATCATCATCGCTTTAAACACTATTGCCTTGATCAAATTAACCGTATCGGATCCATCAAGACGGTTACATAGCGGAGGAGACTCCTTAAAAATTGCAAATAGTAAATCACGTAATGTTGTTAGGGAATCCGATCGTATATATAAAATAAGTGAAGGACTTTCTAAAATGGGGAGTAAGAATCCGGAAGGGGATTGAATTCCATGGCTTCGGCGCACTCCTTACCCAAGCCCTCTACCAGCGATATGACCTCGTTATTTACAGCAAGGCATCTGAAAATAATAGAATCATTCACTTTTGCTTTATTGAGCGCGCGGGCAAGGTACTCGCACTGGCGGTTGGCCAACATAAGCTCCCCTTCCAAGCGTTCTCTCTCCACAGTTTCATATTGTAATTTTTGATTCAACTGCCAATATTTTTGATCGGCGTAATGATCAGAAATGTCGGACTCAACGTGGCCAGTCGCCAGGTCCAGTGGTGTCGAAGAGCCAGAACTTTGGGATTCGTCTGGAAGATGGTGCATACTTGTTGTTTCGATGAAAGGGACTGCATAAAATCTTTGGCCAACTCCAGAGATTAGTTCTCGATAGACACTTATTCCATGCTCACTTAGGTTCTTAGAAAATAAGTGGTCATCGTCTGATGAACGTAGAATCCAAGAATACCCATCGCTTTTCTTGGTCGCCAATCGAACCTTTGTGGGCTCGATTGTCAGCCCAACACTATCCTCTTTGAAGTGTCAGCCGCGATACTTTAATATATTGGCGGGTTGTCTTACTGATATGAGCTGCCAGCAATTCCCTACAACTTCTTCTTAGTAACTTTCTTTCGTTGGCGCTCTGTCGCGTGTCATCATGACTCATTGGGACGTGGTCGATATTCTCACTCATGTTTGTATCAAATAAAACCTTGTAGAGGAGCGGTTGCTGCACAATTCTTAATTCTTACCAAGCTCTTTTGTACATCCACCCAGCAGGAGCAGAACAATACCGAATTTGATTTTTGTCCACGATTGGTATTAAAAGATCCAATTTTGCCACACAGTACATAGAATACTACTGTCAGAGCTGAAAGTTGACAGATCAGTTAGTGGAAGCCAAGTTCTGGCCATTCAAACCCGACACCTAAACAGATCTGGCCTTAAGCTGAGATCAACAGTGCTTGAGAAGCTTGTATTAATATGTCTACTTGTATCGATCGAGATTTAGAGATCGTAATACACCGCCACTCCGACGATGACAAGTTCTAGCTTCTGGGGCGCGAGCCTAGGCCCTCAAACTCTCTGGTGGGTGCAGGCGATTAGCAGAGAATTAACGCACTATAAGGACTGTGTAAAGCTCCAGGACTGGGAGATTAAGAAGCTCACACACGAGAAAACTGTGCTGAAACGTCAGAATGATCAACAAATCACTTGCCAGCAACAAATCATCCACGCCCAGACAAGGCTCATTGAATCGCTGAGACACCGGGTCGTCCAGCATCGAGGGGTCTCACTCACGGAGCTTGATCTCGACTCTTTGTTTCTGCCACAGTCGGCCGAAACATGTCACGAGGACTTTGTACCAGATTCTCCCTCATCGGGGATGTTTTCTACCAACATCTTGACAGCCATGGCTGAATCCACAGACGGCGAAGCACCAAGTGTTGGTGGGTCCTACACGTCGAGGGACCAAAGGTGTCAATCTTCTCAGTTTGCAGATGGAATAAGCCAATAGACGAATATTTTTCAGTATACCAGTGTTCCGTAAACGTACAGTATGCATTTTGATGTAATCCCATATATATGGCTGTTTGAGGACACTTGCGGTTTCTTCAGGTCCATTTGCAGCTTATAAAACGACACGGGGCTCGTTCAGCATGCACATAGCAACATCGTATTTAGATCATGCCGACTTAATAACTGATTCCATGTACCTTCTTGCTCTCTCAATGTCTGGTCTGAATATATAATTATTATGGAGGGAAGAGGCTGGATAAAACGCATTTCTCATTGTTTTGACAGGGCAGCACCACCTCCTCCTGATCCGTCATCAAAAGAAATCGACTCGCCCCAGGTGCATATAGCGTGGCTAGCTGAAGAAAATCGAAGGCTGAGAAACGAGCGGGAATACTTGGACAACTTAATTAAAGAGGTCTTACCCATTGTACCGCTGATTGAATTGCACACTGCTGGGCTCAACTCCACGCTTCGTAACTTTCAGCGGGAATGGAAAGATTGGGAAATGTATCGTACGACGAGCATGCAGCGCTCAACGACTGGGTTTCAACGAAAGCCTTTTAGCAAAGAACCTCAGAAAAGGGCTCGATAGTGCAAAATAGTTTCTGCCTAATGCCATTGGTCTGAGAACCGCGTAAATAATGAATCTCAGTAGTTCCATACTCGTGCTATCTAAACTGTCTGGGTGGGGATGTCAACCGAATAATGCAATCAAATTTACTGATATGTGTGCTATCAGAGGTTATTGGTCTATCTAAGCAGCTTTCTAGGAAATACGACTAGTAAATACCACCTGAATGGGCGGGAGATGGTACCCAATGCAAAACTAACTCACGTAAGGTAATGATCTGGGCTCTGAATTACCAGCTACTAGTTTATTGTTCACTTTTGGGCGAAGTCGTGTGATCAACTTCCAGCTGTCAAGCGGTGCCTCTCCCCGCTAGACATAAAAAAATGTCCACAAGTACATATTTGGCTAACTAGTGAAAGTCTCATGACGACACCTGTGAACTGAGACTAGTTGGCTTATAAAAATCCTTCACTGCCTTGTGGGCTGCTGAAATTCCTGTCTACGAGCAATAATTAGAAAGAATGGATCTGAAGGGCCACAAAGCAAAGCTAAACATGGAGGCTTCAGTTACGGACGACTCGGGTACGACCATCTATATTCCCATCTCATTTTCCCATGTACAACGCTCATCAGAATCTAGATAGTGATTTTCGGAACTCTACAGACGACGAAACCGACAGCATGGAGGAATCTATCGTTTCGGATTCGGAGGTTGAGTTGCCGCTGAGTGAGAATGATGATCGAACTACAGGTGTTTGCCACAATATGCGGCGATCAAGATCTCTGGGCTCTGGCCGCTCCAAGGCCGTTGCCTGTGGTTATGGGAGCCACACCTCGGCTATGCGAGCTTGCCCACGCCATATTGCGGATTGCCAGGACGGTATTCTTTGCGCCATCAAACTCCTTGAAGAGGCTTTAGAACTACGTTTGTCTATGGGAAGGAATGATTGTGGCGGTGTCTGTGCCTGTCGGCAAGCCGCGAGATCCACACACGACTACCAGAGCGCGGCATCCCAAACGGATAGGCATTCGGACTATTTGCATTCATCTCCATTTTCGGACTCATTTGCCATTGGTTCCGATTCGGACGTTCCGTTGCTGAGGTCAAGGTTCCGTCACTACGGTAAACGCTGAGGGAGCAACGCAATTAGTGTACAGATGATAGGAGCTATCCAATAGTCAAAACATATAGTCCATATCAGTTCCCAAAAGATACGCACGGCTCGGCTTTTATGTTTTCTATTTGAGGGTGATTGTAATTAAATGACTAACGACTCACTATCTAGCTATGGGGTTTCTACGATGGCGACTTCCGAAAGGCATCCTCTCGAACAAGGCCAGGGGCCCGTAGAAGAGATGTTATTGTGGAAGCGGTCTTTGAGCCAGGTTTATGGTTCTGGCCTGACTCATTTGAGCCTAGATTGCATTTGACCGAGGGCGATCCTTGTCGACCACGAAAACGGCCTTTTTCATACAAGTCTTGCTGGGTTTGAGGCATTGCCTTTGATAATCAGACAAACCGCACTTTAGTCTGCTGCAGTCCGCAAATCAGAGTATAGGGCCTCACCTTGATTGTTCGGCTTTAGAGCATAGACTAAGTTTTGTTGGTACAGAGAGACCCAAGGTCATTAGGTGGACTCCATGTTATATTTGAATGAATAGACATTGTCCTCGAGCATATTGTGACTTGAGTGAACATCTGGCCGGACGGCTTAAGGTCATCAATGCTTCATTCCCATCTAGCTCAATGGGGAATGTACAAATGTCCAAATTAAGAAAGTTCTAAAGTAGACTTTTATACCTCTCTATCACCAGGTGGTGAATCCCCCAGACGCGCTAATTCTAGATGCCCGACCTCATCTGTACCTCCTTCTTGATCCCAGATATTACTTATTTTATCGTAAGTATTCCCGTGCTGATGAATGGATCTGACATGTGGAGTTGAAGGACAGATTCGATTGATAAAGAAGGCAAATTGGCGGAGACAGAGTTTGAGCCTTAATGTTGGTAAGCAAGCTGAGATGATCCAGATGGACATCTCGATCGCACTCCACCCGACAATGCGAGCGAGAGTGTAGGAGCGATCGTCAGTAGAATATTGGATGAGCGTCTTGAATTGATAGGCAGAAACAGCGATACCCCTAGATATGAGGTTAGTGTATGATTGTAAAAGACTCGAATGAACCTACAGAAGGCCGAATCCAAATACACCAGTAATGAAGACTTTTCTAGACACCTCCATCCTCAACCCCCAGAGGAATGGCAAAGGTAGTATCAGTATAGCGAAGTCGCTAATGCCTTTTACTATAGCATTCGCAATCCAAATGCTCATTCTATTGATACAATGCCCTGGGAGGCTAGGGTGCCAAATCTTTTGCGTCGGGATGCAACGGAGGACACACAACCATGCCATACAGACAGGCCTGTGTTCGTCAGATAATGTCCATCTGCTAATGGTGAGGGTCATTCATACCAAGCAATAATCAAGACTCCAATGGTACACAGCCCGAGCCTAAAATTTGCATCTCCACTAAAGATGTTGTGGAGTAAAAGCAAGAAGCTCATCTTAGTCCAGACAAGAGTAAAAATATAGAGGATCTCAGCCCCTAGTTGGAGTTTTTCAATCTTGACGAGCTCATCGGGGAGTACCTCAGTGCCAACATGCAAACCCACGCCTTTCTGAACCATGGCAGCCATGAGACCCATGGCAATGAAATTCCAGAGTAAGAACCAGACAACCATACAGCGGTCCCGCAATCTGTGTGGACGAGCGAGCCACCACAGAAGCACAGCTACAAAGTTGGTAAAAGCCGTGGACGCAAGGACCATAACGCACCATGGCTGCAGAGAGTCCGAATTCATGATTATGACGCCGTCTGTATCAGGTTAAAAGAAGAGGTAGAAAGTCATAAATGTGGTGGACTCGCTTTCAGAGGGATGGAGGGTCATTTATACACTTCAAAGAGGATCGCTGGCCCATAAGTTGACCCACTCTCACGACTGGGACCCAAATTTATACGGGGAATTCATGCTCATGTAGATCCCGTATTCATTTTGGTGTTTAGGGAGCTATGCTATCTACACGTAGTATCACTTTGTTTCCTGCATGCAAATTGACCATCCAAGCCTGTGCCTGGCAAAGGACGTGACCCTCGGGGCTTGCCATCATTTGTTTCCGGTTTGCTATGCCTGCAGGTTCTGGAGAAACTAAATTGATATGTAACCACTCACTGTGGGAGATTTCGATGCGTCGTGGAACAAACAGTGTGCCAGTCCCGTTCAACTGCCGGGTATTGTGAACTTCAATCATGCGAGTGTTACACATAGGTCCTGAACCAGTACCGGGACTTTTAGTAACACGGATTCCGGGGTCTATGAAAGTTAGGTTGAAAGTCTCTTCCGGGAAACAATCTGGCAGTGTGGTTGTACCCACGAAGCTGCGATCCAGTGTCACCCATACGGGTCCCGGAAAAAAGGGAAGTGCAGAATTTTTCCTTATATGGGCAACCAGGTATACAGCGTCCAGTTTGGCGTCGAATATGTGTTGGATGGAGACATCTCTAAGCTCCGTGCAAAATATTGGCTGCGGGAGAGTGTTGAATCCATCGTTGAAACTCCAGCGGCCCGGAATATGCCACGTCGTTTCAAATCCGATTTCTTTGTCAAGACATTCGTAGATGCAGGTTCCTGACTGCTGACGGCAAGCTCCTTGGCAATGGCTAGTCATTTGATTCTGGCACCACTTGGGGTTCTGTATCAATGGCCTCTTCTTTGTTATCTTCTCCTTGTTTTGCCTTTCTAGGAGACTTAATCGATGTCTATACGCCTCAAAGACTATCCCCTGGTCGGGAAGTTTGGCCCGATCAACAGCCATTGAAGTAACCGACTTCTGTTGGCTGGCGATATCGCTTGCAACTTGGCGAGAGCAAAGACTCATATTGCAGTTTTCCCATTTCTCAGTGCTTGAATTCGAAAGCCGAGCTTTTGTGATAAGTGTCGCACGACGATCGGTTGTATACAAATCAAGCTCATGAGTTGGGGACCAAAATGCCGCAGAGGTGACGTACGACAAGTAGACTTGGGTTTCTGTCATATCTGACTTGTCATCTCGTCCTCGACTAATCGTGAAGCATATCGAGTGTTGGTCATCCTTTTGCAGTTCAATCTTTGCTGCTTTTCGCGAATCTGGACATATGAGGGGCTGGTGATTTCCATGTGCGCTGATGGGTGGGCGGTTGACTTGTATCACTGCAGTCGGGTCTCTTGGCTTAACTTTGATTGAGCGCCGGTCAATATTGGTTCCAAAGCCAGAAACGTGGATTTTAACCACAGACAGCTATGAAAATATCAGCTTAGTCGGTATCAGGTGGCGTATTTTCAAGGAGGCTTACTCCGTGGAAAGTCAAGGGGATCACCCGGCACACTTGGGCGCCATTCATAAAAAAAGTAACTGAGGCAGTTTCCAGATGTTTTATGTCGTATTCAATCATCTGAGTGATATCCATCATATTGTAGAGATTTTATCGATCTTTCAGTCCCATGCTAATGAGCTTTTATAAGTTGCATTGAGCTACAGCAATACAGATCGCTTTTATTATTACTGACTATCCTTCACCTCTCGAGGTGTGAAAGTTTATTGGCGCTTTGTCTCTTCCTAGTGGAGAGAGACGGATTTGGACGAGCGGAGGTGTTGCATCCGACAAAAGTGGATTGCTTGGATCATGAATTCAATATTGAAATGCAAATAAAAATATCAACAAAAGGCTAGTGGTGCAATCAGATGATATCCAATAAATGGCTCTCCGTCAATATCAATAACCGTCCCATCAGACATAAAGTTGCCCGCAAATGGTCCACTATCTTTACGTTGGTATCGCATTCCATTGTGGCATTTGATGTCTCTATGAGTAGTCTTGGTACACGGCTGCGTCAGAGGGCGTCCTTCCTGGAATCCTGTCGCTGTGTTTGGTTGTTCTCGCCGATACCTTTGACATCCTCAATTGGCTCACCTCTTGTACAAGCTGGTTGGTTGGGGTACTGCAAACTCCCATGGGTATCTTTTGAATATGCCGCAGGATGCAGATGTTCCCCGTAACTTGAACGCAACCAGTAGCGATACTCCCTATTGGTCCTCGCTGGCGCATGATGTGCTAAAGCTGGCTCGCCTTTCGACTTTTTCCGCTTACGGTCGCTCGAAAAAGAGCTGTTGGATAGAGACTTTTCAGTTGGATATCGATTTCGCTTGGGATAGCGCGGTTTGGTTAGGTCTCTCCATGCATCTGCCAACATTCTGTCGTCGCTGGAGGAACTAGGGATGGTTTTCTGTCTTGAATGATGCATGAGACCTTCTGCAGCCTTTTTAGTTTCACTGCTTGAAGGTGCTAAGAGGTAAGGAAACAAAAATAAAATAACCGGCACATGAAGATGAAAATGGTTTTTCCTTTTTTTTTTTTTTTTTTGGACAAGTCCACTTTAGTTGGTTTCCCGCCACGAACCGTTGTGAGTCTAAGTTGCTGTAATGCAATGGTACAATTCAGTCGCTCTCGAATTTCATTAAGATACTTATCTACCCTACAGTCGTAGTTCGATTTTTTTCTGTACGGTGGTGGATATTGAGTCCCGGTGTTGGCTGTTTGTTACTTCCCATGCAGCATTGCATTGCTTGATTTTCATATCGCATTGCTGAACAGCAGCTGTGAGTCCATCACAATGAAGCTTTATCAATGGCAAAAAGGGAATTATAACCTCTTTAGCCACATGATTCTTATGAGCTAAATCCCATCGCAGTCTGCCACTCTCCCGACTGAGATTCACTATAAGCTTTTGTGATGAAACCTTTGCTTCCGTGTCTGCTGGTTCATTGCATCGATTGTCGAGAGGTTTCAAGGGACAAAGGTCATTTTGGTCCAGGGACCTCCTTCTATTTATTCTCAGAAGTTGTGAAATGCGATTTTTCAAGCCCGGTTTCTTCATTTTGCAGCTGAAGCTTGTAAACTTGAAGTTTCGAGGACATTTAATATGTCATTGAGTATCTAAAAACGGCCGTGAGCCTATGGGCATTTGTGGATCTACACTAATAAAATCTGTGCTCGAAGAAACTTAATCGGTGTGATGTTGCTGATATCCTCAGCGCGAATTCGTTATAAGATTCGTGGCAGACCTACTGTATCTCTGCGGTGCGCGTAATCTTTTAGCTATCTCATAATTCGACGCGGATGGATAGTCAACCCAGCCTTCCAGCAGCGGATGGTTATGTCGCTCCAGGGTAGCTGCTCTTGCCTATTAAATGGGGCCCTTGGCGATAAGCTGGCCCTACAGCTAGGGCCTGGATGAAGGAAGGGAATCTGCACACTCTGTTTATATGGGGATAATCCCTGGCCTACTTAGAAAAAACACCGATTTTGAGAGACTCTGACTTGACGGATGTGGCGGGATACAGCGACAGTTCAACATTGTTTGGAGGGACTACGTATATTTGGCGTAATCTCCGGAAGGGGTAGACTAGCATGGGTTGACAAAGTACGACCTGACACACTCTGTGGGGAATATGAACATGACTAACTACCGATTTTGGGGCTCCGCACCCTAGTGTCTTGACAGGGGCCATCGGAGATTACAACAGAACGATGCTTCACGTAGTTCGCTCTACATAGGACCCCACTGATGAAAATCTCTAGGGTCGTGTATTAACTTGCCTCCATAAGATGTCTTTGCATACCCCGGGTCTTAAATTCTATTCAATTACCGAGCCCCAACCTCAACAACATGGCCCATACGTCGTCACCCACCACCACGGCCAAGGAGAAGAATCGACTTGCTCAGCATAATTTTCGACAACGTAAGAAAACGTTAATCAAGTTGCTTGAACGTAAACTTTCGATGTGTTACGACATCATCGATTTTTTAGATTGTGAGCTTAGAGAAATGCGTAGGTCTGTCCATGTCTCCCACCTCCTCTCATAGGAACTGACATTCCGGCAGAAGGCGATCCCAAAACAGACAGCAGATATTTTGTGGTCAACAAGGAGGAATTGAATAAAAGGCCCAAGCTGAAAATAATTGGACGCCGCCTCTTGGAACGAGACATCGAACATGTTGAAGGCGACCACATCGAATATGTTGAAGGAGGATGAGAGGCGGGCTCGAGGTCTTGGCTGGGCTTGGTACCATTACAAAAACCTAACCACTAGGAGGGACTTTGTATTCTGAGACTGGATCATGAATCAATCATTCAGGGTCATATTTTCAAGATACCTGCTAAGCACCAGGCTCACAGCCCGTGCTCGAATACGTCTCGCATTGTCAAGATAGTTGCTAAGTACCAGGCTCATAACCCGTGCTTGGGTACGCCTCGCATTGCCTGGTACGAGAGCTGGTCTAGTCACCTCAGTTGCTTCCATATGCCCATCCTCCCAAAGCATCTCTGATATGCAACTACCCTGGTTCGGATCTCGCACATGAATCGTGTCCACTTCATGAAGCGCGCCGTCCTGATGAGTCTCTGCTAGCTCGCCCGCTGGCAGCACGGTCACATCTCCCTCAAGATGATAAATATCATTTTCTGCGTAATCGTCATGGATCACGTCTAATTGATACATCGGAGATAGCGCCTCACTGCATTGGGTACCAGTTTGGTTCGACACATCGCCAGTATCTGGCTGTGACCCAAGTTGATAATTGTCTGTGGGGGGAGTCCTTCTGTCACTAGTAGATTCTGGTGACCTGTTCTCTTCGGTAGTGATTTGTTTGGCGTTTGATAAATTTGTTATCCGTTGCGTTGCCTTTCGGTTCGAGCGCCTTCTTGGTGCATTTCGGTTCGGGCGCCTTCGTGGTGCTAGATACTCTTGAGGTTCGTTCATGTGGGCTTTGAACTGTGATGCCATCAGTAGGTACAAATATAAAATTGGAGTTGATGAGTCGTACGAGAAGATTCAGATCGGGAGCTGTTTCACCCTCAGGGACATGACCTCCGACGCAAAAGTCACCACTTAATGGGTCCCGAAATACCACTACAGTCAAGACTTCTCCCCCCACCCCCAATTGTTCGACCTTCCTTAGAATACTGCGGCCACTTTTCCTCACCTTTGTTTTCTGTTTCTGTGTGTATTCACGTGTGCCCCGTAGAACATCCATATTGATTTCGTGGATGGAGTAAATGTTGATGTATTTTTGCCAATAGGCCCGTTCTTCTTAGTCTCTTTATGTCAACAACAGCTGTTTTGCTCTCCTCGTTCTTTAATATTGACAATAGCTACTCTGGCCGAGCTTCGCGGTCCTACTTGGGCCATTTTTGGATATTGACAAATGTGCTTCCCCCATAGTCCACAAGTGTCTTGTTAATTATTAGCAGGATCTGGACAATTTTGGGCGTTTGGAAGGCACCCCGATGGGGGTGCAGAAGCAACTTCTGGTTTTACTAATTGGCTGAGGGTGAGTATAGCCTGTACGTCCTGCAGTCCAAAAGTGTCCGTGCAATTACTAACATGTCTGTCCAATGAACTAGCGTGTTAGTCAGTGCGTATCCACTGAACCGGCTGTTACGTATGCGTGGCTCGTACGTAATAGGGCTTGGATTGACAGCAGGGGGTAGCCCGCCAGCGAGCGAGACCGACGCGTAGTCATTCACGTCCCCTGGCACAGGCGAGCAGAGGTAAAGACCGCCAAGGGCGGGCTAGCGACCAGACGACGATTACTAATGCGCTCTCAGAGTCTGCCCGTGAAAACTGAAATAGCTACCCTAGGCTGACGGGAAATGCGAAATCGCTGTACAGTACGTGATGAGCGTACGAATCAAAGGCATTTTAAGAAGGAATCTGGCTACTATCGGAAGCACACATTCGATAAGTCACTCGATTCCTCATCTCTTTCTGTATTGCAATTTAAATTTTCTGGCTTGAGCTTCGATGGTTGCCCTTGAAGCGCATTTGCTAAATTTGAACCATTCACGATCCAAGCTGCCTAGTCTCCCCAAGTAAAGGACTTGTTACATCCAGAGTTTTCTCTTTTTACTCCACTGAGCGTCATCATGGTTTCGCGGTAAAGCGCTGAACTCTTCAATCTGCCCATGGAGACTAAATATGTACGTGGCCTGATCTTGGATGATGCGATCTTTTATATAGCTTTCCCTAACCTTTTGACTGAGGGCTTCTTTGTGTTGGTCAAGGTTGACGTCTTGTATTTGCCGCTTCATAACCTCCTCTTCAAGCTTCTCACGTTGCTCATCCAGATGCACCCGCGCTTCTTTGAGGTCGTTTGCGAGTTGACGACAAGTCTCGTAGAGGTCTCGATGCGCAGCCGAAGTTTCGGGGAAATCAATGACTTGCATTGTAGCTAAAATCTTTGCGCAGCTTATCAAAAGTCAGAGGCGACAGAGGCCTCTTATAGCATCAGCCCAGAACTGACAGAACCCCAAAGGAACGTTCTGGATTACTCCCTTTCATTCAGTACCGTCCAGAAATGACAGTTCTGACCGAAGGCTGACTGATAGGCCGCCTTACTTTTGGCCGGGTTATGAGCATGGTAAATATTGGTATTCCCCATCATGGAAATAAGTCTCACCTCAATCATCAAGTACTCTACTGTACTATACTGACAATTATTATCACCAAATCGGCGGGGGGATTTGGCTAGCTTGACTGGCTTCATATTTACTTGAAAACTAGTTGTCTTTTGCTTCTAGACATATTGACAGACCGCCAACCCCGCTTGCGTTTGCTCAACCGACTCAGTTCTCGTTCGCACTCTTCCCAGTGCTCCTTATTGGACATAGTGATGTAATACGGTTGCGAGCACCGATGTTCATTCCCAGGGAAGAAGTTACTATATCCTCCATCCAACACGTAGACGTCTGGATATGTCAGTCTAGGATATGCCTCATAATTCCTTTTTCTATCGCTAGACCGAACGTGGCAAGCCATCTGGGGAGCACGCCAGAGAGAATATTCGCAGTAAAAGACAAGAAGTACTCTTTCATCAACAAGAGGATCGACGAGGCTGTCGGTGAGCAAGACCTGGTCGCTGAAATTGACAGCTCCATCGATGTGGCCGCCGGTATACTCGTAGTTGAACCGGCAATCGATAAGTTTTAGCTGGTTAAATCTGTTGGAATACTGTCCTTTCAGGACAGCCAAAAGTGTTTCTTTGGAAATTCGCGGGATCACGTCCGTAGATCCATCGGGATGGAAGAAAGGAAGAAGGGGCTCTTGGCTTTCGCCGGTATTCGTGGGTGGCGTGGGTGATGCCATTTGCCTCTCCTGGAATGCAATAATTCAATGGGAAAGAACTATCACGGCACGATCATCTAATATAGCAGAGGATAAAAAATGTATGCCGAAACTGGATGGGAATCTTAACAGGGTGAGCTGGGATGGAGTGTTGTGGGGCTCTGAGGGCAAGGGACTGGTATGCTCAATTTGGGTATGCTCAATTTGGGTGGCTAGATAAAGCTACTGACAGCCCGGTCAAGGAGACAATGTAATCGTTCCGTCCGACAAATCCTTTCTCAGCCTGACGAACCCCGATTTGATGTCCGGCAATAACCCTAATATCCTACATGACGTTAGTCTACTCTACTGCTCGGATTGAGAGAATGACTACTTACGCCTCCAGGTCCTGCAATCTATTTTGATAATATTAGCCTTAAATCTGAATTGACATGCAAATCGTACCTCTTATTTATCTGTTCAGCCCTTGAGATATCTTAGCAGTGTCACTAGTTGTAAGAGAGGCGATTGTACTTACTTCTGAAAACGCATATCTTGCTCTCGCATATATCTGGGCATGGTTTGTCAGAAGGTTGCCGTCTGAGAAAATGTGTCGGTGGAATTACTCATCCCAGTGTCTCTCAGCTGTGAGGAGTTGTAGCCCCGAGACCATGTGCCAATCTTGATTTTCTCCAATTGAGGTTTCAGGTTGGAAGCCAAAGGTGTCGGGTTCAAAAGGCGATGCCACTTGATTGGAGAAGGGGTTGTCTTGTTGCGTGAGCTGCTCTAGCTGCTCTAGCTGCTCTAGCTGCTCTAGCTGCTCTAGCTGCTCTAGCTGCTCTAGATCCTCTAGTTGCTCTAGTTGCTCTAGCTGCTCTGGGAAGGGCCACACCTGCTGCGGCGGCCGAGTCTGCAGGGGCTGCTGAGGTGGGCGAGCTTGCTGTGGCGGCTGAGGGGGGCGAGGTGGGCGAGCTTGCTGTGGGCGAGCCTGCTGTTGCAGCTGTTGCAGCCGAGGTGGGCGAGCCTGCAGTGGCGGCTGAGGGGGGTGAGCCTGCAGTGGCGGCTGAGGGGGGCGAGCCTGCAGCATTTCCTCCAGTGTCTCCAGTGACACATGTGGCAGCATTCGCTTCAGGTGCAGCAGTGCCTGTGGCGGGTGCTGGCCCAGTAGGGTGCGGCGCGCCAGCGGGGCCTGCTGACGACCGACACCATCTGATGAAGACGGATCCCAATCGTGAGTGTTGCTAAACATAGTGACAACTTGCAAAGAGGACAATAAACTTGCAAAGATGTAAATAATTGAGGAATAATTACATTACCGATTGAACTGGCAGCATATTTTACGAGAGCTCACCCTGACGTTTTTATTCTGCGTGGCCAGATCCGACAGTCTGGTAGAGGCTAAGGTTTTTTCTTCGCAAAGAGCACAACCAACAAGAATCCACTGAGCGGCATCTGCTACCCATCATGTGGTTAGCCCCATGAACTACGGAGGTAAAATATTAGCAAGCATTGTATCCCATTGTCGTGAGCAAGACCAAACAAGAAATCTCGGGAGGATCATAATCATGCAGTGAGTTTCGTTCGAGCGTTGATCAGTAGCCGCCAATGGGCGATTCTTCAGTGTATTGACAATGCGATCTAATCGCCAGTCGTACCGTGGAGAAGACGTGTGTACCTAGCCTGGTTGGTTCGTGCTTTATGCTGACCTCGGTTAGAGCTGCACAGAGATTGACATGCGTGCACACCCCTGGTCTGTTGGGAGAGGTGCAACTACGGTGACATGGATCATGAAGAGCGCAAGCGAAGGAATACGAGGCACACTAAAGGAGCGCTAGCTTTGCAACGGTGAGAATAGCGGCACATGGTTGGGCCGTCACACTTCCGCACTGGGTTTTCCTCCTCTAGCGCGGCATGTTGGGCGAGGCTGGAGCTAAGTTCGGCGAAATGACAAATTCCATTCCCCCGTGATACGGATAACTCCCTAGGATCATGCCTCTTGGCATTGGCGCCTGTATGACCACTTGACGCGCGGCAGCACGACATAGAGTTCGCAAACCGGGGAGTCCCCTGCTAGCTTTCTGGAGACGAGATGACATCATCAGCCGGCACATCCGGAAATTGATAGAAGAAGACTTGACTATATGCGTACCACGTATGCTACTATCCCAAAAAGGGATTGACCAAAACGTCCTAGAGCATCTGAGGAGAAAAATACAGGGCCCATATTCTCGGCGCAGAGGCCGCTTGGCCACAAGTTCACCCCCTCCCCCTTCGCTGACGACTGACCCCTAGCCTCGCACGATCTATCAAAGCACAAGCGTAAGCAGGACAAAGCACATTACAATTGACACAAATGCTTGGTTATGATGGGCTGGTGAGCTAGCAGATGTTGCAGTTGGCGCCGCGGTGAATAGTGCAGTGGGCGCCGCGGTTGTTAGTATCGGTATGGTTGGCGATAGGTAAGTGAGAGACGAGTTTGCGCTGGTAGACAAAAAGGCGTCCCTCATCAAGCCGGGAGTGGACGATGAAGTCGGGATAGTCGCTGCCTCTGGAGTGGACGATGGAGTCGGGATGATCGCTGCCTCTGGAGTGGACGATGGAGTCGGGATGATCGCTGCCTCTGGAGTGGATGATGGAGTCGCTACCTCGGAGGTCGAAGAGACTAGTTGTGATAACTTGGAGGTATACGTAGGGCAACGAAGTTCAAGATTCCAGCCATGTTTCTTTTCATGTCGCCGACGCCTCTTACCACTGCGGCCTGGCTTTTGGACCCGAGCTGCTTGCATCATGATGGTTGGAGGCTGTTGGTTGGAGGCTGTGGAACGGGAGCTCCTGGGCGGTGGTTTTGTCAGCGGTGGCCTTGTATTTCACTGTTCTCAGCAGAGATCATATGTCCACAAATGGTTCGTCCTGAACTGTCACCTGTAACTAGGTCCCCACTGCGTCTCAAATGTGTCATTAGTCTCATGCCATGCCCAAAAAATATGGCCGGTTGTGGCGCACAACGCGTAAACTATAGATACCCATCTAGAATGCAGTGTAGGCGTGCACCATTCCAACTATATTCTCCCTTCATTTAATTTGCTTGGCTTCTCAGTTCGGCAGCGGGACTGCACTTCTATCATCTTCCTCTTGATGCGCTAGACGTAGACTGTTGTATTAAGTGCTAAAATGGAAGCTCCAACGCCGCAATACTGGTATCGGGAATGTCCCGTGCAAACGGCGTGGTCTTCGGATGTCATTGTAGTCGAAGTCTTGATGACCTTTACAACTCCCAACTGGACTTTTCATGGTATCAGAGCAGCCAACTACGATTGGGAACAGTGGGATTGGCCAAGGTCAGATGGTCTTCTGTGGGTAGTCGATGATGGTCAACGCCTTAGACTGTGGCAAGATTTTCGACAGTGTCCCAATGTGATGCAATGCGACTCAGAATGCAGTGTAGAGGCCGTGATTGGATACTACCAGAGCGACACCGGCAATAACTATGTGGCGGTTAAATGGCAGGATTACGAGTGCCCAACCTGGGAGTTGGAATCTGATCTTGCTGAGGACTGTTTTTAGAATAATCGTCGAACATTGTAAACGAAAATGACAATAAAATTCTCTTCATATTGAGGCATCTAATTCTGTCTACACATTGATCTGTGTTCATGTCTCTGGTTGATAGTCTAATTCCCTCAACTCAAACCCCTTCGTCAGGTAGTTTCGAGTGACTCGACGGACGCTGTCCCTCATCGCTCCACTACCGGACACTGCAATATCAGTTAGTGGCTAGTTTGTTGGCGGCTGAGTTTGTCTTACTGAGTACTAGAGTTCTGCCGCCAGCTTGGGTGAAACTGTGTGCCTTGCGTGTCAGTTCTTCCTCTGTCGAGTCATCGCCAGTCAACTTCTTTTTCAGCTTTGAATCCGTGATGAACTTGGCCGTAGCCTCACTTCTAATGACTTCGTCAATGTCTAGAGGGCCTGGCAAAATGGTGACACGCTGGTGCTCGCCAAGGCTCTCTTCTATCTTCCAAGTTGGATCATAAATAGAGATACTTAGGACCTGTTCAAGAATATCAGCACACAGCATCGGCCAGGGTCTTGACTTACATAGCTGTCCTCCGATGCATCAGCGAAGAGGAGGTCGTTGATGAAGGTATCGATTCCCTTTCGCAAGTCTACCCTGTTCAGCTACGGTAGATTGAGGATAGCTCGTCACTCACTGCTGTTTTCAACTTGCCACACTAGACGGATTCGTCTAATAAAGCCCTTGCCCAGGATATTGCCATAAATGAGCTTCTTCACATGCGGTATCATCGCTGCTATACCAAACCCCGTCGCGAACATGATAACAGTCTTGAACTCCCATACGCGCAAACATCTACCATGGGGCCCACTGAAGAGGACCTGGCGAGCTAGATGCTGGCCAGACTCCAGCTTAGCACAACGGAGCAGTTTATTTGTGAAACCGCTTCGCGGCTCAATCAACAAACCGATAGTTGTCTGCGCCACAGGTGACCAGGAGACCACAGTAAAGGGATGGGTCGACCAGAAACCTACTGATGGAACCCATATATTGACATAATGGCCTGCGTCAATGAGTAGCGGCCTTGGAAAACTCAGTGTTACTTCAATGACCCCGCTGTCTTGAATCTCTCTGAGCGTTTTGATGTACGGTCTGAGGCTCCCCGGTCGAACATTTCGATACGTAAACAGCCCAAGTTGAACGAGAGACAAAGCACCACATACGGTTCCGAATATATAGATAGGGAGCCAAGGATATTTGGGAATTGAGCGAAGGTGTACGACAGTGCACACTGCAAAGACAATAGCTAGAGCTTGGTGAGTGCGAAGAAAGAATTCATACCAACGTCTCCTCAGTGGAGGCGCCGATAGAATGACGAGCCCAACAAGAACTATGGCACCCTATTGAACAATTAATACATGCCGGCTCGACTTTTCAGAGGACCCAATACCGTAACGGCGAGTCTATTCGGCAAATTGTTCATCGAGAACGAGCCCTGCTTGGTGGCCACCAGAACGGCGTGCACAAGGACCAGGGCCGCCGACATGAGGCCACAGGACCGGTGGATGTGCCGAAACGTCCTCAGGGGTAAACCGAAGAGGTCAGCAAGGGAGCTCAGGTGAGAACCTAGGAAGAGGGGCGCCATATTGATGAGGGATAATAATCCAGCTCGCGTGACAACATTTTCCGCCTGAGGGTTCAGGCAGATGATGTTGCCCACTATGTACGCGATGTTGGCAAGAACAGCAGACAAGACCCATGGACCAACAGCAGAATGGCGGTTAATCACATGCCGATAGTGTGTGTAGTGAAAAATAACCAGTAAGGATCGAGATACCACCCGACAGAACCACTTAAGAAGGCGAATGGAAATGGGTAATAGGTTAGCGACAAGGAAGACTGCAACAAAAACGCCACATAATGAGATTGCATATATTGTAATGGAGTCCATTTAGGCAGAACGATCAGAGAATGTGGAAGAGGGACACTGGCTATCGCACCCCACAGCGAGCTATAACCGTGGTGGGAGGCAGGAAATGACCCTTTCCAACCAAAACAGACCTAGCGCTGGGACAGAACCTGCCTTGAGCCACAACAAATAAAGCAGCGCACTCCCGGGTCGAGCGTGGATCTTCACAAAACGCATGCACCGTCACTCCGATGTAAAATGCAACACAGAAGCGACAGTTGCATTCGAAATGTTGAGGTTCTTTTGGACATACGCGATGAGGTCAAGGAGGGTGCCAAACGCATGGAAGCGTGGAAGCGTCACAAGGGCAACCTATCATCCTCTCATGCGCAAAGATGTGTCAGACAGTTGCTTGGGCATACAGGCATCTGGAAAGCCTTCGACGAAGTACTAGAAATACCGGCTCTTCGAGATGGGATGAGAACCAGCACGCTTCACAAATTGATGGCTTTGAAATGTGACGAGGTATGAGCCCAAAAATTTATTTACACAGACACTATACCCACCAGTATAATTTCAGTAGCAAGTGATGTCATACTTGAGACATATCAGGGCTACTTGGTTAAGATTAGTACGAGGTAACGAAGAAGCACTGCAAAAGTTCAGTACAACGGATGTCAAGACACTAGAGCTTCGATGTCCCCGGTTCTCAACTCATGACGAAACAGTAATAAAACGGGAACTCGATCAAAAACGCCTCTTCAGCAGGTTCAGTCCCGAGGAGCGCCAGGCAATCTGGACGGAACTCACCGCAATAGACTGCATAATTCCCTCGCTGTTTACTTTTTTTGAGGACATAAAGGTTCTCCAATCCTGTGCAGAAAGCATGAAGCACCTTATATTGCCTATAGATAAGACATTCGACAGGGCCTTGCGAGATAGCCTCACCCAAGGTCAGATCGAGTCCGAAATCGAGGAAGCGCACATAGATCTGTCAATTCGGCAACTATGGATATATAGCATGCGGAACTTTCGAAATTTGTCACAACAACCACGGCGAAGCATTGACAAGCTTCTTGCAAAGGTCCCACCTGAGCAGGCAGATGAATCAAAGCTCGCCCGGTTTGTCAAACTCGCTGATGAATGTGGATTTCACACCCCAGAGATCGATTATTTGAAACAACTAACTCTAGGAGAGGATGAAGAATTGGTAAGTTTCTATAAAATGTCAAGGATTACTAACAACAAGCTTACAAGGAACCAGACCAATAATCTGACCCCAGCCATAGTATCAGACTCGATCAATGCAACACTCAGGAGATGTGGACTCCCTACCCACGCCACGTATGAGCATGACCGGAGACTACTCACAGTAGAATTTCTACATGTTGACTACGGCGAACTCAATCCTCGGGGCCGGGATATCACATCGTTCTTTGTGCTTCAGTCGACATATTTCGCCTTTTTCGGACATCCCCCCACGTTGACCGACCAAAATAGCTTACCCATAGGCAATGTACCCATGGACGAATCCGTGGATGATATACCATCGGACAATGTATCCATGGAAGACACGCACGTGGAAAACATGCCCTTGAACGAACAGATCACGCAGTATTTGAGGCAGGATTCCGACTCTCGCTCTAGTAGCTACTCAACCGACCCTGAAGTAGAACTTGGCACTATGATCGCAGACAATGAAGATGAGTCAACGCCTGAGAGAGAGCCCAGCCTCCCAGAATCAGACACAAGCCCGGCACAGGATACAGATGACATCACCGAGCCTGAGCCCCGCACTAATGTGCCTGAGGACATTTTTGAGACCTCACCTAGACCATCTCGAGCAGTGATATTCATACCATTTATCAATAATAAACTTGACAACGCCAACAAATTTGTCATCGCACAGGCCAGCCCCAAAGCCGTCGAGTACGCAGCAAAACGTTTTATGTTCAAAAATAAGTTGAGACCGTTCTCAACACCTCATCTTCATTTGCTTATGCCGGATCAATGTTTTGAGGCTGCTACAAACTCAAGCTCCCGCACCATTATCTTGCTCCCTGAGGGTCATGCCAGAGTTTCAAGGACATTAGAACGGGCTGTGTCCGAATTGCCACAAGTGGTGGGGTAGGTTACATAATTGTATTGACGGCCGGTTTTGGCCAATGCTGCTGTACACGATAATTAGGAGAGTGGGGCCAGCTGGACAGACATAAATGGACGAAACAAGGCGGTGCCGGGTACGTCTTTCTATTGCATCCGAGCTTTGCGACAGCCGACTATCCAATTAAATAGAACCAGGCCCTATATTATCTCATCTATACAGTTATGAGCATAACTAGATTCCTCTTTACAACATACTTCCAAATTTAGAACATGCCCCACATAGTGTCACTTTGCCAACGTGAGCACTCTAAAGCGGACGTGGGCTGGAACTGCTTACTTTTTTTAGGATGATGATCTTGGTCTCATTCCCGTTCTCTGTCGTTGGCGTCGGTGACGTCCGTCGCGGTTGGGACACCTGTAGGGTTGAAGCCGGATTTGCTCGGCAGATAAGGTTGTCGGTTCCGGCTCAGAGGTCATAAGCAGCCAGTGCGGCTTAGAAATTCGGCCGTTCAGTGTACTTGCGCCGGATCAAAATTTCATAACCTTTCTTGGATCGAGTATCTGGCAAATCTATGAATACTTGGTTACAGTACATTGAAAATCAACCATTGGCATTTGTTTGTGCCGTCTTCTACAGGCTGACGTATAATCTTGCATTTAAATGGGAAAGGACAAGGCAGGTCTGCGGATGTGCTAGCTCTGATACTTCTAACGTGCAAGGACAAATAGTGTGCATCTTGACGATACGGTGATGGATATGGCAGCGTCAAAATCACGGGCATCACTTGGTACAGTAGACCAGATAGCCAAGGCTATAGTATCTTGCCCAACGGCGTTGCCAGAAATAACGGGGCAAAGCACGGATGAAGTGCACTGGTTCAAAATCGATATTAGTGGCCCGTGAAGCCCTGAGCACAATAGCTGCCGTTTCAAACCATATCATCATAGCAAGAGCCGATATTGTAACCCTAGGCTCGGATCGGGCAAAAATTGACACACTCGTTCTCAACAGGCCCGAATTGATCGTTCATGTCATACAACACGGAATAAGGCGGGAGGCTACCATTTAGGCCAGATATTGCGGTTAAGATTACTGTCCATCTTAAAAATTAATGCAGCCGCTCCTATCTCATGGGTAAAACGTTTATCAAGAGAACCTGAGTGATCTCCAATTAGCATCTTTTATCTTGTAAACCTTTTGGTGTGTCATCTGTATTGCCCCCTCCCATTTTGGACGATGGCGGACCAGTCACACCAGTTGCATCAAAGCGTTGGAGAATCCATGCAGCAAGCATGCTTGACACCACAGCAGCAACAGCAGATGATGAGGATGATGCAGCAACAACGACAACAGCAGCAACAGCAGCAACAGCAGCAACAGCAGCAACAGCAGCAACAGCAGCAACACCCTCGAACAACCAAGGAGCTCTTTGGTAGATTAAGCTGGCTTCAACAGCAGTCAGAGCACCAAGCACAATACCAGCGTGAACAGGGCGCAATCCAAGCCAGAAATCACCAAGAGATGCGGCAACTATTACAAAATCTGCCCCAAGCTCTTGGAATGCAACAAGAAACTCGGCTCACCGATCAGCTTCTTGTTCAACAACAGGCCATTTACCAACAGCTTCGAAACCATCAAGATGATGCGCTACCGCTTTCATCAGGAAATGGAGATCCGAGGCCTAAAAGCCCTTCTACTTATCCTATCGGAACAACGCTCGAGCAGCCTCTCCGATCCGCACCTTCCTCCTTGCCTCCCAAACAGCCCTCTCCTGGGGCTGTTTGGCCACAGCAATCACCTCAGGCAGGCCAGAATCCTAGCATGACTTCCAGTGTGCAAATTCCAGATGCCCGGATCCCCAACCAGCGGCAGTTTATGCAAAGTCAAAAGAGCATCCCTCCTCAAGTATTCGAGGTCCCAAATCGGGAAATTATACATTTTCGAAATCAAAGACCCGACCTCGTTAACACAACAGACAGTCAATTGCGGACAATGCTTATGACGTGGAAGTGTAACAGATGGATCCAACACCAGCAGGCAGAAGTTCAGGCACAAGTTCAAACTCGAGCTCAGGTACAAACTCAGGTTGAAAATCTGGCTCAAACCCAGGTTCAAACCCAGGTACAGCTTCAGCCACAGGTCGAGGCACAAGCTCAGGCACAAGCTCAAACCAATGCCCTCCCGTCCAAGCCGAAGGCAGGAGTTCCCATATACAAAGCAACTATCACAGAACTTGCGCAGCCAAGCCAAATGAAACCCGCCACCGCCACAATCCTCAACGACGATCCGGCCATCCAGAGAATAAAAAAATGTCTCAGCCGTGCAAATCACCCAGGCACCCCTGAATTTGAAGCTAAAGCTGCACTGCATATGGCGTCCCGGCTGATGGCCCAGCATAATGTCACGCAAGCCGAAGTTCTTGCTAATGAACCTCGATCCATTCAGTTGCAGTTTGCGGGGCAAAGTATTGTGGCAATCAGACGTTCTGACGGAGATCGCCATAAGATTGTGAGGATTCAAGGTTATATCGATTGCCTCGCCGACGCTATTACGACGTTCTTCAATTGCAAGCATTACAGTGAACGCGTATACGGCCCTGTGAATTTTATCTTTTACGGATTGGCTGACAACACGGTTGCTGCTGCAACTGCTTTCGAGATGGTTTACAATCTCATGACTACTTGGGCTTTGAAATACCCAGGACAAGATAGAACTAGCTATCTCCTTGGCGTTTGTGAGACATTAAGAAAAACGGCCGAGAAAGAAGCAGTTGACGAAGTCGAACGAGCGAAGGAGGCAGAGAAAGACGCGGTCATGACTCAGCCACCACTCGAAGAAACACAGAGGCAAGCAAATATGGACCGAACATGGCTGACCAATGATGCAGCCGAAGTGATTTTATCTCTGGAAAGTCCAGAGACCACCCCTTTGGCAGGCTTCACAGATGGTGTTTCCGTTGAGTCTTCGCACGACGATCAGAACGCAGCTGCAACGGTACACTCCGAGGCTGTCAACGGCGATGAAAACGACGACGGTATTGACGGGTGCATTGAACCTGACTTTCATACGGAAGCCAGTAGCAGGATAGATCCATCAATGGACATTGACGAAGAGATACACCGACTTGCTAGCATCACAAAGCACCCCCCCCAGCAACTAAACGCCGAATTTGTCACATCTTCTCGGCCATCCAACTTGGGCCAAGACTCCACAGTGAAGCCCCACAGAGAGGAGCCTGATGGCGTTTATACAAAGCATCACACGCAAGGATCCAACGACCAGTCCGCACCGATTCCCCCGCTCAACAATGAGGGCACATGGAAGTCTCACATGCAGCTCGTTGTCTTTCGCAAGTCGGCCGAGAACATCGCAGATGACTATCTCAAGAATCAAGGCACGAAGCTCGTCGCCGGAAAATCGAGAAGTCGCCGTGTGCACAACATGACTGCTTATCGCCAGGGCTCTCAAGACAGCAAGAAAATCGATGTTCGGAGGAGGATGATCAGCTGATATAATCACCACTCAGAATCGAAAGAGAGGAAAGGCAATATAACTACTTGGAAGCACCCGCTATGTCGATTCACCAAACGAACACAGTCTTATAATAAAAAGCCGCTCTTTTCATTACCACTAACTAAAACTCCCTAAGGATACATCAATATCTCCTCGATGCTCGTCCCAGGTTGTGACGGTACAAGAGCACGAACGAGGTCGAGTGCGACTTGGGCAAAATGATTGTTTACAAGGAGAGAAAGAGATTCGTAACGCAAGCCAGCTATCTAAGCAAGACCAGCCATGCGCGACACATAATGAATGTCATGAGGCTCAGCGTTATATTGGCGACGCACTTTACAAAGGGATCAATGACGAAATCGAAGACTTAACACCTGAGAAGAGAGACACGCTTGTTCACAACCCATTTCAGCATGAGGCCCTGCGTGCTCGCCGCCCCACGGTCTGGATCCCCCGCGACGACCTTGGTATTAGTGACGATGAGATCCGTCGGACACAGGACTTTAGTCAACACATTTCAATTAGTAATAAGGGTGCAGCACTTAACAGCAAAGGACTCGTAGTATATAAAAAGAACCCCCCTGACTTTTCGGAGGAGGATTTAATGAACCTATAAACCCCCTATAGTCTATATAGAATATCTTGATGTTAGGCGCTGAACACACCGAGAATTAGTGACTGGATGCACTAAAGATTAGCAGTAGTGCGGTGGAAACTACAGGCTAAATACACTCAAGATTAGGGGCTGGGTGCACTGAAAATTGGCGGCCAAATGCACTGAAAGTACCGGCCGAACAGGCTAAAATCAGGCGGTAAATGCAGTAAAGATTAGGGGCTGACCGCAGGCAGATAATGTCCTGCAGATCTCTGTTACTAAAAGCATCCGTGTTTTGCACTTGACGTAGAGATGCTCTCTGTTACTAACCACACAGATTACCTTTAACTTGTAGTGGAACTAGCTGTCTGTTACTAATAACACGGATCACCTTTGACTTATAGTGGAGATGGCTGTCTGTTAGTCACAACAGGGATTTTCATGGTGGAGATAGCTTGTCGATTACTCACAGCAGGGCGGGGAACAACTTTTGCTCAAAGTGGAGATGGCTGTCTGTTAGTCACAGCAGGGATCCATTTTGGACTTAAAGTGGAGATATCTATAGTGGTAGCATTCCCTAACCGAGGTCCGACCTCCTGCCGAATCCCCTTGCTTCGGCTGCCAAGGCCGGCTTGAAGCCGACCGCGACATCCTTTGATCCGGCGGCGCTAGCCTGGGCCGTACGCCCAGCAACAGTTACTAACAACAGGGATCACTTTTGGACTTATAGTGGAGATAGCTGTCTTTACTAACTGTGACGGCCGTGTCAATCCCAGGAGATATAGGGTACTCGGGGCTTGATCGTAGTGGATCAGGACGTTGAGGCACTGTGCAATGGAGGGATCCGGCCGAGCCGGATGACTAAGGAAGCGGGGGTTGCGGAGACTGTAGATGAGGGAAATCTCTCGCCGGTCAAGGTTATCAATGACGGTCAATTCAAGCAGTAACTATCATCAATGCAAATCACTCTATTTGACCCTTATTTTATCGTACATTTCCCTATGCTGTAACGCACAGCAACTCGGGCCGTTAGACCTCAATTACGCGGTTACGTGTCTGACACATGGTTTAGCCTGGGTTGTGACTAACAGCAAGGATCAATTTTTGGATTGATAGTGGAGATAGCTGTTTGTTACTAACAGCAGGGATGCCCAGAGTGGAGATAGCTTGTCTGTTACTAACAGCAGGGATCAATTTTTGGATTGATAGTGGAGATAGCTTGTCTGTTACTAACAGCAGGAATCACTTTTTGGACTTATAGTGGAGATGGATCTTTGTTACTACAATAGGGATCACGCTGTGACTAATAAGAGGGAGAGTAAATATATCCTATGGCAATAATCGATTTTAAGTCATTTGCACTTTTTGTGGAGACCCCAAGATGGAAGTCATGCAGCCGCCAACTCCAGCAGCCTAAACCTTGCATGCAGCGTCACTGTCTAAAATGTCTTTTTTGTATGATTTCATCTCATTCCATCCATGGCGAGTGGTGCACTTCATATCCTAGCTCGGTGCTTCATAATAGAGCGTCGTATTTCGGTCTACAATGCTTCGATCTGCTTACCCGTGCCGTAGGCAATATTTATTACCGTTAGGTTGAGCTCCGCCGTGGAACCAAGGCCGCTAGGGCATACGGGTTGATTGGATACGGCAAGGTTGACAGTACAGACCTCATCCACACCCAACGTGCAGATGTCATTACCAATGTTAAAAAGACGATAGTTCTTAGCGACCCAGCTGTTAGGCTGGGAAAGGCACGAGGTCAGGTAGTTCATGCTGTTGGCAGCCATAAGAGGCAGCTTTCCATTGTCAAGCAGGTCGTAGCACTTGCTAGGGTGGACAGTTTTATACTCCATAGTAATGCCACCGCCCATCTGGGGTTCTTGGGTGGCATGCTTGCCAAAGCCAAGCCAGTTCCAAGCGGCGTAGGATATGTCGTAGCTGCTCTCGGAATGGTCAATTTTTAGCAGGTAGACTTTGCGGCCGCCGTAGGAGACCTTTACGCAGATATCATCGCAACCGACCGCGGTAGGCCAGTATGCAACGTGGTTTGTATTGATCTTGCACCCGAGTACTCCGATCGATGAGCCGTACAGTTCGTGGGGAGTCATAGAAACAGAGCTGCAGTCGCGAGGGGCGATAGCGGCAAGAAGAGCAGTGAATTCATAAAGTGAGACTATTCATAAAGTATGAAAGTCACATAATCGTTCTCTCACACAGGTAACGAACGAGTGCATGCTGTACACTTGGCACATGTAAAGTACTTCGTCGTGTATCCAAGGATTCCTTTTCCTCCAGGCACTTCTTGATGAAAAAGGTTAGACCATCCACCTTGGATCTCCGGCCATGCAAAGAACTTATTCGGTATACACCTATTGCTAGATATTTGGCTATATCGGGGTTTAGTGTTATTCATATAAATGAGATAGGGAAATTGATATACCCAGATAACCGACATATAACACCAGGCTCAACAAAGATAGAGCCTACATGGCCAGACAACTCAGGGCTTAGTCCAGTACACGTATACTTGAGTTCTGGGTAGTAAAAAAAGCATGGAGGTCCCCAGTTCTCTTCGCGGCAAAAGTAGACCTGGAGGCCCTCGATGTTAGGCACAAATTCAGTTGTACGAGCTAAGGGTACATACCATCCCAGGGTGGCGCTCGCTTGAATTATACTCTGCAGGTGTAGTTCCCAGGCGAGCCTTGAGCTCTCCAGGATCTATAGGCTCGATATGGGGGACAGCACGGCCCTGAAGCGACGCCCATAGGTCAATTGACGTGGATAGGCATTGTTGTGAGACTAGTGAGAGAACCAGAGTAGCACAGGCGAAGTTCATAATTCCCTTAAACATTTGATCACAAGACTTGACCAAGCTTCTATTAAGGCAACTATATGGGTTCTTTTACAGCGGTTACCGAGAAATGTGTCGCAGTTGTTGAATGTTGCAGTACTTTCCGCACGGACCACCCTTTGTGGCGCATTGTGGCTGTACCGTGCGCAGTGACAAACAGCGCGTGCCTCTGAAGTGAGGGGCTTAACAAAGCCAGAAACGGCTGGGTGCACGCCAGGCAGCAAGGCCACAAATGAAACGCCAAACCAGTCCCCCCTCAGCCCCAGGTGATGACAACTTTCCTCCAGCCGGTCGCGGCTTGCGCAAAGGAGCCTTGGGGAACGAAATTGGCTACGGGATGCGAGATATTTGCGGGCTTCACATACATGTCTAGATTTCTACTGGCATCTTTATTCGTTAATGTGTCTGCGGTAGGATGAAACGGCGGAATGCCCGCGACGTTACCGATCGCTAAGATAATAGTTGCAGGAGATGGTCTGCGCCTTGTAAATTCAACGACTAGACTAATAAATTCATTGCGAGAAGAGCGTCTCTATGCCAAAGAAATCTGGTGGCACGGACGCTCCTCTCGATAGCAGAAATGATTCAACTTCCGTATGTGCATTCAACGATGCAAACTGTAGCGCTGTCCATCCACTGTCGCTAGTGCCTTCCATATCTGCGCCACTATCAAGCAACAACTTGACAATAGCCTCACGTCCTCTCTCGGCGGCCCGATAGAGCGGTGTCTGGCCACCCTTATCTTGACTATTGATGCTGACTTTTCTTGTGTCGAGAAGTAGCTTGACAATCGCCTCGTGGCCTCCTGCGGCAGCCCATGAGAGCGGTGTCCGGCCATACTTGGTGTCTCTAGCATCGATGTCGACTTTGCTTGTGTCGAGAAGAAGCTTGACAATAGCCTCGTGGCCTCTTGCGGCAGCCAGCCAGAGCGGTGTCCGGCCACACTTGTCTTGACCATCGATGTCGACTTTGCCTGTGTCGAGAAGAAGCTTGACAATAGCCTCGTGGCCTCCTGCGGCAGCCCATGAGAGCGGTGTCCGGCCATACTTGGTGTCTCTAGAATCGATGTTGACTTTTCCTGTGTCGAGAAGCAGCTTGACAATAGCCTCGTGGCCTCTTGCGGCAGCCAGCCAGAGCGGTGTCCGGCCATACTTGGTGTCTCTAGCATCGATGTCGACTTTGCCTGTGTCGAGAAGAAGCTTGACAATAGCCTCGTGGCCTCCTGCGGCAGCCCATGAGAGCGGTGTCTGGCTATACTTGGTGTCTCTAGAATCGATGTTGACTTTTCTTGTGTCGAGAAGCAGCTTGACAATAGCTTTACAGCCTTTCTCGGCAGCCCATAAGAGCGGTGTCTGGCCATACTCGGTATCTCTAGTATTGATGTCGACTTTTCCTGTGTCGAGAAGAAGCTTGACAATAGCCTCGTGGTCTCCTGCGGCACCCCATGAGAGCGGTGTCCGGCCAAACTCGTCTTGACCATCGATGTCGACTTTGCCTGTGTCGAGAAGAAGCTTGACAATAGCCTCGTGGCCTCCTGCGGCAGCCCATGAGAGCGGTGTCCGGCCATACTTGGTGTCTCTAGAATCGATGTTGACTTTTCCTGTGTCGAGAAGCAGCTTGACAATAGCCTCGTGGCCTCTTGCGGCAGCCAGCCAGAGCGGTGTCCGGCCAAACTTGTCTTGGCCATCGATGTCGACTTTGCCTGTGTCGAGAAGTAGCTTGACAATGGCCTCATGGCCTCCTGCGGCAGCTAATAAGAGCGGTGTCTGGCTATATATAGTATCTCTAGCATTGATATTGACTTTGCCTGTGTCGAGAAGCAGCTTGACAATAGCCTCGTAGCCTCCTGCGGCAGCCAATAAGAGCGGTGTCCGGCTAAGCTTATCTCTAGCATCAATATCGACTTTACCTATATTGAGAAGCAGTTTGACAATAGCCTCGTGGCCTCCTGCGGCAGCCCATAAGAGCGGTGTCTGGCCATACTCGGTGTCTCTAGAATCGATATTGACTTTTCCTGTGTCGAGAAGAAGCTTGACAATAGCCTCATGGCCTTCTGCGGCGGCCCGATAGAGCGGTGTCTGGCTACCCTTATCTTGACTATTGATGTTGACTTTTCTTGTGTCGAGAAGAAGCTTGACAATAGCCTCGTGGCCTCCTGCGGCACCCCATGAGAGCGGTGTCCGGCCAAACTCGTCTTGACCATCGATGTCGACTTTGCCTGTGTCGAGAAGAAGCTTGACAATAGCCTCGTGGCCTCCTGCGGCAGCCCATGAGAGCGGTGTCCGGCCATACTTGGTGTCTCTAGAATCGATGTTGACTTTTCCTGTGTCGAGAAGCAGCTTGACAATAGCCTCGTGGCCTCCTGCGGCAGCCCATGAGAGCGGTGTCCGGCCATACTCGGTATCTCTAGAATCGATGTTGACTTTTCCTGTGTCGAGAAGAAGCTTGATAATAGCCTCGTGGCCTCTTGCGGCAGCCAGCCAGAGCGGTGTCCGGCCAAACTTGTCTTGGCTATCGATGTCGACTTTGCCTGTGTCGAGAAGCAGCTTGACAATAGCCTCATAGCCTTCTGCGGCAGCCCATGAGAGCGGTGTCCGGCCATACTCGGTGTCTCTAGAGTCGATGTTGACTTTTCCTGTGTCGAGAAGCAGCTTGACAATAGCCTTGTGGCCTCCTGCGGCAGCCCATGAGAGCGGTGTCTGGCCATACTCGGTGTCTCTAGCATCGATGTCGACTTGACCCGTTTTGAGAAGCAGCTTGACAATAGCTTCATGGCCTTTCTCGGCAGCCCATGAGAGCGGTGTCTGGCCATACTCGGTGTCTCTAGCATCGATGTCGACTTTTCCTGTGTCGAGAAGCATCTTGACGATAGCCTCATGGCCTCGCTCGGCGCCATACGACAATGCGGTCCTACCGTAACTGTCCCTGAGGTCCACAAAGTTCCTCCCGGTCAGTAACTGTGTACCATCCCTGATGCCAAAATATGCCACTAAGTGCAGTCCAGCCATTTGCCTTGGAACCTCTTGGCTGTACGCCTGCCATGCCCATGAATCCTTTACTACCATCAGTGCTTGGCTCGATGACTCGACTTTTGTGTCGGTTTCAAGAAAGTCAATGGCCTCCTGGCACAGAGTTGGAGCCTCGCGAGCATGATCGCCCCAGTGGTGTGCCGCGTAGTCGTAGAATGGGTTTAACCTTATCCGCTCTTCAAATTTTTCATCGGTCTGACAGAACCCGCTCTCGAAGACATTGAATGACAAGTAGGTAACGCAAGTGACAGTGATATCAGATTCTGCATTCGGAAATAACGTTTCTCGTCTTTCGTCAAAGTATTGCTGCGTTGTGTAGTGGACTAACCGCATAAGGTCACTTTGATGATCGGATGTGACCAGCCCCGCGCACACGGAGACCATATCTGCAGGCTGTGGAAGATCTCCAGGGTCAAGCACTCGTTTTCCTCTTTTTGTCGCAAGGGCGTGCTGAAGTTCCGATATCGTGAGCTGTCTTTTGGCGGAAGCGATCCATGACAGGACCTGTATCGCAAACTTTTTCAAGCCGGGCTTCTGTCCGTTGATTCTCTTCATGGCTGTGTCATACGCATTGACTAGTACCCGGTCCATATTTCCACCAGATGCGTTCTTTTGCTTCTTCATTCCCTCCAATGCGTCTCGCACAGCATTAGGTGTAAGCTTGTCGTCAAGTGACTCCAGGTAGATCTGCGCCAGGAGAAACCTACAACACCGTCAGCTTCATCCGCGTATCGGAATATCAACTGGGTTCTCACATTCCATCGACGGCTTCTGATATTCCTGCCTTGATCTCTTCTTGCAATTGTCGATCCCCCCGAATGAAGAGTCGCAACTCTTTCATGTGACCATCCAGATATTTTCTTACATCGTCCCGAGTTGCACGTACATCTAGTGACAAGGTCTCGTTAAAACTTTGGGTAATCTCTGGGAGAGGCCTTGACGTCGCAAAGATGTTGATTGCGGACTTGGCTTGAAGCTCGAAGACCTCCGTGAGGAACCTCGTCCGACTGCCATCAGAAGCTCGACATTCGTCAAGCGCATCAATGAGAACAAAGCCTCTTGAATAGAGTTTGGCCGTAGATCGGATGGTACTCGAGATTTCCTCTAATGATGGTCGCGACCGCTTGTCCTTATGCTTATCGTAGAGCGATTTCGCGCTCTCCGGGAAAGTCGGCAGGCATTGAACTAGCTGCCTAAGAAGGCTCGCCAGAAGTTCCTTAGCCGTTTGTTCATCTTGGCGCCGGAAGTCGCAATAAACGTATGCAATCCCGACACTCATGTCATCCCGGAACCGTGTTTCCAAATTGTCGACCACAATCGAGGTAAGAATTGTTTTGCCAGCGCCTGGAATACCTGGACAGAATAAAGTTTGACCGCGGTTGTCACGCCAATTGCGGAACTGTACTGAATCAAGAAGCCATTTGCCGGTTCCCGCCTCTCGCCTTTCTAAATGGTCACTTTGCTGAGAACCGTAGTTGACCGGGGTGAGCCAATCCAAGATATCTTTGGCTTCCTGAGTGCGACGATGATGGATCGTAGCTGCGACCTCGTTGCGTAAACCTGTCGGGCCGATCCTATATTAGCCATCGAGACACAATAAACCAAGTATCAAGGGGACCACATATGTCGAGAGCTTCATGTATTTGTCACTGGGATGGTTTGTAGACTACTCAGACTGACCAGAGATGATTTCACTGATCTTATTCTCGGCTTCAACCTGAGTTAGAGCGATGCGATAGAGCAGATCTTTTGCGTACGCCGCAGCTGTCATCGCTGCGTATCCTTGCCACTCTTTGTTCTTGTGCGAGTCAGAGTAGTCGCAGATGCCCCGAATAACCAGGAAGGGAAAGTGGTTCATCAAGCCCGCCGCTTCCATTTCGAAACAGAGAACGCCCTTCTTCGCTGCAAGCGCATCCCGAGTCAAGGCATTCTTCATGAGCCTATTCGACGAAGCGATTAGACCATAGTGGATCGCCGGATTGTCGTCGTATTCGGTCCGATCGGGTCTCGCTATCAAAGTCGATGGGTCGTCACCACAAGCTGTGGCACAACTAGACTGGTCATCTGGCGGATGGACTACCCTAGACTGATATAGTCGATCGGTGCTCGACTCGGGCCGTTCGAATTCTCTCTTGAGTCTCGGGTTATTTGTCAAGATGTTGTTGATAGCTGTATCAATCTGGTGTCCTTTGCGCTTGTACTGCGTCATGAGTCCGTTCACCGCTGCTCGCAAAACCGTGGGTGGCAGATTCAAGAATCCCGTCTCCTGAAATTCCTGGCCTTGCACGGCCTTTCCAAAATCGTACTGGAACACCGCGCCCTTGCCATTGCTAGAAGCACTCACCACGACGTCCCCGAGGCGGATGTCTTGCTTGGAGTTTGGTGCACCACCGCCAATACCGACCATCAGTCCCATTCTGACGTTGGGAAAGCTATGAAGCATATCTTTCGCGACGCCGGCGGCGGATGATATCCCATATTCACCATGCGGAAGAACTGCGATGACGACATTGTGCTTCCCAATCTTGCCCAGTGTGTAGTCGTTGCTGTCGTTTGTGGACACAAATTCAGGGCCTTTGTGCTCTTCGTCGAGAAAGAGTTGCGCAGCAACGTACTCAGTTGCAATGGCGCAAATCCAGCCGATCGTGTAGTCATGGGGATTGGACATTGTCGCGGGAAGGTGAAGAAGTTGTGTTGTCCTCACGAAGATTGAGCCCAGCCTTCGACGCAGCCTGATTTAGTCATGGCATGCTTGTGCTGATTCGTTCCGATTAAGCGCCAAGGAAATAACCCCACTTGTTAGGCAGCAATGCTTCAACGCAAATGCCTCGCATGAAGGACCAGCTTGGAAGAAGCGAGGGGTAAAACTACAGTATGTCTTCACTTGGTCCGGGGGGTGTCACTCCGACAAAGCACTCCGGCTCGGCCGATGATGCTCCACTTCGAGTCGTCGGTGGATATTCTCTGCTTCCGAGACGGCGACAGGTTCGTTGAGCCGGATAGACACAAAAGTCAGGGATAAAGGACGATCAGTAGCGAAACGAGCTAGAGTAGCCAATTATCTTGAGGGAAGGTTAGAGGGAGCGTCGTGCGAGCGGATGGGAGACAGCTGCTAGTAGAACACACAGGAGAGGCAAACCGGTCGCGGTTTGCGCAAAGGAGCTTTGAGGAACGAAGAATGGCTAATGGCGGTTTTCAAGATGCTTTTACAGCATTGATGGCCAAGAGCCTACTAATGAGATTTTCAAAAGTGCTATTCAAAAGCTTGGGTGGGAGCGTCCATGTATGTATGTATTTATATTTTTCGTCCGGGGGCCGTGAGGCCTGTAAAGTCCCCTATTGGGAGCGTCCTTGGTTGGAATTGGTGAATGTGTTTAGGGTATCCTGGGGGCATTTGACATGCTATCCTTGCAACGTCGCAACAAAAAGGGACTGATTAAAAAGTAACCCACCTTTGCGTAATTTGCAACCCAATTTGTGGCTGGACCCCACCTTCTTCCGATTCCGCACCGCACACCAAATTTAGTATGAGAGCTTGAGAGTGCACATAATGACCATGTTATTCCTTGCATATCTAACCACCTAATACCTCAATAGAGGGACCACTATCGGGAAGTTCCAAATCGTCAGTGACGTCACTGAAGTCACTGATATTATCGTCAAATATATCATCATGACCTCCCGCCTCAATCTCTTGTGCTAGTCTGTACATACATTCCTCGAAGCCGGGATAAAATGATTTACCTGGTGCATCTGTATTTGACCACCTTGAGAATTGAGTGAAGGCATCAGTGATATTTTTCTCAGTCAGAGACGGTATTTCCTTTGGTGGTTGAGCGGCTACAGCGTCGCCGGCGCCGCTGGCTGCGTCGCTGCCTTCATCGTCAGAGGCATCTTCCAAGCGCTGGAACGCACGCATGTATGACCTGTGCAATTCGGTGCCGGGCTCATATGAATCGCCTGCTTCCAGCCTTTTCAGTCCTAGTGTTGTGGTTGACTCTTTGGATATGTTGATTGCAGCAGGGGCGGTGGAAGGTGGAGGGTTTGATTGAGGTTGCGACGCGGCACGCAAAATTGCGGCTTCCACTGCAGCAGCCGCTGCTGTGGTGTCGGTAGCCGGCGCGGGGTCGGTTGATTTGATTGGTTGAGCGTGAGGCTGACCTTCCCGATCGGGAATCTGACTTTCCCGAATAGGCAGGTCACATGACATTTCCGCCTCAGCCTTCTCCCACACTTCTCCGCCGCCGCTGCCGCGCACCAATTTGAGCGCAATTTTGAAGGGACATTCGGTCATCTGGGTACGAGTCTTCCTCTTCTTGGTCACGTGCACCCCTTCCGCTGACTGCGAGGCATACTTCCGGCCCTTACAGCAGCGGAATACCGCCCTACGAGGGGCAGTAGCATTGGGCTTCTTCGTCATGACAAGAAGGCTGAAGCTGGCAGCCTTGGCGGCGGAATGTAATTCCGTCTCCGCGGCGGAAAAGGTCGGAAATTCGGACTTAAAGATATGCTGCATTGTTGCTGCTGACGGGTTGTAATGACGGCTTCAATTTACGGGTTGTTGTGCGGGTGGTTGTGTGTGTGGATAAGGTTAATGTAAATTGGACAAAAAGTGAGGGATTTTGGTGTGAAAAGCCGATACCGGCGTCCAGCCTCAATGAAGTGGGTCCAGCCACAAATTGGGTTGCAAATAACTCCAGGGTGGGTTACTTTATAATCACTCCCAACAAAAAGCAACCAGGGTGGAGAAAATGAGAGGTTGTGAGACACATGATGAAACATTAAAAGACTATATTATAAGACAACTTGGAATCATTTGTGGCCTTCCTTCAAGATAAGACACATTGTGTTCTCAGAATCCTTATTGAACTATGGCCTGCTGCTCGGTTCGCTTTGAGTTCTACTGTGGCGAGGTTCAAGAGCTCCCGTATACCCACGACCTTCTCCGCAGTCTTGTCAGTGAGGCTCAGGCTGCAGGGCAAAATGCCGGGTACAACGATCTATTTGTAACTGCAGTACAGCCTTTCATGAAGGAGCATGAGGCGGCATGTCGTGCTGCTTTAAACCCATTTTGTGAAAACTGTCGATCATTAGCAATGAACATCTTGCAAAGCCTCATGTCTTGGCTTCACGTGGCAGAGGATCCTTTCGTTGGCATTTGGGCCAGTCCCGTGTGTGGGAAAGGGGGGTGTGAGACGCGGATATGGCAGGAAATCTAGAACACAATGTCTCGAGGCGGTCCTCAACCTTTTGCTTCAAAGACTTGTTCTAGAGCGCGCTAGGCGCTAGCACGAGATCTTGCTCGAGTTCTGGATTGTACATAAGCTTCGTTAGTCTTCCTCCTTGGTTCAAAAGCAATTTCCATTCGATAGAGTAATGGATGCATGTAGGCGGGAATTCATCATATGGCAGATCTTTGTCCCAGTTGCTTAACTGGAGCAATGGCAGGGATGAGCCATGCCTGCGCCGCTGACTTTGGCCGGCTGGGCTTGCACTGCGGCTCTCAAGCCTGGGGGTTTGGAAATCAAGCTCGACATCATCATAATAAGTTGGATCGTAGCCTGTATTATCCATGGTGCGAGTTTGTCCAACGAGGCAAGAGGGGAAGGCAAGTGCAGCTCGCCAGAAGGGAATCATCCCCAGGGACGCGAAGCAGAGACGCAGCGGGGGACGGGCCCAGCGAAAGCGACAGCACGCATGTATTCCATGACATTCCATGTCATTCTATAGGAGCTCGTGCCGATCATTTTTCCGCATAGTAAAAGGTGACTAATCATCTTGTATCTTACAGTACCAGAGAAATCAGCGGAAGGGAAGCATTATGCTCTCACTCACAGTCCGATCTGATGGAAAAAGAGATAAATATACCGTCTGCACAACAAGGACCCGCAGGCTCTTCCGCGGCTGCAGTCGACAGGTACGGTTGGGGCGTGATTGGCAGTTTTAAGTAAAGTCATGACGTGCATTACCCGTTGGCTAAGGTAGGGGGGACCCACAACCAACTAAGGACCTCGTGCCTCGGCCACTTAGTTGGGCACAAAAATCGCGGACAGCACCAAAAATCCCGGACACCTCAATACGTGTAATTTGGCTGTGAAAATGACCTTTTTCGGTCCCAACGCTTCACCTTTATGTCGATCGGGTTTTTGTGTCAGAATTCGGTGAATTAAAGGGCCGAGGATAAGCCGGGGAAAATAGCATTTTGAAGGAAACGGTGGAAATCGCATTTTTAGGCTCAATTGACCGCGCTAGGCTCGGCCGGCCCGGCTTACAGACTGTCTCCCTGACCAGCTAGGTCTGCTTCCTTATTCACATTACTGTGGGTTTCTCATAGTATCATGATCGCCCGATTGCTCTTTTCTGGCCCGTTTGATACGGAATTCCTTAAGCTCCTTCTCAATTTGCTTCCACAGCTGCCGCGGTGGCTGGGGGGCCAGCGCTGCGGGGGGCGGCTGTGACGGGCACGGGGTCTCGAATATGGTCTCTTCGAGGGCATCGTCAGACCCCAAAGGCGGTGACGATCTCATCCATCGTGGTGTTTCTTGCGTTACGATGCCTTCATCATCTTCTTCTTCCTCGTGAGGGTCATCGTCTTGGTCGTGGAAAGGGCCAAAGCTCGTGAAAGTGACAGTGTCATCGCTGTTGGGGATCCTCATCGCTAGGATCGGTCTTGCGGTACGGCAGGCTGCCCTGACTTCGGCTGCGAAGCTAGGATCCGGCTGGGTATCTATCATAAAGCCATCAGCCTTCTGATTTAATAGCTCATTATATCGCCTTTTGCTGGTCTCGAGGGAAATGAATTCGAGGTCTTTGCCGGTCTCACTAAGCCACTGTTTCCAAGTTAGTCTTTCTTGTCCTTGATCTATCCGGGATTTCTTTTCCGCCCGCCATTGTGACTGCAATTTATTAACTTCTTGGATCAATAACAACCGCCCGCTTTGTAGTTGAGAACGCTGCTGCTTGAGCTCCTCAGCCGCTAGCTGTTCCTCGTGCTGATGACGGATGTTATCGGCATCAACGCTGGTAATAAAGCGACCAGTTAGCTTGATCTGCTTACCCGGCTTTCTTCTTGCTGTGATGCTTGCTATGCGTTGGTGATAGTCTTTAAGGAAGCCCTGTCGCTGGCTATCCATAAGGACAGCTTCATAGATAACCCGACGTACTGAGCGAAGCGCAGCACGGCTATTATATAGAGGGGAATCCATAATGCTGCGGTATCGATCGATAATAGTCTCAAGCTGGTCAGCAGCATACTGAAAGCAAAATTCCTTAGGCAACAGCTCCTCGAGAGATAGATTAATTCCTTATCGAGACTGTCGTTTTTTTTTCAAGGATTTTCCTAACTGCGGGCGTAGATGAGGGCGGAAAAATGCTACTTTTTTCGAAGCCGGACATCACATTGTGGGCTGTGAAGCCTGACTCATAGATAGTCTTGAATGCCTCGGCGAAGGCAGCCCGCGAAAATAATAGGTTGCCTTCCCTGACTGATTTTCGAAGAGCTTTCTGATGTGCATTCTTAAGGGGCTGAAATACACCAACGTCAAGGGGCTGGATAAGGTGTGTGGAATGCGGCGGCAGCGTGCAAAGGATGATATCGAACTGAATACAGTAGTTAACAAAGGTATAGGATATATGCCCTGTGAAGCCATCAATAACCAGCATACGATAGATTTTCTCATCGTCAGGGCGTTGCGTAGGGGGTTCCTTGTAGTTGACTGATGTCTGCTGTGGATCATAAAGCCACTCGTCACAACCAAATCAGTCCGCAAGAGACATGCCTGTTCGTTGAGGTTGAGATGAGAATAACCAGGAAGAAAGGTTGAAGGTGCGAAGCCATTCACAGGAAATTTCACTGTTGCTGAAGCCGGTGTCTGACCGGGCAAAGCGCATGCCTAGAATACAGTCGATCGTAGCCCAAAACTCTGTTGGAAATGCCTTGAAGATAAGCCAGGGAGGGATACTATCCCCAACGGCATTTCCGGCCCCCAGGAGCGTAGAGGTCTCACAATTAGCTGGATCAGGAACCTCAGGTCGCTGTAACCGCGTTGTGTGCGTGATGAGGACCTCCACGCGCTCCTGTAAGCAACCAATACGGATGTCGCACTCATCTTCATTCCAGATCTCTAAAGGGCCAAGTCTATAGTCCGTGATGATCTTCTGGAGCCTGTTGAAGAAGGTCTGGATGTCATTAACATCAGTTGCTTCAAAGGACCCCCTGGACTTATCAACGGCCTTAATAAATAACTTCTTAAGCTCAGGATGACGCCCTCAAAAGCGAGGATACCAGTTCCTAGAGACTGAAGATAAGGAAGGATCGCGACGGCGCATTAGCTCTAGAGCAGCCTGCTCAACCTATCCTTTCTCAGCCGGATAACCGGTCTTTTCCAGCCAAATGATACACCCAACGAGGCCGACTTCTTCATCAGGCGTCAGGGCCAGTGGCCGGCCGCATTTCTTCACGGGCCCGTTAGGTGACGACGATACCTTAATAGCTTTTTCAACAGCAGCCTTCGTTACGTTGAATCTAGCGGCAAGCTGCCGTATAGAGGGCGGGTTGTATGTAATATTTGCAGTTGAACGGGTGAGTCTTGGTGGAAGGCGTGCAGCGATAATGGCCGCTTGGACCGTTTTTCGCCGAACTTTAGCCGAGACATTTATTTGAGATGTCATAATGACACAGATCTGAAGACTACTTGGCTTTGACTTAAAAGGTGGTGAAATGGCGGTGATTTTGCGATTTTCCGGTTAAGTCGTAGTATTTTCAAAGTGTCCGGGATTTTTGGTGCTGTCCGCGATTTTTGTGCCCAACTAAGTGGCCGAGGCACGAGGTCCTTAGTTGGTTGTGGGTCCCTACCTTAGCCAACGGGTACGCCTCTTTTGACCATAAGCCAAAACTGGAGGAGTAGAATGTTAGTGTCACCATGTAGGAATACGTAATCACATGCTCATATTCGCACTGTGATAAGCCACAAGACCCAGATGTGGTCCGTGCGGAAAGTCCTCCAACATTTAGCAACTGCGACACATTTCTCGGTTACCACTGTACTGCTATTCCGTTTGGTATATTTTAAGTTCCATGGCTCTAGTAGCTAATATAGAGCGCAGGATTGGATAGTCCAGAATAGGACGAAAGTCCAATTTAACATCCTGCGCCTAGAAACTCCCACGCCCTCTATATTGCAGTCAAATTGGCAATCCACTTATTCTTTTCTTGCTTGATTCGCCTTCGCGCTTCGTCATATCTGAATGAGAAGACTTTCGCGGTTTTGTCCGATGCAACTATTATTTGGTAGAGAGAGTCCCAACACCGGCGTAAGGAGTGCAACTCCCGGGTAAGCCGTTCACGATCATCCAAAAGAGCACGAATGGTACGCTGTTCCTGATCCTTGGTTTGCTCAGTTACTCGTTCAAGGAGGTCGTCTAGTGGGAATGAGTCCGAGTAGACACTCGAGGTTGGCCTTGGTTCTGGATCCATTTGAAGTCATAAGTCCTTGTGGGCAGTAAGTATTATTAAGTAGTCTCAAAAAAAGTCCATTATTAGCCATAGGGGTGTCCTACATAAATCTGGCCCGCACTGCATCTTCATATTGGCCATAATGCAAGCTGACAAGATGATTATCAGTCGCAAGGCGCCCTTTTCCTTCGACCATAAAGTGACCTCTACCGGGCAGCCTCTTCTAGCCCACATGGGCCGCCATCCAACTGAAATTTATGAACAAGTGGGACATGTCGCTATGTCTTGGATAGGGGCGTTCCGGCCGTGTCCAAGCCAGCTAGTCATGGTGCAGCAGGTCCGCCACATTACACTCACAGAATTCAGCCGCCTTGCACGAATGAGGCACGTTAATATTGCACGTCCGATCGAGATTTACTACGTGGGTTCGGAAATCCATCTTGTGTATGAACACGTAGATCTCGACGTCTTCGATATTTTGCCCCTGGCTCAGAACGAGATTGCTGCTGTAATATCCCAGGTGATGACTGCAATCCACTACCTCATTCACCTTTTTGCCTTTCGTATAGATGCAATTCGAATATCTTCCCAAGGTGTTGTCAAAATGGGTACGATGGAGAACAACTTCTGGTTTTGATTATTTGTGACCCTGCTTACTGAATATCAGTTCTGGATTGGAATTTCGAACCAACCACAGATTCCTGCATCCGAGAAGCCAACGTCGCATATCTGGCCGCGCACTTGGGTGAAACAATGACTGCAATGGAGCCCAACTTTCACAATTGGACTCGCGATGCCTTGGCTTTTCTTAGCGAGCTTAGGTCTGGTGACCTGCCGATACTTGCAGTAGGTTGTCGATAGAGCTACGCTTGCACAAATCTAACAAAACCACAGCATCCATTTCTTTCTAAGCCTCAAGGGAAAACTGTACTACATAAAGAACTCCGAAGACGTAATGGTGTCTATTACAAATACAAAAGGATAACTAAGGCAGAATGAAGGCATCGTTTCATATGAGCGGGATGGCGCAGAACCGTACAAAATCATAACAAGTGCAATCACATCACCAGGAGAGACCTGAAACCCGAATAATATATTTTAGTTTTCGCTGGGGTCCACATTTAAATGTTCTCTATATGTATTTTCTTTCATCTTCCTGCGCCGATTGTAAGACTCAATCATCAGTGAAGGTCCAGGAAGATTGTTATAGGCCAAACATCTGTACAGTGGTACAGCTAAGGTCAGATACGAACGCAACAGATCGCTGTTGTCTACCAGACGGCTCTGGAAGCCTTCGATAAAACCTTTTTTCTCATCTGCTGACATTCTTTTTACATTAACGTGGGATGGAACAACGCATAAGATGATGTATTTGTCCTCACCCCAATCGATTAGTAGCTCGCACAGGTCCTTCCAGAACTCACCCTCATCCTGAAGCCATTCCATGCCTTTGGTCTTCTCTTTGATCCTGAAGCGCATGCTGCTGAAGATGAATGATTCGCTACCCAGCTGCTCTTTTGCCTCATAAAAGCGTACTGCGTGATATCTCCAAGGGAATGTATTCTTCCTCCGACCCCGTTGAAGCAGGAACCATAGACTTTGTAACCCAATTTCCCCAAAATATGTTGCAGATCTCTTAGCAATGACAGCATCACTCAGAGATGTAAGGATAATCTTACGATCATCAGACTCTATCCGCATCTGCCTTCGCCTTGGAGTTGGATCTGAATCTGTGTTGGTCGGAGCTGGGTCCGAGTCTTGACCTTGGCTTGCAGGATCATCTGACTCTGAATCTAGGCTTGTAGGAGCTGTTTGATGCGTGAGCTCTGAACCTGAGCTTAAAAAAGGCGAGCCTTCGGTCCAGATAGCCTCGTCAAAGAAGGAACAAGAATTTGATGCAGCGTCTCGCCGTAAGATCTCTTCGAAGTGACTTTCACGATCTATGGCCCCAGAAAGGAGCTCGACCACCATTCGAGTCCGAAATGTTTTAACCAGCTGATCTGTCATTTTTTGACTCAGATGTGCCTCTTTTTGAAGGAGAACCCGAATGCTTATTAACATTAGTACGCCCGAATCCTCAGGCCGCGAAAGTTTTGGCCCGGACGGAGTTGTAACTACCGGCCTGGAGTCCTCCACAGAGAATTGAGGGGTTGGGTTGTTTGGGTTACTGTCGTACCAGTGAATACAGTCCGGGTACGCGATGACAAAGGCCCAGTTTTCAACATCATAAAATGGAATGATAGTTGGCCGATCACGGCCTTCCTCCGATATGATATTGATGGTGGACTCTAAGGGACGGACTTTTGCAACTTCCTCGCAGAGGGACGTCTTTCTTAGCAGATTTAAGTATGCATCTACAATTATTGTGTCTAGATGGTTATCCCGGACTAGACGCCACATTGATGGAGTGAACTCATCGCCTTCTGCAGGAGGAGTGGATTGTGACATCCGGGTTGTATATTCAGTCCAGGTCGATTTAACACAAGGCCATGGTTCCTTTAAGAGAGACTGGTCTTCGGGACTAGGATATGCAATTCCTTGCTGCATTCCCGTCGACCGCGGCGAGTTCGGGTATCTATTTCGAATGACACACAAGGCAGCTTCTAGCAGCAGTAAAGCCCTCCCTGAAAGTATACGCTCAGAAAGCGTTTTAAACTCGTAGTAGACGATGAGATCATTGGCTTCGTCCATGACTGCATGAGTTCATGAGTGCATGAGTTTGTGCGGGATGGCGTACTTATATCTATATCTTTATGAGTTGGTCCAAAAGTAGATGTCAATGAGCAATCTCCGAAAGTATTCTCAAGCATGGCTAGAAATGGATTTCAGTCATGAAAGAGGGTTAAACTGACTCTACAAGTATAAGATAATCATACGTACATACGGTATTATCAAGCTACAGTCAGAGCAACATACAGCACCTTCACTGCAGTAATTCACAATGCAGCACCAAAAAGTACACCACCCTTCTCAAAAACGTCGCTCAACATCAGGCTCTAGCCCCCCGATTCGGCCCCGACAGCCAAAACGACCTCAGCTTCTCCCAACGATGCCCGAATCGAACCTAGAAACGTGCGGAAGAGATGTGACCGAGGAATGGGTGGAATCCATGTCGCCGATAGATCTGAGCGCGGACGAAAGTAGATTAGGCAAAGCTACAAAGCCTTTATAAGAGCTATTGAATATAGTGGCAGCCAATCTGGAGGATAGAAATGGTTGCGAGAAAATTACGGCTTCGTTAGGTCCATAAAAAGACATTAAAGTTTGCCTTTTCATTCTACTGTATTGATGCTCTCAAGCTCTTTTTAATTGGCGCTTTTATCAAATCAAATCAATTGTACAGTACAGTACATAGAACATGAATGTAGCGTTTGTACAGTTTTGTTTCTTGAAAGGCCTATTTCTGTCTAAGCTCCTGCAAAGACCGTTTCCGGCCCCATCCGACATACATGGAAAACGATATAAAAGTCTCCAACCCCCCGCCTCTAGCTAATACTATTAAATCGTACACAATATGAGCCCTTGCAATCACACGGGTTGGCTCCGACTCCGGAAAAAAAGCTCCGAGGTGATCCTGGAGGTTTCAAACCGGCCATTGCAGATTCTCCAAGACATTGAAGACCCAGATGAGCCAGCTGGAATAGTGCTCCTCGTTGGTGACGTTAACAAGGACCTGGCTCTTACCAACCTTACTTCAAGGACGGGCCATGCAAGGCCCCGGAGAGGCCATGGGGAGGTTCATCTATTCCTCTCGTCGTTAAGAGACCACGCTGGGAGGCCAATCGTTATAGCCGATGGGAATGTCCCGGCTCATAACAGGCTGCCAATAACATGCAAGCCACAGCGCTGTCACGAGATACTCGAGGAGCCATTTTCAGAAATTAAGCCCCGCGGGAAGGTTTCAGAAGTAGCCGACGATGTGTACCATAGAATTCTATCCCCTCATTTGGATGTTGTTTGCCTATTTGTTTCTGATATGGGAGGAATTGAGTGTGTGGTGCAGCGTTTGGTAGCATGGCTTGGCAAAGGGCCATCCTCGACAAGTCCAGTACACTCCCACTTTATCCTTATAGTGGAGAAGGGACAACGAAAAGATATGCAAGCCGCCATTGACGAGCTAATGTGCAATGAAACGACAACAATAACAAAGGAATATTTAGAACACATCCGTATTGTTACATTCCCGAGTAACCACCCAGCTGCGAGCCATCAAAAGAACCGTGTGGGGCAGCAGAAAGCGCTTCAAAAAGAGTTGCTTCACTGTTTAAAAGCGGCTCGGGAATTTCGATTACGGTCTGGGTACTTGTTCTCGGCACGGCATATGACCAAGTTTTTATGTGCTAGTGCTGCAGGAGCCGCCGTCTCACCATGGGAACCATTTGACTTCATTCATACCTCCCGAGAAAATGAAGACGTTGTCCCCAAGCTAGCGACACACCTGCAGAACTTCCTCAAGCAGATTTCCACTCGACGCATACTTGAGAATTTCGCGATCCCCATAATCTCTTCCAGCTTTGTATTGGACCAGTATTCCCCTAATGTGCACTGTAAGTTGGCCAAATTTCTAGTGTCGCACATCGCTAACCACGCGTAGCCTTTGACCCTCGGGATGTCTTCCACACCCTCTTTAGGGACACATGCGTTCAGATTGATAAACAATTGACTTACGTGGATGAATGGACTGGTCAAGAAATCCTTCCATCTAATTTTATTGATCTCCTAGAAGCACAGATGATCCAACAGGTTGATGAATATCGAATAGAGGGGTCGTCAATAACCCTGCATCGTCAACGGCTAACTCATTCGCAGACAGAATGGAGCGATTTACAATCTGACGATACGTGTTTCAGCTGTCTCCGGCGTAGGCCTCAGTATGCCTTGCAAGGATGTGTCCATTCCATTTGTCAATTTTGTGTAAAGGCTTTTCACCGTCAGAGCGAAGACGACCCATGGGACTTTTATGTTGATGTATGTCTTCTGTGCGGTACTCAGACTCCTGGCCAAGTGATTCGAATGAAACCGGTCACTGCGACGACTCGCGTGCTGAGCATCGATGGCGGAGGAGCGAGAGGACGAGCTCCACTTGAAAATCTTCGTATATTAGAGGATGCAATTGGACTACCGTATCCAGTACAAAAGAATTTTGATTTTGTTATTGGAACTAGTTCCGGTAACTCCATCCCTTACTATATTTCAGAGTCAGGACTAATCGTTATAGGTGCAATGACTGCATGTGCGCTATTCTTAAACGGCTGGTCTGTTGAGAAATGCATCCAGTATATTGACATCTCGATGTGTTTGGCATTCCAAAGGCATTTGTTTCTTCGATTAGTCCTATTTTTTATTGGAGGATTTCCCCTACTTCCAAACGTTTTAGAGTTTCTCGTGTCATTGGTAGTAGACAGCAAGTATTCTGCCGAAAGGTTGGAGATGATACTGCGCGATGTCTATAGCCCAAGCCGCAGTATTATGGCTTCTCCGGAGGCGAATAAGATGGGTGTCATGCTAGCAATAACACTCACAACTACACGTGATGCCAAGACCAGGATTGTCACGAATTACAATGGTGTCGGAGATCGCGGTAGTAATGGCAGTAAGTAGGTTTACCATTCACGTGAGCAGATACTGACATTACCAAAGATTACCAGGTTCTAAAACCGGAATTGGGGCTGCGTAAAATCCCGTTGTGGGAGTTGTGTGTAACCCCAACCCCAAGGTTGCGAGTGTGCTAAACTGTAATAGTCTACGTTGTGCTACCGCAGCACCTTAGTGAGGACCCCTTCAACTTGGGTTATAAATATTTGCTAACTTTTGCAAGCTACTATACTCCGTACGACATCAAAGGGGCTGGGGAGTATCAAGACGGAGGTCTCACATATAACAACCCCGTATCCATCGGCCTACAGGAAGTGGTTGCCGTCGATACGAACCCAGCAGAACGGATCATTGCTGTATCACTCGGAACTGGATCTGCTCGTGAGTGTGAGGATACAAATACAGGAAACCAAAGTTCCCTTAAAAATTCATATCCAGCTCGCTTGTACCGAGCATTTTGCAGGCAGATGTCAGGTCATCGCGAGACTGAAAGACAAGACAGCTCCCCCAGCCTGTTTCGCCTTGACATTGAGTTTGATGGGAAACAGCCAGCCTTAGATGATGTAAATCAGACAGACGAAATTGTACGAATAGCTCACGAGACGACGCTAGGCTCATCAGCGATCAGGGACCTGGCACGGGAAATGCGAGCAGAGTATTTTCTCTTTGAGTTGGATCATTGTCGTCCACCACAGTTTGTTAATGGGGTTTATGACTGTGTCGGCTATATCTCTTGTCGATTGCGGGCTGGTGACCCCTCGTTTACCGCTTTCATGCAGCAATTAACCGACAATCATGCATTCTTACAATGCGGAAGGCGAGTTCTGTCCGCCGGTTTCCAAAGCCCAAGTTGCGAGAATTTTTACTTGGAAGTCAAGTTCCACGTGCCCACTCGACAAGGCTCATTTGAAATAATGCTACAAGACGGACCGGGAAATCCTTGTAATATTAGTGGTTCACCTTTTACTCTTGAGCGGCTTATGAGACAACAGAAGCTAGAACCTTGGTTTGGCACTTCACCTCACTGGAAGCGACGCCAAGATAATACCGGTACCTCCCTTAAGCCGAAACACAGAAAGCTGTGTTAGAAACACCATTGTTAAACTCAGAAAGAGTTTACGTTGTATGGATTCGGATATATGGACAAGGAATTCACGACTGTTTCTTTCATTTTGTTTCAAACGGTACTAAGAACTCGCAGTTGATAACAAGGGCAAAGTACCTGAAGGACAATACAGTTTAGAATATCTACACTTCACTAATAGAAACTAGAAATAGGTATAGGATGTTCATCAAGTCTAGCTCGTGCAATGATAATATTTCAACGCTACTATCAGTACAGTTGGTGCATATTTTCAAGGCTACTGTGGGGCATCTGGATAAAGTTTCAGTACTAAGTTAACAAAGCGATAACAAGACGTTTAGGTAAAACAACATGCAGATCAGACTGTCATTTTATGGTAATTGAAAAGCAACTCTCTAGTAATTAACAAGACCAGTTCTTCCACCATTTCTGTCTCAAGTCCTTAGGATACTAGATTAAGTAGTTCCAAATTGGCAGCCACTAATCTTCAAACTTTAAGGGGATCTGATACGGCATTTGGCGAACACCATTGATATCTAGCGGGAACCCGCCTGCAGCTGATTTGTCAACTAATCTGTGAAACAAGGAGTATTATTATAGATGGAGCTAGTGTGGTAATTTTTCGGAAATTGCCGAGCGAACTGAGAAATAAAGGGTGAACTTATGGTAGAGCAAAGCTGACCAAGCGCCCTCTGAGGGGCATGTCCCCTTTATATACTTTGGCGGGCAGATTTGGACTTTTGGGCTAGGTGGTTGCTAGCAGGGATGTAATAGAGATAAGTAGGGGAGGAAGCTGCGCACAGCTTCTAGCGGGACATTATCTTCTTTTCAAGAAGGACATTTCTCTAGAGATATCAGTCTCAGTCAGAGTCTGTAGCTCTTCCTGGAGAGATTACTTTTGTTATTGAAGATTATTGCCCTTTCATTGAAAAGGACCCTTTGTGCCTATTCTTACGTTCTATCCGATCCCTGTCCAGCCTCTGTCTTCGACCTCGCCAGATATTGACCCTGCCACGCGATCAATTGATGCCTTGCCACTGTCCTTTATCGCAACAAGGTCAATATATCATCTCATGAGATGCTTCGCTATCTAGTGGGCTAAAACACAGACCTGTTGGACCTCATACGCGTAGTCGGGTGCAGCTTCGGGCTGACCTCACAAGACGCCTGCGGCGACACGTCTTTGTGCATCTCCCCTGTATAGTGAGGTGGTCGAGTTGGGTGTTGGTCTCGTCCCTTTCCGCCGCTAAAATACCTCCCTCCTCACACTAGCGATCAGCCTTGCCCACACCATTCCAGCATAATGTTAGTAATTACCCGAGGCATCAGTTGGCCTACCAGCTCTGCAACGGCCGTTATCTCGCCGTTGGCGATCAAGCTATTCGCAGTCCTACTATTGGTCTCCTAAGGAGCACGATGACATAGCTAATGATGCCTAGTTTATCACGAGGCCAGAATCTTTCTGACCCAGGAATCAACTCAATTCAGTTTCAGAATGGCTGTTTTCAACGCAATTTGAAAATGGAATGTCACCGTTTTGGTTTAGCTTGTATCGAGTGTAGAGAGTGCATACATTTCTATAGTACACGTCCCCTTCGTAATGACCAAGTTTAGAGTAATATTGAAGTCTAGATATACTGAGATCTTCTGCTACACCTCCGACTGTCGATCTTTGTACTTGATAGTGGCTCTAATGGACTCTCCCCCACCATGCTCAAGCATAGCCCGCTTGTTTCGAGATTGGGTTCTTTGAGGCACGCTACGTTTCCTGGCTCTGTCTTGAGAGCTCTCATCCATCTTCGTTTGAACTTTAGCCTTCCACTCCTGCCATTCTTGAATCAACTCCTCAGCATTCTCAGCGTCATGTTCAGGCACCCAAGTCGGCTTCCAGTCGAAGGCATAGTACTTGATACCATCGACCCACTTTTCTCCGATAATCCGTCTGACATCCCATTCCTCAGAATGCACATCGGATGGGATATCCGATGCGACGTCGTTTGCTGGCGGCTTTGGAGGAATTTTGGTTGAAGGGGCATTTGAATTATCCTCTGAGAAATAGTCTGGGAGACTTTCCTGATCAAAACTCGCGTCGGGGTCGTCTGCGGCCATCTTTTTGTAATGTTAAAGATCTCGGCATGTAGTTTAATGTGGGATTTAATCTTGAAATCGTAATTATATACGGATATGCTAGAGTAAATGTTTATTGCTAGTTGCATAATTAAATTAGGTCCAGGAAGAGCTCTAACCATGTACATACTAACTTAATATGGAGCCTCGAAATATTAAGTTGCGCGAACACACAGACAAAATTGAACATCTGGCACCTACCCTATATCCGATTTACATAGATGCTTTCCCTTAAAAAGATTAGTAATACGGATTTGTAATAAAATGCCCTATGGTAGAGTAAAAAAAAACTTCCGTCCATTTCTAGATTAAAGTTATTCATTTCTGGCTGATACAACTTTTTAAAAGAACCTCTTCTGGCTGTACTTAAATTTATGTAGTGTTACCCCCACTTTGGTGTGTTTCATCACCTCGGCCCATCTCAGCCTCACCTGATCTAGCACCTTCGGTCTAGCCCCTCTGAGTGACCAGCTGTAAGTCAAATATAGGTTGTGACAGTCCTGTGTCACATCGATAGTGGCGGATCAGATGCTTACCCAAGTTTGGCGCTCTTGGCGAAGGTCACCTTATCGCCGAGTGTGGTTCTATAAACGAACAGCCTGCGGCCTCTTGAGTGCGCCTTCATATTGTACCTTGACGATATGACTTTCTGAAAGATTAGAAAACAACGATTTATGTAAAAGCTTTTGCCTTTAAATAATTTTTCAAAAGCACCTAGGGGGGATTTTCTCTAGTAACGATCAAAGATGCATACCTCCGTCCTCGTCGGACTTATAGCCCTCTTTAACAGGGCTGTCCACGCGACTGTATACACCCTCGACACGACTTACAATTCCTCCAATTTTTTCACCTCTTTTGGTTTTTTTAACGAGGAGGACCCAACGAACGGCTTTGTTGAGTATGTTGATGCTGACACGGCTAACACCGACGGTCTTGCTGGCTATCGTGACGGTGCCGTTTACCTGGGTGTTGATACCACCACTGTCAACCCAGCCAGCGGCCGCAAGTCCGTCCGGGTGACTTCTCGACAGGCCTTTACTTACGGCCTTTTTATCACCGATATTGCCCATATGCCTGGTAGTATCTGCGGAGTTTGGCCCGCTATGTGGTTTTTTGGACCCAACTGGCCTGCCTCTGGAGAGATTGATATTATCGAGGGCGTCAACACACAGACCTACAATACTATTACTCTTCACACTAGCTCTGGCTGTAGTATTTCCAATAGAGGCACCATTGAGAGTACTACTCTTACGGAGACTGACTGCAATGCCGGCGAGGCTAGTACGGGCTGCAGTCAGATTACCACCGATAACCAGAACTACGGTAATGGCTTTAATAACAATGGTGGTGGCGTATATGCTATGGAGTGGACCTCAGACTATATCTCCGTATGGTTCTTTCCCCGCAACTATATCCCCGCTAGCGTCCAGGGCGACAATCCAGACCCATCTACTTGGGGTCTGCCTATTGCCCGTTTTGTTGGCGGTTCCAGTTGCAATATGGACGCGCATTTTCAGAATAACCACCTTGTTTTTGACACTACTTTCTGCGGTGATTGGGCTGGCTCTACCGACGTCTGGAATAATAATGCAGAGTGCTTGGCCATGGGCTCTACCTGTAACGAATTCGTTGCCGCTAACCCCGCTGCCTTCTCGGAGGCCTACTGGCTCATTGAGTCTATCAAAGTTTTCAAGTTAACCGCATCTAATTATACCGCTAAGCGTAGCCTGTTATACAGCCCCTTTCTTACTTAAGTAGCTTGTGGTGTTCATATGGAGGGTGTGTTTAGATGAGGTAGAAAGCAAAGTAGAGAAATAGATAGGGTGCTTCATTAAAATACCGGGATTGGGTCGCACTGGATGGTGTTTGTCTCTCTGAAAGACCTCGTCAACCCGAAGAGCCGTTCTTATACTCTCAAAGACCTCGAAGAGAGTTGAGATGTTAAGTAATTGAATGTATTTAGACTTAAATTACATACAGAAATCTGCACTAACATTTTCTTCCTGCCAGCCTGATTCTACTCTGTATACGGCAACTAAACTTTTCAAGTCTCGGCCGTATTTATTGAATATTCTTACTGATTAAAAGCCCTGTACCGTACTGTAATCATGAGGCTAACTTTACCCTACTGAGATGTCTATTCTCCTCTTCACCAATAAGAACCCAGATTGCGTAACTAAATATCTTGGCGTATATTCATATGCTGCACATAGAATGCCTTCAAAGTGTACCGTGGATATTCAACGCAGCCTGGCTAGTTGCAGTCTTTTACAATTCAATTCATTCAAGACTATTTTTTCCTGCCGTCCAAAAGTGGTCGATTTGAGATGCCACAACTAAAGAGAAATCCGAGTTATAGATGTAGACTGAGGACCAAGAGTAGACTGAGGACCAAGAGTAGACTGAGGACCAAGAGTAGACTGAGGACCAAGAGTAGACTGAGGACCAAGAGTAGACTGAGATGGCGTCTAAGATACGGAAGTGGACCCCGAGCGGATTTACGTATAAATATCAGCTTCTCTGCCATAAAAGTACCACATCATCAATTAAATCAGTATGGCAGGCACAAGAAATTCAATTAAGTCACAGGGTACCCAACTCTTTGCGGGACTTGAACCACCCACGCGTAAAAGAAAGAACTCTGTGGCTAGTTCAAGTGGCTCTACCCAAAAACCCTCATCGAGCAATAAAGGCTCCGCAAAAGTCCCAAGCAGTTCGATAATCAAAAAGGGTCATAAAACAGCACTCGACAATCAAATGACGGGAATGAAGCAAACACTTGCCAAGTGGACTAAACAATTTGAGGAAGGGGACGCTAAACTGAAAGATTCTATGACTAGGATAGCAGCTGAAATAACGCAACTCCAAACCGATACTGAGAGTATAATCCTTGACGAACCTGAGAATCCCGAAACCAAATCTTCAGAGGCAGAGGACAGTTTGTTTGTCCCACAGAATTCAGATGGTTCAGACGATCCAGATGGTTCAAACGGTTCAAACGGTCCAAACGGTTCAAACGGTTCAAACGGCTCAAACGGTTCAAACGGCTCAAACGGTTCAAACGCTTCAGACGCTTGGGACAGTTCAGACGATTCAGACAGCTCAGAGAGTTCAAATAATAAGCAACAGACCCCTGAGTCATCCGATCCATATGATCTTGTTGGCCCAATCCATCTTGAATATGAATCGGAGTATGGATCTATGATGGGATTTTTCAAGGGACGATTTGGCCGCAAATATGTATTGTTTGAACAGGGGCCCAGCACGGCCTCCAGACATAGACTGGTTAGCGAGAACGAATTAGGTCAGAAAGTTGACGAAAGAACTACAAATAACCTTTGTGGGCAGCAACGTGGTGACCAAGAAGGTGGGAAGATTATGTGGCTGCAAGACGCGATAACGGTCCCATTTTCCGGTACTCTAGACTTCGTCAGTCCCTTGGTTCCAAAGAAGTGTAGACCACAAGGGGACTGTAACGGAGATTCGCCAATTACGAGGATTGTGGCTAAGTGGAAAATTGGTGATAAAACACTTCTGACGGTTGAGACAAGAACTACTGTTAGAAAGATGTGGTTTAAGCGAGGAAAAACAACCCTACAAAGTGACCTGAAGTACCAGGGTAAGGTTATCGTACCAAAAGGTTGCCAGATCAGTTGGGCAGACTTAGCCATTATCCAAGTGAGGATTGCACGCGAGCTTAAATATGAAAAGGGACAAAAGGCACCAAAAGCAGTGAGTTTTAAATTAGAGGAAGACTTATGATGATATATAGTGCGTTGGAAGGATAAGTTGTTTGAAATTTTGTTATTATTATAGATAGGATGTCGGCTGGACCGACTGCATTGAGGCTATAGTTATTTATGTCTGCAATTTATAATACGTTAAGGAAGTTTAATGTGCTTAATCCAAGGGTTTCAATATTACTTGAAACTCTCTATGTGTATTAATATTATCACATGTGGGTATATTCCCTGTACTAAGTCCTCCTATTATTGCAATACAGCTGATAAATATATTGAAGCATTGCGTGTCTATTTCAAAGGGAATGGGAAATAATCAATCTGCTATACTCAGACTGATGAGAGAATTTAAGGTGTAATCTATCGTGTTTTCGTTGTGTATATTCCCTATAATGAGAGTTAAGTTACAGTAATTCTATAACTCAGGACACTGTTACCCCTGGCGTCGGACGTGCCGTATTGCTTTACTGATACACACACACACACAATTTATTTCGCCCAGTGGCTTACAGCCAATAGGGCATTTGCTGATTGTATTAAACAGGCTGAAAGAAAACCCCAAATAGTACCATTGATTTATACTCTGCGTGCCTATTTGTCTCCAGTGTATCGCTTCAATCTAATAGTCTATATCCGTCTTACTTTTAAATTGCCACATAGCCCGTTCATCCCAGATTCCAATCTCAATATAAAGATTTCCATTAATGAAAAAGGCTGAAACGCTCTGAGGAATCTCATTAAAGGTAAGAGCATAAGCCTTGACTTCATCACTTGGCTTAAGCTTATCTCCATCCATATGTGGTGCCAGTTCCCCAGAGAGGGTTTGGTTGCTCCTGAAATAATCACTGACGTTTAAGACAATGTTTGGTTCAGTAATGTGAATAGCGCACTCGTCCTTAATCCATGTGTATGGATGGAGGCAGTCAAGGAACAGCTGTCTCTCTGGGAATTCAGAAGGATAGTGCTCGACGGGATATTTACTTCCCTTTTTCGCCACACACAAAACCGCATAGGTCTCTTCGTCTTGCTTGTCGGAGCCAGAATTATCTGCATCAAGACCAATGCCAAAGATCAGTGCGTCAAGTTCGAGTTTTTGAAAGCGCCCAATCCAATCTTCCTTCTTGAAGATTTTGTTGCAAAGTGAGTTGTTTTCAAGAGACGCCATTTTTAATATGTAATGTTGATGCAAGCTTAGTATAACTGGAGAAGGAGTTAGAGATAATTTATTTTATAATAAGAGAGCTTATAGTTTAAATTTTGATTGTTTACTTATTCTGGTACAAATCTAAAATTGATTTACTAGCTGGAAACACATCGAGGCAGACAATAGTCCATTTGTTATTGTACATAGCGGGCAGCTGTGGCTTATTGTACAGTGTGGATTTCTAAATTCACGGTGCGGCGCTGCACTGGCGACTAGACATCGTACAAGGATAAGGGCGGGAGCCACTACTGGCCGCTGTTAAGTTTCTTACGGCGACAGAAAACCAACCTTTTCTGGCTGCCGTGCCAGACGCCAGCTACTGAATGGAATGACATTACTACTGTACTTTTATGTACTGTACTGTAGTTGACCGACTCGCAATGTACGGAAAGAAAGGAAACGGTAGGCATGCTGTTTCAGCAGGAGAGCCTACTTGCCACTACTGTTACTACTGTATCTACCTTGATCGTAACCCTAACATGCCGTATCAGTATGCGCCGTGTATGCAGCGGCATAGCGAAGGTTAACGAGTGATGAGCTGGGTGGAGAACTGGATAAATGACGCCGTTGTAGGTGGGTGGCCTTTTTGATTATCTGGCTGATCCTACTATTTCCCCGCGCTGGACTTGCTTCCGATGCTCGCATTGCCGCACTATTCTAATTTCCCCAATCAATGAGAGGCGCAGGAAGAGTCGGCCCCGTGGGCTATATGTACCTGATTGTCGCGCTACTCCAAGGCCCAATCCCCGTGTCTGTCTCGGTCATCGCAGCAGTATATCTTATTTCTCCCCTTTATCTGCAGAGGCTAGCTTCCTGGTTTCTCTATGGCCTCGCTAAACCAAAAAATTTAGCCTAACGGACCACACTACGAACCACTGCCTCCCAGGCCCTACAGTTTTGCGAATTTAAACTGGGCAACTTCACAAATAAGTCAGGGATCAAGGCACGAGATTTCCGGAAATAGTCAATACGCCTATCACAAACTCATTCAACAAATACCTCCCCTGTTCCGAGTTTGTTTATACATAAAGAGGCGAGCATTCCTGTCGCACTGGTGTGTGCCCTGCGCCTGGAAAATATCTCGATTTCCGAGCCATGGCTCCGACGAATGATGTCTCCAAACCTCAGCGAAGAGTAAGTTCCATCGTCTTTTATGCAACAAAGATACTATCCTTGCTTTCTGGCTACCCATCTCCTCTATTGGCCTTGATAGAGTGGACCCTCGCGGTCGCTGCCGTTGAATGTTCCTGCTGTTGCGGACATGACGATCAACGCACGGGTCAAGTAGATAACAATTTGCAAGACACTTGAGACGTAATAGACCCGCAACTAACCGGACTTCATAGACGAAGAAATCGCATGACGAATATAGAGAACGCGCTTACATCGCCGCCTCGAGGCGAACCGACCGTAGCATCGAAGCTCGTCTCCAGTCTGCCCGGATGGCCAGTGAGATCCACAAGAAGCGCACCCGTAAAGCGCTGCGCGTATCTGCGGAGATTGTCATGAATGAGGGGTTATACGAGGAAGAGGAAGACAGTTTCCCTCAGCCTTACCGACTCCCAGGACGGAATATGCAGACCTCGTCCGCTGAGGTGATGTCGCGAGTAGATGCATATCCGACGAGCCGGGTCGCCGTATCTAAGTTGGTATCAGCCACAGTTATGGAACGGGACTGGCGCGAGAATAAGGTGAACCAGGATTTTGCCCAGGCCTTCCCTCACGCCAATCAGATCCTGTCACAAAGATGGTCGACCCCTGGTTTCCCTATTGCCTCTCCGGCTCGGGGTGGCCGGCTTCATACCCCCTCGAACGCGACATCTGGACCAAACCTCCCGCCGTTCCATAATGAACGAGGACATCGTGTCAACGGATGGAGCCAATCACTCCTAGGGGTGTCACTATCTGAGCTAGACTTGGATGACGGCGGCTTATCTCCGCAGCTACTCACGCCCGAATCTAAAATCCACACGGAGACGCCTCAGTCGCAAACGGCGTCAGATTTCGCAGACAGAAAGCCTTTTGGCTCAGTTGTGGAGTTCAGGTCTGATAGATATGAATTCGCCGCTGAGCTACCTCCCAATGTAATGATCTTGATGGCAGGCACTAGCAATAATGGCTATAACAACCCCATCGATCCAGCGCTGTACGACCAGCAGCGGGTATTCGCTGACACACCGTTGAACAATCGGGACAAGATGACAAATTATTCCAACATAGAGCATGAGCAGGCAATCGGCAGAGAATCTCATGACGCCCCAGGTCCAACGCAGGGAGACGCGGCCTACAAGTCGAGCGTGCTTGAAGACCAGTTCTTCTGGGATATGTTCTTTAACAACGCTACATAGAAAAAGAACCAACCGTTTTCCCCCATTATATACGACGCGGCTGAAAGGGTGGCAATGAACTTAGTGCTTGTGCAACCAATCTCCGGGATCGCGTGCACCGAGGGCGCGCACTATGAATCCGTTAAAGTACACCTTTTACCCTGCTAGTGACCAAGGCCGTAATTTAACTCAAGTGCTTCAGCCGTAGTATTCAGAGTTGCCGTAGGAGAGAATTTCTTTACTTTAATGTGAGGCGAGGGGCCACCTAGGTACAGAGCTCGTGGACTACGGTCTGATTCCGTCTTTTTTCTTTTTTCCTCTATATGAAGCCACATATGACAGAAAATAAATTAAAAACTCAGATACATCCTCGTTAAAAGCCTTTAAAGGCGTTATTGCATCCCTGCTACTATATTCTGGTACTGAGAATTTGGATAGTCTAACCAATTCCTTGTACCATCAAGAGAACCAAGACTTGCTGCACTGGTAGTAATAAGTGAATCCGAGCCATTCTTATCAGCCGACGCTTCCCAGAACATGCTTCCACCCAGCCCTAAGTCTTGCAAGTATGAGATCTTCTTCTTGATGGCGTCTGGAGCGTCAAAGGATATGAGTTCCTGAGTCCTTGAATCGTAGCTATAAGATGCTTGAGCAATGCTATCATATTTAACCGTGGCACCTGCTTTAGGTAGATCCTTATAGTCCCATGCCCCGTTCTCCCAACTGCCAGACCCTGTACCTGTAAATTCTTGACCGATGCCAGTCGTGCCCTGGAATGAGTGGCCGTAGATAGGCATACCTAATATTAGCTTCTCTGCAGGAATACCACCATTAAGGTAATCCTGAACAGCGCTGTCAGTATTAAAAGGAGTCCTGTTTGGTTGCTCAGTATTGGCGAAAAGATTAGCGTTATGGCCAGAATAGCTACTCCAAGAACCAGCATAGTCATAAGCCATCAAATTGATGTAGTCTACTACCCTGCCAAGTTCGGATAGGTGTAGCTTTTTGTAGTGGTCTGAGCCAGCAGGGGCAGCAATTGACAATTGAAAGTGATGATTGGACGCATACTGAGTAGCGTAAGCATCCAGTTCATCACGAACTGCCTGCAGAAGTAGAATCATATTGGCAGAGTCAGTATCATCACCGGGGTATTCCCAGTCTATATCGATCCCGTCAAAGCCCCAATCTTTCATAATTGCGACAGAAGATTTTGCAAATGTCTCACGATTGGTTGCGGTGCTCGCAGCAGACGGGAAGTTGGTTGACCGAGTCCATCCGCCGATAGAGAGCATGATCTTAAGCTTGCGGTTGGCCTTCTTAAATAAATAGAGCTGTTTGACGCATCCATAGGCATTATTACCAATTTCGTCCCAAGCTATGCACGTTAGGCCCTTACTCAGTTCTGCTAGGCTACGGCACTCACAATCGCCATCATAATGGTTTTCCAAGTCAGCATTTGTGTCTTTTGTGTAACTAGAGAAAAGTCAGCTGGACGTGTATACAACCGAATCCCATTATATGTATACACAGTTCCATCGGCTAGGACGTCCATGAAGGAATAAAACACGTGGGTTAAGTCGGAAGCGGGTAAATCCTGAGGCTGGAAGTTTCGTTGGTAGATTCCCCTATGAAGTATTAGACACAATTTAATGCATGGAGAAGATACACAAACCAATTAACAAAATAAACTGAGTTAACATAACCAGTAGTTCGTTTTGTGGCATCTCCCGAGATTGTTGCGAGGGCTAAAGACGCCAGCGAGGCGAGTGTCACGGATGTAGAGACCATGACCATCATGAAAATGTTAAAGGGAAGGAGAATGACTGGGGACGCAACACAGAGCAGCAAAGTATATTAAGTAGAGGCGAGATTCTGAGTCAAATGCCAACTTTGTTCCCACTCAAATAAAAGTATTAAGCAGCGCCACCACTTATGGACTTCTTTGCCCTGTCACAGCGGAGCTTGGTGCTAGGATCCTGTTTGAATCCACTGGGCAAAGTCGCCGTCCCCTTGGGCCGTTTCCTCCCAAGCAAATGACGCAAGACGCTGGTGGTGTATTAATACTACCGGTATATCTTTGTCTATTGATCACAAGCTTTTCCGATTCAGCATCCACAAGATATCTAGACCACATAGTACAGTAAGAACCAGGACATAATAGGAGAATTCCAGCACACCACAAGGGATGGTCTTAATGTTTCTCCGTCATTACTAGTGCGGTACGGCGAACGGAGGCCCTTGGGAACGGAGAGGGTTTGCGAGTGTGATTCCACATTTGCCCACACCGCATACTCACACACCTGCCCCGATGACGAATAATAAACGGTTCACACATAGGAACGAAGCCCAAGAAGCGGGCACTTCTAAAGGTGTTAGCCGTCTATCATAATTGTTCGGTCTTCTTCCATCATACCGCCCTGTTCTGCCATCATGTTCAGTTCTGTCATCCCGTCTACCACTGTTAACCAGTCCTGTTCTATCATCCGGCTTTGTTCCGCCATCCCGCCCTGTTCCGCCACCCCGCCCTGTTCCGCCATCCCGCCCTGTTCCGCCATCCCGCCCTGTTCCGCCATCCCGCCCTGTTCCGCCATCCCGCCCTGTTCCGCCATCCCGCCCTGTTCCGCCATCCCCTCCTGACGTAAATGATTTCCGAACTGTTTATCCTTAGCTATATTCAAACTCAAAAATGTAATCAGGCATACAATTAGATTGAAATCGGGAACTGCGGCACCTTGTGGAGTATTCACTGCGCAGACCCAGTCGTTGGGACCTCTCTCAATAGCGAACGCAATCACAACATTTGCACGTTGACTGAGCCTATGAATTTTAGGTATAAGAGAACGAAGGGCTTTTCGGATAGTTGTTTGTTCCCTCGTCCCTTCGAAGCCGGGCGGGCGGACAGTTGGCAACGGGGGCGTAGGGTTATCCATTGTGAAAATACAACATGGAAATTTAGCTGAATACAAATCGAGACAATGATCTAATACTTGCTTTATAAGATATCTATCTCCACTCTTCATTAAAGAGCAATCTCTGGTGACAGATTCATCTCCACTCTTCGTCAAGAACAGATACCTAATAACATATTCTCCACCCTTAGTCATAGAGCGATCCCTGGTGTTAGTCAATGAGATCCACAATTTTTCTTGGTCAAGAAGTGGTCCCTGATTTGGTCAAAGAAGCACCTCCATTTTTACGGTAGTCAAGGCACGATCCCTGGTATTAGTCAATGAGATCCATCTCCACTCTTGGTCAAGTAGTGGTCCAAGGTATTAGTCAACGAGATATGTAGTAAAAGAATGATCCCTGGTTTAGGTGTGCTTTGACCAAGTATTTCAAAGTCACAAGGCCGGATGGGCCTCCCCCAATTACTGCGACTCTCATACTTTCGGCTCATAAACTGGTTACTCACATATACCGGAAGATTATGAAAGAGGAGCAGGAGCAGCAGTCCGCATGCATAACTACCAAGTATTTATTTACTAATTTTAAACTTCACCAGTGTTACCATCTTTTCTGGCCGTGCTTTACTTCAATGTCAACTTAGACCGAATTTGAGCTTGACTTCTCTGAATGTTTCTAAGGCCTTCCCTAAAGCATCAATAATAGATCCATCGTAATCCCTGGAATTAGTCAATGACAGAATTCCAATCTTCGTCAAAACATAATCCCAAGTATATATCTGTATTTGTTACATAATATGCATCTCTTATATGCACAACTATCAGCGCCTCCTGTTGGAGTGTGCATTCCACATTTGGTCTGATGAGTTAGTGTGACAGAATGCGACAGTATTGGTCAACGAAAGACTCCACATTCAGTTGTTACTAACAACGGGATCAGTTTTGATACATAAGTGGAGATGAATCTTTGTTACTAATAACAGGGATCCCATTTTAACCCTATCGTGGAGATGGATCCCTGTTATTAGCCAATCAGGGACCTATCCACTCTGAGTTAAAGAGTAATCCTTGATATTAGTCAAGAGATCTAACCCCACTATTTTATCACCCAGCCCCTAAATTTCCAGTGAGACTAGCCTTAATTTCCAGCGCTGTTAGCCCTAATTTTCAGCACACTTGTCCATTAATCTTTAGTGCATTCTAATACCTAATTTTAGCGCACTATGCTACGTTCAGTGCACACAGTATTTTAGGTGACGTAGCTTATGGTTAAAGAGTTGCAATAAGCTTTATAGCATCCTGTTGGATCCGTTACGGTCAATTCGATCAAATAGATAGGGATTAATACAGTGATGATGATGTTGATGATTGCTTGTCCTCGTCATCCGGATCGGCCGGAAGAGGGGTTATCATACCCCCCCCTTCTGACTAAGGTCCGGATATCAATCTATCAGAGGTTTCGTTATACAGGGTCATGTTCCAACACATCCTTTACATGGAATACTCACTCTTTAACCTGAACGTTTCGATTATGTTTAGCTATCATCGTCCTCTACCAGGGCATTCGGCCGATAGATCCACATTAAACACCCCCGAATTGTATACCCACCTTGGCCTCCATTGTTACAGCTGCTCCAATTGTTTATCATTGTATTGGAGCACAAATTACCTGCACCTGTGATAGCCTGCTCTTCACCTTCGCAACCGGGGACCCAGGACACAGTGAATTCCAGCAGCTCTTTGTCTTTACCATAAATATACTGCAAGCTTTCGTTTGTTTTTAGAGATTTGCCATCGATTGTACTACAAAACTTTTTTGTATATTTCTCTAATTTCTTCTCATTTGTATTATAGGTCCCTTGGGGATGACATGTTGGTGATGATGCGAATGATGGAGCCTCGGCCCCAATCGTAATTGTCTTAGTTGCAACTACTGTAGGTATCACTGTAGGTATCACTGTAGGTATCACAGTCGTGGTGATCATAGTCGTAGTCATATATGTCTTGATTGAACATGCCATAGTTATGGTGGTCGTTGATGATGTTGCCGATGGAGTCTGAGTCGTCGATAATGTTGTGGACGGAGTTTTGGTAGTCTGGGTCGTCGATGATGTTGTAGATGGAGTTTTGGTCGTTGATGATGTTGCCAATGGAGTCTGAGTCGTCGATGATGTTGTGGACGGAGTTTTGGTAGTTGATGATGTTGTAGATGGAGTCTGGGTCGTCGATGATGTTGTAGATAGAGTTTTAGTCGTTGATGATGTTGTAGATAGAGTTTTGGTTGTCGATGATGTTGTCGACGTAGTTTTAGTCGTCGATGATGTTATAGATGGAGTTTTGGTCTTGGATACCGAGGCTGTGGTAGTTTTAATTGTATTCTTCATGGACTTAGTTTTAAGCGTTGTCTCCTGGACTGAAGTGCTTGTGACTTCTCTGTTTAACTGGAGTAAGGGGGTGCAGCCATTCAGTTCCACCCATGTTGCAGGTGGCTTAAGGTCATCGGTATACGGTACGGTGTAGGTCTTCCAAGCTGTAATCGATTCAGGGTTTAATCCCTTATTAAGATTTATAATTTTATTGTACGTTTCAAGTCCGAGTGCTTCAGCTGCCCTAAAGACCGTCTCATCCCGCCATGGAACCCAAAGAGCAACCTCAGTACAGAAAGCACCAACTAGGGCGACATAGAAGAGTAAGAAGCATAGAATCATAGTTGGGAACTTTGGCAAGTCGGTTATGAATTTTAGATTCAGCCTTCTTATAAAGGGAGTCTACAAATCCACTTTTGGATGAATATAATATTCACTTTCTGCTTTTTCTATTTCATATGTATTAATTGGACCTATAGCGCTTAAGGGAGAGCCATCTTACATCACCTTACATTTCTTCTTTACCTTATCTACCAAAAATGCAAGCTGATAAGCTTAATCTTCACCGATCTCTAAGGGACCGCCTGAAACGACAGGAGTGCATATTGGAGCTTCACCCAAGTTTAATCATGTTGTCCATTAAGTCAATCCGGAGGACTCGGACACAAAGCAAACTACGCAACGTTGATTCTGCCTATTTTTAATACACTATACCTCGCTGATGGTTCCTCGTGCCTTGTAATATGTGTTTCCTCAAAGGAACCCCTCGTCAGAACAGTTCCGGTGAAGACCAATTCAGTCCTAAGTTCTAGGACCACTTCAGTCCCAGGACCACTGCAGTCCCAGGACACCTCCAGTCTCAGGACCAATGCAGTCCCAGGACTACTGCAGTCCCAGGACACCTCCAATCCTAGGACACCTCCAGTCCCAGGACCAGTACAGTCCCAGGACACCTCCAGTCCCAGGACCACTACAGTCCCAAGACACCTCCAGTCCCAGAACCAATGCAGTCCCAGGACCACTACAGTCCCAGGACCACTACAGTCCCAGGACCACTGCAGTCCCAGGACACCTCCAATCCCAGGACCACTACAGTCCCAGGACTACTGCAGTCCCAGGACACCTCCAATCCTAGGACACCTCCAGTCCCAGGACCAGTACAGTCCCAGGACACCTCCAGTCCCAGGACCAGTACAGTCCCAAGACACCTCCAGTCCCAGAACCAATGCAGTCCCAGGACACCTCCAATCCCAGGACCACTACAGTCCCAGGACCAATACAGTCCCAGGACACCTCCAGTCTCAGGACCAATGCAGTCCCAGGACTACTGCAGTCCCAGGACACCTCCAATCCCAGGACCACTACAGTCCCAGGACCACTGCAGTCCCAGTAAAATTGTCCGTCCAGGCAATCGCTCCCTTGTCCACAAGAAAACCTAATTTTCACCGCATTTATCATTTAATCCAAAAACTGATTAGTGTAGACTGCAATATTATAACATGGGGTTATTCCTTCCTTCAAATTATCATTTCTTTCTTATGACTATATGAAATGGATTCCGGCCCTAGACGATTAACTCAGTTAGGTTTCCATGGACTGAAGGTAGGAGAAGTCTCAAAACCAGCTGGGATTAGTCCAAAGGAGAATACCAGCACAAAGGAGTCAAATAAATTGAAAAAAGATAACAACCCGCGGGACCGCACTGGAAATACCACACCTACTAAGTCTAAATCTTCTGATATCCCACTAGAAATTCGGGCAGAGTCTCCATGGAATTATTACGAAAAGTCACCGATTACATTCCTTGATCTTAGTGGAGAAGTCATTATTGCTCAAGAAAAAGCCTCATCCAAAAAGCTTGTAGGATTAAGAAAGATGCCGAAGGCAACACTTACCAACTTACAAAAGCTACGGCACACAAATATTTACTTTGCCCTAGAAGCATTCGTCGCTAATAAATCTACTTACGTGGTATTCGAGGAGATGCACCTTACCCTAGAGCATCTTGTGATATCACTTGCGTACCCTAGTTCCCGGCAGCTTGGTACAATTTTGGGACAAGTAAGTAATTTATTAACTATATGAAACCTGTGTGCTTAAACTAGAAGATTCTGGATGCTTTAGTATACCTAGAAACCGAAAACTTTAGTCACGGACTTCTACATTGCAAGAATATACTTGTTAATAACAGAGGCGTTGTGAAACTAGGTGAGTGACAGAATTTGTAGTTGTATGTATTTACAACTGATTAGGATATAAGGGCACCAGGAACAGTATCAAACCACGTCTCCAGCGATCAAAAAGAAGGATATAGGGGATTTTGGGCTGGTAACTATGCAATTAATGCAGAAGGGCGATCCGGGGGACGGTGCAATCCGGGTAGCTGACCCAAGTCGCTGGGGGGACCATACTCAAGCAGTCATTAGATTTGTGTCGGATATTCCCTTGGCGACATCAACAATAGAACTACGGAAGGTCAGTTGGTTTTCCTACAGGCTGCTGGCAGTTGTTTTGTCTAATTTATATCAGCAAGATTTTATAAATTCCATTTGGGAAGAGCATAATGGCTGGAAGGTTGATATTCTATGGGATTTAATAGTGACTGCTCAGTATACAGCTCGCAGATACTATGATTTTAAGGATCCGGAATAACTACATGTAGATGGATCGATTGGGACGATTTCCGGGAGTTTGGTACTTCGTAATTACATCCAACAGATTATGTGCTCGCAACATCTCAGACTACTTTTTATTTATGCTTGCCATGGGTGGTGTCAAGCATCGAATATGGCGAGCCAACCTCCAGCTGAGTCATGTCTGGTATAAAGAGGGTGGTCGCTCCCTTCAAAACTGGCACGGTCTTCGCTTCTCGGCGACGCAGCGTGCTTTTTCGATGACCCGCTCCGCTCCACCCATTCCTCCCATTTGCAGGCTGTCCATTTCTTTGGGATCCACTCTTAACATGTGCATTCATTATAGGACTGTGGCCTGATGCTGTTACATGAACGTGATCTACCCCGCTCTTTGGTGTGACGAGGTGTGCGCTTATCCACCTGTTTCTCCCAGAGTGTGTAGTCACGCGCACTTCGTGGTCACATTTATTTTACCGCGACCCGCCACTATTCACTCGACACTGTTCCGCTGTCCGGCCTGCATCAGATGACGAGCATCGGAAGCAATGCCAAGAGGTGCAAAAATAGTTGACATCAAGCGGTAATGCACGAAGAAGCTATTGCATTGGATTTCATTTCTAGCCTCTGTGTAAACATTTGTCTTCTGGTGTAACTTCAAAGTGGAATGATCACTGTGGGATACTATATAACTCGGTCTCAAGGTTAGGCTCCGCCCCTTCGTCCGCAACCTGATTTATGTCCATTTCAAGCTGGTTGATAGCTGCATTCAAGCTAGCGACTAGGATTAGCATTTATAATGAATTGTCTAAATAGGTGAAGACTAACGTGTCAAGCCTAAATCAACATGTTAGTCACGTCCATCTAAGCTAGTATAGGAACTTACTTTTCCATCACAACTTGCTGTCTGTTGCCAAAATAAAAAGGTTAGCTTCTAATTATTGTGTGCAGCGGTGGTTTCACGTGGTTTCACGTGGTTTCACGCACTTCGAGTTCTTATTTTTTAGTTCACGGAGTAATCTGCCATCTATGGATTAGTTAAACTCGCTCTGTAGCTGGAATTTTCGATTGACTGACGCTTGTATCAGCTGGCTTTCGCTCTGGCCCTGGCTAGTAGGGCTACCACAATTGCTGCATGTGCTACCACAATGGGTGCATGTGGCAGTGAGTTGGGGATGTTTATCTGCATTAGTAGCCCTACTCATAGTCAGGTTCTGGCTCACTTGAATAAAAGCTTGGCGTACGTTGGACTGTTTATGTCAAGACCAAAATCCTCCTGCAGTGGAAGTTGCCTTGGTTGATGGACCGAGTTGGATGGCTGCATACCCCTCGGCTGGTTGTAAGCCTGAAAGTTTTGCTGCCCTCGGGCCTGGTGCAGCTGATTGCGATTGTAATTCATTGTGTTAGGTCAATAGAATTAGAAATGACGAGTGCTCTCAATGGAAATTGCCTCCTACCAGAACTTATTATATACTTTATCATAATATACGCTATAACTTGTACATTATTGAATGAGCTGAGAGTCAGTTATTGACAGGCAGTGCGTAAGAGAGCACGGATAACATCTTCTTGCATTACTCCAGAACAAGCACTGGGAATCTGAGCAGGGACATACCCCTGTCCATTGGTCATTGCCTCTTAGTACGTAAACGCTAGGAATCTGAGCAGGGACATACCCCTGTCCATTGGTCATTGCCTCTTAGTACGTAAACGCTAGGAATCTGAACACGGGCATACCCCTGTCCGTTAGTCATTGCCTCTTAAGTCCCAAAATGAATCCGTGCTCCTGTGTCCATTTTTGATCATGCCGCTTCTCCGGCGCTGTTAGTTAAGTCAAATAAGTATCAGACACTACAATACAGATTTCCCAAGGCCTTATTCCTACAAACAGCAAATATGGTCGATCAGAAACGCCGGAAACTAGTACGACGCAGGCAGAATCCGATTCATCAAGCCAATCCTACAGAAATTCAACGACGTTTGTGAGTAGTTCTTCTGATCATTTAAAACTGTCCTAATAAAGGTTCAACAGGTTACTTCAATATCTGAGACAAGAAAGTGACTGGTAAGTAAATGAATAACGATGCAATATAGTAGTTAACTAATTTTATTAATATTTTAGGTACATAACTATTGCAGAAAGGTTAGTTTTCATTCTGATTATGATGGAACTCTCTCTTACATACTATACTATTAGAATAAGAAAGCTTCAGAATTCGTAAGTTGATTTTAATTAATATTTAAGGATATCCAATCTAATATAATTAACTCTAGATTCTTCAAATGTATAAGGCGACTGAAAGAAAAATTTGAGGTGGTGGCGAATCAGGATCAGGACCAAGATTTAATCAACCCAAGCTACCTTATATAATTAGCTGTTGTATCAATAAATGCTTTAACTTTGGTACAAAAAAAAACCAGTCAATCAGCATTGTGACGACCAGGCTTGTTCTCAGCGCTGCGTGCTTATTAGTGAACATCAGTGGGCACAAGGTCGCTGGCCAGCGTCCTGCCCAGTGGAAACACACCCCAGGAACAAGAAGAAAACACGACGGGCTCGGTTTCCCATTGTGATAATACCCATAGACAGCATGGAATAATATAGTCGTCGATGAATGAAGTCTCACTCGCCAGCGACTCACGTCATCGATACATTATTAGTCACAAATTTCTCGATTGATCATAAATAGACTATTTACTATACAATAACGGATTCGAGGAGGCAGTATGGGATATATTTTGTTGTCCACTTCTGTCTGTTTGGTGAGTATAATTAAGAGCCTCATTCCCCCGATTGAACATACACAACCAACTAATAATGAAGTCTGACAGCCAAAGACAGAGTGCGCAAACTGCTGACTATCGGGAAGAGTCTCAATTTCAACGACTTATGGCAAAATACCAGGGAATGCTTCTTGAGGATGCACAAAGTCTGACCCGAGCCCGCTCTTTTGCTGCGAATACACTGTCATGGCTCCTGATAGCAGCCAAGGCTCTGGTCCCTTTCGTTTTTACACACATGCGCAATTTCTATGTCATCAAGCAAGCTGGAATCATCGCACAGCCTATTATTAGTATAGCAATGAACTGGCCGCTCCCTCAAGCTGACTCGTTTATGTTCTTCGTTATGGTAGCTATACTGTCATGGCTCTGGTGGCTATGCAGGCAAAACATTATTTGGCTGGTCATTCGCATCCTTCTGTAAGTATCTCCTAGCCACAGTGTTGTTTATTCATTAAGATTATTAGGTCCCTTCTGGCGAGCTCAGTCACAAAGTTTATCCCTGTGCCAAATGGGCTAATCTCAGATGCAAACGCGATCGCCACTGTAGTCAGAGTTGGGACAACCCTCCTTCTGTGCGGTGCGGCCTACCTTTTCTATGGCATGGTATCGATCTTGCGACAACAAAAACGGGGGTGAGAGGCCAAAGGAGACTGCTTCCATCATGCATTTCAACAACCAGAAGCTCCCCTTTAATAATTCAATGTATACTAAATCAGTTCATGGGTGATGGGTATAATTATTTCTAGCTACTGGAATAATATTTACTCAAGCTATCGTTCAAACTGTTCATAGCAACGATATATCTTTTATCAACATGAAAATGTCCGATTTCCCTAGCCCTCTGAGAGGTAACTTCACGATCACTCTTAAGGATAGCACGCTGCTTCCGCAACCAGGCTTTCGGATTCGCCATGAAATGCTTTATGATTTGGGGTTGAAAATCAACACCCTCCTGGTCAAAGCTTTTCCAAACTCTCTCCACTTCGGTCGGCCAGGTTTTCAAGCATTCCATGTTCTTGTAATTGCTTGCTGATAAAGCGGCAGCAAGTAGCTGGAGAGCTTTAGTGGCCATTTCTTCATCTTCTCCCTCTCCTTTCTGGCATTCGTCTAGATAAGCGAGAGATCTTTTGAGATATCGTCGGTAAGATGTCAGCCTTTTACCTCGAGCGCGTTTATAGTTTCGTAGGTTGAGGGGTACTTCAATGAGAAGTGATTCGACTACTGCCTTTTTCCAGGCTCCAATTTTGAGCTTGGACTGTCGTCCGTGTCCGTTCTGGCTCCTTTCCTCCTCCCAAGAGGTGAGAAGTTCTTCAATGACATTCTCTTTCGGCTCCCATGTCGCCTCTTTCAGAGGATAGCCCTGCCAAAGAACAAGGACGAGTTGTCTATCCTCAGACTCAGCGAGTAGTTCCTTGACAGCCCAGAGCTTATCAGGGTTGTTGGAGTTGGTAATAGTTGATATTGTAGAAGTGTCGCATTCGTCTAGGACGGCATAGCTGGCTTTCGAAGCATCCATGATGGCAAGAAATGATGAGGCAGAATCCCTTGTTGATCTGTGAAACAAGACTGAGGGATGAAAGATATATTGATGCGGGCTAAGGGAAAAAACTGAGTGAGGCGCAGGGACAGACGTGAAAGGGATGATGTGCGCCCAGACAAGGAGGCGGAGGGTAAGGCAGAAGTAGACATGCATAGAGGAAGAGACACGAGCGAGCGTGTTGTTCTATGGTTGATGTGTGGGTGAGGGAGCTCAGTCAAGCCGGCGCCTAGGTAACGTCGATTTGACCTAGACGGTCAAGCTCTGTGAAACCAACTGCGTTGATGACTGACGAAAGAACGTACCTAGCATGCCCCACTCATACGGAATGGGCCGGATTTAGATTCTATTGGTCAGTTAGTCTGAAAAAGATGGTTGTGACCAGGTCAGCTGCAATTATGTGCCTTGTGTCATTACGCACAGGACGCAATTACGCGCCGAGCGCAATTACATACCAGGTGTATTGAATAAAATCTTTATGCAAGATATGTGGGACCTTATGCATCTTATCTGTTAGTCTCAAAACTGGGCCTGAAAATGATTGTTTTTGTGACCAGGATGGCTGCGTAGGGTGTGGGGCGTGGTCACGCATTCTGGGTATTACCTAACAACCAAAACAGGAAACTAGTGCCAGATATGTAGGACTGTAACAAATGTGGCCATAACGTCCTTGTGTAAAAAATACGGGACTTTATGGACTCTGGGCGAACGACTCTCCGAGTGTGCCCCTGCACTAATCAGATACGGATGGAGCGGGGTTAAGGCTGGTTGTCATTATTCGAACTCGGCGCATCTACTTCTGGCCACTTAAAGCTAGGCTATATCTCTCGCCTATGCTGTTCTTTGTATTCAGACTTGCACATGTACAATGCCTACAATACATATCACTATTGAACTTTCTTAAATGTTTTCAAGGATGCCTTCTAATAAGCTTCGTCTCCACATTGCCTTATACGATCGCGCTGGCACACCAGAGCCTGGAGATCAGTTAGTCGAACCCCGTCCATTAGTTGACATCCCAGAAAGCTGACATGGTTCAGGTACAGCTGGGGCTTTATTATCGGACCCAAAATCAAGGCGAAGACGAAGAGGGCCAAATTTCCGATGTGGGCGAGTGATGAAGAGCCAGTATGGCCATACGAAGCATCACCCTTAACACCAAACTCAAAGCTGCTGGTTAGTGTTATCATCGGCAAGATTGAGAGCATAAGTCAGCTCCAGTCAATTTTCAAGCGTCCACTCTTTCTTCCTGAAGTAAAAGGCAGGAATGGCATGAAGTGGGCTAAGGAGGCTCTCGATGCAGTTATGCAAGATCCTTTCGCCCTCGGCACATCTATTAACGACTGGGAGGCTATCCGAAGTAAAATTTTATTCTACGCCGCAATGAAGATTGCTGTTGATAAATGCGGTGAACAATCGACTTGGGATATGCTTGAGAATAGAGCAGTAATGTACTGATATGGATGAAACTTGGTACAAGTGGGTTAGAACGCGTGTCAAAAAGCTGACAAATCATGTATTCATTTAAATGAGAGTCCATATACTCCTATTGTACCTCAAAATAAACCCAGTTTGCTGTTTAACATCCGACCCCAAGTTCGTTTCTTAATCTCCCAACCTATCTGTCTCATGGAGAGAGCTCTGTTTACAAGTGTAGAGGCACATCGTTCATTACAGGCAGTTATGAAATTGAGCAACTCGATCCATACTCAAACATTCAATGACGCCGCATCAGCTCTAGCTATGTCTATTGCCAGCTCCGCGACAGCATCAACTGACGCATCCTCTCCTACGATAATGAATAGTAAAGAGGCCGGCTCCGCCCAAAAAGGACAGGGCATCGGGGCTATTAGCTTCCTCACAGCTGTCGCCAGCGCATCAACAGTATTTATAATCCAACTTTTGCTCTTTGTGCTTCTGCGTAATACGTTGGCTCGCATCTTGTACGCTTGCGCTACCAACATGGTGTGACTGTACCTCTAACGTACTTGTAGCAAGCCAAAGACATACTTGGTACCCGAACGGCAGCGAAGCGACCCTCCACCAACATCATTTCTAGGAATGATTAGAACATTATGGAATGTCAGGGATCAAGAGATTATCTATAAGTGCGGACTTGACGCATACTTCTTCTTGCGCTATTTGAAAGTTCTTTTGGTTATCTTTATTCCCATCGCCTCCATCTTTATGCCGATCCTACTACCCCTGAATTTTATCGACGGGAGGGGATATCAACTAAATGGAAATGCGAAAGATCCTGCCGGAACGAATACCTCTCAAGTCTCTGGCCTGGATACCCTGGCGTGGGGTAATGTCAGGCCCCAAAACACAAGTCGCTATAGCGCTCACCTCATGCTAGCTATACTGGTGGTTGTATGGGTATGCTCTGTATTCTTTTTGGAACTACGAGCATATATCAAAGTGCGACAAGACTACCTTACCAGTGCAGAGCACCGTCTTAGGGCCTCAGCAACAACAGTCCTCATTAATTCTATCCCCTCTAAGTGGCTGAATCAAGAGGCGCTACAAGGTCTCTTTGACGTCTTTCCAGGAGGAGTCAGAAATATCTGGTTAAACCGGGATCTATCAAAGTTGCTCAAGAAGACCTCTCTTCGGGACAAGACTCATCTCCGACTCGAGTCTGCTGAGACAGATCTAATTAAAGCCGCAAGTAATTCACAGGTCAACAAAAGAAGTAATATACACGCGAAACAGCATAAGACTTTAATAAAGTCTTCCACGAAGGAAGAAATGGCCGTTCGTCAGGGCCTGGAAGATGAAGAAACGATGCGAAAAGCAGTTATTGCCAATTCAAGGAACATGTATCCTGGTTCTACAAACGCAAGACACCTTGATTTGTACAATAAACCCTTGCCCGAGTTTCTGAGAGGAAGTCACAATGGACTTTTGTCCGAAAGGGGTCCAGCAAAAGATGCTCAGAACTTAACGTCAAACCGATCTTATTACAGGGAGCAAATGCAACCTTCACAATGGCAAGGAGGTACCACTGCCCGGCGACTGAATATAGTGAGTAGCCTACACATTATACAAGATGCAAAGTGGTGGCAGTTTTGGAAGCCACCATCCAGATTTCCCTCCCCGGTTCCTCGAGGAGGTCGACCTAAAAAAGGGCAGGGCCAGTCCGTATGGTCCTCTTTTGCTCACAGTCTACAGCGGTGGGTTAAATCTCTCAGAGAGCCAGAAGAGAATCGCTATCCTATCGCATATAACTCCAATTACCAAGAAGACGAACGTGATGCCTTGTGGAAGAATTATCTGAGAAAAGAAGATCGCCCCTCCCACCGTCTCCCCCTATTTGGGATGACATGGTTACCTGGACTCCCTCTTATCAATGCTAAAGTCGACACCATTTTCTGGTGTCGGAAAGAGCTAGCTCGCTTAAATCTTGAGATTGAAGAGGATCAGAAGCATCCCGAAAGCTTCCCATTACTAAATTCAGCCTTTATTCAATTCAATAGCCAAATAGCGGCTCATATGGCCTGTCAAAGCGAAATATACCATCTGCCAAAGTACATGACTCCAAGGATAATCGAGATCTCGCCTAGAGATATTATATGGGAGAACATGGCTTTAAGCTGGTGGCAAGAGTGGCTCATGATGATAATTGTCACTGGCATTTTATTAATAATGGTTTTCCTCTGGGCTCTCCCTATTGCTTGGACAGCTGCATTAAGTCAGCTAGAGCAACTTATTCAGACGAATCAGTTACTTCAATTCCTACATCAGAGCGAGACGCTTAAGACTACAATTAAAGCCATTTCAGGTGTTTTGCCTTCAGCTGCTATCAGTCTCCTACTCTACCTGGTCCCGATTATATTCGATACTCTTGCACAATTGATGGGAGCAAAAACTAAGTCTCAAAAGATTGAGTTCGTCCAGGCTTTTTACTTTATCTTTTTATTTATCCAACTGTTTTTGGTTGTATCAATTGCATCTTTCTTCACTGCGTCTCTAGAACAACTACTAGAAAACATTCAAAGGTTGCAAACTGGCAGAGATATCTTAAATCTGCTAGCAAGCAATCTTCCGAAAGCATCCAACTACTTCTTTTCGTACATGATTCTCCAGGCTCTTTCCACTAGCTCTAGCACCCTCCTTCAGACTGGGGCTCTTATTACGTGGTATGTAATTGCTCGATTCATTGACAATACACCACGTGAAAAATGGTACAGGAATATTAAACTTAGTGAGGTCCGATGGGGAAGTTTCTTCCCAATTTATACCAACTTTGCCTGTATTGCATTGGTCTATTGTATTATCGCTCCTCTAATCTCCATTTTTGCCATTATCACCTTTAGCCTTCTTTGGTTTTCTCAGCGATATATGATACTTTACGTAACTCAATTTGGGCATGACACTGGAGGAGTCTTATACCCTCGGGCTATTAACCAAACATTCACTGGGATATACACAATGGAGCTCTGTCTCGCTGGTTTGTTGTTTATTGTTGAGGATCAGAATGGAAAGAACACCTGCACAATACACGGGATAATTATGGTATGTGTTCTTATTGCGACAGCAATATATCAGATGCTCCTCAATTGGTCATTCGCGCCTCTGTTCCGCTACCTCCCTATAACCTTTGAAGACGACGCAGTACTCCGAGACGAGGCATTCCGGCGGGCCCACAATTATCAAGTTGATCAAGCTACCGACATCGCGTCAGAGAGGGAGGTCTCCAGCGCGAGCAAACTATCTAAGCAAGACAAGCCATGCACGACACATAATGAATGTCATGAGGCCCAGCGTTACATTGGCGACGCACTTTACGAAGGGATCAATGACGAAATCGAAGACTTAACACCTGAGAAGAGAGACACGCTTGTTCATAACGCATTTCAGCATGAGGCCCTGCGTGCCCGCTGCCCCACAGTCTGGATCCCCCGCGACGACCTTGGTATTAGTGACGATGAGATCCGTCGGACACAGGACTTTAGTCAACACATTTTAATTAGTAATAAGGGTGCAGCACTTGATAGTAAAGGACTCGTGGTATATAAAAAGAACCCCCCTGACTTTTCGGAGGAGGATTTAATGAACCTATAAACCCCCTATAGTCTATATAGAATATCTTGATGTTAGGCGCTAAACACACCGAGAATTAGTAACTGGATGCACCAAAGATTAGCAGTAATGCGGTGGAAACTACAGGTTGAATACACTCAAGATTAGGGGCTGGGTGCACTGAAAATTGGCAGCCAAATGCACTAAAAGTACCGGCCGAACAGGCTAAAATCAGGCGGTAAATGCACTAAAGATTAGGGGCTGACCGCGGGCAGACAATGTCCTGCAGATCTCTGTTACTAAAAGCATCCGTGTTTTGCACTTGACGTAGAGATGCTCTCTGTTACTAACCACACAGATTACCTTTAACTTGTAGTGGAACTAGCTGTCTGTTAGTCACAACAGGGATTTGCATTGTGGATGGCTGTCTGTTAGTCACAACAGGGATTTTCATAGTGGAGATAGCTGGCTGTTAGTCACAACAGGGATTTTCATAGTGGAGATAGCTTGTCTATTACTCACAGCGGGAATCAATTTTTGCTTAAAGTGGAGATGGCTGTCTGTTACTGACAACAGGGATCACTTTTGGATTTATATTGGAGATAGCTGAATCTGTTACTAACAGCAGGGATTGTCACAGGCTGAGGCCTGATACAAGGATTCCGGCTGTGCCGGACCCAACTATCCGAGGTATGGCCAGCCCACCGCCTTCAGGGACCTGATGTACGTAGCCACGAGCCAGCAGCTATGCTGCCCCTTTCTCTCTCCTCTTTAGCTTTAGATAGACAATCCTACGGCAACAGCCTGTTAATGTCCAGCCCTTCACAGGGATCAATTTTTGGAAATATAGTGGAGATAGCTGTTTGTTACTAACAGCAGGGATGCCCAGAGTGGAGATAGCTTGTCTGTTACTATCCGTAACAACAGGAATCACTTTTTGGACTTATAGTGGAGATGGATCTTTGTTACTACAATAGGGATCACGCTGTGACTAATAAGAGGGAGAGTAAATATATCCTATGGCTATAATCGATTTTAGTCATGTGCACTTTTTGTAGAGACCCCAAGATGGAATAGTCATACAGCCGCCAACACCAGCATCCTAAACTTTGCATGCAGCGTCATTGTCTAAAATGTCTTTTTTGTAAGATTTCATCTCATCCCATCCATGGCGAGTGTTGCACTTCATATCCTAGCTCTGCGCTTCATAATAGAGCGTCGTATTCTGGTCTACAAGGCTTCGATCTGCTTACCCGTGCCGTAGGCAATATTTATTACCGTTAGGTTTAGCTCCGCCGTGGAACCAAGACCGCTAGGGCATACAGGCTGATTGGATACGGCAAGGTTGACAGTACAGACCTCATCCACTCCCAACGTGCAGATGTCATTACCAATGTTAAAAAGACGATAGTTCTTAGCGACCCAGCTGTTAGGCTGGGAAAGGCACGAGGCCAGGTAGTTCATGCTGTTAGCAGCCATAAGAGGTAGCTTGCCATCGTCGAGCAGGTCGTAGCACTTGCTAGGGTGGACAGTCTCATACTCCATAGTAATGCCACCGCCCATCTGGGGTTCTTGGGTGGCATGCTTGCCAAAACCAAGCCAGTTCCAAGCGGCGTAGGATATGTCATAGGCGCTCCCGGAATGGTCAATTTTTAGCAGGTAGACTTTGCGGCCGCCGTAGGAGACCTTTACGCAGATATCATCGCAACCGACCGCGGTAGGCCAGTAGGCAACGTGGTTTGTATTGATCTTGCACCCGAGTACTCCGATCGATGAGCCGTACAGGTCGTGGGGAGTCATAGAAACAGAGCCGCAGTCGCGAGGGGCGATAGCGGCAAGAAGAGCAGTGAATGGAGCAAACATTTTGTGTACAGTAAGTCCTGGCAACCATACATTGCGTTGGTCGCTCCCTATGCTCTGCTATTTAGCGGCGGCGCTGGCTTAGTCAGATGGAGTAGCATCATTCTGCCAGTTCTGACCGTCTGGGGGTTGTTGGCTTGTGGTGGGAGAATATTGCACCGTGTGTCAACCTCACAATTATCAAGCCTTTATGGTAACTTGTGAACGTCGGTGTGTTCTTGATGTGTACCTTGAAGGACGTCTCAAAAATCAGACAGCAGGATCTGTGCATTGAATCTAGTCCAATTCTGGCCGTTGGTATGTACCACAAAGTACAAGTTACCCTGGTCCTTAAGTAATGTCAGAAGTCTAACCATTTCCAATTGCTGTTAGTGGGCACTGGCAGCCATGCTATGCACAGTGTGTACACTGTGCCTCAGGCACACTGGTTAGGAAATGGCCCTAGTCTGGAGAATTTCATAGCACTGAAAACTGATGCTGAGCCTGGACCCAACCATTGTGAAGCCTTATCTGATACCAGAGGCTGAGTGTCGTTCGCTTGAGCACCCTGGCCAAGCCAAAATGTGTGATGACAATATTTCATGGCTAGATAAGGAGCAGAGAAATGGTGGCCATGCATGGGAGAGAAAGATATAAGAACTTAATCCTAGTCATCCGAGCCCAAAATAAGGCCAGCTCGATCGGGTACAGAGGCTCCACGGGGGCTCCAAAGGCCTAAAACAAGGCCTCCTGGAACCCGCTTAAGACTAGAGCACAGAGCTGGGACGCAAGGCCGACCATTCCATTCTCAACTCAATCACCGTTTCATTACGTCTCCACTAACAATGGGTAGCTTTGCATCGCGCCAGGTCAGGTATGTTTCCTCCGTCTCTGAGATGCATCTGACGCAAACAGTCTTGAAGGTCGATGGACGCACGGAGCCGAACAAGCCAGCACATGGAAACTTTCCACCCCAAGAAAATGGTCACAGACATAAAATGCGCTATGTGTGGAGGACACCGTTCTAAGAAGCAACATAAAGAATCTAGTGGCATCCTAGATCATTTTATCTGCTCGAGACAGCAATGTATGGAGTTCAAAAATCTCCTTGCTGCCTCGCTCCATGGCAGACCGGTTATTATAGAGAACCATTACCATTATCTTGAGAAAAGATCGCAGACAGCCATGCCATCTGGTTTTGCTGAGCTGCCGGGTGAGAGCTCAACAGTTCGCGCGGAGCTGCCTGGGTACTCTGTCCACAATACGCATGCGGAATATCTGGCCGGGATGGAGGACACGCCTCCTGCTGTGGATGTCTCCACTAAACCATCGATGAAACATATGAAGGGCCATGCATATGTATAAGTGATTTTTTTCTTTTGTATTTTTCATATCTTGTTCACTCACTGGTGTGTATCAAGGTTACTACGGATAGTCGGTGGTCACGATAGCGTTAAACGATGATTGTAATGATTGGTCGCACATGCCAAAGGCGTGAAGTTGAGACATTTGCTTGACAGTGCTGTACGGCAGTGAAAGATTTATCCATTTCCTGATCAAACTCTTGTGATGGCCTGGGCTTGGTCCTGAACATGGTCCGCTCTGATGTACCTAGCATTTTTTAATCCACCGATCCACTTGTCATGGGCTGGTGAAGCTGTAGTTGCCACCACACAGTCCCATTAAGGGACGGATGGATTCCAGCAGTAGGTGCGGGGCGGGACTGGTTAGGCGGCGGCTTGGTAGCTCGAAGGATAGGAGACTTGGAAGATAGAGGGTTGGAGGGACCGGCTGTTTGGGATTGACCACTAGCCAGGGTAACGCAGTTTGTTATCCGAGGTCCATGTTCGCTATCTTATTGGACAGCTCAATAACAGTAAGTGCTATTATTAATGTTTGGATTTTTATATTTTAGCAATCCGCCGTCCGGTGCGTATTGTTCTCCACTGTGCCTCTAGTCCTTTGCCATTGTTAATCCCTATTCACGCTTTGCCTAAAGTCTGGGATCGGCAGACAATTTGCCCGGACCCGGCCCAATCTCACTCAGCCAAGTTTAAGAACCCACTCCGTCGACGGCTCTTGCTACTCATCACCATCTCTCTTCTACCATGCCTAGTCATAACGCTTACTGTACGGCTTGTTTTCACCATCTTCAACCTGATTTACCACAATGGCGCTTCCCAAACTCGAAACTTGTAAGCTAGGAATGCTCTCTTTACAAAGTTTCAGCTAACCAGTCCGAAGTTGTATTGCAAGAAGTATATCGGATCGATGATACAACAGTACCATTGGAATGAGTGCATGATATGCTGGAAGACTAAGGATCTCGCATTTTTTGATTGCGGTAAGGCGAGAAAGAGGCATTTGTCAACAGGAGCTGACATGATTAAGGCCATGGTTCTTGTGCGACGTGCTGGGTTAAGTATCGTAAGGTTTACCGAGAGACGCATGGGGCCTCTGCATATTGTCCTCTTTGTAAAAAGGGGCCACCGATCTTGACAATGAAACATGGAGTTTCCCCTGACGATAACAAATTTATCAACGCATTTCGAGGGGCTACTGCCTTACTAGGTATCCGTCAATCTACCGTCAGCAATAGCGATATCGATCAACAGGTTTCATTGGATACCCCTGATCCTGTTCGGCATGGCCAAACTCATAGACGCAGTGGTTGTGATCACGAGATTTCACCTGGTGTCCTCAGCCCAGATCAGAGCCAACTGGATAGAAGCACAGCAAATTCTTCCGAATTCCTTACCCATGAGTCTACCTCGACTCAAGTTCCTGGTCAATTACACAGAGCGTCTACGACAATCATAAGGAATCAAGAGTTCATTGATCTCACCCTGGTCGATGACGACCCATCAAGCATGGGGTCTTTAACCAGGAAGGAAAGGAAACCTACCAACACCGAGTTTTCCACATATACCAATCGAGGGGGTTTATCACGACGGAAGAGAACGAGGCGAGTCCGAGGGACAGTCGCAGTTAAAGATATAATAGTGATAGATTAGCACGAAACTAGAAACTATTTTATTATTTGCCCATGCCTCTCTTTACTCCAAGATTATTCATCTCTTTCTGGTAACTGTGCCCTCTTTCTAGCCCCTCCGACCCGACGTTGTTAGTTACACATATCGGCCGAGTCAACCCTCGACGGGTAGGTCGGACGGTAGAGGGGCCTAAGGTACATCGCCTCCTCTCCCGATTCAAAGATGAGGTGAGCGGGTGGAGCGGGAGCGCTGATCTCCAGCTTAGCTGAGTCCTCCCCTGAGCCAACAGACGGCACTTCAAGGAGTGGAACCATGTGCTGTCAACCGGGATCAGAATAGTGGATGGCATGACGTGGTTCCGAAGCAACAACCAGGGCCTAGACCTCTTCGCTGACCAGGATGTATCTCCCTATCCAATGATCACCTCGAGCTTCCAGTTGCTGGTTTCGACAGGCTCACATTGAAGTGGGTCTTTTCAGTACGCAAGTCGGACTGACAGAGAGGACGGCGGTATTTAACAGGAATAGTAATCCGCTTTCCATCGCTCTTTCAACTTCATCTTCCATTTTTACTTCTACAAAAACATGGATTCTTTACCTTTCTCTATGAACGGCTCTCTACAAACACAAATTTGGGATGACATGCCATGTTTGAATCACTCGCTTCTCACTTCTCAGCTCGGATTTCTGTCCTGTTCACAGCGTCGTGAACAAGCCTGGAGGGCTGGCTTCAACGCTGGCTTTGACGAAGGGTATCGCAAAGGCACTGATGCACGTACTCAAGTCAGTGGAGACAGCTTCACGGGGGTTTCAGAAATCCAATCCGTTGGCCTTGGCCATTACTCAAAAATGGAGCCTCAGGATATGCCGCTACTTCACTGGCCGGTTCTGGAAACAACACAGCACATTCCTCCTGATTTAGCCATGTTCATTCCGGCGGGCAGCACTGCTGGCAGTTTCGGGATGTCGAATTTCGGCATTGGCGGAGACATGTCCTTTGACAGCCAGAAGCCCTCCCTAGCGCTTGACGCTGAGCCGATCTCTCAAAACTCACCAGCCACCTCCAATTCTATCAATCTGATTCCTCATCACTCACCACCGTACGCCGGTGACTCTTCAAATGGTGAGGTGTTATACCTAGCGGGCAAAGCTGCTAGCTATAAGTTGCCTCCTGATGAGAAAAACACCGCGCATCCCGACCAGAACTACCTTCTGACCTTCCTCGCTTTGAGCGAGGAGCGTGCTTTCAAAGTCACCTCTCCCCCCCTTGGTGCGCAGATAATGGAAGACCCTATCCCTTCAAGCGTGGACATCAACACAACGGGAACCAAAACTACCACTACCAACAATTTGGAACTGGCGGATTGCGCACCAAGAATCTATCCGGCTCCTGATAGTGCGCCAATATACTCCTCCGTCGATGAAACCCTAGCAGCGTCCCCCATATCCAACTCCCGGTCCATCAATCCTCTGGGTAGCCACTCTGCTGGCTACTCTATCGGTTCTTCCGCAACCACCGATGGCTTTGCTTCCTTCACTGATTCCGCTATTGGATCTGGCTCCACTGGTGCCTCCTCTGCTGCCACTAGTGTTAGTTCAGGCTCTCCCGGTGGCTGTCCTTCTTTCGCTGCCTTCCCTATTCGTTCTGGGCTCTCTGGTGCCTCATCTACTACAACCCCCATTCTTTACGACTCCCCTGGTGCCTCCTTCGCTTCCCTCTCGACTCTATCGCCTTCTGGATTATGGTTACAGCCAATCATACAAGAAGAATCTACCCGTTTAGATGTCGCGGAAAGCTGCAGAGAAGAGGACGATGGTATTGCTTTGCCAGACGGAAAGGAGCCTCCAGATTCAACCAACTCCCCTCCCGCCATGTGCACGCTCAACGACATTAGCCGGAAGATGATGCCAAGCGGCCAACTTGAAAATGATTCATCAAATGACTCACCTGCCCACAATAACCCGAACGACGAAGATGATACAAGGGAAAGTTCCCCTGCGCTTAGTTTAGCATATGCTACTACTCGCAAGAAACTTGCCATCATTGATGTCAATGGGGATGGCTCTTGGACCGAGATTGAATCACAGGAGTTGGAAAATGAAGAATTCGGAGACTTGGAGAAGCCCCAGGGATGTCGAAAGCGGCAGTCGCATCAACCCTTATTCAATGATAGACCGAAAAGGGCTAGGCATGTGACGCCTGAAGCGACTCCTGAAGCGACGCCTGAAAAACGGTATTTTAGTCTCAAATCTATCAGACTTCAAAACCAGAACGACCGGAAGAAGCAAGAGATTCATTGGAGTACGCGTGGTCGTTGTTGGCTCGATCAAGCAACAAGGAAAGTGATTGAGGGCAATTCTTTACTAAAGGAGTGCTGTTTACTGTCTATCAAGATTCAAATTCGTCTCGACTGGCCTCTTATGATCTTATCTAAACAAAAGGGTGGATGGGAAGGCTCCAATGCCCAGGGTGATTGTAGGCTGCAGGTCAATACTGGAGATATTGAGGATGCAATACGGCAATCTTTAGGTACAGTTGAGGGGAATTATACAGGGATACCTCTATAAAATCAAGATATTTGACTGTTAGTCCTCTCGAGAGTTCATGTTGTAGGTTGTGGTGTATACGAGTGGCTGAGCAGTCGGAAAGTAATCCTACATAGATCAATCTAGAGGAATCTTTGCTACCGTACACTAATTAACCAGCGCTGAACAAAGGGTACACACACACACACACACAATTTATTACGCCCGGTGGCTCACAACCAATAGGGCACTAGTTGCTATTGTCTATATCCGTTTCCTAAGCTTTGTTATAATCTCGTAAAAGCCCATATAGCGTCCAATTTCTGCTTTTGCCTCTTCGTTTCCAATCTTTCCACAGGTCCCGTGGGGTTTGTATTATTAGCAAGCGAACTTGAAGGCTATTCTCCAAGTATTCAGAGTCCTATCTACGGCGGCTGAAGCGGTGCCTGCTGTCCATGGCACGAGGTGTTTGATTAGTGGATGTAGGGTAGGTTGGTAAGAAAGTAAGTGGGGTTTTGCAATCTAGTTTCAGTGCGGTCCAAGCCAAGCGTCAGTGATTTGTATAAAGAACTTTACTAAATGTAGCCCAAGTGTAGCTGATACAGTGTGTGACTAGTGTAAATGAGTCCATGCGGGCTGTGAGTCATAATATCACGTTTGGTGCCTTGAGTATCAGGCGCCAACATTTTCGTGTTGTGGGAGGGATGCGCAGCAAGTTCCTGACTTTCTCTTCCTTCATCTTAGAAGCCAGAAGCGGCTCGTCACTACTCGCAGCGTATAATGGCTCCGCGGCTGCCCCTCGAAAAGCGAGAGCAAATCCGCGAGATGCTACTACCTAGAGACCGGATCGACAAAACTGCCAAATCTATTCCTTACACCGAACGTCTACAGAATACAAGCGACCGCCAAACGATATAGGACGATGACAGTTCCTGTGAACTGCGTCGGCCCAGATCCCAAGATAACTACTCTTATGCGAGATGCATTACGTAGAGAGCTAACCCAGAAGCCCGATATAATAAGACGTGAGGTAATCACTTTCCTTTGTAATAGATTCGATGTGGAAGTATTTCCCACGAGTAAAGGATATGCATCATTCTTACATTTGTCGTGGCATAGTAATCACACTCTTCTCCTAAATATTGAGGCATACTTCACCAGCCTAGACGCCATTTAACTTCGGTACTACCCAAAGCTTCAAGCTCCCTCTACTGCAAAGCGTATTCGTCGCTCATACCGTCTAAGAGCTATTAGGCAGCAGCAACCTCCACCTACGTAAATAAACCGCTATAGGCCGGGGGTTGCTTCAGCGTTAATACTCATCATATAGGCTGATAGCATGGGGTTATTATCTTCAGTTATTGGGATATTGCCGTCGGGATCGGGAGGCTCCTCACTATCCCAATTGACCACTTTATCTATATCAATATGGCTTACCCCTATATTTTCCGCTGCAGATATAATTGGTATTGTATAATATGGTTTAAGAGAAGGAAAGGTATTTGAGCAATTGGGGGCTCTATAGCTTTGTATACTTTTTGGTAGTATAGGCCTACACTAGCAGGATAAACGCTCACAGCTGCACTGGGAAATAGAGGACCCACTTAACTTGCTATTAAACAATTCAGTAGCAACGCAGTAACTATAGTATACTGCCTAGAAAGCGTAAGAATTAACTTATCGGAGTACTATAGGGTAACTAGGAAGGGGCCCAAATAATTAGGCAACACATTTTAATATTTTCGAAATATTAAACTGAGCTAAGAATACATGGGCACATCCGACACCTCCACAGTATATGCAGCAGAGCTTAGGGGACTAGTCCTAGCATTGCAAATAGGGCTCGATGTACATGAAAGAGGCATCACCCCCGGCAACTGCGCTATATTCACCGACAACCAGGCGGCCATCCAAGCGATTCAGAACCCCAAGCACCTATCCGGGCAATACATCCTGGCCAAGGCTATACAAGCACTCAATCAGCTCCGAAGTCAAGGATGGGAGGTGCAGTTCCGATGGATCCCAGCACACGTCGGAGTGCCAGGCAATGAAGCAGCCGATCGAGCAGCCAAGGAAGCTGCCGGCCACGACCCGAACACACGAACAGTCCGGAACCGCAGCCAGAACCAGACTCTCTGCGGACCCTAATGGCAACCACAAAATCCACCATTCGTCGAACGATGAGAGGCGAGTGGGATATGTCCTGGGAAACGGCCAAGCACGGAAGAGACCTCTTCAAACTGGGGGTCCGGCCGGGAAAAGCGACACTAGACATACACATCGGAAAGCACAGAGCAATCAGCTCTGCTATCATCGTCATCATCCAGGTATCGTCTCTGTCGTTCGTCGTTGTCACCCTCCAGCCCTCAACCAAGTACATAGCATCGCATCTTTAAATCTAACTAGCTATTCCTCTTATTCTCTAACTACAATGCAATCTTCCTCTCTACTTGCTAAATGCAAGGCCTGTTGTTCCTCAGTATCTCTATCTATCCTCCTCCAGATGTCATCCACACCTCTTCTCCCTGTTCCTAGGCATCTGCATCGGCATCATTGAAGTGAACCGAGGACCTAGACTGAGGTTGGGGATGTGATCGGTGTCGTTTATTTGCGCGCTGTCACGGGCCAGATGAGATCAACTCAAGAGGTAATGCCACTGTATTGCGAGAATACTACGATGGAGAGGAAAGAGAGAAAGCGGGCAGGCGCGTAGACGCGTAGACGCATATGATAGTCCCTGTGGCCTGCCCCGTGCGCCCTAGTTACGTATCGACCCCACCCTGGGTCCAGCACTCCGGACGTTCCCGTCACACGCGCAATGAAGTTGCTGTTATGGGCAACAGCCCGTCATGAGGTCGTTTTCCGGAGCGGAGGTTGGCTGACATCGTAGTTGGGTAAGAGTACTGCTAGAATAAGGAATTGTATCTCAAAAGAATTACCGAAATCTTCATGTCCCTCAACGCGGCGAACATCCCTTTCTACATCCCTCCCTTCCTACATCCCTTTCTACATAGAATTGGCCAATTAGAGGGAGGTACATCGGCAGAATCCGCAAAGCATCGAGTGCATTAATGGAAATTATTTGAGCCAATGAGAGTGTGTAAAACGTGATGCCCACATAAGCCTGAGGCCCGCTTAGCAAAGTGTGATGCCCCCGTAGTAATTCCCTCAAGTAAAATCTGTGGGCTGGAGTACCCCGCACTTTAGACAACAAGCAATCAACACATTGCTGCTGCTCATTATCGTTTACCTGATCTTTGATCCTTTTAGCACGCTCAGTGCGACAGGAAGCCAGAAAAGGGGTTTCACTTTTACGTAGCGATTTTCTAAGGTTTAACTTTGCTTACGAAGATACTTGGCAAATTCGTCATTTCCCACACCTTCCTGCTCAATTTCTGCTTGTATTATGGATGCCTCAGCAACGCAGTACAATACATCAAACACAGGGCACTGTAGCCCAGATCCCGCCGACCCTGCAGTTCGCGGCGTGAAGTCAGTCTCGGTCGATAATGATGGCACAACCCCGTTGCACCTGGCCGCTGCAGCTGGAGATGACGAGACGGTTCGCCTATTCCTGGAAAAGGAGGGAGCAGAGTCAGTCAACTCGGTCGAGAAGGACGGCAAGACCCCGCTTCACCTGGCTGCTATAGCAGGACATGAATCGATAGTGGGGCTGCTTCTAGAGAAAGGAGCCACGAAGTCAGTCAACTCGGTCGACAAGGACGGCAAGACCCCGCTACACCTGGCTGCTGCAGCGGGACACGAATCGACAGTCGGGTTGCTTCTAAAGAAAGGAGCCACGAAGTCAGTCAACTCGGTCGACAAGAACGGCAAGACCCCGCTACACCTGGCTGCTGCTGCAGGACACGGATCGATAGTCGGGTTGCTTCTGGAGAAAGGAGCAGTCGATAAGATAGTTGAGTTGCTTCTAAAGAAAGGAGCCACGAAGTCAGTCAACTCGGTTGACAAGAACAGCAAGACCCCGCTACACCTGGCTACTGCAGCAGGACATGAATCGATAGTCGAGTTGCTCCTAGAAGAAGGGGCCATAGAGTCAGTCAACTCGGTCGACAAGGGCGGCAAGACCCCGCTACACCTGGCTGCTGCAGCGGGACGCGAATCGATAGTCGGGTTGCTTCTAAAGAAAGGAGCTACGGAGTCAGTCAACTCGGTCGACAAGGACGGCAAGACCCCGCTACACCTGGCTGCTGCTGCAGGACACAAATCGATAGTGGGGTTACTTCTAGAAAAGGAGCTGCAATCAACTAGGTCGGTACTGGTTAGCGGAATTCTACCTATTGCTATGGCTATAAGTATATTGGAAATTTATCAAGCCGCTGGAAGTATATTGATGGTTATATTGCTTTTGGTGGTTATATTGCATTTGATGGATATATTGCTTCTGAACAAAGGAGCCACGAAGTCAGTCAATTCGGTCGATAAGGGCGGCAAGACCCCGCTACACCTGGCTGCTGCAGCGGGACACGAATCGATAGTCGGGTTGCTTCTAAAGAAAGGAGCCACGAAGTCAGTCAACTCGGTCGACAAGGGCGGCAAGACCCCGCTACACCTGGCTGCTGCTGCAGGACGCGAATCGATGGTCGGGTTGCTTCTAGAAAAAGGGGCCATAATGTCAGTCAACTCGGTCGACGGAAATGCACGAAATCTCATGTATACTGCATTTCATTCCGAGCTTGAGACTCTCATTCGCAAAGTTTTGGACGAGATGTTAATACGAGGCCCGTCAGGCGGAAACGCTGACGAGCAATCTGGACGACTTTCCAGTCTACTCAAAGGCCTAGCAATGGATATGGCCTCAGCTGATCTCCGTTCCATATCTGTTGTTCGGGGCCACCGGTTAGGTCTCTGTGACAGCCTGAAACTCTACGTGGAGATAGTGACCGGAGAGCCTTGGGATTGGTGGCCTTTCCAGGATCCACCTCGTTTCTTAAGAGAAGACGCTACTTATGTCCGTTGGACTGGTGTAAGTACATTTTGCCAATGTCTCGATGTAGCCTAACAACGTCAGGCCTGTGGCGACCGACGCTACGAAGAAGTTCCCTCAAATTTTGCAGACAACCTCCAACGGTTATTGAACAAGTTTAAGGATGCTACGAAGGCGGTTTCACCCTATGATCAGTCCTTACAAAGTGGTTCGATTTCGTCAATCAACCAACCACAGATTGGGAAGGCTCCCACAGCCCATTTATTGCAGGGATCAATCGGCCCTTCCTCTAAATCAAACACTCCTCTATCAGCACCAAATCCAGGACCATCTGGAAGCCAATGCCCTGGAGATGTTGCAATCAATATGCAACTCATACACCACCAATTACCCCAACTTTGCCAGTTCATCTTTCTCGGCGTAAACAGTGGCGACTACTGCTCTCTTGCTGAAATAGAGGTTTCGAGTATGGATGATGACACCTTTTTTGAAAAGCTACGCGCGAACTACAATGAAATCCGCGGAGTCTTCCGTCGATATCTGAGCTATAGAGTGTATAACCATTGTGAATTTGTACAGGTATGTCTACCCTTTTATAGCAAAGCTATCTCGCTAAAGAACTTCCCTAGATTGAAAGAATCGGCGAAAATACCTTTGAACCTGGGGAATATCGGCCGGCTGTCCCGGATGGGACAAACAATGACTATACCTTCGAGCCAATTCCACCCAATCCAATGCCTCCTATCACGAAGAACGAATTCAAATGCAGATTCTATTATTGTTTTCGGCGGGGCGAACCACATAGGCACTACTTCGGCTTCCGCCAGTGTCCTAAAAGATACACTCCGTTAAGAAGTGCTCTCAGCCGCATTCCAAAGAGAAATTTTTGTCTTGATAAGAAAGGGCAGAATCGTGAGATATTCTGGGGTTTACTAGCAGTCGAACGCCCTTCTGCGTTCAAGGTTGCCGTATATCATGTGTTAATTCTGATCGGTCCTGTCATGTTTTGGTTCCTCTGGCTTTTCTTTTGGGGGCACTCAGGTGATTTGCAAAACGCGGCCATTCCATTTCTGACTGTATGCACATTGTTGTCTATGTTTTGGTTTCCTATGATTCATATATCATAGCTGAGTTTCATTACCTACATCGAGTGGTGTTGCTGGTGATTTCTTTCGTCGGTGCTCGACCTGGCTGAGGCGGTCAGGAGGCAGATCTCGATCGTTTATCAGTTCGGCTTGTACGATATTTTTGAGCAGGTATGCATCCGACTTTCCTTTCGGTTTGGCTGTCGATCGACTGGCTGCCTGGTTGTCCATGTAGATCAATAGTTTGCTCCTGATGTTCCCGTTGTCTTTGTCATCTTTGTTGAGCTGCTTGTGAGGGAACGATCATCTGACTTTCATACTTTATGAATAGTCTCGCTTTATGAATATGGGAATTGATATAGCGGCATGACAATTTTAATACAGAGGCATAACTCTTACAGCGGCATGACTTTTATATTATCTGATTCGCCAGATTTCCGTCGACCAATAGATACATCCTCGTAAAAGCGGTGAAGCCAGCTTCCCTAACAACACCTCCCTTTCAGTATAGAAACAATTAGGTCGGGCCAGCCTCCTAGAACAGTCTTGCCCAGGCGTCAAAATAAGGTCTAGTTTTCCATATAGAATAAGGCCAACTCTATTACACCCTCAAAGGCATATCAGTCTAGAGTTGCTATCATGCCACCTTTGCAGCTCCTTCTATATTTGATATAGTACAGTAGAACAGCATATTCTGAGATTCTTCGCCTGGCAGTCTATTTAGAGTTATTAACTAGCTGCAATTAGTATGTGATATAAAACTGGCTGGCTCTTTATGGGATAAGATTCAAACTGCTCTTCCTCTACCGATTGATATCATTCCCAGCCACCTTCACACTGTCGCTAGTATCATCATCCCCACAACCCCATTGTTAATTATCTCGACCGCTGTCGCAACTACGCGCCGTGGCCCAACAGACGGATATGAATGTCTCAATCCAGGTGTGTCCACTTACTATACCGAGGGCTAGTATTCACGAAGATTAGTTCGCTAACCACAGAGAAAAGCAAGGGAATTCCGATCCATTTGCGGAATTACCCCTTGAACTGAGACAACAAATCTGTCAGTATTTCTGCGACCATTGCACTGGTGCAGTTCCCATGCGATCAGACTCCAAGCCTGATTATAGACCACTCGCCAGTCTATGTCGCACATCTCGATCCCTTAGAGCTGCCGCACAGCCACTTCTATTTCATTTCTTCTGGTGCAAATACGGTCAACCAGAACACTGTTTGGGTCTATTTTCGAGGTCTCTAAGTGAGAGACCTCGCTTAGCGGATTACATTCGGCGTATTCACTACCGACCGGAACCTTGGGGCGGCAGTGGCTATATTAGCTCGTCTATGGGCCCGGGTACCGAATTATACTCGAACCCCTTCGAAGTTGACACCTTTAGGCTCCATCGCTCTCTATTCGATAAAGTATTATCGCAAGCACGACTCCTACAAGACTTAACTGTCCATATCGAGCAAAACTGGCGTCTCCCTGCTATCGATCTTCATCATTTGAAGCGTCTGCATCTTATTCGGCTCGACCCCGATATTTGGCATTGGAAAGTTAAGGGACCAAATCATCCCCAAGACCAAAGGGGTCTGAAAGCAGCGCCACAGCTCGAGCGATTGTGGTTAGAGAGGTGGAGCATATCGGACGTTGCTCACCGAAATATTTCGGATCTAGTGTCTAATATTCACCAGCTCACTATTAGTCCCGAAAGCCAGAATGACTTGAGCCAAGTTTCTGACGTTGACAGGGTAGCCTTTGCTGTAGATCTACCAAAGCTCTATACGTTCGAATTCATCGAGGACATTCACTCGCTGCGGAGAGAAATAGAGCTTTTATCATTACTCCTTCCAATGAGAGAAAACCTAACTAGTATTTCTATCCAATCCTGGCGCGTCGAGATCGAGTTTGGTTTACTCTGCGAGTTTACAAATCTTAAACACCTTCGCCTTTATACTATGATACGAGACATACTTAGAGCTAAGGATGAGAGCATTTCCAAAATGACAACAGATCCCCTTGCATTTCCTCGATCACTAGAGGCGCTTCACCTTGGTTTATGGGGTGCAGATCAAGGTTGGATTATCATCTGGCTGAGCCAGAGGCTGTCCACGTACCACAACCTAGTATATGTAAAATGCACCGAGGTCAATTATATAGACTCAATTCAGACTGCCAAGAACGGCAAATTCAGAGATTATGGCGTATATGAAAACTTTGCAGGAGCAGGGGTATTGTTTGTGGCCGTGGAAAAGAAGATCGAATATTCTCCAGTACGGGACCTTGGAGCGTTCAGTGGATTTTGGGCATAGATATAGACTATATCATTGCTCTTGCTCAGTACGAATTTCCTCAGTACGAAAGGTGCTGCGCGTCGATGTAAAATTAACAGTCCATTAGGGACTATATATTAGATGAGACGAGGCTCAAATTAAGAACAGGACCTTCTGTAAAGTCTTGTCGAAAACAACAATGTTAGTGAAGAAGATGGATGCTCATATCTATATCTAAAACTGATTAACTTCGCATTGGGACGGGGTTTTCTTCAAGGGTCTTGAGAAGCTACCCAACCGCGATATTGGTATTTAAATGGGTCGCTCTACGTTCTTGACTTAATAGGATTAAAGTGAATGCACAACAGAGTTTGATAGAAAACTTGCACGAGAGCGTTGAAAATTTGCCGTTGCAATATTTCATCTGTCTTCTATCTACCTAATATACATCCTTAATCAGCCTCGCTCTCCGGGCACCAGCCATAATTTCCTCTTCCGTCTTAACCGGGATAATTGTATCGCAACTCTGGAGGCCAATAAACTTGCCCATCGTGCGGCGCTTCTCCTCAAGCGACATTTTGGGACTCCAAATAATGCGACACGGGTATAGGTTGGTATACTTGTTGATCGTCTTCTGGTGGTAGAACTCAGCGAGAGACTCTAGTTGCTCGTCCGTCAGAAGCCAGAAATTGAGCACGGTCATTGGGAATTCCGGATGTACAGTGCCGTGATCTAACTCGACGAAGGTAGCTAGAGGTAGGGCCATCTGCACCAGCTTACGTGCCAGATCGGGGTTCTTGGCTAGTCGCTGGTGGGCGAGAGGCTGATGACTTCGCGAAGGGAACTCTTTTTTCATCATTTTGGCTCACAATTAAGCAAACAAATAGTCCAACCACCAACGGTGCCAGCGCCCTTGTATAATAATCGGTGAGAACTAGGGATTATGAACAGCCAGTCCAGGAGGATTGTGGCCGAGCCTGTCTTTTAACCAGTGTCATCGCGCACCTGTTCTGCTGAAAATGGCCTATATATTGCTTGCTTAGGAGCTTTTCTGCCTGTCCAAAAATGAAATCAGGGTGCCACCAGCGCAGTGTGGACTTTTTGTGCATTAAAGATAATATGTATATAAAGTGTACTCAGAATAAAAAAGGCGGTATTGCTCAGGGTTGAACTTTAGTTGCATCAATCCAAAATGATCCGAATTCTATAAGCGATTTGAGAAAGCCGAACTCTTGTACAGTGTGAAACATGCGGAAATAATAGAGGAGAATCTTACCCTTGCGCCCGGCGCCTATTGGAACGATTTTTGTATTAAGAACTAGCCAATATAGCGGCAGTTAAACTAGCTGGAGCCACACCTAACGAGACGAAGATTGTTGTATCCGTAGGGAAACGTAGTGAAAGAAATTTGAATAAGCAAGTGGACGGATTGGATGTCGATTGGAAGATGGTCGAAGCACCTTGAAAGAGTACGTCATGACCTAATAGCAGCTACACACATATTAACATTGAGAGTCACTAGTTGCCTTACGGACCCTGGCAACTGATTATCGCTTTTTTCAAGTATCATACCTTGCTTTAACCCCCCACATTTGCAGTTCCTACTGTACAGGAAATGCTTGACAGTGCCGGCCCAGCAACCTGAGCACAGCGAGATTTCTTACATCGTTAATCCCTTGCTCTCTATTTTCGGCGTAAGGTAGTCGTACAGTGAACTTAGCTAGCTCAAAATGCAGGTCTTGTCCCGTTGGCAGCTTGCTCTTTGAGGTCGCTTACACGTTTCATGGTATTTCTCAATGTCGGGGAATCCGATAGCGGGCAGCTTGGCTGGCAGCGCGTTATCAAAGCACTCACCCTCCTTATTTGCTCGCCTCGGACCCAGACCAAAGAGCATTGCCAAACAGTACGAAGCAGCCTCTGCACTAGCCTCAACTAATGATTCTTCGGTCGAAGACCTCTATAAGATCACCTGGGGCCAACGACGCTTCGTGATCGGAGGTTTGCTGGACAGGCGAAAGAGCCGGGGCAGGCGCAGCTGGATTGGAAACTATGGGTGGTTTCTGGCAGAATTGAGGGCAGACAGTACATCAAGCGGCGACATATGGTGCTGCCGGCTCTGTAATGAGAAGGGGGCACCGCAATTCTTCAATGCGCAGTCCACATCTTCGGCACAGGCCCACCTTCGGAAGTTGGAACCCCATTCAAGAACTGCAGGATACTGCTGACCCATCTAGAGCTCACAGGATTACCGAAACCTTCCAGCCCGCTTCATCTGATGAGTCCTCCGTCATCGACCTTCAAAAAGGGGCATCTATGAAACGACCGGCTCCGACTGCCACGGTTGTTCCCCGAGCAAAGATCACGCGGATCCGAGAGCTGTCCGTTGGCTACATTGTCGATTCGAACCTGCCGTTTGCCACCCTCGAGAGTACCTACCTGCAAGAGCTGTTCCGGCAATTTGATCCTGACCTTTGTCGCCACGCGCTCCGGGGTCGAACTACAGTAAGAAAGGACCTAGGGGACATATTCACGCAGAAGAAAGTATCTATCAGGAAAAAGCTCAACGAGGCCATCACCCAAATACACATCAGCTTTAATCTATGGACCTCTCCAAACAGACTGGCCTTTATTTCGATATTTGGTCACTTTCTTAACAAGAAGCATCTATATTGCAGCCAACTACTTACTTTTCGGCGGCAGGTTGGGTCGCACTCCGGTGAGAATATCGCATTTACAATCAAGAGTGTTATCCGGGACTAGGAGATCGACTCAAAGCTCGGGGTCTCGATCTGTAACAATGCGAGTAGTAACGACTCTTGTTTGCGGAGTCTCTATGCAAGCTTCGATGCCTCGATGACTCGCGCTGATACTGAAGCACGAAGGATGCAGTGCTTCGGGCATATTCTCAATTTGGTGGCCCAGTCTTTCCTCTACGGCGAGGATGCTGCTTCTTTTGAACTTCAGTCCGAAGCCTATGGCTTGCTCTAGCAGGTGGAAGAGGACCTTGAGCACTGGCGAGCGAAGGGTCCAGTCGGCAAGCTCCATAATATCGTCAAGTTCATCCGGGCCTCCCCGCAGCGCACCGAAGCATTTAAAGCACATACCAGGGAGCAGGAGGAGGCTGAAGTATACAAGCTTGCAGAGGAGTCGACAGCTGAGCTCGAAGTCATACAGAACAACAGCACCAGGTGGAATTTGACGTACATAGTGATCGAATGTGCCTTACTGAAACAGTCCGAGCTCAATAGCTTCATCCAGAAGCTAGGTTTAGAAGCAGATGCATCCAAAAGGGCGCCTACAGCTGATGTCCTGACCTCTGACGACTGGAGGTGCTTAGGGAAATTTACTATGTATTAGAGCCAATCTACTATATGACTATAAGAACATAAGGATGGGGCACAAGTAGTGGTTACGGCCGGCTTTGGGAGGTTATGATAGGGATGGAGTTCATTTTGGACTATCTTGAAGACTGAAAAGCCCTGTATGAGGAGAAACCTACTTATTTGGCAGTAGAAGCAGGGCTTGTAAGGCAGGGGGAGGAGTCGCCATCCCTAACACCTAGCCAAATATGAGAGCGACTATTACGCCAACTACAACTACCCTCGAGGTTTTAAGGGTGTGAGATTCTTGCCGCTATTGTCAGACGGAAGCTCCGGCTTATTCACCGGTTGCTCCACGGTTTGATGAGGCCGCCTTGTCTGCTCATTCTCGAAATGAATACGTGCAGAGTGACGCTCGCTCCGTCAGTAGTATAGCTAGTATGGAGGGGCAAGAGCGAGCCAGCATTAGGGCGAGCATCAATAATGCTTGGATAAAGCTTAATGAATACTACACGCTCCTCGGCCAATCCCCTCTGTTTGCGGCCTTCGTCATTTTAAATCCGGATCTTGGCCTCCAATGGCTTGAGGCTAACTGGAGCTCGCTAGAGCAGCTGCGGTAGCTTCAGGATGCAAAGGGTGGAATCAAACATTACTTTGAGCGTTGGTACTTACATAATGATATAGCCCTTAAGAAGGCCGATGTCACAATGCCCGTCATAACGCTCCCACCTAAACAAAGCAAGTTTGAGCAGTGGGTGCAGAGCCGACAGCCTAAGCTCTCCACGACAGGTTGTGAACTTGAAAGATACTATAGGCTCGAACCGGAGCAGGTGAGAGATCCTGTTCAATGGTGGATCGATCATAGGAGCGCTTTTCCGCAGCTCAGCAGGTTTGCCTTGGATGTTCTTGCAATTCCGGCTATGGCAACCGACTGTGAGAGGGCATTCAGCTTGGCAAAGCTTACAGTCACGTCACAAAGACATTCCTTGCTTGGATCGACCGTTGAAGAACTGCAGTTGCTGAAGAACTGGATCAGAGGAGGTTCTGTCACACTGGGGGGCCTGTGTTGGAGCAACCAAGCTGGGGAGAACCTAGCTTCAGACTGACCCACCCATGCATATATCAGATATCAATCAATCAATCAATCAAATCAGATATGAGCCGTAAACCATCAGTTCAGATCAGATTTGGCCTCAGATCTGATTTGATTGATCTGACGGCAGCGCTGAGCACGAGTCGCTTCACATCGAGGGCTTCAATCAACCTCGTCTTCAATCCACAGCAACAGCAGCAACAACAACAGCAACAGCAATAGCAACAGCAAACTATCGTCAATATGACCCCCACACCTGATATCGCGAAGAGAATCAGCGAAATAATGACAGACATGGCAAAAGAGCAAGAAGAGCTGGAGGCTATCTCGCTCTTCATCGATAATATTGAGCAAGCTAGTTTTCGTCAGATGTCAGGGAGTGCCTCAAGCGCAAGGAACAGAAGAAAGAAGTCCAAGGTTCTGTCTACGGAAGAAGGAAAGTCTATAGAAGAAGAAAAGGAGGATTATGAAAGGAGACAAGTGGAAAAGCAAGAGAAAATCCGCCTTATGTGGTTGAAGATAAATCAACTCCAGGAAGAAGGCAAGAAAATTTAGTTTATTAAGCGAAAGGAGCATCAGTTCTATGACCAACCCCATTTTGCCTTTAGTGCTTTAGATGCAGCAAGCAATTTTTCCTCCTCAGTCTCATACAGCCCGTTCTTCTTCAAGTACTGGGTGTAGCGCTCACATTGTTCCGCTCGGCGTTGCACCTCCACTGCAAGTGCTTTGTGTTTATTGAAAAATTCAGATACCATATCATCGATATGCTTGTCGGAAAGCTTCTGGGCGAAAAAGTCGCAGAATATGTCGGTGACGTCAGTAGGACGGCGTAGTACATGAGTAACACAAAATGCCATCTCCGTTTGGTCGATGTCCGACTTGCTGGCATCTAATTGGCCATACCATTCCCTTCTGAGCTGGTCGCAGAGGCTGTTTGTCTTGCTCTTCTCATCCAGAACGTTGCGGAACTCGGCGTGCATCTGCTTGTTCGTCTTGATCGAATCATGGCCAGTAATCCATGATGGTGGGGTGAAGACTTGGCGTGGAACAGTACTTGTGAACTCCCAATCAATTATGCCCTGAATCTGCAGGTTTTTGTCCACAATGATATTGGGGCTCCGTAAGTCCAGATGGTTCAACACAAAGGGGCCCTCATCTAGCTGAGGATCAATAATATTGTGAAAAATACGCTCCATGCCGTCTAGCGCGAAAACCTCTAGTTCAATATCATCGACAGTATGATCACGAACTGGTGGCGAAAGGAACCTTGATATAAAGCTGAATTGGTGTATCATGTAATCCTTGGCGGAAGCAAGGACTGGCGGAGGCGGCAGCCGAAGGGTGGTGGCAGACATGGATATGAGGGGGCCTAAAACAGGGTGCGAGCTGCCATGAGGATTTGGCATCAAGGAGCCTATTGAGGGGAACTCGAGTTTCCTAAGCTCAGCCAAAATATCGATTAGCTGAGAGTAGAAGTTTCTTCTGTGCTCCTCTTTAGATTCAGTCAGAAGTTTCTTATCCAGCGGTTCGCCTGGAATGAGGTCTGCGATGAGAAACATTTGCGTTCCCGCGCTGGTTTTGGTCAACTTGGCATCGCGTCCATAAGCACGAACGTGAGGGACGGGAATCCGGGTGTTGCGCTCGAGGTATCTGTGTCAACATGAGCGGTAGTCGAAAGCGGGAAAATAACCAGCACTCACTGTATGGTGGTCACTTCGCTCAACAACTTGTCCCAGGGATTGTCGAGAGCGGGCTCGATTGGGACCCTGACAATCCACTTGGGACTTTCTTGGTCAAACTCGACGAAGAAGCAAACATTGAAACTGCCGTTGTCCTTGTTCACAACCCGGCATGGTTTGCCATTGTTGTACCGTGATGCTAGATCGCAGACCGCATCTGGGTGTAACGATTCGATAAATGTTTTTTTGACTTGATTGTATTGGTCGTCAGTAGCAGCAGGGAATCCCTGAGTATCAGATTCAAGAGTTCCAGTCTCTGGTTCATTGATCTCTGGAGTGTTGATCTCGGTGGCATTCGTCTCAAGCGTCTTGGTCTCTCTGACACTGGTGAACTGAAGTGGCTGGCCCCATGGCTTGGATAGGTAGAGAACTACCACTGTCCAACGCGTGCGTACTAGACGAATGAGAGCGGAGAGCATTGTTGATCCAACATTGACGCTTGTGTTGTCGATTCAGCCGGATGTTGGTTTCATGGTCATGCAACTGGCCGGATGGCAAGGGTAATAAAAGGGGGCGGCCACTCGGCTAATAGTAGTTCCGGCGATGCACCGGTATTGTAGGGGCCAAAGAGGAGGTTCAAGCTTGCAAAGGTCACGGGCGCGTTTTGGCACAGCAAGGCGAGAATAGTAAAGAAATACATAATAAATCCACCATGGCGATGCACGCCCGATAAACTCAATTAGAAATTCGACCAAACAGAAGATCAAACCCTCTACCAAAATGATACATTTTAACCGTCTTCGGCTTCTATTATTCCGTATTAAAGAGAAATGGAGAGTCGAAACGTTCAGTGGTCCATGCACGGGATGGTGACCTCCTCCAGCGAGCGGGGTGTTTCTGCAGCAAGACGCTAGACGAGGACAAACACGCGCATGTGTATTACGTAATTTCTGCCTCGAATCAATTAGTTGTTGTTGAGATACAATCTGCAAAAGTAATGGGTACCCACACTGATGGTAGTGTGAATGTAGTATATATGCCTGGTCCTTTCAACAGTTGTTAGGCTATCATTGTGCTAGTTATAGTAAATCTCCGTATTCGCACGGCGGTACAGTAAGATCCAAGCTCAGCGTCAGTGTGCCTGGAGGAACTACGAAGTAAGTTCCGAAAGGTTCCTTAAGGGACCGCAAGGTGGCTGCGTCTGGTGGAGGAATGCCTGGAGGAACTACGAAGTAAGTTCCGAAAGGTTCCTTAAGGGACCGCAAGGTGGCTGCGCCTGGTGGAGGAAGAAGGAAGAAAAAACTTACTGCCTGGGCTTGACCAGACCCTACAAAAGCACAGACCACTCTTCCTTCCGTATTGGGCCATCACACGGTGTATCACATAGTGGGTGGCCTTTGCTTTTACTGTACTGCACTAGCTTGAACTTCATGGGTCCAAGCCACACAGCCACAAGAGGCTTAAAATGACGCAAAGCAGCGAACGCAAGCTGAGCCCTATCTGGCATTGATTGCTTGATCCTCTTCGCCCAAGTATTTCAGATATGTCCTTGACTCTCGCTCTCGCGGACTGCAGATAAGACGCCGCTTGCAACAAGACAGGTTACTTGCTTATATATTGATGAATCTATCTTGAATATACTATAATATTTAGTAAGCAGGAGTTAATAAATAGAAATTGGTTAAGCTCTTGGGCCCGTAGAAGGGCATAAGGGATGAATAGAAATAAGTAACTTGAAAATATATGAATACTACAGTATACTCCTCGAGTTATTCAAGCCAAGCTAGCAGTTCTGTTGAGCTAGCAGGAAGTTGACATCATCGATATCCTCTACCCCACATATTTGCACACTGGGTATGACAAATCGGCAGTTGAATAACCAACCAGAAAGACCGCTATAAAGTTACGGCGAGAGATTAGCGAGTTACCAGAAGAGAGTGACAGATTTTAATGAACCTTATTATGTAGGACTACTGAAGCGAGGCGGATTGGACTGGTGCTTTGAAGGGTAGCTAAATGGCTAGGGCCTAAAGAGGCCTAGCTGTGGGGAGCCATTTTTGGCTAAAGAAGATCAGCATTGTCCTCTTCAACAGAGGCGATCTGTCAGACAGACTGATACATAGAAAAATCAGCTATGTAGAGGACCATAACAAACTCTTCTGTGACTTTTTACTGTGATGTAACACGTGCTTCCTTTCAGTGTCAGGCCGGAAAATCGGTCCCGGACCGATGACTAAGGATGAGGAGCCTGACTCTGCTGATCGACTGATCTTGGAATACTAATACCAGTTACTTTAATATTAGAAATCCAACTACCGAGATCATTTTTCTAGGGGATGTCTTCGTCCTAGCAACCCATAGTGGTATGCTCATATGCAAGCCGAGTGGTATGGGGTCCAGCTAATGACATCATTTGGCTTTTCATTTAATGTTGAAATAGACAAGCCCAGCACATCGGCCTCGGGCTTTCTCAGAAGTGCGACGACAAATTAAATAAGAGAAGCATATTAGTCACAGTCGGTACGGAGTAACGAAAGAGCGATTATCAATTACATAAGCTATGTCGGACTCGGGCTTTCGCAAAAGTCCGGCGGCAAATCGAATTCGGGCCCCACCAGCCAGTCTCCGTGTAACGGACGAATCTATCACAATTACTGTATATAAAAGGCAACCCTTAGAATGTCAAAAAAAAAAAAATTTCACACGATCATTCAATTTTCTCCAGCTGGTTGAGACTTATTCCCTCTTGATTAAATTTCTTTAAGGCGCCGCCAGAAAAAGCTCATCCTGCAAGATGGCTATCACTGAGATCATCCATTTTGGAGTACAACCAGTTCTTGACGCGCACCCATCACAAACAACCGTTGACGACACTTTTCAGAAAGCTGCTAAGGCCCTCGGAGAAGCGAAAACTCCCCAGCACTTCGCTGTTGGTACACAGATTCAGAATCAAGGTGCCGTCCAGATTACGTCAGAGTGGGATGGTGACCAGGACAGCGTAAACATTGAGAATACTCCGGAGCGTGATTCCTTTCTTCAGAGTGTTCGCAGTTTCTTTGGCGAGCCATGCAGCATTTTCCACGTCACCCTGGACCGGTCAGCATTCGGAGCAGATGGGCCTGCCACGGCGAACGTCGTCGAGTTTGTGCAAACCTTCTTCCCATCGTCTCGCGTCACTCCAGAGTTCCAGAAGCAAATCGGAGAGGATTTCCTAAGGTTCGATGAGATCTATAAGGAGGGCGCAAAGGGAAGTTTAAGTTGGGCATGTGGTTGGGTCCTGGAAGAGCAAGACCATGAAAACATCAAGGGCGAGAAAGCGAAGTCGTTCTTCGTTACTAGGGGATGGGAAAGCATGAAGCATTTCGAGCAGTCGGTAAACAATGACGCATACAAGACTGCCATACCATTACTGCTTGCTTGGAACGCCCCTTGGAAAATGGTAAGTGTCCACTTCCCCATATGAAGCAATATCCGGAGATTAATAAATGGTAGTGGCATGTCGAGCGAAAACCCTAGACAGCATCAAGCTATGAAACAATTGTTGAGATCCGTTGTTTGACAGATCAATGGCTATTCCGATCATTTGGTGGATGGGATGTGGATGTCTTCTTGTCAATATCTTCCGCTGGTTAGCGCTAGTTATTTTTCTTCAATACAATATGCTCATTTCGACAACAATATGACACTCGTGTACGGTCATCTTAGTCGCCTCTGAAGACGGTGCTAGCGCATGCCAGCGGCCTTTATCGAAAATCCTCCAAGCTACAGAAGAATTATTTTCTTTTGTATCTGTACGGAGTAGAGGAGTGGTGTACGAAAGACATTAAGAATGAAGGAAGAGTGACAGATTCCTGTACCGCTGTGTCCGTGGAGGGAATGGCTGCATGAGGACCATGTGATCAATCAGACAAATCGGCAAAATATAGGTCCGAGACCACGACGTAGCTGACCATGTGTACAGTGTAAATAGCAAGAAAATAAAACTGTATTGTTCTCTCTAATTGGCTTAAATTTTCAAGCGATATTATCGAAATACGTCAAAGATATTATATTGTACTGTATTCAGTCTTGAGTTTTCTCTTCTTTCTAACAATAATTGATCCCATTTTATAAGGTGATCTTGTTAGATTGGATCATGTAGCGACGTTACTTATATTATGGTACAACTCTTAAATCCGGCATCTTACCGATAATACCTATACCTAGAAGCAGCACTTCTTCATCTTCACCAGCTTAACTACGCTAGAACAGTTCCTCCAGGCTTCCTTTGGCGGGCCGCTTGCCGGACCAGTCCCTCCTGTTTTGGTGTAAGCAACTTTACCAAATGTGGATCAAATGTGGCTTGACACAGTGTGTGGCTGGTGCCAATGGCTCCACGCGATCTGCGAGTCATAACAGTACGGTCGATGCCTCAGGCACCAAGCGCGCAACTTTTCTCCCTCTGGGAGGGAACGCGTGGCAAGTTCCTGACTTACTCTTCACTCATCTCAGAAGCCAGAAGCGGCTCATCACTGCTCGCAGCGTATGATGGCTCCGCAACTCTCCCCCGAAAAGCGAGAGCAAATCCGTAACATGCTACTACATGGAGACCCGATCGACGAAAGTGCCGAATCCATTCCTTGCACCGAACATGCCGTCTACAGAATACAAGCGACCGTCAAACGATATGGGACGACGACAGTTCCTGCGAATTGCGTCGGCCCCGATCCCAAGATAACCCCGCTTATGCGAGATGCACTGATATATTGGGGTTGCGCTCCAGGTACAGATAGCTGTATAGGATGATGGGCAAACATCTTCAATTAGCACCGTGGTATACCGACAAGAGCGTTTAAGGTTTATTGTCATCGACGAGCTCGGGAGCCCCGAAAGACTGGACGCTTTGGTACCCACGGGCGCCTCCAGTCCCATCGTACAACGCTTGCCGAGATGCCACTGACAGCGATCCGTCCCCCTTTGACTTCAACGAAGTTGTTCGGCACCACCGAGAGATCATCCTGCATCGAAAGAATGACAAGGCCCCTGAGCTGCCGTCGTACTTGCCGATGAAGCTGTTCTGGTCGAGCGCCATAGTAAAGATCAGGCTTAGCGCAAACGTGAGTTCCATCCGTCAAGTGATCGAGATTCGTCAAGGGTATGTCACTGGCGACATATTTTGTGTCTCCTGGATCTCCTTCGATTATCGGCATTACGGTTGTAATGACTAATACTCGCGGTATTCCTTGACAACCCTCCTCTCGCGCTGGGCTCGCTTTATCCGGATCGGACTGCAGGACGAGGGACGAGGTGCCGGATGAAGGCAGAGATAATCGCTGCCATAGTAGAGACACGCCCCTATGCTTAACCGCGGAGAACGGAGCGAGGTAATGGTTAAGTTGCTGCTCGAACAGGGGCGTGAGACTCAGTCGATTCTGTCGGTCGGATGACTGGCGAGAGACTCCCATACTCTATGCTCCTGTAGGTCGCCGAACAGAAGCCAGCATAGTAGAAGTGTGATTACAGTGTTCTGCTTCTGCCTACCTTCCAGCATGTGAATTTCCCGTGCCCTTAACGTTGAGTCTGGGATTTTTCTCTTGCCTGGTTCAGGTCGCCGCGCGGCGCTCCGCTACACACGGCTAGCCTCGGTCGCGTGGCCTCATCCGTCCAAGCAAGCGAGGCTCGCTTGGACTTCGTGAGCAAGACAACGCACAGAGACGGACTTCTGGGTGGCCCGGACGCAGTCACCCCAGTTCATTCCCTCGACCAGGCGAAGGGTACGCAGATGGTACAAAAAAGACGCCGGGGGATTAATTCCCTGTCGCGAGACAAGGTTGATCGCGGAGGCTTGTCTTCTAAGCGAAATGCCAGCTCTGCTTCCTGCCATGCTTCCCGCCACGCTTCCCGACACACTGGGATCATCGAGCTTCTCGATCCTGGAACGCATAGACAGCACGATAAGTAGGAGGGGCAAACGAAAACGTGTCATTCCGCTAGCCTAGACTCGAACAGGTACAAACATCGTCATTCCGCCACCCGCTTCTCCTCCAACAACCGGAGGCGGTCGCGGATCGCAAACTTCCACTCCTTCGCCACCTTGTACACCAGGAGGAGGCCCAGAGTAAAGAGCAGGATGCAGGACATCCCGATCGCCGTGACGCCGACCCAGAGCGCCGCCCCCGTCCAACCGCCCCCGCCGTCTTCCCCGACCGACACCACGACCTGCAGTCCGCTCAGGACTACCGACGCGATCCCGATCACGAACAGGATCGGCCCGTAGAAGCGTGCAAAGTACATTCCGTACTGGTGCTCGACCCTCTGGAAGTGCAACTTGCCGAGGAGGAGCGGAGCGTACGGGTTGAGCCACGTCAGGCGGATCTCGCCGTAGGCATAGCGCAGGGAGACGTCTCGGTTTGCGATGTCCCCCAGGCTCGATGTGAAGTCGCAGAACTGCTCCCAGGTGATGTCCGGCGGGACGAGACACAGGCTGGGGTCCTGGGCGATGCGCAAGTCGGACTGGTGCTTCACGAGATGGTAGTACGTCCGCAGGTAGCCCAGCGCCGCTCGTCGAATACGTTCAAGTCCTCCGCTGCCGGCCTCTGTGCAGAGATAGTCCCTCCAGAATGCGTACGACGTGATGTACCACGGGAGCGGCTTGATGAAGATGCGATCGTGGATCCACACCAGGTGGAGCTTCGGGTCCTCCGTGACGACGATCATGCCCCGTTTCACCAACTGCCGGTAGAGAGGCGATATGTTTCCGCTGTCCTGTTTTGACATCCACCAGAGCCTGTTGGCGATCCGGTCCAGATCGTCCGAGCAGAATTCTCTGGCCAGCAAGTCCCATACCTTGCTTCGGTTCTCTAGAGGAATGTGGGGGTGTCCCGGCACGTACCGGGCCGGCTCGTCTAGCTCCCGCGTTAGCTGATGTTCCAAAGCGAAGGGCGGTGTCACGGCCATTGATATCATCGTGAAGGTGAGGAAGCAAAACTCAGTGTCGCCAGAATCACGACCTCATCTGTCGAGGGCGGCAAGCAACGCTGGTCGAGAGCTTGCCTTGTAAATGGCCTTGCCATAATCCTTGACAATGATACGCCGATGCACTCTGTTCAGTGGTACGGTAGCGGCCTTTGTTGGAGATGCGGAGCATGATCGTTTGCTTGGAGGCAGGGCAGAGTCGGTTTGGCTGGATGGCCGCTTCCTGCTAGTGCTGGGGCGGCCCTTCCGCGGCCCTTCCGCTGTCATATTGCTGAATTGCGCTGGGCGACCGGGTCGGTAGTTTAACGCTGTCGCCCCAGACGTGAGGCTTCACTTAATTTCACTTTGCTTCACCCCAAGGAATTCCTCGCAGCAGCTCAGCTGAGCCTAGGGCATCTCTCGCAAGCCGCTAGCTGGCTGTGTAGCGAATCCTGCGAGAGCTGCAAGCAAGTGGGCCCTCGCACCAACTTCTGTCCGACCGCTGGGGTAGCAACGAGTTGACTGAGAATCTTTGGCTTGCTTCACCGGTGCTGCACCACCCTGTCAAAGGTTAGTAAGGGCCGAGCACACGAGTCAGCAGTGCAGCTTGGATTTGCCGGTACTCGATCCTATTGGTCGTAGATACGAGGGGCTGCATTGGCTGTTTCCGTTCATGGACACCGCTGGACACCACCTGCTGCAAACCTGGTTTCAACCAACATTACGCCTGCAAGCCCTGTGCCGGTCGGTGCCAACAAATCACGTGCATCCATCAATCAGAGTAGAACTGAGACCACATTTCTCTTCCTCATTTCCTTCCCTTTCCATCCCCAGCACTTCGGTTCCAAGCGCAATCCGCGACGAGATGGATGACGACGCGCCCCAGGAGCGGGGCCCGAGCCCGCCGGATCCACCATCACCGTTGCAAGACATCCTAGCTGAGAACCCTGTACAGGTGGACGTGAGTGTACTCTACACTGTAACCCCCGAGCCAAGCAATGTAGATCACTGTTGACAAGCTCTTTGTTGTTGTAGGACGCTATACCAGATCACGATTCTGTCTTGGACGAGTCGTAAGATCCCCAAACCTTAATTCTGGCGGTGGACAGAGACTGACAGGCTTGCTCTAGAGAAGCATCCAGCCAGTTAACGTCCCTGAAGTCTAGCATCATAAATTACAAGTATGGTTGCGCTAATTGGCTCTGATATTTGGAAGATATCTAACAAGCTGTGTCCCATGATTGATCAGATACGAGGTCAGTGTCGGAGAGGAATATTGTGCTCCGGGCGGCTTGCTAACAGCGTCGTAGAACGGACGCCGCTATCATGCATTCAGAGAAGGGACATATCCAGTGGTATTTGCCCCAAACAAAAGTCTGTTTGGTGAGAAAAAGGAAAAAATGCTCACCGGACCATCAATAGCCAAATGACGAACAGGAGCAAGATCGCATGGACATGGTACACCACATATATCGTCTGTTACTGGGAGGCAAATTGTATCTTGCTCCGATTGGTGATAACGTCCAGCGCGTGCTTGACCTCGGTACCGGGACAGGAATCTGGGCAATGGATTTTGCAGAGTGAGTGTCCATCGCTACCACTTCAGCCTCGAAAATACACAGCTGATCATTGGAATCCAGCGAACATCCAGCCGCAGAGGTTCTTGGGATTGACCTGAGCCCCATCCAACCTGTATGGTACGGAGAGTCCCTCCTCTTCTTGAATGTCAGTATTAATGGCATGCAGGACCCCGCCTAATTGTATTTTTGCAGTCGACGATTTTGAGTCCGACTGGCTTTATCGCCAGCCGTTCGACTACATACACGCCCGGGAATTAGAAGGATGCATAGCAAACCCGGATCAACTCTTTCGGCAGGCACTCGAGCATTTGACGCCCGGCGGATACCTTGAAATGCAGGCCGTTGATGGTTTTTTTGAGTCCGATGACGGCACTGCTGAACAGGCCGTCCATGCTCAAGCCTGGATAAAGAGCTTGCTTGACGGCGCGAGGAAATTTGGTAAACCTTTGGACACCTGTTCCAAGTGGAAGCAGCAAATGGAGGATGCAGGCTTTGTGGATGTTCGGCAAGAAGCCTTCAAGGTCAGCAGCTATTTTGGGGGACTTTGTGAAGTCTGGGTCTTGCTGGTCTTGTCAATGCTAATGATAAAACGCAGTTCCCGATCGGACCTTGGCCCAAAGACCCAAAACTCAAAGAGATTGGGACTTGGCAGTATTGGCAAGAGCTACAAGTCGTAGAATCCTACACACACGGAATCTATTCTCGCGTACTCGGGTGGGATAATGTAGAGATAGAGGTGTTCAAGGCCAAGGTGAAGAACGACTTCAAGAACCCGGCAATCCACATCTATCTGCCGGTCGTTTTTGTCTGGGGGAGAAAGCTTTGATTAGCCTGAGCTTCGTCGTACGTTCAATACCCTGGTGCAGTGTGCAGTGGAAGAAAGTCCTCCCATTGACTCATTGAGGCCTTGGCTCCATAATTGGTAATGGATGAACTAGGTTAAATAATTCAGCTGGGCCATCTCGCGGTGGCTATGCCGCCGTGGTGGTTCTGCGCGTCGGCGGACTCTGAGTGCATGCTCGGCCTGGTCAAGATTTCCAGCACGGTTGCGCCCACAACTTGGGCCTGTAGTCATTTCTCACACTGCTACACTGCTGTGGATGGGTCGATAATTTCCACACTTTTTCAAATTGGGACGAATGAGAACTTTCGAGGTGGACTCATCCCGGCAGGGTGTGAATGTCCATCCAGACCTTCGCCTGAATCTGGCTGGTCACCTCACTTCCACCGTTTCGCCGGTGAAATATATTGTTAGTTTGGTAATGTTGAAGATACCAGATAGTGTGCGTTATGATACCTAGTTGTTGCTTCGCCTCACTACTCTGTAAAGTGTAGCGAGACCCTGGCCCAATAGTCACGATACCCTTGACAAACTAACAATTGAACTTGGATGAAGGTGTCGGTCGGGAGATAACACCCCTGCTTCTGTAATGTTCTGTCCCCGCACGCGGAAAGCTCCGCGTGCCCTCTAGTTTAGAGGAGGGAGGGGGCGGGACTCTAACTGTTGGTCGGAGGGCCTGTGGGCAGCACGCATAATAGGGGTTCCTTGGGTACGAAAAAAAGAGGGAAAAAAAGAAGAAAAAAAAAGGAAGGGCAAGGGGTCAAGGTTGTAACAAGAGTCTTGACAGGGAGGGATTGTAGAGCAGGGTTGATATTTGAAGCAAAGGACCCGCCGCCAAAAACGTTAGTGTTGCACGGCACGGCACGGCCGCGCCGGGAGATTGGCGTCTCCTCGCCAATACCGGGATTCCTCGAGCCACACCCAATTTAGGTAAAGGGGGAATTTGCGTATCCATAAGCTGACGCGCACGCCCTCTCACACCCAATTGAAGGCGCATGCCAACTTCAACCCTATTTGTTGCTCTCGTTGGCCTGGATATCCACTGCCGATTCCCCGCGTCTGACAAATGGACGCAGTCTTCCTGCCGATGTTTTCGTAGGCCTTTTGATAGCAGCAGCAGCAATCTCGCTCAACCACAATCAATATGGCATCGACAGATGCAACGCCGGCGCTTTCCCAGGGCGTGGCCAACGGCCTGGTCATTGGCTTTGGCATCGCCTTCGCGCTGATCATGAACTTGATCACCTGGATATCACGGAAGTATCTCAATGAATCCAAGGACACGAACATGCTCATGACAGCCAAAAAGAGCGTCAAGACCGGCTTGGTCGCCGCCGCTGTCGTGTCGTCATGGTGCTATGCGGCCACGCTCCTGAACTCGGTTCGCATCACTTACCTCTACGGCTTCGCGGGTGGTTTGTCTCAGGCGTCTCGGTCCAGATTGTGCTGTTCGCCATCATGGCTATCGAACTCAAGAGACGAGCACCCCGCGCCAACACCATCCTTGAGGCTCTGCGCATTCGCTTCGGAACCAATACGCACCTCGTCTACTTTACATACGGCGTGTCGGTGCAAATTATTATCACAGCGGCGTTGTTGCTCGGCGGCTCGGCGGCCTTCACAGTGACTACCGGGGCGAACATTGTAAGAGCCTGTGCACGGAGTTCACATTGAATTGAATGAGGCTAACAACACTGCACCGGCGCTATTGGAGCCAAGGATGGCTCATATCTAACCATGCAATCTGGTCAGGCACTTCTACTCGCCGGAGTCATCTTGGTCTCAAGCTTTGGATGTGTGTTTGTCGACCCCAGCTACGGTCAGAAGGCCATCGCCGGCGAGCCTAACGCCGTCGTGCGCGGTTACTTTTACGGAGCTTTCGCGTGGTTCGCGATCCCTCTCGGGCTTTGCGCCACTTTGAGTTACGTGGCCATCGCACTCTCAAACACCGAGTACTGGCCGGTGGCCGGCGGCGTGACGATGTATCAGATCAACAACGCCTTGATTCTTCCTCTCGCTGCCGAGGCCGTCATGGGTAAGGGCGGCGCAGCTCCGGTCATCGTCATGGTCTTCATGGCCGTCACATCGTCTTTTAGTGCCGAAATCATTGCCCACGCCTCTATCGTCACGTTTGACATCTACCAGCCCTACATCAACCCCAAGGCTGACGACAAGCGGTTGAGACTCGTCTCACACGCGTCTCTTACATTCTTTGCCATCTTCTCAGCGTCATTCGCTACGGCGCTCAACTACAGCGGTATTTCTATGGGATGGATACTGGAGTTCTCCGGAGTCATTCTCGGGTCGGCGGTCGTCCCCATCACGCTGGGTGTCAATTCAGCTTACGTCTCTCCATTGTATATGACCTGGGCTGCCCCAATTGGCACAGTGTGCGCGGTCTGCGCGTGGATCGGCACCGCCAAGGGTATGTTCGGGGAGGTTACAGTAGACACGCTGTACGACAATTGGCCAATGTTCACAGGCTGCACCGTCGCGTTGCTGTTGCCTCTTCTGATCTGGGCAATCATGTTTGTCTTTCCAGACCAGAGGAAGCCATATGACTGGGATCGTCTCTTTCTCATGCAGGCGCGGGAGCCTCGACAAGGCGACAAGGAGTACACCATGGATGACCTCACTGACATTGGCGATGATTGGGATCCTAAGGCGCTGGCGAAGGCTAGCCGCGATGCCAAGATCATCTCCATAATCATGGTTCTCATCTTCCTCATCATCATACCATTTTCGCTCTACGGAACAGGATACAAGTTCAGCCGAAAATTCTTCACTGGCTGGACGGTCCTTGTGTTTATCTGGTCCTGGGTTGCCGCCCTCCTCATCTGGTTCTTGCCGATCTGGCAGGCAAGACATACATGGATGGCCGTTGTGAAGGGGCTGGCTGGCAAATCCGAGAAACGCGCGATATCAACACCGGACAGCAGGAATGAAGCCTCACAGACGGATCGCGTGTCGACGGGTGAGAAACAGCCAGTAGCATGAATTGCATTTATGACTTGACCTTTTTAGAGTCTACTAGATAGACCTGGCTTCGCCTAGCGCTACTTGGCTGGTGTTGTCAGCTCTGCGCCTGGCAAAATGCTTTTTTTTTAAAACAGGTTAATACGCCCTGTCATGGCCCCCTCGCGGCCTAGAAATTGACTATAATTCTTACGCTTGACGTGACCTAACCTTGCTGAACACGAGGGACAGGAGCGAGATCGAGGTTCTTCACCGACTGACCGGTAATGCTATCCTGCTCTGCGGTTGACCCCTGCTCCTTTCAACCACCGTTACTAAATCGCGGGAGTCGGGTCTGACCGGTCTCCAGAACGGCGCCATTCTTATCTATTCCTCCTACCCCCTAAACTCAACCCCTCGCCCTACCCCGCGGTACAATTTATTTTATTCCATCCGCGTTTTCCGAGAGAAATGTGTAGGTGAGATTCGCAGACGTTTTCTAGGCTATCCAAGTCGTTATCATCCGCAAGTTCCGACGCTGCCGTGATGGGCATCGACAGCAGCAGCAAACTGGTGTGATTCGATCCCTTAGACTGCCATGAAATCGTCCACGATCTTGTGTTCCGAGAGAGACAATTAACGATCCCTAATCTACGTAGATTTTGTACAATTTTGAGTTCGCGTGCAATACCATCGATTCGGCACCCAGTTGATTGCGAGGAAGTCAGGAACTGGCCGCGCGTTCCATCACCGAGGACGAAAGTGTGTGTGCCTGAGGCAAGTACTGTTATGACTCACATCTTTACATGGACTGCGTCAGCCACATTTGGTCACATTAGGTAAAGTTCCTGACATAACGCTGAGCCTGGACCGCACTCGTTCTTCCAAGGAGGAAAATCATCGTCAGACGACACAAAATGGACGCCAAATATGGACGCCGTCCGCGCGACTATACGATTTGCGATAGCCACAGGTCGACTCGACAATACGCAGCAGTGAAACTAGATTGCAAATCCCCACTTACTTTCTTACTAACCTACCCTACATCCATCCATCAAACACCTCGTGCCATGGACAGCAGGCGCCGCTTCAGCCACCGCAGGTAGGACTCTGAACACTTGGAGAATAGCCTTCAAGTTCGCTTGCTAATAATACAAACCCCACGAGACCCGCGGAAAGATTGGAAACGAAGACATATTAGCAGAAATTGGACGCCGCATGGGCTTTTACGATATCATGGCAAAGTTTGGGAAACGGATATGTACAATAGCAACTAGTGCCCTATTGGTTATAAGCCACCGGGCGTAATAAATTATGTGGGGACTGATTAAAAAGTAACCCACCTTTGCGTAATTTGCAACCCAATTTGTGGCTGGACCCCACCTTCTTCCGATTCCGCACCGCACACGAAATTTAGTATAAGAGCTTGAGGGTGCACATAATGACCATGTTATTCCTTGCATATCTAACCACCTAATACCTCAATAGAGGGACCACTATCGGGAAGTTCCAAATCGTCAGTGACGTCACTGAAGTCACTGATGTTATCGTCAAATATATCATCATGACCTCCCGCCTCAATCTCTTGTGCTAGCCTGTACATACGTTCCTCGAAGCCGGGATAAAATGATTCACCTAGTGCATCTGTATTTGACCACCTTGAGAATTGAGTGAAGGCATCAGTGATATTTTTCTCAGTCAGAGACGGTATTTTCTTTGGTGGTTGAGCGGCTACAGCGTCGCCGGCGCCGCTGGCTGCGTCGCTGCCTTCATCGTCAGAGGCATCTTCCAAGCGCTGGAACGCACGTATATATGACCTGTGCAATTCGGTGCCGGGCTCATATGAATCGCCTGCTTCCAGCCTTTTCAGTCCTAGTGTTGTAGTTGACTCTTTGGATATATTGATTGCAGCAGGGGGGCTGGAAGGTAGAGGGTTTGATTGAGGTTGCGACGCGGCACGCAAAATCGCGGCTTCCACTGCAGCAGCCGCTGCCGTAGTGTCGGTAGCCGGGGCGGGGTCGGTTGATTTGATTGGTCGAGCGTGAGGCTGACCTTCCCGATCGGGAATCTGACTTTCCCGAATAGGCAAGTCACATGACATTTCCGCCTCAGCCTTCTCCCACACTTCAACCCGCTCAGCGAGAATAGGGTCTCGCCGCGAGGTCCTGACGGCCGCACTCTTGTCAAGTCCTAGGGCCCCCTTTGGCCGGCCTTTTGCCTGCATAAAGTGCGGATCGTAGGGGGCATCCAACGCCGCCGCAGTGCGTGTGTCGCCGCGCTGCAAGTTACGCTGCCAATACCAATAACGGTCAATATCAGCCGGCCGTAACGGCTCTTGGTCCTTACGGTGCCGCCAAAGCAGGTGCCGGCAAGGAAGCCCATAAATGGCCGTGATGCGGCAGCTCCGGCAGGCTCCGGCAGGCTCTGGCAGGCTCTGTTTCTAGCTTCTTATCCAAAGTGGCTAGTTCCTGGGCCATAAGCGTGATAGCTTGAGGGGCTATGAGATCCTTCATATCAGCATACAGGATGTGAAGTGATATTGTAAGCTGCTTGTGACCGGAAATAGCACGCTGTGTTAAAATGGTCGTCTTTTAGCTGGTCCAGAAGAGATCTAGGGCACGGAAGGCCGTAGATAAATCTCCCTGACTAGACCATAGAAACTTCTTCATAGTTGAATACAATAACTCCACTACTGACGTAGTAAAGTGACTAAAATGCTAGTATTTATCGACATAACAGCGGATAAGCTTCTCTTTCCATAGCGTAATCCAGGTCTTTATAGAGTAATCCACGGTTTTTTGCGGGTATTTTCCAGGGTATTGAAAGTCGGCCAATCTCTTCTCAAAGACCGCTTTGGTATTGCTGTTCACTCGGTCCTTCTAATTACTAAGAAAGTCCCGGAATGCCGCTGCCCGTACGGTCTTATTACCCTGACGCATTGCCTTAGGGAAATGTTGCTTGCATTTAGCTAGGACATTCATATTGACATGCCACCGGCATAAAATATGCGGTACGGAGTCCAAGACCGGGTTGTTAGCTAATGCATTTATCAGGGCTAGTTCCCGGTCCGTCACAATAACCCGGGGGGGTCAATTTTTGCCGTATTGAGTATGCCGACGAAATGGCTCATTGCCCATGCAAATTGAGGCTCGGCCTCGCTATTAAGGAACGCAGTCGCAACTTGGAAGGTCTTCTTATCAGCTGTTACACCGCAAAGGTTGAACAACAGCATTTGGAACCGGTTGGTCTTGTAAGTGGAGTTACATAACAAGACATCGGGATATTACTGTAGAAGAGAAATGCCGGACTTTAAAGCAATAAAGAGGCATAAGATATGATTTTTTTCGTCCCTTAAATCCTCGAAAAAAAAGTCTTCAGACTGCAGTCGCTCATACAGCCATTAAAGCAGCGTACGGCCGGCAAGTTACTCGGTACGATATTTATTGAGGAGGTTGCGTAAGTTGTGCCGGGTAGTAGCTCGGACGACAGGGTCGGGGTCACTCTGCAATTCCAAGAGAATGTGCATCGGTCTCGTACCAGTATTCCAGCGTGTGATAATGGTATCGGTCAGCTTCAGGAGGGTATTTCTACGGTAGTGAGAGAATGTCTGTGGCGGTGAGAATATGTGGTTATGTTGGGCGCAATTGTCGCCTTTTACACCCTCCACCACCCACACTTCTCCGCCGCCGCTGCCGCGCATCAATTTGAGTGCAATTTTGAAGGGACATTCGGTCATCTGGGTACGAGTCTTCCTCTTCTTGGTTACGTGCACCCCTTCTGCTGACTGCGAGGCATACTTCCGGCTCTTACAGCAGCGGAATACCGCCCTACGAGGGGCAGTAGCATTGGGCTTCTTCGTCATGACAAGAAGGCTGAAGCCAGCAGCCTTGGCGGCGGAATGTAATTCCGTCTCCGCGGCGGAAAAGGTCGGAAATTCGGACTTAAAGATATGCTGCATTGTTGCTGCTGACGGGTTGTAATGACGGCTTCAATTTACGGGTTGTTGTGCGGGTGGTTGTGTGTGTGGACAAGGTTAATGTAAATTGGACAAAAAGTGAGGGATTTTGGTGTGAAAAGCCGATACCGGCGTCCAGCCTCAATGAAGTGGGTCCAGCCACAAATTGGGTTGCAAATAACTCCAGGGTGGGTTACTTTATAATCACTCCCATTATGTGTGTGTATGTGTGTGGACTGGACTTATTCCCTGACATACTGATAGCAGGCTTACACTATTCAGTCGCCAACTAGTAATAATGTCTTTCAATCCTACGCCTGAGGCTTTATCTCGTATTAAGAACCTGCTCTTTAAGAACACTGATTACTTGAAGAGTATTGAGCTAGAAAGAACCAACCAACCGCAGCTAGTAGTTACAGTTCTGAGTTCGGACCTTATGGCCTTGTGCAACAACCACGAAATCCTCAACACCGCATACCTCGCCCTACTGGTGCATGACTGGAATGGAGATGCAGCCTACAGAAGACAGGAGCTACTTAGATCATTACGCCGACATGAACCAATTAATAAGACAGAGGTCCGATTTCATGAGTCAAATATTATATTGAATATAGCGGATTGTATTGGGAGGTACTACCGAGATGATAATTGGATCGAATTAGACGACCCAACTAGATTGTTCAAGCTCAGTGGAGGACAACTATGGACTTATGCTCTGCATGTGGGGAGCAAAAAACTACAGGTGATTCATCCGGATATGATTGGGGGCATCGAGGGACGGTCACGAAATGAAGCAGTTCGTGATATTGCCTCAATTAAAATGGAACTTGGGGATGGAAGGTGTACGTATGAGGTGTTTATACGAAAAGGCATCACGGTCAAGGTAATGAATATGCAAACAGTTGATGGGAACGGAAATCGTTGGATCACGAGGTGGAGGGTGGTGGGATCGAATGAGAGAGAGTGGTGGCCGCAGGGTGCTCAGAAGATCCTTCACGATTACATCTATAATTGGCTGGCAGGAACACAGGGATGGGAGAGAAAACGCTACATAGACAGAAACTGATTGCAATATGTTAAGTCATCATCGGCCGGATTGCAACTGACCAGCCCCACGAGACAGTAGAGACTTCACAGTGAGTGAAAGGCAGCACAAATCCCCGATGTTCGTTAGCTCTTGTCCACGCTCCCTTGCCTTCAGGTCGATCCACCCTTACACCTTTGCGCGGGCGGCCTCATCGAAGACCCAAGTCATGTTGCTTTCACTTGACTATTGCCCCCGCTCCTCGCTGCTCCCCACACGACAGATAACGAATATCCGGTTTTACGCCCGATGATCGCGGAATCGTGAAATCGAAGTTAGGTGGCCCCTAGGGCAATGTGGATGGCAGGACTGTGAACAAGCCATTGATGGCAAGTCTAAATGCATTCCATAGACCTAACGAGGTGAAGTTAGACATTCACAACCTTTGAACGATGTCATCGACACTTTCACGAGCCTCCATCATAAGTCGCTTGAAACTCCACAGGGTACTGCCGTACAACATCGCGACAGCTTTGGTATGTCTTCTATCCATCGCGGATTCACAAATGCTCTAATCTATGATCGCAAGTCGGTTTACGATCCCCACTTACCTCCTCCGTATCCTCTGGCAGCTTCAATTTGAAGCTGAAGGTCGATGTCTCATCTTCCATAATCTTCTCTGCTAAGTCTGTCACATCTAGAGATGGAAATGACAATCCTAGTAAGAGAAACTCGCAATGTCTTACTATCTAATAGAGGTCTAAAAGCCAGTCTTATAGATGATGATGAAGATGATGAAGAGGGCAGCTTCTAGATATCTCCGGAGCCGGGAGTCCGGTCCGGAAGACCCATACGCCGGTCTCAAGGTCCCGGGAGACCTGGAATCTGTAAGGGACAAAACCTGAATTTCGCAGGGATTGAAGGACAAAGAGTGGAGATACATTAGGGATCGAGAATCAGAAACATAACACCGCCAGGTTAATAGCGCTCCAATACAATGGTACTTGGAATAACGGTCGAGAGCTGTCATGCAAATGCCAATGCAATGTCCAACTGGATCATACGGCTGATATATGCCACAAACGTCAATAACTCTTGAGACGCATCTTGGAGTTGTGCTTGCGTTCTGTGTCCTGCAGCGGTTAGCCACCGAGCTGTTAAGTGGAAATACAGTAGACTCACCTTGTGATGCTTCTCTGCAATTTTCGCAGTCCTCGGAATACTCGCTGTCCTCAGTATCCTCAGAATCCGCGCTCTCATCAGAATCCTCGCTTTTATCAGAATCCCCGCTTTCATCAGAATCCCTACCGTCAGACTCCTCGCTGTCGTCAGAGCCCCTACTGTCACAATCCTCACTCTCCTTAAAATCCTCGCTCCTCAGGGCTGGACAGCATTCATACCAGAATGAGCGTGGTGCATACTGAGAATCTATCCGTAGCCGCTTCGGACATCCCTCTACGTCAGTCGTAGTCAAAGATTGCTTCCGGGGTCTTTTGAGAGTGATAACAGAACCCGAGTCAGTAATAACCTCTTGGGTTAAATTTATAACTGTGCAGTCGGGGAGGCGAGAAGTCGAAGGTCCAACAGCTGACATGGTGGCTTTAGGTTGAGGTGAAGTAAAGAGGCAAGTTCGCAGGACGCAATTAAGCGACTAAGCCCCCTTTTATAGTCTTTTACCTCCTCTCCTCCCGAGCATTCGGCTTATCTGAGGGCAAGTATTGGTACTCCTTGATCGCCGCAACTGCCTGCATGCAGCCTTAGTACGGCTTCCGAGGGTCTCCCCTCTCTATGACTAATAACCATTATCTCGTCGTTGGCTATGAGGCTACTCCTAACGTGATAACGGGTCGCTATGGCCCCAATACTTGGGATGTAGCCCTGCTCATTGGTTTCTCCGGGTGTTGCTCCGGAATGTAGATATCACAATGACGTGGCTGGGGATGGCTAGACCATGATTGCGCCTCAACTACCCTTTCAGAAGACCCTTTTCAAGGCCATAATTCTCCTCTGACCCAGCGATCATCGTACTCTAGGCTCAAGAGGGCTAGCAGTGCTTCACCACGTCTCGTCTCGGCTACACTTTCAGCAGGCCCTTTGGCATGCCAAAGTTCTACTCTAACATAATTATGACCGCATGCCGGGTTTCGAGAGACTGGGCAGGTGGATCTTCTTCGGCTCACAGACGGCAAGACAAACAGAGGTGATGGGGAATTAAGGCAGTCCCGTCCCCTTTCTGGTTGGTCTTCGATAACACTGAAGCTGCTTTAGCGCTGTAGCTCCAGTGGCCACAAGTCAGTCCCGGAGGAGATCAGGTTTTTAGGAGGGAAATGGAGGAAGGCGAGGAGAAAAAAAAGCACAATCACATGCTTCCCAAATTTTACATAAGAGAGTCGGAACTGTATCTTACAACAAGATGAGGCGGGATCAAAAAATGGATGTCTGCAGCGAGCTAAAACGTATCTACGCATTGTGTTAGATTGTTCATGCGCTCAATCAACTTCTAAACAGTTTAGCAAGCGGCTGGATGACGTGCCGACGCCAGAATTGGACAGTAGGACTCCATCCACATTTTGGTCATTCGATTCTTGCTACACACACACACACACACACACAATTTATTACGCCCGGTGGCTTACAACCAATAGGGCACTAGTTGCTATTGTACATATCCGTTTCCCAAGCTTTGTCATAATCTCGTAAAAGCCCATGCAGCATCCAATTTTTGCTAATGCATCTTCCTTTTCAATCTTTCTGCGGGTCCCGTGGGGTTTGTATTATTAGCAAGCGAACTTGAAGGCTATTCTCCAAGTGTTCAGAGTCCTATCTACGGCGGCTGAAGCGGTGCCTGCTGTCCATGGCACGAGGTGTTTGATGAATGTAGGGTAGGTTAGTAAGAAAGTAAGTGGGGTTTTGCAATCTGGTTTCAGCCCTGCGTGTTGTCGAGTCGCCCTGTGGCTATCGCAAATCGTATAGTTGCGCGGACTGCTTCCATATTTGGCGTCCATTTTGCGTTGTCTGACGGTGACTTTCCTCCTAGGAAGAACGAGATATTTCCTTTCTGTGTTTCGGTGCATTGCAACATTACGGCTCGGTGCGCTGTCCATTTTCTGCATCGGAAGAGAAAATGCTCGACCGTCTCTGTCGCTTGTCCACATGCGCATTGCTGTGATGCTACTGCTGTGATCCGAAAGAGGTATCCATTCAATCTAGCCATGCCTGTCCTGAGCTGCGCCAGCACGCTGGCTTCTCTCCATGATAAGCTATCGTATAGTTGTCGAGTGTGCTTACCTGGTAGTGCAGCATCAACTCTCTTCGAAAACTTTCCGACATTGTCTGGTAGGTGTTTGCTAGTACACTGGCTCAATCGAGCCACGTTAAGGGTCGTCGATCGCATTCTGGGAAACTTCAGAGCCGGGATGGCACCGTCTCGGGTTGCATCCCGCGCCTCTCTTTTAGCAGTCTTCAGGAGTTTGTGTTCAGCACTGGTGGGCATCCATATGGGATTCTTGCTACAGTAGCGACCGCTAAGCGTGTCGCGGTTTTCAAGTATTGAAAGAGTTTCCGCACGGACCACCTTTGTGGCGCATGTGGCTGGTACCGTGCGTAGCGACAGAGCAGTGCGTACATTTAGGGTGAGGGGCATAATGAGAGCCTGAATCGGCTCTGACGACACGCCAGGCAGCAAGACACCACCGTAACCCAATTAGGCCACGGCAGCCACGCATCCCAAGTTTCATACATAGTCACGTGCTATCGACATTATGTCATGCTGGCGGATTATGGCTAATTTTGGATGATTAGAATTAGCCTCCATATTAATTCTAGATTCTTGCCATCACTTTCCTGACTATAGCCTAGCTTCTGATCTACTCTACGAATGATTGTTTGAGATTGACTGCACAAGGACTTATAGAGCTTTGCAAAATCAAGTGCCACTTTCCTGCTGTGTTATTCTTGTTCTTCACGGACCTCTTGCAGGGCATGAACCTGGTAAATAGTATACAGCGACTCAGAAGTATGCAACGCGATCAGCTAAAATCAGGCAGTTATTATAAGTATGACACGTCAAGAGTCCAGCTGGGGTTGTCTAAAGTATCATGCTCTGTGCCTCAAATGTGAGGCATTACGACCTTTCTGCTCAAGCAGGTAAGGCTCCCACTGGAACGGCGCCCGGGCGCCGCGATAGCGTTTTTATGGGTCAATGCGTCTTCCATTGGCTAGGCACGTCAACGCGTTCAGCATTATGATTCAGGATCAAATAAGAATACAAGTGTCACAATTATGTCGATGATTAAAAAGGGAAATACTATCACGAATATTGCGCTGCTTGAACCTGCGTATCCTCTTCGGCCTGTTGCCAAATTTCCCTTACACCACGTCGGGTGGCTTCCTTATCGTTGTTTCCCATCCGACATGCCACCTGAGCGTCGATGCGTTTGATCTCTGCAAAGTCCCAATCAATATATGCCATCATCTCTTCCTTAGTCCAGTCTCTTATGGGTCCAGATGATCTACAGTGCTGGCCCATCTGCTTGTAGTCTAGACACCAAGTATATAGCTCTCTTTCATATCGTTGGGGTAGTCCCATCGCCTTTCGATAGAGTTGGTTTGTCTTGATGCTTCCAATGGGCTGTTTTTCGTACCAAGTATTCCTTGCTACAACATATCGTTGATATATAGACTCAGGCGCATAATATGGTAAGTTTTGTGCTGGTGGCTCTGGTGATGATACTGGTAATGGCGTAGAGGGCTCTGGTAGACTTTGCACCACTATAGTATCTTGAGTCTGACTGACAAACATCTCGTCGGCCTGGCTGATCGAGGGTTCTAGGGGTTCGTTGACCAAGTCATCTTGCGCTTGACTGAACAAGGTGTCTTCAGCTTCTTGAGACCAACCAGCCAGGGCCAGGGGTATAGCTGATGGACCAGCTAGATGTGGCATAGAAGATTCCAGTAGTGCCTCTTGCTGCAAAAGAGGACATGCTTTTGATCTCCTTGAATGACCAATAGCATGACACCTAGAGCATTTTGGTGCTCTAGGCTCAACTCTTTCAAATGCACTTGGCTCCCGCTGGGTGCTTGACTGTGCAATAGTCGATCTGTTCCGAATCCCAGACTCAACTCTACTCGGCTCAAGAATTGGTCGTGGCTGTGCTCCATTACGGACCAGGTGCCAGTGTTGGTGGAAGTCATCTATCTGAAGGCCTTGATGTTGGCCTTGTAATGACTTAATCTTGTGAACACAAGGCAGGCCATATGACCGAGTGAAGACCCCCGTACAGACTGAGGAAACAGGCGGATCAGTTTTCTCCAATAGCTTCCGCTGTTCTTCAACCTTTTTCATTGCCTCATGAGAGATCCAGCCGTGTAAAGCACTAAACAGGTCACTGCTTAAGTGCTCTTTTGGCTTTCGAGTATGCTGTCTCGCTTGCGTTGACTGCAGTTCTGATAGTTGGTTCTCTACTGCGTGTTTGATAGATCTCCATACATCGAAGAGATCAAACTTATTCGTTTTGAAATATGATTTCAGTAGCGCATGAATGCCTTCAACGCGTGAAGTAGCCGTATTACCGAAATGCATATACTGATCCACCCAGGCTTTGACGAGTTTTTCTTTGTATGGTTCAAGCCAGGTCTTCTTGATGTATGAAACTTCTTCAATATGACCTGGAAGATACTTCTTCTCAAAGTCTGCCACACGTTCATTAAAAACGGCTTCAGTGGGCGACTGCATAATAGAATGCCAAGAGTTGTAGAAATCTGCCCAGCCCTCCAGTTTAGATCCTTTTTTCGCAGATGCCTTTGCCGCAATGCCTGCAGCTAGATGCTCTTGCAATGTAAAAATTGGAAGGCAGTGAGCCAGAACCGCTTTATTTGCATGCCAAAGGCAAAGCAACGATTCTGCCGATGGAAAGACTATTGCCACTGCATTTATGCAGGCAAGGCAGCGATCCGTCAAGACCACAGATGGAAGCTTGGCATTGAAGGCTTCATAAAGAGATTGAAGTCGCTCTAAGGCCCAGATGTAATCTTCCTCTTGCTCGCCACTGAGAAATGCAAATGCTATACAAAAGGATCGCTGACAAGCATCAACCCCTACCATATCAAGAAGTGGCATCTGATATTTGTTGGTCTTGTATGTGCAATCAAGTAGTAAGAGGTCAGAGTAAGCCTGAAGATATTGACTAGAACCAGGATGGGCAAATAAAATTGCCGTAACCCGCTGATTCTCGCCAATCCGGACACGGCTCCAGAAACCCTCACGGTCCAGTTGGTTAATGAGAGCATGGATGGAGCTTTGGCCCTCATGCATATCATCTTTCACCTCGGCAATCCGATTGTAGATGTCCTTTCTAGTTGCTAAGGAATCTGGATTTTGCTGGCGTAAAAATGTTTGGATATCTCTCGGAGAGATACCGGCAGACACAAGTTCTGCTAGAGTTGCTTTGCCCGAAGCATCCAATTGGCGATGCACTGGATGAGCTGATGGATGGTGACTTGGAGGATGATTATGCTTTGAGAATTGCCCATCTGGCCGATGGTGTAAAGACCATGTGGCTTTATCTAGTGACTCCTTGGCTAAGATTGAGAACGAGCAGCCCGTGCCTCGAGTTGTTGTCTTGCGCTTGGCTTCCTTTTCTCCTGGAGCCTTAGGCTTCCAAGATTTGTCGCATGCATAAGTAACGATTTTCCGGCCGCTAGTCTTTGTGGTTGACTTTCGTGTAATGAACGCGTAGCCTCGTGTGACAGCCCAAGTATTAATTGCTGTAACCAGCTCATCGCGAGATTGGTATTCAGCTTCTGGAGGAAGACAATCGTGGGGAAAAGACACAGCTTCAAGAAGAGCAGAAGGAGTAGAAGCCATAAGAAACGGCTGAGAGGCACTCGTCGTGCCTGATTGCATTAAGAATGAAGGGGGGATAATTAATGAATTGTCACTAAAGAGATGCAAGGTGCTTGACCACGTTGAACGTGTTGAACGCGTTGAACGCGTTGACGTGCCTAGCCAATGGAAGACGCATTGACCCATAAAAACGCTATCGCGGCGCCCGGGCGCCGATTCTATTGCGGCGCCTGGGCGCCGTTCCAGTGGGAGCCAGCAGGTAAGCGACGATGACTCAGCAGCATTTAGATATGACGAGAAGGTTCGACAATCGGAGTCGAGAAAATGATAAATTTCTTTAATCCCCTACGACCCCTGAAGAACAAAGGTAGAAAAATTATATGAAGATTATAGTACTGTATGTAGTATGTTACAATGCAATAACAAAGCTGGACGTTGATAATACTTGTACATAACCAAAGGGATAATGAACATATGTTATTAATCACTGAGATTTAACTAGTCTACCAGCCAGAGATCAACAAATCTTATAAAAATCACTCTCCCTGAGTTACAGCCAATGATAACAGACAATCCAGATACCTTTGAGCATCTGGGACGAAATGACGCTGGTAACCAAAGCAGTCTCTTTTTCTGCCACATAATCCAACACCTATCTTCACTAATCCCAATGCCGGAGAGGCAGTTGGTAAAAGGTATAGTGATGTTTTCAGGTGATAAAACAGGACTGTTAATAGAGATAACGCCAGCATCAGTTAAGAGGCCTGAACTCTTAGGGTCAAATTGCAGTTGAGAGGAGGAAATGCCAGCTACTTCTTGGATGCATGTGCAATCATCAATGCGCCAGAGCCGGATCGTCTTATCGTGAGAGGCTGAGGCCACGAGGGTCGAGTCGGGCGAGAAGGCTACTGACGATACCCAGTGCGTATGGCCCTTGAGCTCTTGGATGCATGCGCCATCATCAGTGCGCCAGAGCCGGATCGTCTTATCGTCAGAGGCTGAGGCCACGAGGGTCGAGTCGTGCGAGAAGGCTACTGACGATACCGGGCCCGTATGGCCCTTGAGCTCTTGAATGCATGTGCCATCATCAGTGCGCCAGAGCCGGATCGTCTTATCGTCAGAGGCTGAGGCCACGAGGGTCGAGTCGTGCGAGAAGGCTACTGACGATACCGGGCCCGTATGGCCCTTGAGCTCTTGAATGCATGTGCCATCATCAGTGCGCCAGAGCCGGATCGTCTTATCAGAAGAGGCTGAGGCCACGAGGGTTGAGTCGTGCAAGAAGGCGACTGACGATACTGGGTCCGTATGGCCCTTGAGCTCTTGGATACATGTGCCATCATCAATGCGCCAGAGCCGGATCGTCGCATCGTCAGAGGCAGAGGCCACGAGGGTTGAGTCATGCGAGAAGGCGACTGACGATACCCGGTCCGTATGGCCTTCAAGGATCTGTTGACATTGGTCCCAATTGTCTTCTGGTTCTGGTGCACAAGATATCCACTTTGGAATCTGATGATCTTGAAAAAACGCGTTTCGTACAGCACTAGTCTTTGGCGTAAAGGCAAGAACTGAGGAGTAGATCTGAAGAGGCACAGAGTCAATTGTTGAAATGTTGGTGAGGATGAATCGCTGCGCGTCTTGGAGAAAGTCCACTAGCTTTCCACTCCCTTCGAACTGAAATATCATTAGTATAGCCAGTCCTCTGCTTCCTGATACCCACTTACCTTGTGAACTGCTTGTAAGTCCTTAATAATAGTAAGGCTTTCTGATGCTCTTCTAAGTAGGCTTAATACTTCTAGCCAGTAAAGAAAATGTTGTAATAAGAAGTTGTAGACCGGTCCATTGTCATCAACACACATATCGGCTTATTGTATATGATAAACCCAGTAAAGACAAGCGTATTGCACCTCGGGAAGGATATGTAAACTGATGTCTTGAGGGCTGATAGATGCACGGTCTGTTCCTGGCTGTACGAGCATGCATATATCCGTTTCCAGGCATTTGTTCATAACATCAAGGCAGTGTACCGCCAATTGATTATGAACCTGTTTCTCATCTACCCAGAACAGATGCTCAGCACGCTTCCTAGGGTCCACCAGGAAGTCGCGGAAGGAGAGATGTAACATCCTGACAGGAGATTGCTCTGATGGAGGGATGCTCAGGACCGAATGAAGCAGGTCCAGTTGGTCATCGATCATCTCTTTCTGTATGTTGAGAAGTCGTCCGAGGGCAGATATAGGGAGGGGGTTCCCTAGAACCACAATAGAGCCAACGATATGTCGAAACCGCTCAATGAGATTGTCCCGTTGCCAGTTCTCCAAGCCATCAGTCAGCCTGTTGAGAACAGGTAGATATGTAGCGCTGAGTTGTGATATCTGGTTTTCTCTTTGAAGTTGTAAAATTTCCCTTAATTGCTGATTGGGATTACCAAATCTGCGATTGGAAAGAAAACGGCAGACTGTGGTAGCAAAAATAAAAAGAGGAATAGCCATTTTCACCAGACGTTGAACATTTTCTTCTCCAGGCCAGTCGAGTGGTAGGTGTCAATCTTTAGACACAGATGAGTTGTACTCGGTCTTGATTTTTACAAGCTCATAGTCGAAAAACGCAGAGATATCATGCTCAATAATACCAGATGGTATTTCATGAAGTACAAGATCTTAATATGTGCCCTTCACAGCGTGAAAGCCAAGTCGAATTGGCAGCTCTGGCCTGCTCGTGACGAAGATCCTTAGTTTTGGAAACTGCAGATCTTTCGTGCAAGAGAAAAGATTAATAAGAAGTTTGACATCCTCATCCCGGTCGCATTCGTCAAGGGCATCAACAATAACCACTAAGGGAACTGATGATCGAGCGTCTTGAGCAGTGTTTCCCAGCGGCTGCATAATAAGCCTCTTAAACTGCTCTCGTACTGCCTTTCCAGCAATGTTAGGATCAGCATCGATAGCAGCCTTGATATGTGGAGTGATAGCGGCTTCTCTCTCGGCCAACTGGGCTGCGAGTGTTGTGAAGAACTTTGCTAAGCTTCCTCGGTCAGCCTCTCCTCTCTTGAAGAAGAAGCTGGCACCAAGACGACCTGAGCTTTCAAAAGACCGAGCAACCGTACGGGATATCGTAGACTTTCCCGTGCCAGCCATGCCGTTAAGCCAAAAAATAGCCTTGGCATTAGGGTCCTTGGCCCATTCTTGTATTTGTCGGAGGATGTCGACCCGGGTATTTTGCAGGCAGGTTGGATCGTGTTCCTCAGCACGAGAGTCGTAGCTTGCCCCTTTGGCGACAGGGAGTCGGTCGAGAGCGGTTCTCTGGTCGATGTCAAGAATAATCGCGCTGAACTCTTATCTCATTAGCCTAGTGCATCACAGGCTGGAGGGTATTAGGACTGACGTCTGGTCAACTTGCAGGGCTGAAGAGATGGCCTCAGTGCACTGCCTGAGGCCATGGATAAGTGTTTCAACCTCCTTGCTTTGAAACGGCCATTTCATAGCATATAAGCCTGCCTTTCTCCCGGACTTAGTTGTCTGTCCAGAGGCAAGCAGTTCGTCCAGCCGTCGAAGTTGGGCTTCGCTGTTTCCCGTTGCGACAAAGAGTGCCCTGGAACCCTTGAGCCTTGCACCCTGCGGACCATTTAGTAAATCGTCAGCATTCTTCAATGCTAAATGCAGGTGGGTTGCTTCTTGGGACAGTCGCGCTTTGTCGTCTTTAGCGTGTTTGACGTCCTGGGCATATTGCACACAATGCCTAATCACATTGGCGGACAACTCAACGACTGCGATGACGTTGGCCGCAACACTGAGTACCTCCATCGTGGTCAGGCAATGAATTCACGTGCTTCTGCGCTCATGAGTTATTGTAAAAGATCTTTGATCACCTTGACTGTTGAAAGTAAATGAGGGGTTAGCGAGGCTGTGCGATGGCTGCCTGTGTGATCTCTATTCTAATTGGGTCAGGATCATGTACCACCTCACACGGTATTGTGAGCTGCTTAACATCCACATCACACAAGATCCCAAGGCAAGAGAGTGATGGGGGACGTAGATTCCACATTTCAAGCGGGACGGCCCGTCCCTAGTGCTGCGCAATCCGTTTCTACCGCTCTCATCTATGTCGTCGCCAGTCTCGGCTAGTACTTGGATGGAGACGGCTGTCCAGGAATGAGCGGAGGAACAATTTTCCAGGCAAGCGAGCCAACCAGCTAAGCTAACCACTCACCGATCCTTGAGTGGAGACTCACGTGCCAACAGTGTGGACACGTGTCCTACCAGCTGGGCAGAGCGCAGCGACAAGCAGTCTTTATCAAGCAAAGTCCAAAACTGGAGGGGCAAAAATGTTAGTGTCCACCTGACAGGAGTACGTCGCAGTACATTTGGATTCGCACTGTACAAGCCACAATTTGCCAATGTGGTCCGTGCGGAAACTCTTTCAATACTTGAAAACCGCGACACGCTTAGCGGTTGCTACTGTAGCTGGTACCTATGGACCTGTGGACATGAGTGCAGGTCCTGATATGTCTGAGCCTAACGGGCTATTAGGTGCTAGCGCCTTGCTATCTCTTTTAGTCCAATTCCGTTCCTTGGGCCCAGTGCCCCACCTATAATACGGTGACACCATTACGGTAGACACAATACGGTGAGAGCCTTACGTGTGATCACTCACACAAACGGTGGCAGAATTCTGCCGGCAGAAAAAAGTACCCACCAAGAACTGCCACATATTCACACAAGCCGTAGCAGAATTCTGCCAGGCAGAAAAAGCATACAAAGGGTTGGTGGATGGATGCCTTGTACATAGTTAATACCTGAATAAGTTGCCTATTGCTATACTACCTCTTAACCCTCTTCCCCTTAGGATTTTTAATCTCCCAGTGTTGTTTGCAGCCACTGCCGGTTCTATTACCCAAGCGGGTAGCTATGTCTGACCAAGACCGCCCCTCCTTCACCCATGTATTGAGGTTCTCATTATCCTCAGGTGTCCATTTCGTACCCTTAGTTCGTTGAGGTCGTTGGGGTCGTTGAGGTTGTTGAGATCCCCGGGGTCGTCGAGATGTCTTCCTATCCACAGTTTGTTTGCTAGCTATATAATCCGAGTTGACACTCATACTCTCGCTGTCACTGCTGCCATCAGAACCGCTTGAAGTGGTTCCTTCATCTTCCAGTATGGGGTTGGTAATCGATGACTCAATCGATTTGTCATATGAATGAGTTTGCTGCCCTGCTCTGTAAAGACCTTTCAGGCTCATACTGGGTTCGTAGGGGAGCCTCTGGGTATCATAGTTGCGGATGTGAACAAGAAGAATCTCCAGCATCAAGCGCGATTCTACATCCGACAATTGGGCACGTTTCGACGCCACAGTTTCTATAGTATGACTTAGCTGCAGGAGACATTCACTGTATGATCCTTTTAGCTTATCTCCCCCGGTATCAGTGTGTAACTGAGATCTTGAGCGAGAGCTGTCTTCCATAGGTTTCATGGAGGAAAAAGAGGTAGCTGGCTCTTTTCGTGTGTTGCCATTTCTGCGTTCAGAACCCAGGTGAACCCGACTTTGTGAGTGAAGACTCCTACCAGGGGGAACTTCGTTAAGAGGGCTGGTTTGGCACTGTTTATTTGTGCTGCGGTGAGTGTCGGTACTTTGAATTTGCTTATGAGGTGTATTTTCTGAGAGATTGGCTGTGCCTGGGCGTTGTCTCTTTGGCCAGTTCGCATCCACCTCCATAGACCTTTCCGGTGAGGACGATGGCTCGGATTCAACTGTTGCTGAACCCAATACTGAGCCCGTAGTCTTGTCGTCGGGTGTTATTTCCAAGCCTTGCAGTCTTGACTGTTTAGTTGAGTCGCTGGGGGACTCGCCACTGAGGGGCTCGCCACTGAGGGACTCGCAACTGAGGGACTCGCCACTGGGGGACTCGCCACTGGGGCTGAGCTCGAATATTCCGAGCTTTTCGCTCACCCTGCCGCATTCTGGGATATCGTCAGGATCCTCTTTTGCATCATAACTACCAGAGGATAGCTGATGTATCGACTCAAGTAGTCCAAGACCATCTCTATGGGAGTCTTGCAGTGCTTTCAAACCCTCAACAGTCATCTTTTCAAGAAGGATTTGAGTATAGTCATCTGTGCGGATTTCCGTGGGGGCGATGATACTGATTCCAAGAAGGCTAGCTTTAGCTAGAGCACATGGCACAGCCAAGTCATCTGTGCTTAACACGGGCGTATCTTGAGAAGAATCCAAGATAATATGTTCAATATCCTCGCTAGATCTGCTTTTCTTGTCTGTGTTGGAGGCTATAATGCCTATTATAAGTTAGGGCTAGTCCTTTCTTACTTAAGTTCTTCTACTTACCTGTCTGATTGACTTCTATATCTGTACTGCTTGTTGATCCAGGAGGTGTAATTAACAATCTCTCAGAGCCAGGGGCAGAGATAGATTTTATGAGATCATCATACTCCGACCCTGAAACTATGTCACGAAGTGTTGGCACCCTTTTTGAAGACGGGGCATCTAGATCTACTTAACATCAGTTATCTATTAATTTAGAAAGATAGAGGTCTTACCTTTGCCACGGCATTGATTGTGCTTTTTACTTGGCGGTTCCGTATGATTCGGTCCTTGTTTTCGCTTTGGTTTGGGCTTATTTGCGTTAGCCTTTACCATTGCTGGGTCATATGGCTTGATTCTTAAGAGATCCATTGCATCCATCAAGCATAAAAGAGGAGAGAGAAGATGACTGTAGAGCAATCTGTTGCTTGATCCGGCCTGAAGGCAAGTTATATACCCGCTGACTTTAGAATACTGTCGAGCTCAGCCTAGAGTATTATTGGGGCCTGCACATCTGCCTCACTGGTTCCACACCCTCTGAAACCCCCCCGGTAACTATATTTAATTGTATGGAGCATAGACTCATGATTCGTGGACCAATTACTTTACCTCAACGTCACTAAATCTGCATTGATAATGCCAGGGTGATCCATGTCCTCAGCGCCCAGCTACCTTGTTATCTCGTATTACAATGCTCTATGCGGTTGACCCGGCGGTTGTATGCGTCGTAATGGTTCCGGTAATCTCCGTCCATCCGTGCTACAATACTAACTGAAAAAGCTAATTTTATATCATCATGCAGGTGTAACTAAGTTAGATGAGGAAGGTCTGCAAACATGTGCTCAGCTCTTAAAGGGGGCCGTAAATTTCAGTTGAGGCTGCACAGTATATTGGTTTAGAGGCAGATTAGCTCCACCATCGTATGGCTTACAGCTGACGTGGCGAAGATGGAGACTCATAAAGTACCGTATTACGTATTGACGGAGGTAAACTGCACAGCAGATTCGCTTGGCGCAGCTTATCTCGGCGAATCCAGTAAGAGGGGGCCGTAGATTTCAGTTGAGGCTGTACAGAGGATTAGCTTGCAGATAGATCAGCTCCACTGTCGTTTGGCTTATAGCTGACGTGGCGTAGATAGAGACTCACAAAGTACCTTATTACGTATTCATAGAGACAAACTGCATAAAGACAGTAAACCTGGTAAGGGGCTGTATTCGACACAGTTTGTCTTGTCGAATCCCGTAATCAGTGACTTCAAGAGCCTCTGAAACAACTAATGCTGTAAAGAGTAGACTACGCTACAGTCAAAGGACATTAGGCTTGATTTTAAGGCAAGAGCTGTAATCTGAATTACTAGAAATGGATATTAGACTGCCTAAAGAGGTAATAAAGTTACAAGTGATATAACTGCACTGGGGGTTGCTAGGCGCTGAATATCGTAGGTGTTGCTGAGTACTGGCTGCTGAGTGTGTGTGCTGTGCATTAAGCGTATTAGGTATTGAAATTACTAGAATTGGACATTAGATTGCCTAAAAAGGTAACTGCTAAGTGCTAAATGCTGGGTGCTGGGTGCTGGGTGCTGGGTGCTGGGTGCTGGGTGCTGGGTGCTGGGTGCTGGGTGCTGGGTGCTGGGTGCTGGGTGCTGGGTGCTGGGTGCTGGGTGCTGGGTGCTGGGTGCTGGGTGCTGGGTGCTGGGTGCTGGGTGCTGGGTGCTGGGTGCTGGGTGCTGCGCGCTGGGCTGGGTGCTGAGTGCGCTGGGTGTGTATGCAGCTGTAGAACTTGTATAACACGCCACGTGTCTGAAGAATCAAAATTACTAGAACAGGATATGGAGTTGCCTAAAGAGGTAATAAAGACACAAGTGCTATAAGTGTGTTAGGTGTTGCTCGGGATTACTGGGTGCTGGGGATTTCTGGGTGCTGGGGATTTCTGGGTGCTGGGGCTTACTGGGTGCTGGGGATTACTGGGTGCGGGGTGTTATGTGCTGCGCATAATGAGGTGGTAAAGCGGCAAGTAAATCCGGGTAAAAGAATTTCCAGATAAGGTAATTTTTAAAAGTGGGGGGAAAACCTGCAATTTCTAGATGAGGAAATGCCATCTTAAATATTACTAATATTAATACTACTACTAAATCTACTATCTTATATAATTAATACTATCTTTTTGCTATTAA